GACACCTTGCCTGGATACGCCGCATGTACACGATACTTGGCACCTCCATGGGCTGGCCCTGCCATCCTCGTGCCATCTCCGTCCGTCTCCCAGGGTCCCGTCTTTCCGCTCCTTTTTCTCTCTTGCTAGCAACTAGTCCTGCTGCCAGACGCCTCCTACTTCAACTTGACTAATTGCCTTACTTTTCTTCCTTCTTTTTCCTTTCCTTCTTCTTCTTCTTCTCTTCTCCTATTTCCTCCTACTTCTACTCCTCTCATCTCTCTTCTCTCCCCCCCCAGGTTCAACCTTCCGTCTGCCTCTCACCTCTCGTCCTCTGCTACCATCACTCTCTCTTTGATACTGCTTACACACTTCCTTCACTTGGCGTGTCACTTGTGCTTCACCTGACCAGTTCGGCGTCGGCAACCCAGCCATTGTGCTCTCTTTTGCGAATCCGACCTTGCCTTGTTAACGAGGACTGTCTCCCAGCGACTTGGTTTCGTTTCGAAACTCTCAGGAGACCAATTATAGAACGAAAGGAACCCAAAGGGATAAAGGAACGAATCCCGGATATACACACCGCGAGCGACCACCCGCCTTGGTTTATACAACAAAAAGTACGTATAACAGCCGTTCAGACAAAGCAAACCCCAGCCCAATCGGCATCCGGCTTCATTGTAACCATTCCCGGCACTTGGACGACGCCCCGCCACCCCTGAAAGGGGGCAACGTCCTTTGATCTCTTTGTGGGCTTGTTCAACACGCAAAGAGACCGGGGCGTGGTAACGTTGGGTAGCCGATGGTGTCTGCTGTTAACCGCTCCGTTCATTGGATTGGTTACACCCTCTTTGAGATGCTTTGCGTATAACCTGGTACAAGTTAAAATGCTAACCATCAGCTCTCTCTGCAGTCGAGGTCATACGCTCACTTAGCCCAGCCCACCTCGCCTTTTACCGAACCAGCAGCGACCCTCACCCATCCTACGCTGGTATCTGCGGCTGCGGAAAGCGAATCGCTTGCAACCACCTATAGAATATAGAACGAGAAGAGCCTCGATTTCGAAGTCGTTACACTCTTTTTCCCCCCCAACAGCCAGCCTTTCTATTCCTTTCGCAAAAATGGTTCCGGAGCAGGAAACAGGAGGATCGATAGAGCGATCCCGGAGGCAGTTGTCAACCTCGGCCCCGTGCCCGACCAAGAACGACGCGGAGCCCATCAAGGAGTCCGAAGTCCCTCCAGCGAGCCAAGAAGAGTCAGCGCAGGAGATTGCACAGTCATCACAGGTCTCGCCTCGACAGTGTCAGGCCGACCCCCGCGCCTCGGCACCCGAGTCTGCACCCCTAACCCGCAACCCCTCGTCCGACTCTGCCATCTCAGTGGGATCCGGATCGGTCACCCCCAGCCCAGAGTCCAGCCTGCGATCCTCCTTGCACACATTACCTCTGGAGCCGCCCGTCACAAGATCTACGCTGAGCGAGCTGGACGTTTCCAAGATCATCCACAACCCCAAGCTTCGTCACGACATCAACTTCGACCCGGAGCTTCACTTCCGTCCGAACCTCGATGGAGAAAAGGGCCGCAGAAAGCAGGACAAGGCGAACCAGTTCTGGAGGACGCTGAAGCAGGAGCTGTCAGAGTTCATCATGGACAGGCCCACGTTCATCTACAAGCATGGCGACAGCGACGAGTGGACGCTGCCCATCTTGCTCAAGGCCGTCAAGGACATCATCCAGACGCTCGTTCCCCAGCGTGACCGCCAGTTCCTGGACGAGGGCCTCAACGTCGAGCTCCTCATGCAGCAGTTTCACAAGGGCGTTGCCGACCTGGAGAAGCTGGCCCTGTGGCTGTCGAGGGTGCTCAAGTCCCACTGCGCGCCCATGCGCGACGAGTGGGTTGACACCATGTACAACCAGCTGAGCAACGGAAACCGGAACATGGACCTCGACGAGTTGGTTACCGGCATGCGCAGTCTGCTGAGCGTCCTCGAGGCCATGAAGCTGGACGTGGCGAACCACCAAATTCGCTGCCTGCGACCCGTCCTGATCGAGGACACGACCCATTTCGAGCAGAAGTTCTTCATCAAGAGGATGGACTCCGGCAAGACCGACATCACCATGTCGCGACAGTGGTACAAGGAGGCGGAGCAGACGTACACCGACAGCCGCGCTCATCCTTCGCAGTCCTTTGGCGACATGGGCGTCTTCTTCGAGGCCCTGTCGAGGCTGCTGCTGCCCTCGGCCTGGGACGAGCGGCTGCCCAACACATTCCTCTTTGACGAGGAGCGGCTGATGAAGCTGAGGGCCGACGTCCTTGACGCCATCAACCTCGAGGTGTGCATGCGGGTCTATGAGGATTTCGACAAGATGAGCCGCCGCAGCAGCCCCCCGGCCCCCTCATCAGACTGCTCCTCCCACGTCGAGGACTTCATGGACCGATTCGACTTCAACACGCCGCCTTCAGTTTCTCGGCCCTCTAGCGTCGTTCACAGTGCAGCAGGATCTGCCTCGTCATCCCCTCGTTCATCATTCGTCGTCCCTTCATATGTCACTCCCAGGCAAGACTCCCAGACCAAGGCCCGCGAGCTTTTCCAGACCTTGGTGGCGCTGCTGCAGACCTCGCCGCCTGCGAGCCAGCCCTCTGCGCGATGGCAGATGATGGCTCCGTCCATGGCACTGCAAATCTTCCGCTTTGTCAACCTGCCGTCCACCGCCCTGCCAGAGCTCGAGGCCAGGCTGGCTGCTGCTCTTGGCGATGTCGATGCATGCTTCTACCGGGACGTTGAGGAGAGCTTCCTCAACCGCCTGATGGCTGATCTTGGCCACCGTGTCCGCGAGTTCAAGGGTCTTTCCGGAGTCGCCTTGTTTTCGGTGGCCACTGGTGTCCGTGTTCCCAGCCGTCGCCCTGCTACTGCGGATCGTGATTCCGACGGCCTTTCGCGGGAGCCCTACGACGAGGCGAGCATGGATGACATTGCGACCAGACTGGCACACCTCGGTATCTTGCACTGGCGCGTCTGGGCGCAGCTGGCATACGCTGACGATGACCAAATGACGGTGGATGACGAGTCGATGCAGATCTGAGCTCTTGATCTTTCCGGCTTTATCACAATTTCTGGCTGTACATCCAACTACGACTTCTTCGATACGCATACACGACTTACAACAGCCCATTGAGCATTTCGCGCAGTTCTCTTTCTCCGTCTCCCGTCTTTTCTGCGCTAGACTTGCGATTTCTCTCCGGCAGCTTTCGCATGCCTTTTCTCTCCATACACACTGCCTTCTCAACTAAAGCCTATTTAATTCGCACCTACATGCCATCTTAATCTCGCAACTCTGGATCGTCTTTTACTCTTTTGTTTATGAACTCGGCGTTCGTCGGAACCGGGGAGGAGGCTCAACTGTGGATTGAGTTCTTTTGGTCCACCAATTGATTTACGTTTTGCTCGATACCAAAGGGGCTGTTTTGTTCACGTCCATCTTTTGTTTCGTTTTGCTCTTTCTCAGATTCATGTTCAAGGTCATGATTTTCCTTCTATTTTCTTCATGTTTGGGTTTCGGTTGCGAGAACGCGTGCTTGCTTGTTAAAACAGCAGCTAGAATCTTTGATATAGAGTGAAGGATTCTCCTCACAGAATGTGAGAGAAGGAAACAGGAGGAGAAGAGAATGCTTCTTAGTTTTGTATTGGGAAAGAATAATGCAAAGACGAGATAGCAAAAGTGTTAGATTAGTACACTAGACCATTTGAATCTTTTTCAAACACTTGCTCAAGTCTCAACATGAAGTGATACGGCTTTGTCATAGAGTTGGATGAGAGTTGTACGGTATGATGTCTGATGGTTGTCCGCTACAGCATCATATCAGAGTTTACATTCTTTTCCTTGAGTATAGCTACAACACGTTTGTTCTTTTTGACGAACAAACTTCTGGAATTGGTATGCAATCTACTGCTCTAAAAGTCAAAACAAAGTCAAAACAAAGATCCGTTGCCTATCTAGGACAAAAATACAACCTTGGCGACTTATACTAGCAAATCTCAGCGGGACAGCCTCGTTTTTTTTTTTTTTAATCGTTTCAACGCTTGGTTGTTTTTGACCAATAGGGTGAGAGGAGGTGTCCTAATGGAGGCAAAGGACAAGAAAGGGGCGATTTTTCCCAAGTAGATTCGCTGTTGAGTACGGGAGTACGTGCTGGTACTTTTTTTGTTTTGAAGATTTGTGTTATTCTATAGGTACTTCCTGACTTGATTGTACCTTTTTCTTGTTTTCGTCTTATGGAATTAGATTTTGAAGCGGATGGGTGATTGGTCTTATAGGATGTTAAAGGGGAAAAGAGGCAATTCGAGATTATGCAAAATGATGACAAAAAGTAGGATGGAGGTGGTGCAAAGTAAAAAGGGGAGCGTAATTGTCAGCCAGTCAGGTCTTCCAATACCTCTACCAGAAGTACATACAGTCAAATGCTCCAAAAGGAAACGAATCTTTTTGTTGGTTTCTTTTTGTTATTAACAAAAGCACTTGTCTATCTAATTCATCCAACCAACCTTCTTTTTTCAACTATATTCGTTATCCAAAATGTCGCAAGGGGGAAAATCAGTTCACCCCTGTATGCCATGCGCAAATCTATCCTAAGACAAGAAGATGGAAACCAAGATGAGAGATGACACAGCAGGTCCCGTCGCGAAACGGCCCGGCATAGGCCGTAGGCTTCTTCCTCCTCTTTCTTCTTTTGGTCCCAATATCTTTTTCTGCCACCGGAGCTGCTGGTGAGCGTGGGTAGAAAGCAGGTGAGCTGGCCAAGAATAGATGCGGTCTCAACCATTCAGTAGAACCAAGAATCGAATCAAAGACAAAGCCAACTCCGCGTTGGTATCATATACAAGAAGATTAAAAAGTATGAGAAACAAGGTAGGTAGGTGAAATGGAATGGCGGGAGACGCTTGATGGGACGTGGAGAGTTTCGGTCAAGTAGAGCGTAGATTATTAAACGGAGGCTGTGATGTCGTCGTTGGTGGCAGTAGGTTGTCATGAAGTGGGAGGATTTTTGCTCGCCGCTTGACTCTTCTTCAGACGAACATACTCCTCCTCGAGCTTGCGGTACCTCGCGCGTTCCTCCTACAAGCGCAACATTGTCAGTCTTGCATCTAATACCATGCGACAGGGGTCAGTGAACGTACCTTGATGTCCTCGTGGAACCTCTTTCGCTCCTCTCGCATCGACATTCTAAACTGCTCGCTGAGCAACGCCGCACCAGCGCCAACCTTTGTGACGCCATTTTGCGTGACGCCGACCTTGAAGCGTTCGCTGTCGAGGTCCTCTTGCAGCTTCGCAATCAGGTGTCGAGACTTCTCCAGATCAGCCTCCAGACTGGCCTTGGCTGAGAGTGCCTCGTCCACCCTCTGTTCAAGCTCAATTTTCTCGCGCTCGGCTCCGATAGTCTCCTTGGTAATCGCCTCAAGATCTTGTACCGTCCCGGCCAACTCCTTCTTGAGCCTTTCGACATGGTTCGTAAGCTTGACGATTTCTTCTTGATTCGCGAGAGCTGCTGCATCTGCCGCCCGCTCGGCGCGAGACCCATACGCGCCGTCCAACTCCGCTCTGGCGAATGTGAGCTCCGTCTTCAGTTCCACCAGGGTCATGTTGAGTTGCTCCAGGTCTGCATCCCTCTGAGCAATCTCCTTCTCCTTGTTTGCGTGGCTTGCCTTGATGTTTTCCACCTCTTCCTGCAGAGCTTTGGCCATTTCTTCGGCCGCTGCCTTCTCCTTGGAGGCGCCATCAAGCTGTGAGCTTAGCTCGAGCATCTTCTCTTTCTCAGCTTCTAGAGTAGCAATCCGTGCCTCATATGATCCACCCCTTTCTGTGTGTGCTTGAAGATCAGCCCCGAGGGATGCGATCTGGGCATCCCGTGACTGAATCTCCGCCTCAAGAGATCCGATATTGGAGCTGTGACCCTGGATCTTGTCCTCAAGAGACTCGATGTGGGCAGTGCGTGCTTGGATTTCTGCCTCGAGGGATTCGATTCGAACACCAGTTGCGAGGACCTCGGCCTCGAGAGACTCTGCTCGGGCGGTGCGCGTATGTATCTCTGCCTCGAGAGATTCAATACGCTCGCTATGGGCTTGGACCTCTGCCTCCAGAGACTCAGCTCGGGCCTTATGGGCCTGGGCCTCGGCCTCGTGGGAGCCCGCCTTTGCGTTGCTAGCCTCAACTTCGGCTTCCAATGCCTCCAGTTTCGCGTCCTGTTCCTCGATCTGAGCTTCAAGCGTCTCGATCTTGGCGTTCCGCGTGGCAACCTCGGCTTCCAGGGACTCTATCTTGGAAGTGTACTTGCGAAGCTCCGCCTCGTCGACGCCAGAGGACGAGCCCTGCGCCTTTTCGAGATCCTGCAGAGCATCTGCCAACATGGTCTGAGCGTCAAAAGCGTCCTTCTCAGCTCGTTCAAGCAAGAAGCGGGTCTGGTCCAGTTCCTCCTGTCTCCGTTCAATCTCTTCATCCTTTTCGGCGTCGGTCTTGTTGTTGAGCTCGCGCTGCTGCTTGATCTGTCTCTTGAGCACAGACTTCTGGTCCTTCAACGTCGAGGCCTGAGAATAGAGCCATTGGACCTTGGAGGAAAAGGCGATCAGGCTGTAGGTCTCGTCTGCGTCGAATGCATCATCATCAGATGTGTCGTCGTCATCGACCAATCCCTTTTCTTGCCGGTGCTTCCGGCGCTCCTCGTTCCGCTGCTTCTTCTCGGCGAATCCGGATTGCATCTTATTCCAAAGGCCAACCAAGACGGATTCGATCTGCTCAGGGCCGTCGTCCAGCATGTAATTGCTGCCGCCGTTGCCACCACCGTTGCCGCCGCTACTGATGAATGATTCCTGCTCCGCTTGCACGGCGACAAGCCCGCTCTCCAGGTAGTCGATTTGTTTTCTGAGCATATCACCGGGCTTCAAATCACCGTTGCCCGAATCTCGCGGAGGCTCCAGATAGTCGCTGTTCACTTCGGGGTTGAACTTGACAATGGTCTCTCGAAGAGAAAGACTTAGACTCTCCAGCTTCTGCTCCATATCGGTGACAAGGTTCACCAGCAGGCTGTTTTCTTCTCGGGCCTTGTCAATCTCTCCCCGAAGGTGATTGGCTTGCTCTCGCACAGGTGACTTTAAGGGAATGTCGATTGCCGATTTCAGATGCCCTGTCTGCGGAACCGGGAAAGAATCCAGCTGGTAAAGACTCGGGTCTTCAAAATAGTCCTCATCCACAACTTGCGCTAGGCTGTCCCGGTTTTGAGAGTAGGTATACAAGCTTTCGGGACTGCCAGGAATCTCATTGTTGTTTTGCAAGGCTCGTGCTGCCGCACGCTTGGATGCCTTGTGAGTCAGCTGGAGGATACCGGCTGTATGCTGGAGTAGGCGCCTCTGAGGGCCGATGAGGTTCTTCTCGAGGTTGAAAAGCTCGCGCGACAGTTCCTCGCACTTCTTCTCGGTCGTCTCCCGCTCCAACTCGACCTCCTTAGCTCTAGGATCGTCGAGAAGCTCTTCCTCGGATTTGCCAGCGGCATACAGCTTGGCCATCGACACGGCCGCATCTCGGTACTTCGACTGGATGGCGAGGTTGGCCCTGGTAGACTCGACCCGCTGGCTCAGCAACTGACACTGTTTCTTCAGCCTATCGACCTCTTCTTGAGACAGGATCTCATATTCTTTGCTGTCGGAGAGCGCCGTTTCTGTGAGCAAATGTACTTGGATCGGATCTTTGAGGTCGGCAAGCGATCCGTTCGGCGCATCGTTGGGATCCATCTGGGACGCGTCAATACTGCGGCGAGCTCGGCGTGTGTGACCGGCGCGAGACCTACTGGTTCGAGCTGGTGGGCGGCTTGTTCATATCCGTTAAGCCCATCCTTTCCATATGCTCCTGCCATGCCATGATCGCCGCCGTTGCTAGAAATTGGCGTTGTTATGCTAGACATCTCATCGTTGTAGGAGCTTCGCTCCGTCTGGTATCCATTCATGCTGAGCGTCCGTGTTCGTCACGCGTTGGTTCGTATCTAGCGCATTAGGCGGAGGATTCCGGACCTCCAATGGTTGCCAGAGAGTCGCAGCGCTTGGAATAGGCAAGCTCGTCAAGCAGATGGTGAGGCGCGGTCGAAGTCGGAGCCAAAGCTGAAGTCGCGGCGCGAGGATGTCGGGCCTCTTAATCCAGGTAGTCGCTGGCGCAAAGCCGCACGTCGAGGGAGAGTGAACAATCCCAAGCCGAAATCCAATGCCAAAACCAAAGAGAAAAAAGGAAAGAAAGAAGCGAAGAGGAAAAAAGCAAATCCAAGACACTCTGACGCGGCGGCAGCGTCTTAGACGACGGGACGGCCGTGATTAGCCCGAGTCAAACAGCACAGCAGTTGTATGTAGTATGCAGCTGGGAGGTTGTTGGCCGCGAGGGGGAGAATCTTGGAGTCAATGAGACCGAATGATGGAAAGGAGCTGAGTGGCCACTGCCGACTGGCATTACAGGGCCCGTTCGCAGATTACGGTGGGCGAGGGATGCCAGGCACAGCGGGCGGAGGCGCTGCACGACAGCCAGACGGGCCTTATTTGGCGGCCCCGGCAGCTGCATGGACCGCTGGAGGCCACATCAGTTCTGGGGGGCCGTCGCCACAGCGCTCCTTTGGGAGGAGACGGAAGATGGAGAGCTGCAGCCCCTCGGCTCGTGCACGGCGCATGCAAGGAAAACAAGAGCTCTTTGCGCATCCATCAATCAAACGGCGCCTCGTCCAATCCATCCGCCCCATTGGCCGTACGAGCGGCCAGAGCTGATGTTGGCAGCGCTCCAGAGGCGTTTTTACCCCTGAAAGTCGCTCCTCTCAAGGCATTGCCATCCCGCCGCTAGGCCTATCCGGGCAAGGCCTGTGGCTCCGGCTGCCGAGCTATCGGAATGCGCTGGATGACGGCGTGACGGTGCCTTTTTTCTCTGCCGTCTTCTCTCCTCTTTTTTTTCCTTGTTTCGCACGACATCCTTGTCTTTTTCTCAGCCTCGTGAATCCTGCAGCAGCACGCAGGAGTAAGAGCGCGCTGCAGCTTGGAACGACGCCCCTCTAGTGGCCTGTTTACCTATACGAGCGAGCGTATGTACTTGCTCAATTCGACATCATACCTAGGCAAAGGTACCTGCTGGTATATCTCGTACTTGTACTATGAGCACGTTATAACTGCGGGTACGGTTTAATTTCCCACGGCTGTCAGATCCCCAGACCAGCTCTATCCACTCTCATCAAAAGCGCCTAGGGCTCCGTTACGCACGCTCAACGTTTGGGTTGTTGGACATTTCGTTGAAACGATACCTATGACGAAGTGTGTGCACGCAGCCAGAGGGCCGAGCTTGTTCGCGCTGTCCTGATCATCTCGGCTGCGGGCCGCCGTACGCACACAATCTTCTGCCCTATGAGCACATGTGATTGCCCGAAAATAAGAGCAATGAGACAGGCGCAGTATGCTGTCGAGATCTGAAACACTTATTAGGTCAATCTGTCGTAGTATTATGCGATCATCGCATTCTCCAGGTTTGTGATTGTACGGAGTAATGGTAGTCGTATTAAGGAGAACCTTGCAACAATAGGGTTTTCGAACATCATAAAGCTTCTCGAAACTGGTCCATAATCTGCTGGCCCATAGTGCGCCGCCGATCGGCCTGGCCTTCCGCTTGGCTTTGGGCACCAGTTGCCACAGCCGTTGCTGGGATTTCTCCTTCTAATCTTCTTCTTAACCCTTCGAATTCCGCACTTCTCCTATAGGATCCGGAGCCCACCATCCAGCCAGGGAGCCTCCATGTGGTGAATGATGTAGGCAAGAGCCCTGCCCTCCAAGAGTATCCGACAACCCAGCCGACCACAGCTCCAATGACAGAGCCGGGCCACTGCAACAGGGCTAGGTGAAAGGCAATGGCATACTGGTAAGACTTGTCTGATAGCGTTACGCCGGAGAACTGCTCGTTTGTGGGTGGTGCTTGAGATGTCGCTATACGGTATTTGTACATTTGCGGAACCATGGCATGGAATTGCGCCAGAATCGCAAAGATGATGGGTGTGGGCCCAGCCGGCATGTAGTTGAACAGCCCCGGTGCTAGGGGCCGGAGCACGGTAAGGATGAGCGGCGGGAATATGGCTGTGAGAAGAGACGAGATGACGAGGAACGACTATGATTGTGTGTCATGTCAGTAGACGCAAGGCTAGAAGAGTAGAAAGCGTTGGGAGAGGGAGCTCTTACGGCATATTTCCTTGAACCCCACATCCGCTCAATTGCTCGGAGATTGTACAGCGATATAGCTGCAAAGAGCACCTCTGTGGAGTTGGTATAGCATAGCTGGTACGCAAGAAGCCGCCACAACTGCCGATAGCGAAACAGATGCGTATCTATAAAGATGTAGAAGTAGTGCTTCGCATCGAAGAGGCTGGCGGCGATCGAGGTCGAGACCAGACCCAAGACGGTGAGCCTGGTCACGGGGGCATTTGTAAACGTCATATCTGCCTTGTCGTCTTCTTCCTCGTTATTATAATATATTCATGCTGAAAAGTCTGGTCGAGTGGTGGAAGAGATGGCGTATTCAAGATCGAAGGTGGATAGCGAATAGCGGATGCGCAATGCGCCGCGGCAACGAGGAAGAATCGGCGCAGCTCTAGGCGCAGAGGTAAGATCAGAAAGAAGGAGCTTCGATGAGGGAAATTGGTTAGTATGGTTGAATGTGCGTCCAGCGACGCGTTCCGCAGGGGGGAGGAAATGTCCAAAATTCGCAGCCTTGCGATCTGATAACCGGACGGGGTGAAGTTGAGAATGCGACAGCTTCCAGTTGCTGCTGGGAAAGTCTACTGACATGTGTCACTTCTAAGATCACGTGCCCAGCCTCAACAGCACTGACGTTGACGGCAGTTTGCAACTTAGTAATAGTAGTTAGCGCAGGTAGCACGGAGCAAGGTGGGGCTCCTGCCGGCTTCTGCAGAGGAGCAGGACGGCAGAGTGTCCGGGGAAGGTGGAGAACATCCACGGGTCGAGCCTGCATGAGTCTGATGGAGTTACGGTCAGAACATGGAAGTCCTTTTCCCAGGCGCTTCTGGTAAGGTACCAGTGCGGCACTCGATAATAAGAGACTGGTCGAGTTGAACAGCCCGCAAACACATGTGCATTACGTTCTTACACCTACGTATCTACTAGGTACCGTGTGGTGCTTCTACTGCACAAGCGTTCTTGTTACGGGATTAGTTATCCAGCATCCACTTTGTCATCTTGTGCGAGATGGCGTTCGTCAACCAAGTAATCCTTCTTATGCCAGATAGAAATCTCTGCTGGATGCAACTAGTAAGAATGCTTTCTTGTTCAACACAAATTGTAGCTTATAAGACAAAGGGAACAAAATGAGAAAACCCTTCTATGACGACACGTCTGGATTAATTATTAGCACCAGCATGCCTTGGCAGGTGTCACCTCTTGTCAGGTGTGCAACCCGAAACCCCTGCATTGATCTCTGTCCCTCCCACCAGAACTTGCGATCCAATAACTCCCGTTTCTGCCAGGCCACGACTCGCCATAGCCGAGCTGCCCACCCCCTTTGATGCCAGCAAGCTGAACGACTAAACAGAAGCGGGAATCGCCTCTCTTCTCGACTCTGACTTTTTATCTCGCACTTTTCGTGACCCCACCACGACCGATTAGGAATCATTCGCTCCTCCATCGGCACCCAAACCGCTCGATTCGCCGCCCTCTGCCTCGCAGACCCTCTGCAGGCCCTCCTCCGCACCACAGTAGCATTGTCCCAGAGCGTCAATCCGGGCCGAGATGCCTCTGGCCAATCTGGGGTCGCTCATCCTGGACAACGCCGTCTTCCTCATTCACCTCATATACGTGCACATCGCCCTCACTGATGCCGGGCCCAGCCAGATCCTCCTCCTCCATCTGCTGTCCAGCCTCGGCAATCGCCGTCCCGACAGCCTCGAGAGCGCGCCATGGCCGCCCCTCACCGTGATGCCCTGGTAGGCTCTTCCACGCCGGCGGACGGCTACGAGTCGCCCACCGAGGACAACCAGCCCGCCTTCTTCTTTGGCCCGACCCCGACCGCCTCCGGGGCCACGACGCCGGCCAGGATCTCGATATCCTGCCATACCACAGTCGCGGCTGGAGTCACGTTTCTCGAGCGCGCTCATCCGCGCCTGGGTCGCTTGCAGCAGGCCCGTGCTCGCCAGCCCCCAAGTCGCGATCCCAGTCGCGAGCCCAGTCCCGATGGGTATCAGTCGTCGAATGGGCCGTCCAATCTTGATGCCGTCGTTCTGGATACCGAGAAGAGCAGCGTCCCCCGCCAAATCGGGCTGAAAGACCGCATTGCTTGCTATCAATGGACGTTTTTCACAATGGTAAGTTGCAAGAAAGGGAATAGGAAGAAATCCATGTCGATACGTGTATCCGGTTAAACGTCTCGGACCATCGGCTCACCATCACCATTAGACAATGGCAACCGGAGGAGTGGCCAGCGCCCTTCATGGATGTAGGATCAACTACCTCCCCCTCCCCTCCAAGTCCTATACTAATATGAACTACAAGTGGTCTACCAAGCCGAGTGGGTGACTGGCTTTGGCATCGCCTTCTGCCTCCTCAACATTGTGCTCTTCCTCACCAACTGCGCCTTGCTGTCCATGCGATTTTACCTTCGTCCGGGAAGCCTCAGGAAATCGTTTACGGATCAAGTAGAGTCCTTGTTCATACCTGCGTTTGTAAGTCTCAGCTCAATGTCTCTCTTTTCATCGTGTCTTATCGTGATGTCTCAATGTCTCGATGGCTGACTATGTCTTAACAGTTTGTCTCGTAAGTTGTCCGCTGTCCTATGTTGACTGAATCGGTTTTCTGATGCATTGCCAGCATTGCCGTTATACTCATCAACATATGCCAATATGGTGCCCCCCATTGTGGCGTTTGGCTCCTCAAAACCTTGCAAATCCTGTTCTGGATATACACGGGACTGAGCGCCTTTGCCAGTGCAGGCCTGTATCTCGTCTTGTGGTCCACTTTGTAAGTCGTCTTCTTCAGCTCATCAAATCCCTACTTGTGCTCATGTATCAAAAGGGTCTTTCCGATTCACATGATGACACCCACCTGGGTGTTTCCTGCGTATCCGCTCATGCTCACAGCTCCGTTTGCCGGCAACCTCATTGCGGCGGCCTCTGCCACTGGCCGCATTGACGTACTGTATGCTCCAGCAGTTGCTCTATCGGCTGTCGCCACTCAAGGCACGGGATGTTTGATTTCTCTCATGATATCATCCGCCTTCATCTACCGACTTATGACACAGAAACTACCCCGTGACTTTCAGCGGCCTGGTGTTGTAAGTCTTCTCCAGTGGCTTCGAACCAAAATTTCAAGCCGTACAACTAATCATGGCGGACAGTTCATCTCAATCGGGCCCTACGCTTTCACCGCTTCATCAATCGGTCAGCAGTTGCCTTATATCTATGTATCAAAGTGTGGGGGATAAAGGGTTCTAACTCGCGCTGAAGCACAGCTCGGAGGCCAAGCCAATGTGATTCTCCCCCCGGATTTCCTCGGTACAGTACACGGCGCCGACATCATCAAGATCATCGCCATCCTCGTAGCCCTTTGGCTCTGGGGCCTTTCCATGTGGTTCTTCCTCGTCTCCGTTGGATCACTATGGAAATACGTCCGGACGGGCAAGGGCATGCCATTCCAAATGACTTGGTGGTCATTTGTGTTTCCCAATACAGCTCTCGTAAGCATCTTCAAAAAGCCTCCACGTCAATCCCGACTATGACCTCTCTTGTTTGTTGAACCCTGTTTGGCTCACTTCCTCCCCTCTGTTCTAGGTCGGTGCAACCGAAATCATGGGGGCCATATTCGAGAGCAGGGGACTGCAGCTGTTCGGATGCGCCATGACGATTGCTCTTGTCATTGCGTGGGTTAGCATCTTTGCGACGATGATTTATTGCATAAAGAAGAGGAAACTGCTTTGGCCGAAGTCCAAGGCATAGTATTAGTCTGTCCATACAGACAGACAGACTGACTGACAGACTGACAGACTGACAAGACGTGTGGCGTTGCAGCGTGGATTTTGGAGTTATCGATACCCTTGCTGTATGTATCTCGGCGTTGATCTGATATAGAAAAAGCATCACAAGTTAGCGATTCGACAAGACACCCGACACGGACGTTGATTCCGGTCAAATGGCATAAAAAAAAGGAAGGAATTGTTCTCATCAGCTCCTAGAAATGTCAAAAAGAGAATCGAAACATCGTGTTGATGTTCCAAAGGGTCTGGCCGGGGATTGAACCCGGGACCTCTCGCAAGCAAGCTGTAGGGTGGACCCTAAGCGAGAATCATACCACTAGACCACCAGACCGTAGATGGTTGTTGGATTCCCACGATTGTAAAACCGCTCATGGACCTTCTGCTCTCTTTCCCTCAGCGATGCTTTTCGTCGACGATATATTATGAGATCCTGGGGCTACCTTACCAACCTGTAGTTGTACAAGCCAGGATACCTTACCCTACAAACAAACGCCAGTTTTGTCTCTTTTTTCTTGAACCCAAGTCGATGTCGATTCACGCTGCATACAGTAAGATGATGCTGTAAATGAAAATTCTTGTGAAAATAACACTCTCTCAATGAGTATCATTGATGCGTTGACTCATCGAAGCACAGGACATAAGAGCCAAACAGACATCTCTCAAAACGGCTCGGGTGAATACTTCTTGCGAATTGACAGCGTATCATCGTCACCAGCATCACCCGAGCACGTGCCTCGGTGTCGATTATAAGAACAACGATTAATTACTATATAACAAAGACAATGCACTCCTAAACACCATTATTGAATCGCCAGCAATTGAAACTCATCCCTCCTGCAAAAGTTGCCGAGTTTTCCCCTCCCAGTCCCTGCTGTGAATACCTGTCCTTCTCCGCCACCACTGTCTCTTGAACCAGTACGCCACGCCTTACAACGCTCCCTTGGTACTCTGACAAACCCGCTGCACCGGTTAGGATGAGAATAATATAATATAGCAGCAAAGAAAAACTCATGTCCCTTGCATTGGGCGATCCGTGGACTCATGTCTCTGGGCTCATGTCGCTGTGGCTTTTGCCGTAATGGAGTCATCTATCGCTGCCACGTGAGACACCGAAAAAGACAAGATAGTATCAATCCTGTTCATTTGAAACGTCATAACACATCGGCACAGCAAGCAATGCCGTGACCGCCGCTAACAATGCCAGTAGTAGAAACCTAAGCCAATACTTCTAAAGCCTAGCTCTAGGGTCTTGATCTGTCGTCGCGTCTAGGTTGACTGTGACATCGCCAGTCTTGTCGCTTGTCTTATCGCCGTGGCCAAAGAAAATGACCTGAACTGTTAAATCATCGCTGTGATGGGGATTAGCATGGATCCCTGTGCGTATCAACCGGAGAAAGAGAGACGAACCGATATCGCCTTGAAAACGGCGATGGGAGTGTTAGGAGAGCGCAGACCTGCTCGTCGTTGGCTCCACCGAGAGCGTTGCGGACGAGATGAGTGGCCACGTTCTTGTCTCTTACGACAAACCGGTCTCTTGCGTCGGGATCAATTCCCCATTGCTGCACACGAATCGGCGTCTTTCCGTCGAAGCCAGCCGCTTCTCTGGCCTGCTCCACCGGGAGCGGCTTGCTCTGTGAGCCAAAGACCTTGGACCAGGCCTTGTCAAACTGCGAGCTTGGCTTGCCCGTCTTCTGCGTCTCGATCCACTGGCCGACAAGGCCAACGACCTCCTCGTTCGTCAGCATCTCCCACAGTCCGTCGGTGGCAAGCACAACAAAGTCGCCATTCTCGGGCTCAATCTTGGTTGTTGTAACAACAGGCTCTGCCGTAACGTAGGGAGGAGTCCTCAACAAGGGGGAAGGGCTCCGGCCAAAGAAGTTTTCGCGCAGTCTTCCGGCGACTTCACGGCTCCATTTGTAAACGGCATCGCCAAAGGCACGGGTTGGCTCCAGACCCCCCAAAACGCGACCGTTGCGGATAACGTGCTCCTCACCGGGGTGCTCCATTCGCATGCGGGCGACTTCGCTAGGGTTGCCTCCTGTCTGGTCCTCGGAAAGAGCCGTGGCTGTCCATTTTCCAGACTTTGACCGACGGCCCAAGACGGCGCGAGAGTCACCGGTGCATGCCACGCGCAGCAACTCGCTCCTGCTGTCGTAGAAAGAGAGAAGTGCGCAAGAGCCAGACAGGGCGGGCTGCAGGAGCTCGGCGGCGACAGCCTTTGAGCTTGCCTTGAAGACCTTTTCGACGCTCTTATGGACGATTTCGTCGTCGAGGCGGGTGAAGCCAGCCTTGATGGCGGAGTCAATGGCTTCGGGGGGCGGCATCTCGGTGGAGGAGGCCTTGTAGGTGCTGTTTAGTTCTCGAGCCACGTAGCTAATGAGGCTTTCTCGCAATGTCGCAGACGTCGTCCAGCCGCTAGAATTGGGTAGAATCATGTCAGCATGCCGTGCAGCAAAGGACGTGGTAAACTAGCCATGATAGAGATGGTAGAGACAAAACAGGAGCACAAGGTATACTGACGAGTGACCATCGAAAACACCCCAAAACATCCAGTCGCTGGTAGTGACAACTTCTTCCCCCTCGGGGTCGGTGGGGGGCGTCCGGACGGGCACTTCGACAATCTTCTCTGCGTGGTCGTCTTCGATGGGATCATTGCTCCCCAGCTGGACCAGGTCGTAGCGCGTGACGCCCTGGCCGCGGTTGACGTAAAAGGACTGCTCCTGGCGACGCAGCTTGGCGGTGGCCTGTTCGGGCGTGAGCATCTCGACGATGCGGTGGCCGTCCTCGGTCGATGCCTTGTACAGCGGCCCCTCGCCGACGATGGTGCCCTGCCTCAGCTCGTCGGCTCCAACAACCAAGACGGTGCGCGTCGGCGCGGCATCGGCCGCCCCGCGGGTGGTGGTGAAGCTGTGGGTGACGGCGGCCCCGGGCACGGAGTCGGCGCTGTTGTACTGCCAGGCGCCGTATCCGAGGAGGAGACCAGAGGCCAGCGCGACGGGCAGGCGGCGGACGTACATGGACGACCTCAGCGGCACATGGGCAGCGCCGGGCGGGCGTTGCGAGTGCTGGTGCAGATGGCGATGATGGTGGTGGTGGTGGCTGTGGGGGTGGCCTCGGGCCAGGACCTGGCTGCGCACTTGGCTTCGCACGCTGGGGCGGTGACTTGTCCGGAGCGCCCTGACAGCGGTGCGATGCATCTGGGCGGCGGCGAGCGTGGGCTTGTGGGAACGGCGATGGCTGGTGGTTTATGAGAGTCCCGTCGCTGGCGCTCGTTCTGCCTCGGGAGATGGAGCTGACAAGGCCGCGGGACAATTTGGGAGGGCTAGACGGCGTGCAAGGTTGCTGGGGGGCGTGCGGCTCGCGGCGTGTCTGCACTGTGCACTGTGCGCGGCCGGCAGCTGCATAGGGGGCTGGCGGCATGTCCGCTTGGGGGCAGGAGCCGCTGAAGGTTGGCAGGGCTGTCCGCTGGACTGCCGAGCTGCGGAAGTGGCACAGTGCGAGAAGGGCGCACTGGCGCGTGTTTCAATAAGATCGTATCGGGCCTAGCATTCAGCAGCGACAAGCTCATTTCGGGACTGCGCCTCGATCCCTGTTCGTCCGCGTTTGCTGGTCTTTCTACCTATCCAATGTAATACCTACTTGCACTCTTATTAATGGATAGGAGGCGGATGGGGGCTGCGCTGTGATGCGTTGTGTTGCTTGTATTACAAGATGCACCTGTAATACGAGGCTGTCGATGCTTCCATTGTGTTTTGACATCGGGCGAGAGCCGGTTCCTCGTTGAGAAGCCACATGCTGGTTGTTTTGCCCATTGGACGGTCTCTATCTCACTTGGGGTTTCGTGATGGAGGCGCCTGCTCGACGAAATCATCATCGTGTTGTAGTTCGAATGTCCGTTATCGAACCTACTTCGAAGACCTGAGAATTCATTCTTCTTCTTTTTCTTTTTCTTCATGTGCTTAGCTGGTACTGTCTCTACTAATGGGCACTCATCTTCAGGCAGCGCCCAGATGGTCGCCCAGTTGTGTCGAGGTTCCATTCGACCTGGGTAAGGTAATCTTGCGCATTATGCACTAGAACATCTTCACCGATGGCAATCCAAATCTCATCTCATCGCATCTGATATCGCCCATAGAGGGTTATGACGTAGAATCCCGAACCAGAAACCCAATCCAATCCTCATTCTCCCACCGCACAGCGTCTACTCACTACATGTACCTCATGCATCTTGTGCTCTAAACCCCTCCATTGGCCACATGTATCATGTGCGTGCATGCCGCCAGCGTGGGGTCTCGTGTGTGCTGTCATTAACCTCCAACTGTTTCCACCAATTTTCAGGCCACCTTATTCGAACATCCAAATCAGCCTACCATATCCCGACCTTTTTTTCTTTCTCTCCTTCTTCTATTCATACTTCTTCTGCGTTCCCCGCCCAACTCACTCGCTCGACAATCTCTCACACATACACGAACAGCTCACCGCTGTGAGACCCGTCGCGCAAACACATATAATGGCAGACACCGCCACCACCAACGACGCCGACGCTGCCGCCCAGCGAGCCGCCGAACAGGCGCGCCTTCGCAAGGAGCGCCGCGAAGCAAAGATCAAGGCGGGAGGATCCGCGAGACTGGAGAAAATCACCGGTGTGGGCGGTCGCGTCACTGGAGGTCCGTATACCGCTTTTTCTCTTCTCTCCCCCCCATCCTTCTGCCACTGCAGTGTGTACTGATGAAAAGTTCCGAGTATAGATTCAACACCCGTCATCTCTCCGTCTGCTCCCGCCACCCTCTCCCAAGCCGCCCTTTCGAACCAACACCACCTGGATCCCGCCGAAGTCGACATCTCGGAGCACTTCTTCGCCCCAAAGAAGTCGTCCCGCAAGACGCTCGATGGCGTCTTCTCGCCCAGCCCCGAGCCGTCGCTGTCCGAGGCGCAGCTGCGCCAGATGATGCTCGGCTTCGACCGCCCCGAGCAAGCTGCTGCCGGTCCGCAAGCCAGTCCGCAAGCTGGCCCCGGCGTTGGCTCGATGGGAGGAGGAGGAGGAGGAGGAGGACCTGCCCTGCCGCCCGGCATGGAGGACGACCCCATCATGAAGATGATGTCGCAGATGATGTCCGGCGGCTCGATCCCCGGCTTCGGCGGCGCCGACGGCGTCCCCAACCCCTTCGCCAACATGAACCTGCCGCAGCAGCAGGCCGCCGTCCAGCTCCCCAAGCAGGCCTCCCTGTCCCTCTGGCGCCTCATCCACGCCCTCGTCGCCCTCGGCCTGGGCTTCTTCTTCGTCCTCACGACAAACTTCCACGGCAGCAAGCTCGAGCGCGAGCGCGTCGCCCTGGCGTTCGACCAGAAAGAGGACGTGGACGCCGAGACGGAGAGGCGCAAGAGCTTGTTCTTCTGGACGTTTGCCACGGCCGAGGTCTTGCTGCTGTCGACCCGCTTCTTCCTCGACAAGAGGAGTACCAATGCTTCGGGATTCGTCGCCACCGCCATCTCGTACTTGCCGCAGCCGTACCGCGGATATGTTGAGGTTGGACAACGATACGTGCAAATCTTCTCTGCTGTGAGGACGGACATTTTGACGTGCATTTTTGTGCTTGGAGTTGTCTCTTGGTGGTCACAATGATGTGACTTTCACATCAATGTTTTTCATTAGTTATCGTTTAATAGGAAGTAAATGGATTATACAGGTTTTTTGAAGATTAATATCAAGGCTCTTGATAACTGGCAACAGTATATCCACGCCCCACCCCATTTTTATATTACTTCCTGAGCACCATGCCCAACAAACCTCCCAATACGCCCCTGACCCTCTTCGGATTCTCCAGGGCACACGTAAACACAACCGCCGTGCTCGCCGCGAAGATCAACTTCTCGCGCCATTGCTTCTCCAGAGGATACCGCCGAGGGACCAACGTCGCCAGGGCCCGCGGCGCCACGAACAGAGCCATGTCTTTCCTCCTGCCCGCCGTCTCGATGAGCACGCTCCATCCGCAGAGAGAGCACCCGGCGCCGACGCAGACACCGCCGTCGATGAGCTGGCGGCACTGCGTGTCCTTGCCGAGGACCGACGGACCCAGGCGAGTGCGTGCTAGGCACACGCCGTAGTAGAAGAGAGTGATGAAGGTGGCGAGGAAGGTGGATGACCGGGAAGAGCCGGTGATGGCCCTCATGAGATTCATTTGCTTGGGTCTGCGCAGTTGAAGGGCGAGGGCAAGGGGCAGGTATGTCAGCATGGACCACTTCCAGGCTCGAAAGAAGCGGCTCAGGGCGTGATACTCGCACGACGGGCCGCAGCCCATGTGGACAATGTCGCAGGGGAAGGGGACGGTCTTGGCCGGGTCCCCCCATTCGGCGGGCAGGCCGTAGTCCTCGCACATGGAGCCCAGCAGCGGCGCCTGGCCCGTCTCCTTGCCGTAAACGAGCTCGCCGTTCCTGCAGCGCCGCAGGGCCTCGATGAGGCGCAGGTCGACGGAGGCGGCGGACGTGATCCACTTGTTGTAGCTGCGCGGCAGGCTGTCGGGTGCGTAGAACCACGCCCACATGATGAGGCCCGAGGAGGCGGCGAAGACGGCCGGGTCCATGAGGCGGGACAGCAGTCGCTCGACCTTAGCCGATTAGCTCGAGAAGGGAGCACAGCGAAGAGAGGCTACTACTAACCGCAGTCCACTCCCCGGACGCCTTGCGCCGGTCGCGGCGCTGGGACCACAGCTCGCCGACGAGGACGTCGGCGGCGCGGGTGACGGCGAAGAGGGTGAGATCCATCGTTCGACCGCCGTAACCGCCCTCGGCGGCCTCAGCCAGGCCTTGCTGCACTGAGGCCAGCCCGGACTCTGCCCACGAGGAGGGGAGAGGAGAAGGAGGAGCCTGCTTAGACTCCTTGGACCCTTTGGACCGCTTGGACTGCTTGGACTGCTTGGGCTGCTTGGATTGGAGAAGCTGGAGGCTGAGCCATCCCGAGATGAAGGTAGACAGCCATCGTGCTAGTCTGTGTCGTTGTCAAACCCCAGAACCAACTTGTCAGCGTCGTGTTCGGCCAATATATAGATTCTAAGGAAGGGCTAGACGTTGCACAGGAGAATGGGTGAGGCTAGTGTGGTTTCTATATTCGGAGACTTACCTGAGTTGTGTTGTTGCACTGAGCTGAGGCGTGGCGCGGCTGATGATCTTGAGCAGAGGTTCCTATAGCCAATATTACGAGTCCGTTGGTCAGCATGATTCATTGGCCGGTATGTATGATGCTACAGGTGAGTGTGTCGTATGGGCTAGAAGTGGCCACAATGGGAGTCCAGACCCCTATTTACGAACACGGGGCTGTTACACAGACGATTGGCAGCTGGGTGGAGGGGAATGAATGTCTCTCGAGCCATCTTTCCACCTCAAGTCCATCAAGCCTCACTCAATCTCGCATCTCAATTCAGTCCAGCTTCATCATCCTTACCTGCAGCATAGTCGAGCCTCCGACGAGGGCGGCGCAAAACGCGGGGAACCGGCGCGGGTCGAAGCCGGTCTGCAGGATGCGAAAGGCCGAGTCCTTGAAGGACCGCTCGTCCTTGTCGGCCGAGAGATACTTCTTCTTGCTCTTGCGCTTCTTGGAGATGAACTGCAGTATGAGCGTCAGGAGGCGCGGCGCAACGGCCGAGGCATAGCCCAGCAGGTAGGCCCGGACCAGAGGCCGAATGGGCGCCGGCAGGAAGTGCAAGCTGAGCGGCCCTTTGCTGTAGGCAGGCTGGAGGGATCGCAGGGCTGCCAGGGGCTTGAACTGCACGGCTGAGGCCATGGCTGAGGAGAACGAGTCGGTGGACTGCCTCAAAAGCGCGTGATGTGATGTAGATGCGAGCTCAGGTGAAGCAAAGACGAGAGAATAGATGACCCTGACTGAGTGGCTGCATGGACCTCAGAAGAACCGAGCCCTTGCGCTGGGGCCACGATCCAGGGCCAGACAAACGGGGTTTCGCAAGATGTAACGCGCCGCTCGCTTTGGATGTCTAGTGGATGCCAGCAATTTGGATCTTGATCTTTCTGATGGGCGGCGCCGCGGCTGTGATGGCTGGGTGAGGGAGTGTGACGCGACTCTTTTGAAGCTGGTCTGGCGCGGTTGGGTTGATGCCAATGGGTGCCGTATCACGGGTCTGACGCAGTGGCGGGAACAGCAAGTAAGAAAAAGCGGTGGTGAAAAAGGGGGGACTTCAAACAGGAGAAGGGCAATCGATAAGGACACTCTTGTGAACGAACAAAAGGAACACACCAAGAACAGAGACAGAAGACGTGAATTGGCGGGCTCGAAGAAGAACAATTGAAGCGTCTGTTTTCGTTTGACTTTTGGCGTTGAAAGCTTTATTAGCAGAGCAGAGCATCTGAGCATGCGCGCTACGAAGATCCCGAGGGTACATGCTTGAGCACCGACAGTCTAGTACGGTCTTGAGTAGCATTTCTTAGCGTCTCTGGTGCGAATCGCGGCGGCTTATTTGAGATCTGGAGCCTCGGCAGAGCAGCAGCAGTAGCTTCCGGATGCGACTCTCTGTAATACTATTTGCTGTGCCATTTCATGACCATGTGCGTGCATGATAAGGTACGCTGCACAAGCATACTCGGGGATTGCATCGGCTCCTTAAACCGAGCAACTCGATGAATTGGCCCAATCGCTTTACTAAATACATTTGCAGCTCAAAGGGTCGCTACAGGTATTACTGCAAGCCCGGTACTATGCCACGAGTCTCAGCTCCAGCTCCGGCTCCACCAAAACGCGGGAACTTCTGTTTCTTGTCTTCTCTTTTTTGCTTCCTTTTCCCTTCTTTTTGAAGGATCGATTTAATAACAGGGGCAGAAGAGGCGAAGCATCTGCGACGACTGGAGCCCCATGGCCAGAGCCATTCCGCGAACCTCGGCCAACTTATTATTAGTCGAAGGAAACACAGGCCGGTTGTTCTGATCTGGCAACCAAGGCCGGTCACAGAAAACCGAGATGGGGGGTTTACGAAGGAATACCAAACAAGGCCCTGCGTCTCGAAAAGGAAACCAATACTACTGCAATTACCATTGAATGGTGTAACCGCTGTTCGGCATAATGATGATCATAGAGCAGGCGTGGCTCGATTGCCGTATCAATGGAACTGATCCTGGGTAGAGTAACATTCAGGGGGGTATCAAAACACAAGCAACAACTTGAACATGAACACAGCTAGTAGTAGCTGAAGAAGAGGGCAGTCTTCCGGAGCATGTCCGAGTTGAGCAGGTTCGCAGGAAAGCAGTGCTACGGAGGGGCGGCGAATATCTCCGTACGGAGTATTTTTTAACGGGATAGCTTGGTCGTTCCTAGATTCGCATCGCTGCGTTCCGTCATCGGTTCGTTGTCTGCTCATCATTGTGTCTCTTGTTGGTTTGGCCGAGAAGGGCGGAAAGGAAGTGTTGAGAATGGCATGTGATGCTCGCTTTGAACGATTTGCCCTCTAAGCGAGGATTTATCGGCCCAGCTGGAGTGGAGGTTGGAGCGACGAGATGGTTTAGAGTACACATCTGGTCCGCGGAAAGACTACTAATCTTGAGTACTAGATACTCATATAGTGAAGCCTCGATAGAACACTACGGCGCATATACGGTCTCCTGCAGCTAGAGGCACGCCCCGAAATCAAGCCCACCAGGTGACTTGAAATAGCGGGCCAGACGGGACAGGGGTTTCTGATCTGCTGCTTGAGTTTTCCTCTTGGTCATCGCCAAAGACGGTGCGGAACGAGTACGAGTTACCTTACGCAACAATAGAAGCAATACAATAATCGTGGCTGCTCTAGACCGTCATTGACACACAACCGCAGCCGGTCGAGCGGCCGAGTCAAGCCCACCGCTGGCGTTGCATTCAATTCACACAACTACCGTACTTTGAGGAGTGAATGAATGCATGTCAAACCACTACTAGTTGTATATCCAACAAATCTATCTTTTTTCATGTTGATGAGAAAGCCTCTAGCTCATTTATGCGCTCGCTCTAGGTACAGATACCGATTTAGTAACAGCCGTCTGCCGCGCCCCGAGGGCTCCGCTACCTTTGCTCTGCACCGGGTTTGCCTGCTTGCGTCAGGTCTCTGGCTGCTTACCGTCGGCGAACGTCCAAGTAGAGGAACCTGAGATTCGGGCCATGTCCTCGTGTCCCTCGTGGGGTCGCCTCAGCTGTCAGGACGGTGGAGTGAGACGCCTCACCCAGTTTGTACGCCGGGACCTTTTGTTGCTCTGGTGGGCATTGGTTTGTGTGGCTTCCATCGGGGATTCCTATCCAGCTGAAAGACGACTGTCTTGTGTTAACAGGTAAAGATCATGTCCTCCTCAGACCAGTGCCTGTAATATCGTACCGTCTCTGTGACAGTACATACAGGTACAGGTACAGACCCCACTCCTCCAGTCCCTCCTCCCACCTCCCGCCCAAGCCCCGATCCGTTTTAGCGATGCACCCGCCTAAACCAGCGCTGCCGCCAGGCCTCAACCCACCTGGACAGCACCTGGACCACCCCCCAAACCAAGCCCCGAAGCCGTGACCCTGCCGCTGAACTGCACCTGTGCAGCACCTCACAGAAAGCTGGAACCTGTGGACGGCCGCCCCACCCGCGCCAACTCTTGGCCTCACCTCATGTTCGTTTCTTCTGCCTCGACGTTTAAACCTCCATCCCCCCCCGTCGTCCTTTTTTCCGCTACCCCGGATTTTCTCCCCCAGCCTCTTTTCCCATGTGCCTCTCAAACTAAGATCGCGTGCGCCTTGCAGACACAGCCGGTCACAGCAGATGTCCATCCGAGCCCAGGCCGTCTGTAGCGCCTCGTTCCGGCCGCTCTTCCTCGCCTGAGTCCTCGCGCAAAAAGCAACTTGATCACGGAACCGGCCTCGAACATTCTTCCAGGCGCATCCATGCTTGCCGTGCGGCAGCCCCTCAGCAGGATGGGATCGTCACAGCCCGATTCCGATCCTTTCCAGATGCCCTTCGGATGTATGCCTCTGCCTCCAGCCGTGCTTGTCCGGCGCGGAAAGCCCCAGCCGAGGGTTCAACTCTAACGTCGCCGCCTTTAGATTCCGTCGATGGCACTCAAGAGCCTCTCTTCGAACCCCCCGAACCCGCGCCCGGCGCTCCCTTGCTGAGCGAAACGGACAACAAGTTTCTCAGCGACTTCTTCGACGACGTGGCCGCAAACCAGTACAACATGCCGTCCTTTGGCGAAGGCCTGAACTTCAATGCCTGGTTCGACCTGCCTCCCCAGTTCATGGGAACGGCGACATCATACGGATCACAGGCATCCGCGCCTGTTGGCCCCGAATCGCATTTGACCTATTCCAACGACTCCCACAACCCTCACGTCGCCATTTCCGGCTCACATCTAATGCCGCCGCCGCCGCCTCCTCCCTCTCAGTCGACTTCTTATCAACAGCACCCGTCCGACGATGTCCTGAACGCCGCCGCCACGCTGATGCAGAACGGTTCCGGGTTGCGCGGATCTCACAAGAACCCTGATCCATCTACTCCACGGCGGCCCCTCGGCCCCCCCGTCGGCCATCTGCGCCACCAGCCCTTGGAAGAGTTCAGGGAGGAGAGCCGCAAAAGCATGGCGCAAACCGAGGTTGACAACACCTTTGCAGAATGGATGTGGGGCTCCAAAGGACGACAGAACTCTACGCCACGGGCCATTCCCGTGGATTACCAATGGGGCTCCGATTCCAACTTTAACCTTCACCAGGGCTACACGCCAGGGGCGAACAAGGAGACTGTCGAACTCCAGCAGCAGGAGCAGCTCAAGTGTCTTGAGTGCTTGGAACCCAACAAGAGCGCTGCGACGACGCGTCCTAGCAGTCCGACGAATAGCCAGTCTACTTTCTCGTTAGGCCTACAGAGAGATGTATCAGAGGCCGTAGAGAGAACAACCGACCACGACGACGACGCACCGCCTCGCAAAAGGAGAAAGAGCAAGATCAAGAAGGATAGCACAGAGGAGGGTGAGGACGATAGCACCAACGGGACAAAACCTGCCGCGGTAAAACGGAGGAAGGCAAAGGGCGATCGAAGCGGCTCCATCTCGTCTCCTCCCACGGATGCTGGTAGTACGGGCAAGCGGCGGAAGTCAGCCTTGGGCGGAGTCAAGACACCGCGAGAAAACCTATCGGAGGAACAAAAACGAGAGAACCACATTCGAAGCGAGCAGAAGCGCCGAACTCTAATCAAGGAAGGATTCGACGACTTGTGCGAAATCGTCCCGGGACTCAGAGGAGGCGGCTTCAGCAAAAGCACCATGCTGACGATGACGGCAGAGTGGCTGGAAGAGCTTTTACTGGGCAACAGGGAATTGACTGCCCAGCTTGCCGCCATTGAAGGACGATGAGTCACGGGACGGCTTCCTTTTCCTTTTTGTTTCATTGATATCCGAGCGTTTGAATACCTGGAGTCTGGGCTTTGAACTTCTACGGGATGGTTGCGAGGCGTTTTGTGCTCTTTACACTTGGGGAGTTGTTTCCCCAGAGAGAGAAAAGGCGGCAGTGGTATAATGTGTGGTTTGATCTAAACGTCTTCTGAGTGGACATGAAAACGAAGGAATGAGGCTTCTGTGTACCTTGGCAATTTATCAGTAGTATACACCCCCTTTATGAATTAGGACGAGATGCTTAGTCGGCGTTTGAAAGGACGTAGTATGAGATAGATGGATATTGAACAGAGAGAAACAGCTCAGATTTGAAGCCACGGTTGAATCCTGTACGAAGTCATGTATTTGATCGTTATTATCTAGGATATTATTAATTCGCGCCGACTCATCTCCTAGCCATTTACTTACCCAACCTGGAAAGTAGCCAATGACATCAAGCCAAGATCCGCAGCCGAGGTTTGTCCATGCCGACGGACATCATTCAGCCAACTCCACCACTTCACATGCATGTAGCTGAGTGGATTGAGCCAAACGAGTGATGAATGAGAGACAAAAGCATCAACACCAGCTATTCTCATCTTCCCGAGCCCCTGAATACCCTCGATAAACCCATCTCTTCCGTCCTCTTTCACCTATCAAGCCCGAACGGGACAGCCTACATCCCCGCATCGGCCATTCCCCAGCTCTCATCGCAAACGAAACCCCTCTCTCAACGCTACCTATACCCGACGAACAACACACCCATCTCGACAAACCCAGAAAAATGGCTGAACCACAAGAGCCCTTCCCCGGCGCAGACGGAATCCGCTCCCTCACCGACAAAGACTCCATCTTTAGAGCCTTTGACTCTTATCCTTGGACCAAGGACGCCGCCTTTCTCGTACGTTTGATCTCCCAACCTCACACACTACTACTCACTCATCCATCCCCTCTCACGCTCATGTCATCCACAAACTCACAAGACCAACTCCTATTCGATATATATACTGACATATATATATAAAACAGTCCGGCCTCCGCGCCATCCTCGGGCCCCCCAACCCCTCCTCCTCCTCCCAAAAGGGCTCCCTCCGCGACATCGCCACCCACGCCCGCATCTTCTACTACGCCCAGCGCATCGGCGTCCAGATCGACTTCGCCGCCTACCAGGCCTGGCTCGCCCAGCACCCGGACCACAGCACGCCTCACATCGTGCCGCCAGAGTACGAGCAGGAGCCGTCTGCTTCTTCTTCTCCTACGCTAGCTTCCCCTTCTTCTTCTTCCCCATCTCATTCTACTACCTCTCCCACTGCTTCGTCAGCGGCAGCGGCAGCAGTAGCAGCAGCAGCAGCAACCCCATGGCAACAAGCCGCCCCAAAAGCAGACCTCTACGTCCCACGCAACAAACTCTCCTCCTCCGCAAACTCCACATCTCCATCGTCTTCGTCAGAGCCCGAGCCGGCATACCCAATCGCCTTTGCGGAAATGATCAAGCTCCTCCAAGAGGGCAAGCCCATTCCCGGCATCAGACAGATCCCCAACACCATTGAACGAGATTCCGTAAGTTTAGGACCCCTATCATCATTTGCTCTTCTTCCTTTGCTTCACCACTTTGCGAGTTTGACCCCATAGTTCAGCTACATTGTGCTCACACGTTCCCCCTCTTGCCCCCCTTATAGACAGTCAAGCCTGTTGGATCACGGCCCGTTCCAAAAAAGCCTTGGGAAAGGGAAGCTTCTGCTGCTACGGAAGCGAGTTCCCCCTTTGTTGAGAACACTCTTGATCTCGAGTTTCCTCCGGTGGAGCAACAGGCGGCTACAGCTGCGACGCAGTCCTGATTGAGTCATGACGTATCAAACAGCTGTGGAAAGGAGCCTGATGTCGGAATGCATGTATGGCGTCCTACTGAAGATTGGCTAGAGTTCAAGCCCTGGTCAAGGATCCCTCTCGACGCCAGGCTAAGCATATACCATCACATTTGTTTACAAGCATACCCCTTTGAGCCTGAAATTCTGCCTTGATTAGACGCTCTAGCATTCATTATCTGAGATCACGACCACTAGTGTGCCAAGCACGCAGCCGCCGTGGTCACGACAAAAAAGAGAAATCCTGTAAAAAAGAGCGTCGAAACTATTAACACAATTAAGCCTTCTTCGTATAACATCCCTCCATCGTCTCCGCTGCGCAAACAAGATGCATTCTCCATCGCAAGTGATACACCATGCCCCTCTTCTCCCCTCTTCGGTCTAATTTTTTGTTTTCTTTTGCTCTTTTCTTACAATGTTCGAGGGGCCCGCGGGCTTTTTCTATCAGGAGGAAAAGTCAGCTTGTCTCGTCTCGAGTTGCAGGGGATACATACCATCCTAGGTGAATGTGCTATTGTCGTTACATGTCGAGATGCAATCTGAGCTCTTGTCAAAGAGAATGCTGTCCTCACGGCTAGCAGATGTGGTCTCCTGCATATTTCAAAATGCATAACCATAATGTGTCCAATGCACCCAGTCAGGCAGTAGCCAGCTGAGCGTAGGATGACGGGTGATCTGTAAATTGATTGCATGGGAAGATGTTCATAAGAGAAGGTCGACAAATCCTTTCGTGTCATCTTGCGATCCGGGCGAGAACAACAAGGGTGGAAGTTTGATATGGAAACGAACCGGCAACATGCTCTAAGAGAAACGAACAATGCTGCGCGGCATCACCTGGCTGAAAACTTGCCAGGTCGTGAAGAAGCGTCCCACACATCAGTCAGTCCACCGTACGCCAATGCCGCATCAACGGTAAGAGGTCCCGAAACGTGCCGGTCCTGGTCCTCCGATGCGGCCGCTGCCCATGCCCGGTCCAACTCCCGGGCCCGGGCGAGTCGTGACCGCGTGATTGGTGCACAGCATCCCGACACGAGATCCAAACTTGGAGCCCCTGAGAGAGACCATGTGCTTTCGAATATGGGCAGCAACCATCTCACGATGTTGAGGAGAAGCGTTGTTAAGAATCCACTGAATAAGGTAATTTCCGTACTGGTCGCTGGCAATGTCAATCAGAGGGATGCGGGTGCGATCGCGGCGTCCCTCGCAAACTCTATCAAGATATCGACCCAGGAACTCGGCACTACCAATCTTGAGACACTTCTCCACAACTTTGGAGGCGAACTGGTCGGTGCTATACTCCGCGGCATACCGGATGACGTGATCAATGGCCCGGCTGCGGTCAGGGGGAGCACCGTGTTCGCAGATGTGCTGGATGCACCAGTTCCCAAACTGACCGTGAGCCACAATGTCGATATTGGCAAGGACCTCTTCAATGCAAGGACGCTAAAAATCACAAGTTAGCAAGCTTTTCACCAAAATCTCAGTAAACTCCCATATACCACCTACCTTGTCTTCTTCGAGGCAGTTCTCAAAGATATTCTGAACAACCAGGCTGCCAGTCTCGCCAAGGGCAACCTCGTGCCACATTCCCCTGAGCGACTCATTGACAAACTTCATGATCTGGGGAGGAGACTCGGTCCATCGAAGTTCGAAAAGCTTCTGCCAGACGTGACAAGCATATCTGTGAATCACAGTCTCGGGGATACGACGGAGGAGCTCGTGGACCATGATTGCCTTGTACTCTTCTGGGACCGAGTCAAAGGCCTTCTGGACGACATGGCATCCAAAAGGATCCATGGACAAATTGAGAGTATTGCCACGAATGGCTTCGGCAATCTTAATGACCTGTTCCGGGGTTCCGTGCTCAAAGCAGCGTTGGACGAGGAAATTGCCAAACCTGTTGACCATCAAGGGGTACGCCTGCGCCACGATTGCTTCGACAATCTCATACTTTTGTTCGGGTGTTCCCACCTTGAGCTTCTGCTGCAGAAAGATTGAAGCTTGCTGATCGTTGTTGCAGACAATCTTGTCAACAATGTACTTCCAGTTGCAGTTCACGTTTCGGTCGAGGAGACGACGGTAGTTGAGAGGCTCTGTTGGTGGGAGATAAGTTGGCCCCTCGGACGCAACGATCTGTTTCTCATCAGCATGTGGGTGATAATGAGTGATCTCCATCGAACTGCTAGCTACTTCGCTCTTCCAGCTGGCCTTTGAAGTGAACTCGGAGGCATGGGGAGAAAGAGGAGTGCCCATTGCTTGTTGATGAAACTGGGGGTACATGTTCATGCCCATAGGAGCCATTGCTGGTCCGACACCAACGTGGGAGCCTGGCACTGGAACGGGCAGTGGGCCACCAACCGAGTCGAACTGATGAGCCGGACCGTTGATATTGACGAAGGACCCTCCAAACTGGTGGTTTGCGTTCACTCGGCTGTCGAAACGAGCACCACGTCGGTTTGACGGGGGACGCATCATGAAATCGTGATCTGGGGTCTGTCGTTCAGGGCGATGATTGCCGACCAAGACGTAAGGCGAGTTTGGCTCCAGACAGTTCTGGTTAAATCCTCGACCGCCGAACCAGTGAGCCGGAGATGGCTCGGGAGCAGGCGGTGGAAGAGAGGCGTTGTTGGCGAAGGACGCCTTGGCAGTTCCCCAGATTCCACGAGCACGGTTGAGTGCGGCGGTGGTAGAATCGCTAGTATCGGACTGAGTATCATCCGGGGTGCCTCTGTTCCAGATACTGTCCCGAGGAGCTGCTTCAGCACGAGACATTGCTTCGGATTCCTTGACAGATCGGGACTGGGCAAGCTCTTGGTCCAGCTTGGAGATGTGGTTCCGAGCCTGTGCAAGCTGCAGTTTCAGGCGGAACACTTCTTCAGCATCTGCACGGGGTTCCTCAAGCGCAACGCTGGCTGGACGCGTATTCGGGGCCGTGGCGGAGAAACCTTCGGTCACTGGGGTGATGGGAAGCGAGGTGCTCGAAGGGGTCTGGTCATGGACTCTTAAGAAGGAACCATCGTCTTCCACTGGTTTGGACGCGATGGAATTTTGCTGCTCTGACAGCCTCGTGAAGGATTTCTCCATGTGATAGGAGTTACTGGTGAGCAGACTGTGAGGCGGCTGCGAGCACAATGTGAGTATAGAGACAACCAGAGAGCCAGTGGTGGTGGCACTCACCTTTGGATAGCCTTGATTCGCCAGCTTCGAGGTGGTCAAGGGAGAGATGCCCTTGTCTTTCATTGCCGTTCCCGATCCGGTCTCCTAGAACAGCAAGGTAAGCAAATATTGACCATCTCATCTACCACGCTATGATTCTGAAGCAAGAAGTGGAATACATGGGACGCCGCGTCGAACATCTTCGAACATCAAATCCAACAAATCGTTAGAAACTTACACCAGCGGCTGCAGTAATCGAGAGCACATCGATCGCCTGCACCAACATGTCTTTGGGGGGCGTGCCGTCAGGTAATAGGACCGAACGCGGAGGAGAAGAACCAGAGGAGCTTGAAGTCGACATTTCATCCGCGAGGAAATGCTCGGAGGGGCCTAACAGATAAAGAACAAAGGGAAAGACACCAGGGAGTGATGCTGGAAGAGACGATCCTCCTCACGAGAGTCAAACAAGGCGCAGCGTGTGTGCCAAAGATGGAAGAGGAAAAGAGGGAGGATCTGGGGCTGTGGTGTAGAGGGAGGAGAAGTCAAACGAAGAGAAATTGCAGAAGCAGATGTTAGTGGTCGGCTGGCGTCGTGGGTGAAAGAGCAGCCTGTCAGGCGGTGCAAGGAAAGAGCTGGCAGCACCCGTCAGTCTTAATCGCCGAAAATGGACACCGCCCTGTCTGCCACTCGCTAAGGCCACGGGACGAGGCACAATCTAGACGTTTGAGCGAGGCCAGGCAGCCGAAGGCGCTATTTGAAGATGCTAGAAATGGCTTTTGAGCGGCTACCCAGTGTTGAAATCGATCTCTAAGGTAAATCAAGGCATCGGATATCGATCAATGACAGAAGAAGGAAAGGCAAGAGACGGGTGGACTCAGGGAGATGTATCAGCTTGTTGTGTGCCGTCAGAGCTTCGAGAACTTGTCGACTGAGCACTGCAAGTTGCGGAACTCCTCAGTGAATCACTGCGAGCTGCCGACAAGCATCCAGACAGCTCAGCACTGTTTCCTCTTTTCTACGTAAGGACAATGAAGAAAGCAATACAACTCATCGTGCCCAGAATAACCATGAGGAATGAAGGTTCTGGGGCCTGGTGCCACCTCAGGAGGCGTCAAGTTACTGCGCAAACAACGTTGAGGTGGAAGGGCTCAACAATCGCTCCGGGGGCTTGCCTCCCAGCACAAGCGTTACTCCATCCCGATAAGCTTGGCAAAACTTTCTGTCAAATCCATCTTATCCAAGAGATTTTACTTTATTTTTGCTCTTTTTGCAAACCGCATCAGGCGTCCTAGCCCGAGCAGAGGGTAATTGTACAGTATCGTCATTTTGACAGTTTCGGGTGGCATCACAAAACCTTTTGAGTCACCGTTTCCTCCAACGCCTTTGTTCTCCATTTTGACAGCCTCCCTCCATACCTCTCGTAAACCTTATTTCATGGTAATCGGACGTGGCGCTGCAGAAAGGGCATCACCAGAGCGGATATTGCGACGATTATCGCTTCTTTCCCGGCGTGGGAGCTGCAAAATTGTCAGCTGATGGCCCATCCAAAATAACCAAGAAATATCATAGGGTTGCCTGTGACGTACCAGGAGGACCCTTCTTCTTTTTCGGTGCACTCTTTCCACGTTGTTTGAGCCTAGAGTTGTAGTGTTAGCCGACTGCTCTCTCAAAGAATCTTCCCAATTGCACCTACTCTTCGATGTACTCGAACCGATCCTCCTCGGCATCGTCCCACGTAGCAAGGACTGGTCCAAACTCCCGCTTCACATCCTTGATCGAGGCCAGCTTTCGAGGGTAGTAGGCGGCGAGGGCTGGGCCTTTGAGTCGCTGTCGCAAAACCTTGTTGCCCATGCGAATCCCCTCAGGGTTGAATGTCGAGGCGAAGACTTGGCATTGCGCCTATGGAAACGTCAGTCGTCGAGCTTAGAAGATTGCGAGGAGATGCATGCGGCGACTTTACCTTCATCAATGCTACTAACCGCTCTCGAGGGACACTCATCTTTACATGCTTGATCTCGAAAGATGGCATCGGCTTCTGGACGTTGAATGAAGTTTGAATGCGCATGTCAGAAGAGACCGGGCTAGTTCATATCGGGACTAGATCCTGCTGCGCGCTGAGACGTGGGTCTTGCTAGCTGCGATTCAACTCGCCCAAGAAATAGATAAGTCCCCGTCAATTCAAGCTTGATCTTCACATCAAACGCGACGAACTTCATCATAAAATTTGGTGTTGGTCTCAGATAAACACTATGACCAAGCGACCAAATTCATCTCCCGGTGGCCACGGGGCAAAGCGGCAGCAGATTGGGGATCCCAGAAGGACCGGCGATTCCGTCAACAGCAGCGAAGCAACAAGCGAGGCGTTCGCAGCACTTGCAGAACAGGCAGACGAGCTGGTTGAATGCCTCCAAATCTTGAAGCAGCAGCTTTCACAGAGCAAGAACCCTGCAGAGCTCCAAGTTGGAAGCGTCAAATCACGGCTGTCCAGATTATCCAAGCAGCTGCTTCCCTCGTTTGAGATTATCGGGTCTCTGAATGAGCCTGACGTTGAGATGGCGCAGCCCACGGTTGCTGATGCGACGCCAACGGTATGCGCTTGACTTTCCCGTGGACTTCCTTTGTCTGAACCCGATGTGATGCTAATTTGAATGCAGCAGGTCCCAGAAGCCACGCAAAACACTTCTAACATACTTTTACTGTCAAATATCAAAGTGACGCCGTGGACGTCTTCGGAAATTCGGCAAGAGTGGCCTCCTCTGCCTCCAATTCTTGACCCCAAACTGGCTGAGGAGGTATTCACACATCCAGGACTTGGACTCAAGTACAACTATGAGCGCTTGGAATGGTTAGGCGACGCATATATCGAGCTAATAGCGAGCTCTCTGATTCACCAAACATTCACGCAGCTGCGGTCTGGAACTTGCGCGCAGCTCCGCGAGAGATGTGTGCGCAATATCACCCTCGCCGAGTTCTTTCGGCACTACGATATGTCTAGGTGGGCAAAGCTTCCGGGCTCTTTTCGCGATCACATGTCACTGGGACGGGGACGCTCCAAGGATAAAGATTTGCTGAAGACGCAAGCCGACATGTTCGAAGCCTATGTCGCAGCCATAATTCTCTCGGATCCCGAACGAGGGCTCATCACCGTGGTAGGATGGCTCAGAGCTCTCTGGGGCAGGACGCTCAGGGAAGACATTTACAAGGCAGAGGCGGCGAAGAGGCAGTCAGAAAGTCAACCAGCACAGTCAGAAACAGTAGACTCAAGCGCCAAACAGCGGCTGAGCGTCAAGATCGTGACCAAGGGCGTTACCATCGAGTACAAAGATCTACCTGGCGAGAAAAGGGACAAGAATCTGGGACTGCCCCTGTTTACCGTTGGAGCATATCTGACCGGCTACGGCGAGGTTGGAAGATTGTTGGCAGTCGGCACGGCTTTGAGCAAGAAGGACGCTGGCAATAAGGCAGCCGAGGCGGCGTTGCAGAACAAGCGGCTGATACAGGCATACGAGGAGAAGAAGAAGCAGTATATGCAAGCCAGAGACAATAATTCCGTTTTGGACAGGCTTTTATAAGAAGACGTCTGAGAGCCCGGACACGGTACAGGCAAATGGGGGAAGGACGATGAGCGGACGTGGGATCTGACTGGAGGTGGGTTAATCCTCCAGAAGATACCACTACTTACTACATGTACAAATGATGTAAAGAATACCACCCAAATACATACCTTACGATGCTAGTATTTCTTGTTGAAACAAACCGCATGGGAAATGGGACGCTATATCGAGCGGCTATTAGCGAAATGTCTTGCCGTGGCTAACGGCTGTAACAAGCTGTTGCATCGTTCTGTCTTGGGGCGCGATCGCCTGATACGACCCGTCCTCTGTGTACGCCTCAATCGTGAGAGGAGAGCCGCGATATTTCACAGGTGCGCATGTTTTCTAGAGCCCCATTGCAATTATATAATCAGATTTCTGATGATTAGAGACAGAACGAGATCAAACGTCTGCTCATGTTTATACATGTACCTCAAAGCTGAATGCCTCCAATCAAGACCATGTCCAGCTGTTGGGCACCCAATCCGGGGTAAACTGGAACAGACGCTAGAACATGAACGGGTGCCTATCTGCAGTTCATGTCCATCGTTCATGTACCCGTGACTAAGCGCCTAGGCGACTTTCACGTGCTGCCGCAGGTAGTCCATACCCGGCTCAATGACGCGAGCCCAGCTCAGGCCGTGCCACAAGCCCTTTTCCAGCAGCCGAGAACCCCCTGGCCGGGTGTACCTAGTTGTACTTTGTAGCGCTGAAGCGTTCTCCGAGCTTAAACTGGAGCGCGCGCGCGCCGAGGTTCAATTGCGACTGGAGCCGGAACGACAGACCGAGAGCCTCGAGTTGTCAACGAACGCCCGCAGAGCATAATCTCGACAAATCCGCTGCCTCGCCTTTTGCCACGGTTGATCAATCGCCTGGATCCCTTTGTCTCTGTCGCCCGAATCTACGCCATTTGTTGGGATCAGGAATTCTTGCTTCTGCGCCGGTGACGACGAGCTGGTCAAGCGACAAACCACCCTCGGCCCTTATCGCCAACCGATCAGCTGTTCCGGGTCAACAAACACTAGAGACGACTTCGACGCCTCTGCCGCTCTGCCCAACAATTGCCATCGGAGACGCACGAAGAACCGTGATTCAAAAGAGGGAGGAGGGCATTACGATTAAATTAGGGTAGAAGAATTTCCTCTCGATTTTTTTGGTCACCTCCAAGAGATCGCATCAGGCTCGTTGGGAGCAGCGCGGCTCCCCGTCATAGCCGCCCCCGATGGCGGACTCCGTGGGTGGGTAACCAACAGATGCATTCAATCCCATGTCCCCACGACGAGCCCGCAATGGCACATGCTGACGGCCCAATGGTACAGATCGAGTCTTTGTTCATGCCTTAAATACCGTCAAGAAGATACCCAAGACCGGAGCCTCGCGGCCGCCCCCTTCCGAGCGGCTACGGCTGTATGGTCTCTACAAACAGGCCATGGAGGGCGATGTTGATGGCGTCATGGAGATGCCCACGGCTGGGTCAGGTCTGCCGCCGGACGAGCTGCAGAAGGAGCGGGATAAATGGGATGCGTGGAATTCTCAAAAGGGCTTGACAAGGACTGAGTCCAAGAGGCGATACATCGAGGCCCTCATCGAGACCATGCACAAATACGCAAATACATCGTGAGAATCCCCGCCTACATGTTGCAAGTCAATATCCGCATAGATGATCCAGGGTACTAACCTCCCGCAAGCAGAGATGGGAGGGAACTCGTTGCCGAGCTCGAGTTTGTCTGGAATCAGATCAAAGACAACGTTCCTAGCTCCGATTCCTCATCCGCCAATCAGAGAGACCTAACGCACAGCTTCCACCAGCCCAGGAGCGGCAGCGAGGGGCCCATGAAGATTCTCAGTCCCATGAGCGAGCAGGACGCGGTCGAGCTGCGATCCCGCATGCTGGTTGACGAGGACGACGAGGACGCGGTGGCAAGGGACGAAGAGGACCGTGCCGTCAGCCTGCAGAACAGCCGGTGGTCCAAGAAGATGGAGCGAGCCATCACCAAGCTCACGGCAGAAGTCGCCGCTCTCCGCGAACAGATCGCCACGGGGCGTGAGTGGAGGTCGAAGAAGGAGAAGAGCTTCCCCTCGTGGATAAAGTGGTTCATATTCGTCGCCATGAAGCACTTGCTGATTGACTGCGTTGTCCTAAGCATAATACTCCTTTGGATGAGGAGGCGAAAGGACCGGCGGCTGGAAGACATTGTGAGGGCGGCATTGCGGCTGGTCAGGGAATACGTCAGAAATGTGCTTCCGTCTAGGTGAGACGATGCCGGCGACTGACCGACCGTAACGTACCTATACTTTTACACCCTCTGGCCTTCTGACAGCATCCTCGCACCGTCTCATTGCTGATCAGGTTCTCAATCTCCATGACCGTCACGAAATACCATGCACATCCTTTACGAATACCAGCCTCTCCGAATGCCACATGCGTCCGCCACATATCAAACATCTGCGCCTTTCTGGTCTTCGATAATGTTTTTTCCACACAACATGATACTATCTAGACTATAGAGGTCGGTATATATCTACATTTTGGATAACAAGTAAACCATATCTACATCATTGTCATTTTCCATCTGCCATGTATAGGTTATAGTAATTCTTGAGTCGTATAATCTATGTGTTCTTAACATTGTATTCTACCGCTTGGAGTGGTTCTTCACGAGTCGCAATTTACCCGATCTGGATCTGCCACACAGAATAGCCCCGTATGGACGCCTGTTATATTGAGCCTGTCACAGCTCAGCAACACACCTCGCACCTGAGTTTACTGCATATATAACTAAAAAGATATTCCAGCGGCGTGATAATTTCTATCGAGTAGTCTTCGTTTCTTGTCTTTTGCTGCAGATGTTGTGCAGGAGTGTCCCCAAGCTCACGATAGTCTGTTGCAGCAGCAACGGCGGCGTCACGTGCAGCGACCAGTCGCCAGCTAGCCGCAGAGCACAGACGCGCATTTTGGGCAGGGAGGAGCTCATGCGAACATCTGGCCTGCAATCTGGCATCATACTAAGCTGGCCCTGGACTCTCGACCAAACCCGCAAAGCCAGTCCGCCTCCCAGCACCGCGATCGTCTCTGCTCAGACAGACTCTGGGAGCTGCGCACCGCTCGACTCATCAATGCTGCATCAGGGCCGCTGACTGGGCATTCACCACTCTCTTTCTTCTTCCAATTCGCCGCTGTTTTAATCGCTCCGTCCTGATCGTATTACATCCGCAACCCCGCCACCATGGTGCGCCTACGAGATATCCCCCGAACGGCCACCTTTGCGTGGTCGCCCGGCGCCGGCAAGCCCATGGTCGCCACCGGGACCAAGGCTGGAGCGGTCGACGCCGACTTCTCTGACGAGAGCAAGCTGGAACTCTGGGATCTCGCGCTGGACAACCAGGAGCAGGGCATCGAACTCCAGCCCGTGGTCAGCATCACCACAGAGTCAAGGTAGGGATTCTGGCTGGTCTTGAATTACGATTGCTTTGACTCAATTGCTGAGGCTATTAGATTCTACGATATCGCTTGGGGGCCTCCCGACGCCAACCACCCCAGGGGTATCATCGCAGGTGCTCTGGAGAACGGCACTCTCGAACTGTGGGATGTCGAGAAGCTCGAGGCTGGAGCTTCTGACGCCTCCATCTCCAAGACGACGAAGCACACCGGTGCTATCAAGGCACTCCAGTTCAACCCTCTGAAGCCGCAGATTCTGGCCACTGCCGGTGCCAAGGGCGAGCTGTTCATCTACGACATCGGCGACATCGAAAACCCATTCCGTCTGGGAAACGCGGCGGCCCGATCCGACGACATCGATTGCTTGGCCTGGAACCGCAAGGTCTCTCACATCCTCGCTACTGGAGGCCCCGGCGGCTTCGTGACCGTCTGGGATCTGAAGACGAAGAAGGCGTCCTTGACCCTGAACAACAACCGCAAGCCAGTCAGCGCCATTGCCTGGGACCCCAACAACTCAACAAAGCTTCTCACGGCAACCCCTGATGACAACACACCCGTCATCTTCTTGTGGGACTTGCGCAACTCCAATGCCCCGGAGAAGACCCTCCAGGGACACGAGCAGGGTGTCTTGTCACTATCGTGGTGCCAGCAGGATCCTGACCTGTTGCTCTCATCCGGCAAGGACAACAAGACGATTGTTTGGAACCCGCATACCGGAGAGCGTTACGGAGAGTTGCCCGAGGTCACCAACTGGACGTTCCAGACACGCTTCCACCCTCACAACCCTAACCTTTCCGCCACCGCAAGCTTCGACGGCAAGATCACGATCCAAACGCTTCAGAACACCAACCCTGATAAGTCGCAAGCTGTCAACGAGAAGCCCCTGGATGACGAAGAATTCTTCAGGGCTGCACAGACCCAGCCTCAGGGAGCTTCATGGTCTTTGACCAAGGCACCCAAGTGGTTTGAGCGACCTATTGGTGCTTCCTTTGGCTTTGGCGGTAAACTTGTCATTTTCAGGGAGGTACCAGCTCAGGCCGGGCAGAAGCGGTCATCTAAGCTATCCATCTCGCAATTTTCCGCCGACTCAGATGTCGCATCCGCCATTGAAAGGTTTCAAGAGGCTCTTAAATCCGAGGATGTGATTACGCTTTGTGAAGAGAGGAAGGCTCAGGCCCAGACGGAGGAAGAGAAGGCAGACTGGACAGTTATCGAGACATTGGCCGGCGAGAACTCTCGTTCAAAGATTGTTGAGCATCTCGGCTTCAAAGAGGAAGATCTCACAAACGGGTCTTCTGCTGATGCGCCCGAAGGAGAGGAAAAGGAGACGCCTAAAAAGGAGGAGGAAGCCACTGACGCAGAGGCCAAGCCCAGACGCCTGTCCAACTTCTTTGGTGGAGACGGCGAGGCTGAGGGAGACGATGACTTCCTCTCTGGCCTGGCTGCCAACAAAGGGGCCAAGACTGAGAAGCCTTTTCATCTTTTCAGTGACGGCGATACATCCGTTGAGAAAGACATTACAAGAGCTCTCATGCTGGGCAACTTTGCCAAGGCTACGGATATCTGCTTGAAGGAGGATCGCATCGCAGATGCCTTCCTCATTGCCAACTGTGGCGGCCAAGAACTTGTCGAAAAGGTACAATCTGCTTATCTCGCGCGCAAGGACGGCGTTCCTAGCTACCTGCGACTCATCAGCTCCGTTGTTGATAAGAACCTGTGGGATATTGTATACAATGCGGACCTTGAGAACTGGAAGGAGACAATGGCCATTATCTGCACCTTCTCAGACCCTACCGAGTTCCCAGACCTCTGCGAGGCACTGGGCGACCGGATCAACGAGCAGGGTCAGCGAAAGGACGCCTCTTTCTGCTACCTCGTGGGCTCGAAGCTCGAAAAGGTTGTCGCCATTTGGGTGGATGAGCTTAAGGAGTCGGAGCAAGCCGGAATGCAGCAGGAGTCTGGTGATTCTACCTTTTCGGTACACACTCGATCGCTCCAGAGCTTCATTGAGAAGGTGACTGTATTCCGCCACGTCGCCAAGTTCCAGGACAAGGAACTGTCAAAGACGGACGACTGGAAGCTGGCAACCCTCTACGACAAGTATACCGAGTATGCCGAGATTCTCGCTGGCCAGGGCAAGCTGGAAGTTGCTCAGAAATATCTCGATCTGCTGCCGGCCAGTTACCCAGCTGCCGAGCTGACAAGGAGTCGGGTGAAGCTCGCAACGCAGAAGAAGCCTGCTGCCGCGCCGGTCACGGCGTCTCGCCGAACGCCATCAACCACTTCAGCCGGAAGGCAGCCCCCTGCGGTGGGCTACCAACCTCCCCAGCCTGCCACCATCCCGGCTCCCACGAACCCATATGTCGGGCTGCAGCAAACTTCACCAGCAGTCTCAACCTCTCAGCAGTACAACCCCCCAGTCAACCCCTACCAGCCCCAAGGCTACCAACCCCAGGGCTATCAACCACAGGGCTACCAGCCTCCTAGCCAGTTTGGATACGCTGGTACGCCCATCGCGCCCCCTCCCATCAGTGGACCCCCGAGGAATACGACACCATCTTCGGGTCCCCCGCCTGCAGCAAAGGCCAAGAATACGGAGAACTGGAATGACGTCCCTATGGTGACGAAGGCCGTGCCACGGAGATCGACGCCCAGCGTACCGCCTATTGCGTCCCCCTTCGGAGCCCAACAGGGCCAAGGCGCTCATCCCCCTCCTCCGTCATCAACGTCTCCTTATGCGCCTGGTGCTAGGGCTAGTCCTCCTCCGCCTCCCAAGGGACCGGCTCCTCCACGAGTCCAGTCCCCATTAGCCGGACCGCCGGTGACCGGGCCACCTCGAACCTCATCTGCGGCCGCTAACCAATATGCTCCCCCGGCTCCCATAACCGGAGCAATTCCGACCCACCCGGCCCCTCCAGCTATGCCTCGCACAGCTTCGCCCTATAACGCTCCTCCTGCCGGGCCTCCTCCTTCGAACCGATATGCTCCGGTGACGGCAACTCAACAGCAGCCCGGACAGTATGCCGGCGCCACGATGCCACCACCTCCGGGCCCGGCCAGCAGACCGCCACCGCCTGCGAACCCATATGCGCCACCAGTTCAGCAGCAACCCGCAGCACCCAGTCCGTATGCCCCATCGCCCTATGCACCAGCTCCCGGACAGGTCCCGGCCTCTCAGCCGCCGCCTACGGGCCCCCCTCCGATGGGTCGGCCCCCTTCGACCACGTCTGCTCCACCGCCCCCTAAGCAGACCGCACCACCCCCAGCAGCAGCCAAGTACCCCCCTGGCGATCGGTCACATATCCCACCTCATGCTCAACAGCTGGTGGATATCCTCAGCGCTGATATGCAGCGAGTAGCCTCCAAGGCGCCTCCCACATTTGCTCCTCAAGTCAAGGACACCCAGAAGCGTCTGAACATTCTGTTCGACCACTTGAACAATGAGGAGCTTGTACAGGCATCGACTATTGAGCAGCTGACACAGCTCGCTGTTGCAATGCAAGCCAAGGACTACGCTACGGCTCAAAGGCTGCAGATGGAAATCAACCGAGACAAGACTGAGGAGTGCGGTAACTGGATGGTAAGTCGAATACTTCCAAGCTTTCACGACCGAGATTCTTCTCTTACTAACGCGCAATGTGTCTAGGTCGGAGTTAAGCGACTCATCAGCATGAGCAAGGCGACGCCTTGATGAGTGGATAATGGTGTCTATACTGGAGACTCGTGGTGTTTATTTGACGAGCTTTATTGGCGGTACGAAATCGATGGATTATGCAAGGCATTGGTTGCAACCGCAGGCGGCTCGATTAGTTAGAATACATATATATACATGATGTTTGGCGATATAGTGGTGCGTTGAGTGCTTATTGGCTTCTGAACCTTTCAAGTATAGCTTCGTCATTTGGCGATTCCCCACACGTTCACTTCACATCGACGTCTCCATTGGGGAATGCCCCCTCCCTCCTTTGATTCGCTTAGGGAATGGAGAAGCTGCGTCATGATACTCACATGAAGTGAGTTTGCATGTGCTATTCAAGAACTCAAGGCTGGTCTGGGGCGCTTCCTGGCTTAGTAACAGAAGAACAGCTGGTCAAATACAGGCTTTCAGAGCTGTGAATAGAATCGTCCTCTCAGAATCGATTGCTTAGATTACCTCAATTCTTGGAGTGAAGTGGTGTTGTGTTTCGCTTAAGCCAGAATTCGGTCGTTCGATTGTAGGGTATCGAGCTTGATAAGGTAACGAGATGAGTCTCTCGAGATCGCACTCTTATTACATGTACCAGGCTACTATATTAGACTGATTCTTCAAGCCGAGTAACTCCATACGTAGTCAAAAACCAATGATGATATTTTTTGGCCCAATTTCGACTATCAGTCACACACAATCTTATGCTGTCTTGCTTTGCGTCTCTCCATTCAGACTGTGACGTTCTCATCGGCGAAACCTCGGCTCTAGGAAGCTGTCTGTTCTTTACTTCACCTCACCAACACACAAGCTTCAAGTTTTGAGACACTGCAAGCTTACATCAAATAAGCATCAAACTCTCACACCGCATCAATTCAGTAGGAGAACCCTCCTCACTTTTCTTCCCCGTCCAAGCTCCCTATAAAGAGATCCGGAACCAAAACCTATCAAAAAATGACAGACTCTGCACGCTGGAAAGCCACCGTCTACGTCGGCGGCCTCTCGCCCCTCGTCACCCAAACCCACGTCCTCGACGCCTTCATCCCCTTTGGCGACATCGTCGAGGTGCAGCTCCCCAGGTCGGACGCCCCCAACAACTCCCAGGACCCCCACAAGGGCTTCGCGTACGTCGAGTACGAGGACAGCGCGGACGCCAAGGAGGCCATTGACAACATGGACCAGTCCGAGTTCTTTGGCAGGGTGATCAAGGTGTCGCAGGCGAGGGCGCCCAAGAGTGCGGATGAGGGGCTGGGAAGCAAAAAGGCGATTTGGGAGCAGGTGAGTTTATTTCTTTTAGGCTTGAGATTCCTGGGGATGGAGTTCACATTCTGACTTGTCTTTTCAGGAGAGCTGGCTTGCTGAGCATGCGGCGGAGGATGACGTCGCGAATCAGGCAAAGCTGGAGGAACCAGCGTCAGATCCTATGCAAGGTCTCGAGGGGCTGGATGTTGCGGGGCCCAAGCCGGAGTAGAGCTCGGGAAAGAGGGAAGCTGTAGATGTGGACAGGATATGGGGGTTACTTGTGCTTTTTCTTTTTCTTTTCTTTCTGCATAGCGACGGTGTTTGGAGGGGGACCATGTCATGGCATACTAGATTCTCTTTTTACACGAATAGTGGTAGAACCGAGGTTTTGGAACAACATGCAAGCTGTGTTTCTCATCGACACTCCGCCCTAATGCTTCTCAACATATACATTACTGAATTTCCCCCATCCGATAGTTCCCAATTAGACGCGTGTCAAACTATTGTCCCACCCAAGACGTTGCTCCTCGTCGCAAAGAGAGAAAAATAAAACTCGGACAGCTTAGTGCTCTCCGTGCTCGGTGTGGCTCTGGGCGGCGCGGGCAGCGGCACCCTGTCGGGACAGTCGCAGGTTCTTGTCGACGAAGAACTTGCGCGAGCATGAGTAGGCAGCGGCGCCCAGAGCGAAGCCGACGACGACGACTATAGCTTCATGTTAGAAGGAAAAGAGATCGCATGTGATGGGACACTTTGTGCTTCGGAAGAGCAAGGGTGAGTCTTTTCGTACAGAGGGGGTACAGCTCGGCGGGCATCTGCTTGAGCTTGCGGAGGCGCTGGGAGACGGTGTGGCCTTTTTGCGTAGAAAGGTTTGTCAATAATCTGTCGCGGGCGGGTTTGCTGCTGGTCGTCAATTGCGTCACATACCGGCCTGGTCCTCCTTCTGTAGCCGCGAGGGTTAGCCGGGGGATCTCGCATCCATCGGATCTCGAAAGTGTGAGGTCAGCAAGCTTGCACTTACGGGAACGGGGCGCATCATGCGGGCCGTAGGGCGGAAGGCCCGAAGAGCAAGAGAAGGGCGCATTGTGGTTGAGCGGAGAGGGGGGTTTTGGCCGAGGAGAGGCGATGAGGGCAGCTGAGTTGCTTTGGCTGGAAGAGGAGGCAAGTTCAGGTTGTTTTGAATTGCTGGAGAGGCAGAGGCACTAAGAGAATCTCCCGGCTCATGGTGCAATTATTCCCACCTCCAGCAAGGAAAAAGGGCCCACCCTGCGCCTGCCGGAGTGGCCCCATTGGCCGCGCTGGGCGCCTGAGGCACACATTTTGCAATCCGGAACATCTGATTCGGAAAGCAAAGCTGCTCCAGCCCATTCGACCGCAGCATCTGAACCTTCGACCTCGTTCGAATCCCGCGACCTCCAATTGCCCGCCCGCAACACGCAACCCGCACCGCCCGCCGAAGCCACCGAATCTCGCTATCCATCATGTCCGACGAGGAAGGCCAGGAGCTTGTCACCAAGCCCTTCAAGTTTGTCACTGGTACGGCGCTGTCGCACCTTGGGAGAACAGAATATCCCCTCTCCTTCTGTTCTCCGGGGAAAAAAGTGGTCTGATCTTGGGAGGTGACCCGAGGCTAACAACGGCGTTTCTTTTGTAGCTGGTGAGAATGCCCGACAACATACCCTTTTCTGCGTCAACCGCGAACGTCGAACGGCTTGAGCAATGCATTGCCCTCCACTGCGAGCGACTTGTTGGCAAGCTCGGGATAGCTTGAACTCAGCTCTGCCCGTCGCCGGAGGGCCCGCTTCCCGATATACCTACCTACCTTCATATACACGCATCCACCTACCGGACATATACATGTGCTCTACCACCGGCATGTTTCGCTAACTCGAATGCTTCTGCGCAGGCACTGATGCCCGCTTCCCCAACGTCAACCAGACCAAGCACTGCTGGCAAAACTACGTCGACTACCACAAGTGCATCATCGCCAAGGGAGAGGACTTTGCGCCTTGCCGTCAGGTACGCCAAAGAAACTGGAAAGGGGGAAAACCCCCTTTTGACTCTTGATGCGCGCATCTGTTTGTACTGAGACCAATTGTGTGTTTAGTTCTGGTTGGCCTACCGATCACTGTGCCCCTCTGGATGGTACCAGCGATGGGACGAGCAGCGCGGTATGTTTTCACTTACATACGTCTCCATTATAGTCTGAAGCTGACTGGTATCCTCTTCTTTTGCCTTACAGAGGCTGGCAACTTCCCTGTGAAGCTTGATGCTTAGATGCTCATATTTGACATGGCGGGGTATATAGCAGGAATGGGTGTTCGTATAGATTAAGCAGCCAGGTGCGCGTGTACTGCAAGGAAAGCTGTAGTAGTCAATCGCAAGCCAATGGGCACAACTTTTGAGTATGAACTCGTGAGAATGCTTTGTTGATGTACATATAGCTCAATCCGATATCCGAGGTGTGTTGAATTATAGGTACATTCTAGTAGCCGAGTATGACGTATTGCATGCGTGACCCCGAAATCACAGGGACGAGAAGAGAATCATGAGAAGAGGTGCCCTGACAGCACCGGTTAAGTCAATTAATTGGTATCGTATCAAGCTCGAATATCGCCCCTTGTCCCAGACACACCCAATGAACAAATGAACCGGAACGCCTGTGACTTTTGAAAGAGAACGCAAAGGAAATTCATGAAAATGAAATCCCACGCCCATAATGATCACTTCTTCTTGCCTTCATCCTCCGAATCGGAACTCATAAACTCGTCGTCTTCATCGAAACCAAAGAATGTCTTCGGCTTGGCCTTTGATGGACCAGCAGCCTCTGAAGCTGGGGGCGGTGACTCCTTTGAGCTCTCTGAATCTTCTCCTTCACTCGCAGATTGACCGTTACTTTGTTCGCTTGACGCCGAGCCCTGCGAAGTGCTGAACAGGTTGTCTTTGTAGTTGCCCGACTTCATGACAGCCAGAACCGCATCGCGGGTCCGCTCGTTGCTCTCCTCCTTGTCTTCAACCCATTTGCCGTCAAGCTTTCCTCTGCCGCCAGACTTGATCTCTGCCTCCCTCCTCTCCGCCATTTCGACAATCTCTTCCCATCGCTGGCGCCGCCTCTCCTTTTCCTTCTTCTCCATCTCCGGCTTGATAGCAAGGTACTCGGCGAGGGCCTTGGCCTCATTGACGGTGCGCAGTCGTCGGCCATCGAGATTTCTGCTTGAGCCGCCATCGTCTTGCTTCTGCTTCTTGCGCGACGACATGCGACCACCGGCCGCTCGGAGCTGGGACCCGAAACCTCCCTTGCCACCGCAGAGGGGGATGGCGAGGCGCAGAGAGAGGAATTCATCTTCGTCTGATGCGAGATAGGTGGAGATGGGTGCCTCTGAGGACTGGGGCAGCTGTCTGTTTGAGGTTGTTGTGATGATGAACTTTGATTCGGTGGCGCCGGGAGGAAGTTTGCCATCGATCTGCTCTCGTAGAGAGGTCACTGTGGTGGATGGAGCCGTGCGCAGGACCAAGGTCGGCGGAAGACCGAGACCGTTGAAGGTCGAAATCAGAACGTTGAGGTGTTCAGCCATTGTGATGGAAGTCGTGTGTGATGAAATCGTTTGTCTGATGGAAGCGTTGTAATGTTGAAGCGTTGCCTGATGGAAGCAGTGCGTGGCGAAGCGGTGATGCGATCGTTGCAGAGATCCGTGAAGAGTGAAAAGCGCGGAGAAACGATAATCGCAGGTCAGCCGGGCGTCGGATTGTTTATATACCACAGCCACTGCAGAAAGCTTAACGATTTCGGCCGCCTAGATCCTGTCGTTGCCGTGGCAAACAAGAAAGCGAGGCTGGCGATAATGCTAAAGGATCTTAGAGTTTGGCAAAATGGCTGCGATGACAAGCGGAAAGTTTGTCATGTGAGGTCGCGGCCTGCGCCACACCAGCTCGAGGCGCTAGAGCAGGCCTTATCAGAAGCATGCCTATCAGCACGTGATCTCAGCCACAACGCACACTTTCGAGCCACCCCACTTCGCTAGGTTGGAATTTCATGTAGGGCTTCCGCCCACAAAAGTTATCCAATTCGAGATCTCTGGTCGTACGCCTGTCCGCAAACACCGTCAACTTTCCAACATCGACCCTCCGAGCAGCAAACCGCCACGATGTTGATTCCCAAGGCCGACCGCAAGAAGATTCACGAGGTATTTTTCACCTACGACAATGAGACGAGCTGAGGGAGCGCGAGCTCGAGGAATTCGCTGCTGCCGTTGAAAGCAGAAAGAAGAAAAACATAGTTCCAGGCGTCACTGACATTTCTCGTCCCGGCAGTACCTCTTCCGCGAGGGCGTCCTCGTCGCGCAGAAGGACTTCAACCTCCCCAAGCACCCCGATATTGACACCAAGAACCTGTTCGTCATCAAGGCTGCCCAGTCCCTCAACTCCCGCGGCTATGTCAAGACTCAGTTCTCTTGGCAATACTACTACTACACCCTGACCCCCGAGGGTCTCGACTACCTCCGGGAATGGCTTCACCTGCCCGCCGAGATCGTTCCTGCTACCCACATCAAGCAGCAGCGATCACACGCTCCTCCCCGTGGCATGCTCGGCGAGGGCGAGCGTGAGCGACGACCCTTTGGCGGCCGTGGCCGTGGCGGCGACCGTGGTGACCGTGAGGGTGGATACCGAAGGAGGGATGCTGGCGAGGGCAAGGAGGGTGGTGCTCCCGGCGAGTTTGCTCCTCAATTGTGAGAATTCCCTCTCTTTTCCCAATGGAACCATTGTCATCTACAGGGTGATGGACATTGGTTTACGGCCTGATGGCTTTCTGGGTCAATGGTGGATATTTGCTAACGTCTCATCTCTTACTAGCCGTGGTGGCTTTGGCCGTGGACGTGGTGCTGCTCCTCCTTCCTAAACGAATCTGTCTCTTTCGGGGTTAACAAATCTTATGATGCATGGCGCAAATTTAAAAACACGGCATGTAGTCTAAAAAACGTGAGGCAATCCTCACCATGGGTCCACTCATGAAGAAATGGGACGTGAGGGGGGATATCGTGGGGAGTTCTTGGAGGTTAGATCCTCGGAAATCATTTGCATCAGGGTCAATGTTTGCCATCAACGAGATAATTTCCTTTTACTCTACATGTGAGACGCTTGTGCCACCTGGTGAAGAAAGAGGGAAAACATCCTTGGAATGACGAGTGAAAGACCTGGAGGGCGGACGCGCTTGGCTGGGACGGTCGGAAGTGCTCTGCCCCCGTTTGCAAGAGGTTGATGGACGAGTTGAAAAAGGGCTCAATTGATATCCTTCCTTGTTCCAGTTACTTTGGCCACGATGCAAGTAATGTGAGGACGTTGAGAGATGGGTTAATGCTAAGCTTGATTATGACAGTTACAGCAATGGTTCTATCTGTAAGTAGCCAACACCTCGGCCGGGCTATCCCGGCCCTACGGTCGAGCTTCACCAGTGCATGGCAACCCTCGTCACCTTGTTCCTCTTTGAGACATGTATCACGCGGTTAGTTGATTGAATGACAATACCATAAAGTAGCTGAAGAAGTCTTACTTGCGTCTCAATTGTGCACTTCCTAATCTTGGGGTGCTGGAAAGCCAAGTTGGGGTGCTGGATAGCCACCCCCTACCGATATGGCAGCCTTCCTATTGCTTCTTGGTCTTCAATAACCACGCAGTTTTGTGCTCAATTATTGGTGTCGCTTTGTGGCAGTCTCCTGTAAAGAAAGCGGTCATGGTCTGATAGCTGTTCGCCAGGCTACAGCTGAGAGAAGCTTTGCTGCCAGCTGTAACAGAATGTTACATAACTTGCGCTCGCAATATATTCACTCTTGCCTTTTCTCTTTCGGTCGCTTCTCTTTCTTTTCCTTCCTTGAACCATCATACACAAAACAAGTAATCGACGAAGAAAGGTGAAATCACGAAGATGGGGGAATTCGAGATTGGCGTGCTCGAATTCACCAGTCCTGCCATGAGGTATATCTGCCTACGGATTCACTCAAACACTGAATCGCCTCCTTTTATTCAGGAATACTGATACTTGTCACAGGACTTTCGACCTTGAAATAAACGCCATCCTTGAGCCAGAGATCGATGTCGGCTGGATCAGTCGTGTGACAGTCTCCCTCTTCCACCGCTGTCGTCTCATTGGCGAGAAGACCCTGAACGACACCTACATCTTTCGTGGCGAAGAAAACGGAGTGAATATCAGGCTCGAGAGCTTCGAAATCCGGAACATGACTGCATTCAAGCGCTTCTTCCAGAAATTGATGCCCGAGAAGAACCACGCCGAGAAGAAAGCGGCCACGAAAGCTGTTATCGCTACGCTCGAAAATGATGAGAACGGCCATGAGCTCTCCATCGGTATAGACTTGAACGACGTGTCGAAGATCTCCATCGAAGGCTTAGCCTTTAACCGAAGTAATGACAAAATTCGTCTCGCCTTCATCGCGTTCCGCTCGGGTACCGTCGACATAGATTTCGGATGCTGTCAGTTCATACTCAAGAAGGATAAGCAGGTCTTGGCCTATCTGGACGGTCGTTTTGCCCTAAAGCCTGACGGATATTCAGTAGTAATGGAGGGGATTGTTGCTTCTGATGTCGATAAGGCGTTGTTTGGCGGAATGGGAACTCTGACGGGGTTCTTGACATATGACCACAACAATACTTTCCTTGCTCATGCTATTCGGTTGTTCGAAATACAAGTCAAATTGAGCTAGACGACTGCTTGCAAGCGTGGCTTGGCTTATAACCTCTATAGCCACCCTTTATGTCTGTTAGAAGAGACTTCGATAGAAATTGATGCTCTTGAACGGGCCGAAGATTTTGTTCTCGTAAATGCAAGCGGATGTTGTCCCGATTAAGTCTTTCGAGCCGGTTGTTTGCACATCTTCATGCCATCCATTGGTTTCCATCAGCCATGCGACTTCCCGCATAATAGTTGATGCCGCTTGACGGTCTAGATGTCGTTCTCATCGTTCCGTGGAGATCAATGTGTGAAGTACTCACAGCTCTTCGGTAACCTGCCAGCGTGAATAACCATTGCTGCCAACTGTGACAGAAGTGCTATATAAACCTCTCCTCACGAGCAGCTGCACGCTCGCTTTCTTTCCCTTCCTTCGCTCAATTTCCAGACTCGAGAAGCTGGAAAACACTCAAGCACCACACCCGCATCGAGCGCATCAGTGATCCTCTGCAACCTGTCGTGGGCATGGCTAAACTCAAGATTGGTGAACTTCGGATCACGAATCCGACCATGAGGTACGCTGTCTTCAGCTATCAATAAACAGTGCACTTCTGTTGGAGGATGCTTATTCTTCTTACAGGACTTTCGACCTCGAGGCCACCGTGATTGTCGACGAGTGGCTGGGAGACCTTGACTGGACCAGCCATCTAACCGTCTCCCTCTCCTATCAACCGCGCCTCATAGGCAAGGCAACTCTCTGCGACACCTATTTTATTCCAGACAATAGAAAAAAAGTCTCAATAAAGTTTGAGGGTTTCGACATTCGCAACATGGTGGGATTTAGGGGGTTTTATACAGCACTTGTTACCAAACCGCATTTTCCATGAAATCAGAAATAAAAAGGGGCTTACCATTGCTGGACGCGGTGTGGATGAAGCCCACGAGCTATCTCTAGACATTGAACTCAGCGGTATATCGAAGACTTCGGTAGAAGACTTCTCTATTCAAGTGGCGGAGAAGACTGTCATCCTAGACTTCAACATATCAAGCTCAAACCCGGTTAAACTCGATTTCGGAGACTGTGTTTTCTCCCTTGAGCAAGGTGGTGAGACTCTGGCTATCCTGGAGGGCTACTTCAGAATTGAGCCCAACGAAGCAGTAATTGCACTGATGGGCGATGCCATGTATGCTGATGCCAGATACTGCGGATTTGCAACTTTGAAGGGAGTCAGAGTGCTTGAGGAAAGTAAGACATGGCTTGCTCACGCTATCCGATCGTTTGAAGTGATAGTGGATTTGAACAAAAAGTACCCATGAGCGATAGCCTAGAAGAGGATTGCAGAGGCACAGGTTCTGGATGATTCTCATTTTGCCGTCCTTTCATGCAGAATCGGCAACTTGGGAGATGGAGACGATTGGGCGACGAGATACGGAGGATGTCATTACTGGGATAAGATAGATAATATCTAGATCTTGAGCAAAACCAGTAGTGGCTCTAATAAGCGGCAGTGAATTGTATCGGGAATGCTTTCTGAAGGCAAGAGGCAGAAATCCGAGCGGTGAAGAAGCACCAGGCAGAAGCGCTCTGCCGGCTGTCAAGTGAATGCCAGATGAACTCTCTGTCTGAATCGACCAGGCTCTTCCTTTCTCTTCCTTTCATTGTCACTCTCCCAATAAACGCGCGACGCTAGAGCAACTGGAAGCCTTAGGACACTCGAAGCTATACCTAACTATCAAAGCTACACGCACACACTCTCGACTTCTCTCTCCGATACGGATTCGAATTCCGTCAGACCATCCAAGCAGCTGTGCCAGGAGCCTGGAAGCCTCCAACAGTATCTACATATCACCAAGTCTGCAACACGTGTTGAGAATCTTTTCGCGAGATGCGTGAAGAAGGAAGCTCAAATAACGCGTGGGACGACGAGGCTGTTTCCGGGTGCGATACAGAAGGAGAAATGGACATCGATATGTTACAGTTCTCAAGTCGCGGCCTCAGGTAAGCTGATCTTTTCTATCATTCCGTGAGTAGAGATATCTAATCTAGTCATAGAAGCTTCATGTGCGAAATTGGAGGCACAGTCTGCCCAGGCTTTCAGATAGGCTGGGTGAGCTCTGTTGTTATACGCCTGTTCTATGGTCATACGCTGTTTGGAGAGACGACAATCCCGGATTTGCCAGTGGTACCTGATAGAGGCATCAATTACCTCTGCTTGACTGGTCACGACAAGGGAGACGACTGTTTTAGGGAAGACGGCACTCATGTGATGGAAATGGAAATTCAGAATATGGTAGCGTTCAAGTCGCTTTTCGACGATATCATGCCGAGGAAGGACGCCGACCAAGCAATGGACTACACAAAGCGGACTACAGCCTCTCTGAGCGTTTCGCCGAATGGCCATCAGCTCACGATGTCCATTGACGTGGCGCGCATGCCGAGAATGAAATGCTCAGTGAAGAGCCTCGAAATCTCTGGCGAGGGGATCAATATTGCCATTATGATAACCAACCCGAGCCCAATCAGGCTGGGTCATTTTGGTCGATGTATCTTTGTTCTCCTGAAAGGCCAAGAGGCCGTTGGACGGTTAGCTGCCCATTACAGCATACGGGGCGGCAAAAGAGTTTGCAGGTTTGTTGGGAAGATCGATGATGGAGTTTCCGGATTGGTAGTTTTGAAGGGAGATGTCCATGACGAAGGTGACGGAACTTGGAAGCGGCATGTTCCTGGGCTTTTCGAAGTCGAGATTGATCTAGATAAAGCGCCATATGGTGATTTCGGAGATATCAGGGAGGATGACGACGAGGACGACGAGGATGGCGGGGAGAGTGAGGGAGAATGAGGTGCAACAGCCCCTTGATATACTATTCTGGCCAGAAGTAGATCAATCAGCGTGTCAGGCTGCTCGATATGTAATGTAGTGTACATGCATCTTCGGAGAACATATACCGAGGTTGCGTCTAGCTTACAACAAGAAGAGGCACCCGGCAGGAGTGCCACGCCGGCTGCCAGGTGAATACAATATAAACTCTCCCCGTGATTAATCCAGGCTCTCTCTCTTCACTTCCTTTCATCCTCCCTCCATCCTTCTTTCACCCCACTCTCCGGTTGACCGCGCCACTCTTCCTCTACTTCTCCTCCCCTCAATATTTCGACCCAACTTTCCTCAGAACTTCCAAGCAGCCTACATCCAGGATATCTCCAGCATTACATATCACCAGGGTTCTACGTCGGCCAAAAAATACTTCAAAGTTCCCAGAGCCTTTCACATCACGCCTGGAAATGGAACATCTAATGGCGTGGCCGATCGGGAGAGCATCGCTATACATCAACTGGAAGGCGAAATGGTTGTTGACTTGATCTTCATTGCCAACCGTGGCCTAACGTGAGCCATGCTACTCGTCGATGACATGGACGTGGAATAGCTGACGGTTGCAGGTCCTTCGTAGTCCAAGTTTGTGGCGAATGCTGCCATGGATTCGAAATCGGTTGGGTCAACTCGGTCAGGGTCGTCCTCTACTATGACCATATTGAGATTGGGAAAATGAGTCTCCGAAACACAACAGTTATACCTGACGGCGATGATCGCGTGTCTATTCCAGAGGATCATGACTATGAGCATCGGGTGAGCATCAAGCATATGGGCGCATTCAGGGCCATGTTCGACGACGTCTTGCCAAAGAAGTCTGTCGCCCACCAGGTTGAAGACACGAAGCCGACTACGGCTGCCCTGTTTGTCTCCCCAGATGGCTTTGGGCTGAAAATGAGGGTTAATGTGGCCCGCATGCCGAGAATGAAATGTGCAGTGAAAATGATAAGATTCTCTGGCAACGAGATCTCGATCGTCATGAATATCACAAATTCCAGCCCTTTGAAGCTCCCCTTTGAGAATGATGAAGTTGGTGACTGTCAATTTGTTCTAAAGAAAGGCAATAGAACCGTTGGGGACTTGCTGGCGGACTTCACTATTGAACCAGGTGAAAGTGAATTTCTGTTCCATGGGAGCATTCATGATGGAGTTTCCGGTGTGGTGACTCTGAAGGGAGTCAAGTACAAGGGCGAGTATGATGAGGAAAGCAACTGGCAACATTACGTTATTCGATCATTCGAGACTGAAATCGATCTGGGTGAGAGACGAGATGAAGCCGTCAAGGACAACGAAGAGGAGATGGAATAGGTGCAACTTTTCAAGACGTTCTTCTCATGAAAAAGGCAGTCAGACGTGTGTGCCAAGTTGCTTCATATGCGAGATCGGGGGTTGAAGCGGCAGCAAAGATCTGGATAGCGTGGCTGGACAGTTTGGAGGAAAAGCAAAGGGAAGCAAACATGCCCCCTGGGAGAATGCTACACTGAGGGTGTGAACGCCATATTTTAGCTTGCATTTACCTCTACTCACTTGAAGAAGGATAGGCAGTATACTGGGAACCAAAAGCTGAAGAGGCCATATCTTGAAATGTTTGCCGTGTCACTTGTTTATTGCAAAAACTAATCAAAGAGGTCTCTCGGCTGGGACCCTCGTGCGCCCGATTATTGCTCATTTATGGTACATTCACTTTCCATTACGTTGCCTCCCCCTTAGTCTTTGTTTTCGCCTCACGATTTTGCCCAAAAAATAACGCCAGCCTTCTGAATATCCCTTTCAGCACCATCCTTCAACACCTTCTAGCTCAAGTCCATGCCCTCCGAGCCGGTGGCGGCAGGAGCAGCGCCAGTGCTGCTGTTCTGGACTGACAGGTCGACGCCACCGTCGTTGCCAATCAACCGCTTCTCCGACTTGTTGACAAACTCGATACTCCTGGCGGGGTCGTAGAAGAGCTGGAAGCACCGCTTGACGTCCTCGATGCCGACTTGCTTAGACTTCCGCTTCGCTGAGACGAGCTGCGATGTGGTGATGAGGTTGCTGGCGTAACGGAGGCCGGCTTCCTGGCCAATCTTGGTCAGCAGGGCCAGGGCGTCTGCTGAGACATCAATCTCCTCCTCCTGCGCCCGAATGGACAGGATCTTCTGGATTTCTTCCGCGTTATAAGGATGCGTGTTGATGATGACGACCCGATCCAGAAAATCCAGGGGCAGGCCGTGCGGGCTCTTGTAGTCGGTGCCTCGAATGCGCGACTGGCCTCGGTTGCTGGCCATGATGACGACTGGCGCCAGGTCGTCTTCCAGGGCTCGGTTGATGTAGGAGAAGCACTCAATGTCGAGCATGTGCACCTCGTCAATGAACAGCACGCCGGGAACAATCTCGGCCTTGCCCTCCTCCTTCCACTCGCCAACCTTGGTGTTGATCTGGTCGCGGATCTCGCTGCGAATTTCGCCAGTGTCGCCGGAGAAGAGAGCCAGGAAGCCCTGTGTTCGCGAGTTGATGACGTCGATTTCGTGCAGCGTCACTGTGTGGATGACCTCCTTGCGCTTTTGCAGCTCTCCATCGGGGCACTGCAGAAACTTGGTGTCGACGCCCATGGCATCGTAATCGCGGGATCGAGCGTATGATCGGCCCAGCTTCGTAATCTTTCCAGAGGACTTGTCGATTGAGATGATGTCGCCCGCCATGACGCGCTCCTTGGTCATTGCGTCAATCATCTTGGCGCCCATGTCGTACACGGCCTCCATATCAGTCGTCTTGATGGTCAGCTTGCCCTGCTTGGCGCTGCCGGTGACGCTTCGGTCGATCTGGATCTCGACAACCTCTCCCTCCATGATCTCGCTCTCCTCTTTTATGCGGACGCCAATTGACTTGCGGAAGGCTTGCGTAAGGGCTTCGGTTTTCGACATTTCGAGGGAGAAAATTTCGGATGACGCGAGGGTCGTGAAGGGAACGTCGGAGCCTAGTGACTGCGCCATTCCGGTCGCAATGGCAGTCTTGCCCGTGCTAATTGAGCGATACATGTAAGCTGGCTGCCAAACTGAAAGAAGAAGATGATATAAATCGACATACCTTGGCGGACCAGCGATCAAGACGGCGCGGCCAGCAATCTTGCCATCCTTGATCATCTGCAGGATCACCGCGGCGGCCTTGCGCGCCTTTTCCTGGCCGACGAGGCCCTGCGACGCGGCTCGAGGCTCGAGGCTCGTTGCATCGACGCCGAGCCCGCGGATGTGCGAATGCGCGGCGATGAGGTTCAGACCGCGAAGGTCCTTGGACTCGGAAACGGTCACTATGGGCTGGTGTTTCAAGGCAATCAATCAGCTTCAGGAATGGAAAAACGCTTGGGGCAGAGGACAGCAAACTTACAGCAGCCATTGCGAGGTCACTGATGGAAGCCGTGCGCGCAGCAAATGTTGTTTCGTGATGCTCAGCTCTGGGTGTGGTCTGTTCCGGTCTGGTCTGCTGTGCTGATGTTCTGGTATCAGGACTCGGTGGATGCGCAGGAACTGGAGGGAACAAACAAATTCACGGCGATTTGGGAATAGCGAGGTTGCTGCCCATGTCCAGCCAGGAAAAATTCCGGCTCCGGCGAAGCGCGCGTCTGGCGCTTAGGACTTGGACATCCACCACTGTGCGTTAATTCCCCCGCTGTTGCTACCCAAGACAGGCCCTGAGAGCCTAAGCCGATTAGGCGGTAGCAGTTGAGATTCAGTGGACGGGCGGTGGGGCGGCAGTGATTGAAATTCGCCGTTCTACTGTAGCAGGTGTTTAAGGCTGATCGGATCGGGGACAAGGGCCGCCTGTCGATAAGAGCTTCCATTAGTTCTGTTGACCTCGAGCTCGTCCTTTGTTTCGATATTGAGGCACGACGAAATGAAGGACAGTTTCGACAAAGGGCAAACAGTTTCAACCTTGGGCCCGATTCTTTGATTGGAGTAAGTCTAATTTCAACTCTTCTACATATCCATCAAATTACTATGGCGGAATCTTGTGCGAACTGGCATTGCCCAAGCTTCGTCTCATGCACGGCTTCTATTCCTCTTCCACTGTTATTGCCTACATGTAGGCAGCCAGCATCTTGCAGCACGCGGGTTGCGACAACTCTTTCACCTGCCTGCCCCTGCATTTGCTCAGGCTTCTTCCTGGCCCCCCCAGTGTCCTGTTAACACACATAGCATTTGCTTTGTTTGCTGAAATTACTTGTTTGCTGGTCACCGTCTGGCCAACCGATACCCTGTTCCCCTGCCATCAGATCCCCGCCCCTCAACGCCAGGTCAAAGCCGCCTCTGCAGCTTCTGGCAATTGTTCTCTCAGTCCATCCTTGCAACAGGGGTGCTGTTCGATGTTTGCCCTCGAGGTCGTTGCTTCTCCTTCGGCCGACGGCGTCCGGGAATGCTTCCCAACCGCAGTCCCTGTGCTCTGTGGTGGAAACGAAAAGAAGTGCCTGGATTCGTCTCCGTTTCCATCATCACCGTTGTCCCCCTCTATATCTCCTACCTTGGGGACCCCATGCACAGGCCGTCCGCTACATGTTGGGCTCTTGAGCCGTCAGTCGACTCCAGCTGCCAAATAGGAGCCCGGCAACGAAACACACACCCCTGGCACCGCAGCTGCTCTATCAAAGTGCCGCGCCTATCTGGCCTGGTCCCTGACGGTGCTTCTCCAGCTCTGGATCGGGCTGTTTATCCCATCTCCTGCAAACAAAGCGTGACCCGACCCGCACGCTTAATCACTTACCGCACCCACCTCTCTCTCTCCCACCGTCTTTCGAGTGCCTACGGATACACCCGTGCAACTACTTATTCTCGGCAGGTTCCTGGTCGTCTATCTGGCCGTGCCTGTTCATCTGAATTCTTATTCTTCGTCTTGTGTTTCGTCCTTCTGCAGCTTTTCTGTGGTGACTCGCTCGTCTCCTTGGCCATCCGCTTTGCCAAAAGCTTGTTGGATGTGCCTCGAGGAAAAGCGAGAGGTGATTCAGCAACACAACTTGAGTTTCCTCACCTCGCCTCGCCTCACCTGGAGTTTCTTTTCAGACAGCTTGTTCATATTGCCAGCCGTGAACTCCATACTGGGTCGCCGCCGCCATCATGAGTTCGGACCCTCTCAAGTCCAGAAACCCACAGCAAGGGTTCAATCGCATGTTTGGGCAGGGCCGCAAGCGGGACTCGAATCACGGCGACAGCAGCCAACGACAAGCAGGCGATGCCCCGTCGAATCCCAAGCGCACTCGCCCTGTCGATCGCTCTGACGAGCGGAGCTCAGCTGCCCAACGCGATCGCGTCGAAGGATCCGTTCCAACACCCCCAGGTACGTGTGCTTACAGAAGCCCTCGTTCGAACAGCCTCTTGACGAGCACGGACTGTGAGATATGAACTAACCAAACTAACAACGCCGGATATAGTACCCCATAAACCACGGCAGCCTGGGAAACCCAATAAGTCGCAATCTTCCGATCGTTTGGCCTCCATCACTGCCAAAAGTCTCATGCCGGTGCTGGACTCTGTCTGTGAACGAATGACATGGTTTCAAGCCAGGCACAAGCACAGCAAGTCTCTCGATCGCTCAAGGGTAATACAAGAGCAAAACCACTACCATCCATCCGACTACCCGGGCTCTGCAGACCTGTTGATTAATCAGGATAAGCAGCTTCGAGAGGAGATTGAATCTGCCAACCAGAGAATTGCATTCACCGACGAGAAGATTGCGGCAGCATTACAACCCCTTTTGCAACACATCTCGGATACCTGGGCCAAGGGGTGCAACCCACCAAGAGTGTCGGAGGATCGAGCGATACTGGAAGACAAATTGGCCGCCATCTCAGTCACTCTGAAAAAGGAGGCACAAGATTCGACCAAGCAATATGTTCAGACAAAGCTTCAAGAGCTTTTTGAGGGGCAAATACCCAGGCTGAAGGATGCATTATTCCAGGAAAACGAACAGAAGCTGGAACAGAAACTTGATAACAAACTGCACTCGCTTCGGGCGACACTAACCCAGGAGGCGGAAGAGAGAGCCACCTGTCTCAGGGAAAAGCTGGCGCATGATTATGACAAGCGCATGGCCAAGATGAAGGAAACCATCACCCAAAGTCACAAAAAGAAAGTCGAAGAGCTCGAAAGGCGTTTGTCTGAAGCGAACCAAAAGAATGCTACGCTGCACGAAAAGGTGACGGGTCTAGAAGCAAGACTTGATCAGTCAGCCTCAGAACAACGACGGTTGTTGAAGTCGTTGGTAGACGAGACGCAACTCTCACAGGAGCTACAGCAGCTCTCCGTATCAAAGGATGAGAAACTCAGCAAGCTCGAAGCTCGTTTGGAATCCTTACCCAACCATGCTCCGAGGCTTGAGCAGCTGGAAGAAGACATGCGTGAACATTCCAAGCTCATTGAAAAGGGGGTGCAGAAACAAGACGCAGCGAGTACACGCCTCAAATCGCTGGAGTCTGCCTCTTTCAAGGCTTTAGCAGAAGTCAAGGAAATCAAAGAGCATGTCCAGGGGTTGGGTTCGAGCGCCACATCAGCAACCCCCTTGACCGACATTCGGATCTTGAAGCTTATTAGGCCTGAGCTGGACAAGAGCGATGAGAAGCTCAAATCCAGAATCAAAGGGATCCAGGATGGGCTCAGGGCTTTTCTCGAAAAGGAGAGGGCCTCGCGAGAGGCTTTGGAGTCGAACTTGGAGGATATCCGTGGCGAGATATCAGAGCTCCAAGGCGACAGCAGCATAACAAAGACGAAACTCTCCGGCTTCGCCAAAGACTGCGATATGCAGCGTCAGCTATTCGTCAATGGGTTAAATTCACTGGAGGATAGACTCAACGGCCGACTCAACTTGGCGATTGGCGAGCTCAAGTCTGATTCTCGGGGCTCCAAATCCGAGTTTGAGCTTTCCAGAGATGCTTATGAAGGAATATGCCTGCAGCTGCAAGCTCTCAACAATTGGCAAACCCACTTCACCACCAAAGGTCTCTACAGAGACATAGTGACTTTTATTCACAACACACTTCCGGAGTCAGAACGCTTAAGAATTGACAGGTTGGAGGCGCGTCTCGCAGCTTTCGAAAACAGCATGAACCACAAGAGGCGAAAGCTTCCGGGCAGCAACGCGGCGATGGTTAACGGCCACCAGCCAGTTTCAGGATGAACCTGCTTGCCGTGTTTACCTTCCATTTCCTTTTCTTGTTCTTCTCGCTTCATTCCAGCACTGTGCTAGGCGAGATTCGACCGGCGCCGGGAGCAGGATGGTTTTTCGGCATGGACTTCTCAAGACGAACAACTGGATTGCTTCGTTGTGACATTTGATTGGGCGCGAGCTTTGACGAGCTTTGACGAGCTTTGATTTCTGAGTCCCAGAGTTTCGAGGGCCAGCCTTTCTTTCGACAGCTTGGCGTACTGGGAAAGGCATGTCATCCAGCGTATTCCGGCAGGGGGGCTTTTCACCACACGGGTGGTGGATTCTGATGGCTCTGGACACTGGACACGAGAACGACTTGGGCCGAGGGGATGATGTATGAGATGTATGTATGAGACTTTATCTCTGAGGACGGTTACGGGGGAGACTTGATGTGTAATTATAGAGGTATAAGAAATGAGCAAACACCTGCCATGGATGTCCCTTTTGACCGATGAATTCTTTGCTTTGATGTTTGGGCCTGTCTATGCTCAACCAAAGCCAGTCGCTTAGTAGAGGACGCATTGACGTTCTGTTTATAGCTTACTTGGTGACTTGCGTAGCGCAAAGCTGTGTGTGACAAAGGAGAGTAACTAGAGAAAGAGTTTGCCCATGAGCTCAGAGCAAGAAGGAGGTTAGAGAATTCGACTTGAGAGAGAGTAATACAAAGGGCTTTCTCTCGTGTGTGCGTCCTTTTTAAAAGGCGGCCATGTGCTCTTTTGCAGTCTTGTCGTGAAAGAGGGGGGAGGAGAAGGAAAGGAACGTGGAAAGGGGAGCGGCCGACGAAGGGCATGACTCTGATGGCACTATTACCACTTTCTTCTGGCACCGCTCTTCTCATGCTCCTTATCAGAAGGACCTCCTCGTATCTGCAAGAACCCAGTCTTACGGATAATTGCTTGCTTGAGGTAATGAGGTAGGGCTTTGTCAACTTGAAATGTTGGATAGCCAAATTGAGATGCCACCCATTACCGATCCCAACAAGAACCGGAAGGAACGGTAATAAAAGGCAAAGCAAAGGAGTCAATGTGCCACTGACAACCCTTTTACAAAGTAAATCCAAAAAGCAATGTCTGGAATGGTCAACGTAGTGAAATTTGATAAGGGCACAGCCTTTGCCCGGCTCCATCACTCTGTCTTGAGGCTTGATATCCAAAGAAGATGGTCCAAGTGAAGGTTCACCAATAAGCATGGAGGGGCGAGAGCAACATCAAAGCCGATACCTCTAGGAATTACAAGCAGCAAAGAATACACCTCAACTGGTAATCAATCACTCTTCAAGTGACATCAAAGTGAAGATGAAGTGATAACCATCCAGACATCTAATTGTGACGCGCATTGTTGACCTGGTTGTGCCAGAGCGCTAGCAGCAGCCACTGCGGATTTACCCCCGTGCTAGCCGCTGAAGGAGCCTCCATGGCGCCGCCCTGACAGCGCCCAAGTACCGCTAAGCTTCGGGGCGTCGAGAGCTTAACAGCGCTGCAGGCGAGCTACAGCCTTGAAGTGTCAAAGTGAGGTGAGCCGGCTTCAATGCTCTCAGCGCTGCGCGGTACGTACCCGCCCATACAAAAGGAACAGGGGACCCCCAGGAGAGCGGTTAACAGGCCAGCTCCAGACCAGCCTTGGGTAGCAGCTCCATTGAGCAGGTACATGCGCCTCCACCCACCGTCTGCCGCCCGTCCTGGTACCGATCGCCAAACACCACCTGCACTGCATCTCGTGGGCATCTGCATCAGCACAGCACAGCACCAAGCACCGGCATCACGTCCGGCCACCACCATCCAATTCCATTGCCGGCCTCGCCTTGCCCTGCTGCGATCCCGCCGCCCGGAGCCGCGCCCTGAGCAACGACAAAGGCGCCGGCGTTTTCAGGCTCGAGCCTCTCCCGAACTGCTGCTGAGCGCCCCGAGCCAGCACCGCCCGCGTCTACCTTACCTACTCGTATCTCTCTGCCTTTGTCCCTGGGCCTCGCCGGTTCTTTGTCTTCGCCCACGGCCTCTTTCTGGCGCTGCAGCCCGCAGCCCGCGCGGCACCGCCGTCAGCATCACCATCGCCGCCGTCGATTAGCCATCTGCCGTGTCGCGCGCTGCCCGCCGCCCGTCGTCTCGTCGCTCGTTGCCGCTCGTCGCTTGGGTCGCGCTCCGCCGCTCACTCGTGCCTGCGGCATGATCACGCCCAAGCACGATGGAAGCGGCGCGGAAGACGATCAAGGAGCTCGGCCAGCGCATCCTGCCAGAACGACCCCATCACCTAGCCTTCCACCCCGAATGGCGCTTTCGCCCCGGCCCCGGTGACGGCAATGCCTTTGAGGAATGGAACCATCCCCGCCTGCAGTACCTGACGCTGCTGTCCGATTCCGATCGCGGCATCCTCTTCACAAAGTCCGAATATGACATGCGGGAGGAGCCCGCCAAGCCGCTGCCACGCGAGGTCAACGCGCTGGCCAAGGGCGGCGAGAAGAAGAAGCTGTCGCTGAGCGACTACAAGAACAAGAAGACGGGCGCCACGTCGTCCACGTCGCCCCCCGAGCCTTCAATCGCCAAGAAGAAGGAAAGCGAACGCGCCGGCGAGCTGGCCGCCGCCGCCGCCACCAGCACACCCGGCACGGGGGCCACGTCGGACCCCAAGCCCGCATCAGAACACAGGCCCGCCTCCGAAGCGAGGAAGGCGGACAGGCCCAGGCCGCGAGAATCGGAGCCGCCCGTCGACGCCAAACAGCGACAGGGTCGCGAACCAGCCGCCGACATGAGGTGGGTACCTTGCTTGCAGCTCCGCCGCCAGCTCGTGGCAACGGTAGCATTGAGACATCATCAGCAGCTGACATTGGCCCAGATTACCTCTTAAACCTCCCACCAAACACCCACTTCCGCCCCGACCCCCCTCTCCCGTGCCCAAGAAACGCGTGGCAGACCTGGATGACGACTCGCGACCACAGAAGCGCTCCAGAGCCGATGACCGTGCACCGCTCGCCCGCGAGGACGCGCAGAGGCGCAAGGATAGACTCCTCGCGACGGCCTCGAGGGATGCGCCGCCTCATCGGGATGACAGGCCATCCGCCCCAGTCGCCAATTCGTCCTCGCTGCCTAACGGCAGATCCCTTCTCAAAAGCGCCGTGGGCTCCAGCCGCAACAATGCCTCGCCCGCGCATCGTCCACGAGGCGACTCCATGAATGGTGTTCGACCCACCGGCTCAGGAAGCAATCGGGCCACGCCCACGAAGACCGAGGCGCAAAAGTCCAGCGTGCCGCCTTTATTATCCCCTCTCCACCTTACCTTTGATGATCGCGATGCCGAAGACAGATCGCTGGCGAAACAAAACAAGAAGAGACCCCAAGAAGAACCACATGCGCAGCCTAAGTCGCCCAGCCGCCAGCACAAAAAATCCGAGTCCGCATCGGAGCTCAAGAAACAGAAGTCGCCCTTGAGACTCCCGCCACTACTCTCCCCCACCTTGCCGCCGGTTGTGGAAGCTGCTCTGCAGCTGAGGAAGAAGACGTCCTTGGAGCCGTTGGAAGGCAAGCCCGCCAAGGGCAAAGGCGACAGAGAGAAAGAGCCACCATTGAAAAAGAAGAAGCCCGTGGCTAACGATTACTCGGACGACGACGACGAGGATGAGCCCCTTCTGCAGCGGCCGCGCAAATCACTCGTCGTCACGCTCAAAGTGCCTAAGAAGCTGCGGCGCGACGTCAAGCGCATCTTGGCCCTTTCCTCTTCCACCGCTGCCCGGAAGGAGCTGCAGGCCCAGAACCAGGAACGTTCCGCCGCTCCCGAGGACTCTTTCCAGCCTCCACCCGCAAGGAAACGGCCTGTTGTTCCCGGTGACCCGGCGGGTACGAGAGAGTCTTCTACCGCGCAGAAGAAACCCAGAGTTCCCGACATCCCCAGCTCGTCCCGCTTGCCCGCCCCGACTACACCATCCAAGAGAGGAGCTACCTCAATGTCCCGCGTCAGCTCGAGCAACTCGTTGGCCCAAACCCCCGGAGACAACACCGTCAACGCTACTCCGTCTGCCCCGGCCTCATCTGACCGCCGGGTCAACGGTCAGGCCATGAGTCACACGGAATCCGTCGAGGCGAGAGCCATGAGGGACAAGGAAGCTCGTCTCTCTACTCTTGGACGCCGCCTTAAGCACGAGGCAGACACGGCGATGAGAGGTGGTGCCAGCGGCAATGAGCCCGACCTTAAGAGGGGCTATGCCATCAGCGTGGAGAGCCTGCTGGCTTTCATGGCCGGCTTCCAGGCACAAAACACGTACCGCGGGTTGTGCAATAAGAGGAGTGATCCGTCGGGATGGTCCAGCCTGTTCCCCCTGCTCGAGTTCATCGAGGGCCAGATGAAGAGACAGGAGGCCCACACTCGCCGATTCCTCCCTCTTTATATGCTGGTCCTCCACATACACCTCCTCGCCATCACAGAGCTGATTCGGTGCCATGTGACGGTCGAGAACGCGGCCATCACAGTGACGGATTTTGCCCGGCTAGAGCGAACGCGATTCAAGCTCTGGTCTCAGCTGTCCGAGACCTTCGTCAACATTGAGAATCCTGCCCTGCGGCTTGAGATACCACAGCACCAGCCGCTCGACGATGGGCTGTCGGCGATTCATCGCATGCTCATTGAGTGGTGTCACCATGAAGACGTCGACTGGACTCCTGACGCTAAGCTCGAAGAGTCTCTTGCTCCTCGAGCCTAGGCACGGAAACATTGATGGCGTTGGAAAGGAAAAGAGAACAGCAAGGAGAGGTACCGAACCGGCACCCCCTGTTCTATACTTGGACATTATTTCGACGACCGGTATAGCTTATGAGCTGGTTGGCGGCTCTCTGGAGCTGGGCGGTCCCCTTTGAAGCTCATTTGCCGATGAGTACCTTGCAGGTTCTGGCATGCTGGCAATGAGCGGGGGAAGATGAACTTATTTTGCTATTGAATATCACCCAAAGAGAAAAAATTATGCATTTCGGCGTTGGAATGACGAACAATGAAATCCCCCCTTTGTGTCCTCTTCTGGTTATAGGCGGCTGGTGGAAGTTGGGTTGAGCCGACTAGGGACTTGGACCTTTTACCTCGTCGAAAGAGACGAAGATCTTTCCCCCCTGTGCAACCACCGCGAGACGGGCGGTTGCGTACTGTTATCGTTTTGGTCTGTTTCTGTCTCTGCTAGGAAAACTACTTGGTCCTTGTTCGATTTCTGCTTTTGCGTTTCTTTTTATGATATCCCATGTGCTCAAACCGCTGTTGTTACTTCTGGTCCCATCCTTGATCTCTCGCCAACGCCTCACTTTGGTTGTGGGCTTCCCTCCGGCTGCTGCCGCCGAAACATATACCGTAAGGAAAGCGGTTGTCTGGAGAAGGGTGTGGGATGGAAAGAGGGACAATGTAATTTTGACGAGACTTCTTATTATTATTATTCTATGTTATTTTACTGGCTTTTACTTTCTCGGTCTGATTGGAACACCCGGGGTGCTCGACACGTCAACCAAGCAGAACCTTGGCATCTATCGAGCAACAATAAAGGGCAAACAGACCACTACGAAAAGGAGTGGGAGAAGCGAATCAGTGGACCGAATAGAAAAACACATACGAACGGAAAGCAAGCCTTGGGGGGCCACAAAACCAACAACACATTTCCGTCCCCCGGACCGTTTTTTTCTTCTTTGGTCTTCCTTCTTCCTTGTTTTTTTTTGTCGGAACATTTTTGGATAAAAAGTTTGGAAAAAAAGGGGGGTGGGATTTTGCGTTTTCTTTTACAAAGTTTCTTATATACTTGTTTTTCCTTCTTTCCCCCCTTCTTCTTGTGCAAAGATTCTATACCACACCCCTGTTTCCTTTACACGTCTTGAGGGACTGTTTAATGTTTCTAACTGCATGATGGGATGGAATATTGTGGTGGCATGACTGCCCGGTTGCTTGCGAGGCCCTTTTTCGAAGGTTTATATGGTTAGATGGAATATAAAGTCCAGATCATGGTTGGATTGAAATACATGTGGTGGCTATACTTCTCCTTCTCATGTGTTGTCTTGAGCGGTGACTGAAGTTGATGGATGTGTGAGTTACTCTGAACACTCTTCCTAATCAATCACAAACATGATTGCAAGTCAACTAATTGTGAGCATCTTTGGCCAAACCTCCCCCCTTCCAGTCTACCTTGATAGATCCGAAACGGGCTGGTACACACTGCAATGACTCAACTTGCTACTCATAGTCTTTTTGCATACTGTTAACTTGGGCAATCCAAAAATTGCATCTTGCACTACATTGGCAGTCACAACAGAGTTTCAGTGGAGCAGGTTGGCTCTATTCGTCATGGCCAGAATTACTATTTATTTACTATTTTTGTTTGCGTTCATAACATGCTTCCCGCCCATCTGGGGCTCAGCCTTAGGAAAAAAGCACTTATTTCTTGGAGGCATCGACCTTGGCGACGTGGGCCAGAAGGTCGAGGACACGGCGGGAGTAGCCCCACTCGTTGTCGTACCAGCTGATGAGCTTGACGAAGTTGGGGTTCAGGGAGATACCAGCCTCAATGTCGAAGATGGAGGAGTTGGTGTTGCCGAGCATGTCGGTGGAGACGACAGCGTCGTTGGTGTAGGCCAAGATTCCTGTTGCAGCCGAGTTAGCTCGTGTTTCTCTCAGATTACTTGATGGCGTTTGTACGTACCCTTGAGGGGACCATCGGCAGCCTTCTTGATGGTCTCGGTGATCTCGGCGTAGGAGGCGCCCTTCTCGAGGCGGACGGTCAAGTCGACAACGGAGACGTTGGCGGTAGGGACACGGATGGACATGCCGGTGAGCTTGCCGTTGAGGGAGGGGATGACCTTGCCGACGGCCTTGGCGGCACCAGTGCTGCTGGGGATGATGTTCTGGGCAGCACCACGGCCACCACGCCAGTCCTTGGCAGAGGGACCGTCGACGGTCTTCTGGGTGGCAGTGTAGGAGTGGACGGTGGTCATGAGACCCTCAACGATGCCGTAGTTGTCGTGGATGACCTTGGCCAGAGGAGCCAGGCAGTTGGTGGTGCAAGAGGCGTTGGAGATGACATCGGCGGAGCCGTCGTAGTCCTTCTCGTTGACGCCCATCACGTACATGGGGGCATCGGCAGAGGGGGCAGAGATGATGACCTTCTTGGCACCGCCAGCCAAGTGAGCCTTGGCCTTCTCGGTGGTGGTGAAGACACCGGTGGACTCGACAATGTACTCGGCACCAGTCTCGCTCCACTTGATGTTGGCAGGGTCACGCTCGGTGTAGAAGCGGACCTTCTTGCCGTTGACGACAAGGTCCTTGCCGTCGACCTCAACCTCGCCCTTGAAAAGGCCGTGGGAGGAGTCGTACTTGAGCATGTAGGCCTAAAAATCGTCGGATTAGCACATGAACGCTGGGCTGCTGGGAAGAATCCCTTGAGTTTCATGGCCCAAGACGGTAAAACGTCTCATATTTCTCAGCCCTCGAGGTGTCCAGAGCGATATCTGAGCGGTTGACTCGTATCGTCTCTTTCCGTTCCTCAATTGAGCTCCATCCAAGAGCGTACTGACGTCGGACTGGAGAGGGGCACATATGTATCTCAAAGGATGGGGGAAGGGCGCGGCTCACAGCATAGCTGGTCTCAATGAAGGGGTCGTTGACGGCAACGATCTCGATCTCGGGGTGCTCAACAGCGTTGCGGAAGACGATACGTCCAATTCGACCGAAGCCGTTGATGCCGACCTTGATGGGAGCCATGATAGCGGATTTGTATCTGCGAATTGAGCTTGTGTAAGTAGGGAGCTTCAAAAAAGAGATTTTGGTGGTGTTGTTTGTTAGGAGAAGACGAGAGGGAGGGAGGAGGGGTAAATATGAAAAAATTGGTGACGCAGGAGATTCTGGCGGGGTAGCTAGTCAAGGGCAAGAGCGAGAGGAGGGGCAGGCGAACAGAAGCCGCATCGTCGGGCGGAGCATCATGATGACTGTAATAGCAGCAGTAGTAGTTGTAGTAATACTAACCTGAAGGTTTTGCGAGGCTGAGGAATCAAAAAGGATGTTGTTGTTAGGAGTGGTTATGGAGAAGAGAGAGAAAGAAAAAAAAAAGAGGAGAGGAGGGAAAAGAAGATTCAGGAGGGAGGTGGAAAGATTAATACTAAAGTAGGTACGGCAGGAACGGTAGCTGGTAGGTTACCTTCGATACGGTACGGCAGGGCAAGGGACGGTACCTCGTGGGTTAGTAGCGGTGCTTTTTCTGACACAACGGTGATGCGGCATCGGATGAGCGACATTTCATGCTCTTCTCGCATCCTGATCCTGGCCAGGCGGTAACTGAGCTACGACAAGGAACGCGTCTACTAAGTCTCCCAGCTCGGCCCCGCTACCCGCCACCCTCTTGAGATGGGACATTCAGACAAGGGCTCATGGTTGGATTCCTAGCAACTGCGTGAATACCTGTATATAGGATCACTACTGTACTACTACTATGTACTTAACAGCTGAGCACGACAGTCCAGCAGCAGGTGTGGTAGGCGTCTACTATAGGTAGTATAGTAGGTAGTACCTAAGCTGGCGAGCACGCAGTACCTATCCTGCTGGTACTATCGTCCGCGGGGTGGCGAGTATCGCCGAAAGGCTGCTGGCCATAGCTCGGGATGGTGAGGCGCTACTCTTGCGAGGCAATGGGGGGAGCAACCGCGAGGTTACTGTATGTACGAGTCCGGGGAGGGCAGCTTTGACGTGACATTGACGTACTGTGCGTGGGAGGTGCAATGCAATAGTGGTTCTATTTTGCCATCGCGGTGCTCTTACTAACACGCATCGTTCGTTGTTTGTGAGCTGAGGATCTGATTGCATGCACCTTGTTGGTTACAGATGATTCCAGGTTATGACATCTGATACCTCAGATAGTCCGACAGCTTAACTGAGGCGAATCAGACTCGACTTATTCATCGGCCGCGCCTGTATATCCGTGCACCTCTCACCGACAGCCTCGAACCAGCATCCTCCGAGTCATATTACTACCATTACCATTATTAACACGCAAAATGAAAAGAGAGCAAAAGAAACCGATTGCATCGAATACTAAGCCACAAGGCTAAGAAACCAAGCTCCTCCCGGCCAAGGCTATGCCTGTCCCTGCGCTCTTTTTTTACGGAACCGGCGGGGCGATGTCCTTCTTCTGCGTCGACGGCAAATCCATCGCCTCCCAACAAATGCCCGGCCGCCTCTGCCGCTCCACCGGCCAACGCCGTAGGCCGAATACGCAAACCAGAGGAGATTACTAAGGATGAATATCGTGGAAATATTCCTAATAAGGCCCAGAAGCATGTCAGAAGCTATCTAGAATCTAGGGTATTGCATCAGCAGGTTGTGTAAAGTCACGGAAGGTCGTTCTTAGTAACCCCGAGCGAGGGCGAAAGGGTTGAAAAAAAAAACCAGACAACCATCTGATCACTCAAAGCCTGCGATCTCGCTCGCTCGTGGCGTGGGAAAACGTGCTGCTTAACCTGAACTCACCCATCCCACGCTTCACCGGTGCTGCCGCGGCCGTATTATCACTTTCGCCTGTTAGACGTCTTCAACAGAATGAGGGTCCAAAAAAATCCATCAAGGTCAAGGGTTCACGGAAACGGAGTCTTAACGGCGGGATGTTTCTATGCATTACAGCTGCGGCCACGGCGGCAAGCGGTAGAATTACCCAATACCTAGTCCATCATGCAAAGTTCACGAAGTCGTCCTTTGACCGGAGGCTGCTGCCCCCCGTGGCCTCGCTGGCCACAGTGATACGCAATCTGCCTGCGTGGGTACGGATATAGGACTTGATAAAGGCACGATAAGGCGGCAGCAAAAGTGGCGTGTCTGCGTTTTGGTGGTGAATAATGGAAATCGCTCATTGAGCCGTTACCTAAAGCAGTAGTTGACCTCTCGTAATTGGCATTTGTCAGTAGCCAACTGTCGTTTGCACTGTCTGCCGTCGGGGGGTGTCGAGGCCTTCGCGGCAGGTTGGCGATGCCTTCATTTTCTTCACCTTTACATCAACCAGCGCTTGACACCTTATTACACCATCAATGGAGCCGTTGGAGGCGACAACGGGTCCCCTGCAGTACTGCTGCATCCAGGCGGCAAAGCTCGGTTGCCATCGCGCTTCCCTAGGGCCGTTGCGGTATGCAAGCGCCGGAGCGTTACGGCTTGTGGGATCTTGGAGAAGCCTGCGACCCCAGATCGCCCCATGGGCTGCCCGTCCGGCCCCGTTGAGATCGGGAGTTCCAGGAACAATCTGCAGCGCAAGCACCCCGATTCCCCTTCTGCCCCAGCGTCGTGCCCTTCTTTAGCCGCGGCAGAGTTGCCGGGACGGATCTGCACAGCTTCAACTGCCCCGGGGGGACCAACGAGATGCTCCTCTGGATACTATGTCCATCGGCCCCAAGGTTTCCACTTTCACAAGTCTTCCCGACACGAGAATGAGCCACGGGAAGGCGAGAGAGCGGCTCTACCCGCTCTGCTTGTCTATTCGCTCGGCTTCCTTCCCTCCTTTTCGTCCAGTCCTCTGATTGTATTGCTCATATGCCTAGGATTCGTCATGAAAAGTCAGCCGAAGTGGCCCACGCGCCCTCCTCTCCATCCCCGGCAACAGCTCGGAACTCGACGCCGTGGCCAAAGTATCCGGCATCCTGCCAAGCTTTCATCGTGGGGCCATCGAAAGGGCCTTGCTTTGCCGCATCGTCTCGCCCGTCCGTCCATCTAAACTCCCACATGGTGCCGTTCGCCGGGGCCGATGCCTCCTCAGTTTCTGCAGGAGGCTCAGCGGCAGGTTGCGGCTCAACCCAGTCTTCTCCCGTCTCCCGACGATACTCACGAACCAGCAGTTCTCGCTCTTGATCGTAGATGTCTTCATGTCCACGGCTTAGTAGCTTATCAGCCGCATCCGTAATGGCGTCGATTGCTTGCTTAACCTCGGCTTGCTTGGCGTCATTGGCCGCCTCCTGATCCGTCTCCATAGCTTCTGCGCCCTTGTTCATCTTCTTGAGCTTCCATTTGGGTATCTTTTTGGTCTTTGGCTTGTCCTTGCCTAGTCGTGCCAGAGCTTCCAGGGGCGTCTCTGTCTTCTCCAAGTTTCGAATCAGCGTTGCCAGCAGGTCCGAGACCAAGACTCCATCTTCCTGAATGCGTCTCTCTCGGGCTTCTGCCTCACGCTTCTCGTGTGCTGCCGCCGCCTTTTTCATGTCCTTTTTGCTGAGGCCTTCGAGCCAGCTGTCGTGCACGGCGTCGGGGTCGTTGGCCTTTCGCACGTAGTTGCCATCCTGGTCGAAGCGACCCTCCTCCATTTCTTCCTTGAGATTGAAGGCCTCAACCTTGGGTGCATTGCGCTTTAGGCCTCCCGCGCCGACCTCTTCATCCACGCCTTCTTCCTGGATCGCAAGCTCCAAGTCTTCCTCATCGTCGCTGCTTTCCTGGTCATCCAGGCGGATGGTGCCGCCACTTTTGCTCTTGTTCTCTTGGCCTTGGATCTGGGCTTCATCCAGAAACTTGACATCCTTCTTCTTCCTGCCAGACTTTTCAAATTCTTCGTCTTCGTCGCCCGCTACTTCGTTTCCTTTTTCATCGTCGTTCTCCGCCGCAAACATGTCGTCGTCGTCATCGTCCTCGTTGATGGGCTTCCTCGACTCTTGCTGGGTGCTGCTGGCTTTTGCGTCGTAGTTGTCCAGCTGCTCCAGGATATTGACGTTGACCTTTTTGCGGCTGCCTGCTCGCGCGTTGAAGTTCTCGTTGTCCGAGTCACTGTCGTAGCCGTCGAGATTCACGGCACCTCGTTTCGTGGCGCCGCTGCCGCCAATCACGTCGGCATCGAGGATCGCATCGTCTTCCCGCGCGTCCGGCGCCAGGATGGACGGATTGCGCACGTCAAACTTGACTCGCTTGGTGTCTTCCTCGTTGTTGTAGTGCGTCCGGGCAAAGTTCTCGCCCGCCCGCTTGGGGCGCGCGGCAGAGTATCGAGAAGCCATTGCGCTGTGGCAGGAGAGGACTGAATTGATGACTGATGTGATGACTGATGTGATTCTGCAGTCGAGGGGCAGAAGCAAGCAGAACGAGAATCAGCTACCAACGAGATGCTTCGCTAATGAATTGCTGGTAGACAGCGATTAGAAGCAGTAAATGTGGTATATATCCAGAGATGACGTGTTGAAGTGGCGCGTTTGGTAGCGCAGAGAAGCTTCTGTGACCGGGGATTAACTTTTTGGCGTTGTCGCAGCTCAGCGATATGATAAGAGGTACCTGCGTCACTCGACAGCTGCCTCCGCTGCTATAGTATTACTGTACCTCAGTTCCAACCCCACGTCTTCCGCCTTTCTAGAACTTGAACCTCTAGTCTACCTACATTCACCAAGACCGCGGAAACAACAGCAGCAGCTCCAGCGACGCCCAAGAATTGCCCTGCTCGTGAGGAGGCTGGAGATACTTTCTACTCATCCCGTTCACCTCGATCTCCACATCATCTCTCGCGGTCATTCGCCTTCTCCTTCGTCAAGATGGTGAGTCTCGCACCTCGCCTCCCAGATAGATCTATTCCCATGCATATTCTAACGTCTATCAAGGCTGGCTACGGTGGCTACGGGGCCGGAAGCGACTTATACGGCATGGCGCGCCATGGCCGGCGACCCATCATCCAGCGTTTCGACGAGTACTACAGATGCTATCCCCTCATCATGGCGCCCGGCAGCGAACGGCCAGAGTTGAATTTCGGGTCCAAGATCATTCTTCCGCCGTCGGCGCTGGACAAGGTGTCCAAGCTCCATGTCCAGTGGCCCTTGCTCATGGAGTTGATCAACGGCGAGAAGGGAAAGCACTCGCATGCCGGTGTCTTGGAGTTTATTGCCGAGGAAGGCCGTGCATACATTCCTCAGTGGGTGAGTTGCCAACTGAGCTAGTCCAGCCCAGTTTGCTGCTGCGTTGGCTAACCGTGGACCAGATGATGGTGACGCTGGGCCTGGACGTGGGCGACATGATCCAGATTCGAACGACCTCTTTGGAACTTGCCAGAATGGTCAAGCTTCAGCCGCAATCAGTCAACTTCCTCGAGATTAGCGATCCAAAGGCAGTCTTGGAAAAGGCATTCAGAAACTTTGCAACCCTCACAAAGGGCGACGTCTTCAACTTTGAGTACAACGACGAGGTCTACGACGTGGCGGTTCTCGACGTCAAGCCGGAGACGGAGAAGATGGGCGTCAGTATGATTGAAACCGATGTGTCGGTCGAGTTTGCGGCGCCCGTTGGCTACGTCGAACCTGAAAAGAAGAGCGGAACCAGCACGCCGCGGAGCACCATGGGCGGCGTGCCTGCTGGCGGCGTTTTGCACAGCCAGGGCACCATGGCTCAGGCCATCAACTATAACGCTATTGCTCCCTCAGTGACGAGCGTGCCAACCAACTTTATTGGAGAAGGCCAGCGGGTGGCCAAGAAGGGGAGCAAGACTGCTACACCAAAGCCCGCGACTCCAGTACCGGTCGACACAACGCCCGTCCTCAAACGACGGGACGGCGCTCCGGCACCTCTTCGCCTTCCTCCCAACAAGCTCTTCTTCGGGTACGAACTGAAGCCTCTGAAGACGGATGCTGACAAGGAGAAGGAGAAGGAGAATTCCTCGAAGCCGCACTTTGCTGGGCAGGGACAGAGTCTGCGTGGAGCGACTAAGAGAAAGGGAGACGCAGACGACAAGTCAAAAGCCCCAGACAAGAAGGCAACAAACGGAAGCCGGCTGGATGGCCGATGATTGGGTTTTCATTCCTGGTTTTATTGTTTTCCTCATGCAGTGCGGCGTTTGGGGCTGGGAAATCCTTATGGATGGTTTGATGAAATTGTCTGTTATATAGAAACACAGCTTTTGCTTTCTCTCTTGACCAACGGTGCCGCATGAGTGACTCTGTTTACTGCATCCGGCAGGGTATTGGAAGCTCTTTGCCTCGGGAGATGCTACGAAGACATGGACAGGGACATGTGTGGACGTCCGCATGCACAGTGGCCACCAGCATACAAAGAGAGACAGATTATTATATTGGTAACACTTACGAGTCTTACTGTTCCGCCAAAAGGGGCTTCATATGATGAAAAGATTTCCATTTCCCGTACTAATTTAGATCTGTCACTGCAGCCTCATCCCAGCAGGCGCATGAGATCTGTGTACATACAACACTTCCTGCTCTGCCAGATATCCCCAAATTAAGTAGTAAAGCATGATAGCCTATATCTTTATCCCCCGGCTAGATTCTGATAGCAAAGACAAGGGAAAGTAACGTTCACTTGGGGAATGGGGGAGTAAGCAAGCTGTGAATACATGCTCAGGCAGAACTCTCGGCATCCGAGGCGCGAGCCTTTTCCTCGCTGTCGGAGGTAGCGCTGGGATAACAAGTGCGAGGAGTTAGCCGACTGTCTCATTCAAAGGAGTCATTCACCAGTATAGAAGGGATGGTGACCGGCGAATGAGTTTTCACATACCTCTGGTCAGCAGCGGCGGCGGGAGTAGCGGGCGCCTCCTCCTCGTTCTTCAGCTTTTCCTCCTTCTTGACCTTGTCTTCCTTCTTTTGCTTCTTGGTAGGAGTCGCGTCAGGAGCCATCTCGTCATCGACCTCGTCGTCATTGTTGTTGCTGTTGTCTTCAGCGGCCTTCTTGGTGCGCTTCCGGGGGGTGGAAGCGGTCTTGCGGGGGGTGGCCTTGGGCTTGGTCGCGCTGGCGGGGGGAGTCGCGTCGATGTCGGCGGTGACGGACTCGGGGCAGAGGGCTTTGAATTTCTTGAGGATTGTTTTGGTGAAGTGTTGGCTGCGCTATGATTAGTTTCTCTTTTGCTTCTTGTTCAAAGGGTGGAAGGGGGAGGAGATGGGGGAGTAGTTTGAGAGAGAAGAGAGGCGAGCCTCGGCTGATTTAGGGGGAGGAAGAGGAGGAGAAAGGGGGTGCTTCGGAACGTACGACATTGCGTCTTTAGTAAAGTCGTAGCCGAGGCCGTCCATGATCTTGGTGACGCGGGCCCAGTCGTAGCGGCTTTGGTTGCCGTAGAGGATGGCCATGCAGAGGTCGCGCTCGGCGGCGTCGGTCCACTTCTTTTCTTGGGGAGCCATGATGCAAGTTTGAGGGGTTTGCTTCGTCGAGGATGTTTTCCTTGAAAGGTATATATGAAGATGATAAGGGGGCAAAGATGATTTGCTGCTTCTGGTTATGTGATGGGAGGATGTGGTCCGAGTTGTGGGTGGAAGAAGAGAAGAGATGAGAGTGAGAAGTGAGGTGGGTAGTGGAAGAGTGTTTGTATGTAGAAGAGCGTGCGAGGAGAGAGACGGGGTTAAAGTAGAGGCTCAGGCTCGGGGTAGTGGAAAATAACAGGGCAGTGTGGTTGGATTGTCTACGGCTTGACCGTGAGATTCTCTCCAACGCAGAGACCTAGTTTCTCCCTTCTCTTCTGCCAAGGTATGAAGGGGGCAATACTTGGTGGCTGGCTGCTGCTTCACTTAGTTCGAAGTTGAGCTCTTCGTATTGTGAATACGACTACTGCATGTATAAGGCATTTGCCAGTTGTGAATGGCTTCTGAGGTCCATGTGAACTGAATCTGAGTCCTACATGGTGATGTCTCCGCCTCGAGGAGGAGTTGCGTGCCGATGTGACTGGACACTACAGCACATGGATTCATCACTGAGGGCGCGGAGGCTGTACTGCTTTTGCCTATCCCCAAGGCTGCTCTCTGGAATACTGAATTAACGTCAACTCCATAGCCTCTCCTCGTAAATGCTCACTGTCTAGAAACTGAGATGAATTGAACTGGGAGCAGTAACTCATACGAGCCACTCTATGTCCTGGATATGGAACAATACAACTTCACTGGAGTAGTCGAGACCTGTGGCCTCAACAACAAATGCACATCTCGAGAAAGTCAGTCCTATTATCACGAGTAAAACATCATCAGTGAGGACTGCCGAGGTGAGTCTCTAGTCAAGCCAAGGTCAGGATGTTCCACTCCCCATACGAGATGCAGTCCAGTTGTCACCATGGACAGGAAATGTTCATAAAAGATCGAACCCCTGCATTGCGATTATTCCTGTCTAGATTAGACGGTATATGCCTGCAAATATGCGAATATCTCGTTCCCCAATACGGATGCCACTTGACCAGCTAGCCTATTATTCAACCCACGTCCCATATCTCGAATAGCATTCACTGGTCTCAAATCCTTCTGTCCATCCTCCATGACCGTGGCATCCATCCACATGGCTTCTCAGTAGCCGTCCTCGTCCTCGAGCTTGGTCTCGTCGTCCATGACGTTGAGTTGAGCCCTGTAAGCAAACCACAGACGTTAGTCACAAACCACATAGTGAGTCAAAAGGAGAAAGGGCCTTGTAAAGTACTCACGCGAGGAGGGATTTGCCGCGCTTACGCGGGCGCTCACAAGGACTGCCCATCTCCTCATCTTCGTTCTGCTCCATCTTGAGGTTCAAGGCGTCGTCCATATCATCAATGTTGTTCTTGGCAGAGCGACGCTTGCGGGGAGTGGGAGTGGCACTCTTGCGCGGAGTAGTCGCGGCGCCAGGCTCGGAGGCGGCGACGATGCCTGCAGTATCACGGTTCTTGCGTAATTTCTGGACATGTTGACTAGAACAGAGACACGATGCGTTAGCAATATGAAGAGTCGGAAATGGTGAGACGATATGAGCTGCGTGAGAGAGAGAGAGAGAGTGTGTGTGTGTGAGTGAGAGAGAAAGAGATGTGGGAATGTACTTGATAGCATCGTAGCTGTAGGTGTAGCCGCGGGCCTGCATCTTCTTTGTGACCTCGGTCATCAAGGGCCTTGCCGCCCTTGACTTCATCGATGATGCACAAGAGGAGGGCTTCATGCGCGGTAGCGTCCCAGCCACGAGCGGGCTTCTTGGGGGGTGAAGGATCAACAGCTTTCGAAGCGCCCATGATGACTTAAAGATATAATAACAGATGGAGAGGGAAGTAGGAGAGATATAGAGAATGTTGTGAAATTTGTGATCTGGAATGAACAAAGTGTGGTGGTGGGATGAAGTGAAGAGTTGAAAAGGTCAGGACAGAAACGTGAGGAGGAATATATAGGTGCTACTGGGGAGGGGAGCAGGGCTGCCGGTTCTCGCTCTCCGCCAGCTGGCAGGCCGAGTGAAGGCCAAGTGCGAGGGCGAGTCAATGCAGACAAGACTAAGGCCAAAACGTACCGAAGGGCACTCTCGGAAAACGAGTAGCCCATGTCCTTGAGGTCGGCCATGACTTTGGCCCAGTCCTCGGGGCAGAGAGACAAGTTGTGGAAGACGGCGATGAGGATGTCCTGGTGCACCTCGGGGGTCCATCTCATCAACTGGCGGGGAGCAGCCATTGTCCTCTTTTTTTTTTTTTTTTTTTTTTTACTTGGTGTTGCTGAGGGTTGAGTGATGTGGATGGAAGAAGAAGGCAGTGCTTGGTTGAAGAAGAGTTGAGGTTGAGGGATTGAGGTTCTGAAGTGTAGACTGAAAGAGAGAGTGAAGTAGGAAAGACTTGGATAGGAGGCAAGAGAGCATGAAATATGATCAATCAAGGAGAAAGATGTCTCATATATCGGGCATAAACATGCGCAAGAAAACAGAGTGAATCAACAGAAAGCCAAAAGAAACAAGGGAAACCATGCCAAAACTCCTCTCAAGGCAGAACACACAGAGAAAAGAAAGACACAATTCCTACCGGATAGCACTCCACGAAGTTTCGTAGCCTTGAGCAGCCAAATACTCCACAATCGCATTGTTGATTTGCGGGTTGAAGTTGTTGTTTCCCACCTGGTAAAAGGCCACGAGGAGCTCCCTGAGGAAGTCGACGTTGTCCCACGTTCCGGTCGGTTTGCCGGCGTCAGACGCAGATGCAGCTTTCGGAGGCATTCTTTTTCTCGTTGTTTCGTCTCTTTTGCCTTTTCGTTGATGATCAAATGATGTCTGTTTCGAGGGTTGGAGGGTGGAGAGTTTTGCTGGGGGATGGGGGATATCTGCCGGCTGCTTTTATGTGTTGAGCGGTCGGGCGCAGGGCTGGCAACTGGAGGCGGAGGCAGTTAACTGGTCTCCATTGACGCTCACATTGCGCTCGCGTTACTACGTGCAGCGTGTAATAGGGTGTAGTTAGCTGGGACTCCGAGTCTACACATGTACTCAGTAGGTAGTTACTCCTGTGTATAGTCATGTTTACCTATCCCAACTTGACTACAGTGTCCCCAGACACTCGTTGACGACGCCGACAGACACATTATTCATCCAAAGCCTCCCATTACTTGCTGTATCGTTCGCCAAACCACCTCCTTTGCCCGTCTAAGTGAATAAGGCTATATGATGCCGTTGTGAATCAACTCCAGGAAAAGCACATGTTGAAACACCCAAGAGCAAAGGGAAAGAGCGAGAAGAAAAGGAAATAAAACGCCCAGCTTCCTTGTATGCCTTGGCAAAACAGCAGACGAGTGCCGACCAAGCCTCCAAGATATGAGATATGATTCGAATGCTTAAGAAAGAGACATTGTTATAAGCCAACCCGCTAAACACGTATAATGAGAAGCCCCGAGGAAGAGATTTTCGCCCGAGCTTGGTCCTAGAACTAAGCTTCTCTATAGAAGCTGGAAGGAGGGTGTTAGCATTGCACCAGAATACTGCAGGATAGAACTTACTCTGCAGGATATGGATCTCCGCCATCCGCGCCGTTGTGTGCCGCCAACGCCAACACGGCTTCATCATCAAGCGTTGAGTCTTGACCGAGATCGTGAGGATCGAGCCTTTGGCGTTTCGCCGGGTGGTCGTCTGCTTCGGCATCTTCGTCACCACTCTGCACAGCATCTAGCTGGAGCTGGTCTTGAGACGTTGCCGATCCAGGTTCTGACCCGATGAGGTGATTTGAGGTGAGATCATTTGGTGTTTGAGCAGAGACGGAGATGCCGTCGGCATCGGGCATCTCGGTTTTGAGCTGGGGCTGGAGTTGCGGTTGCAGCTGGGCCTGATGCTGTTGTAAGTGTTGCTGAAACTGGTGCTGCTGCTGCTGCTGTTGGAACTGGTGTTGCTGCTGATGTTGGAGCTGCTGAGATTGAAGCTGTTGTAACTGATGTTGTTGCTGTTGCTGCTCTTGAAGCTGCTGCTGCTGCTGCTGCTGCTGCTGCTGCTGCTGCTGGAGAGATATACCAGGAGAGGCCATGCCTGGGCTGTGGCCAGCCATAGGACTGGACACCATACCACCAGGAAGAACCGCCGGCACAGAAGCAGGGCCAGTGGTAGGGACGCCAGCGGGAGAAGCAGAGTGAGAACCATCAGTGGCATCTGCACCGGACTGGTTTGCGTTTTGAGCTTGAGACTTGCGAGGACGGCCCCGACCAGGCCCCGGCCTCCTGGTGATGGGATTCAGCGTCGGGTCGGCGCGTCTGGCGCTCTCGGAGTGAGTACCGTCTACGTCGGCCTTGTTCTGCGCCCTCCTCAGGCCTTGAAAATGCTGCCTGTGGTCTCGTCAGCCAAGAGTAGATCACATGGGATGAAGAGCGACAGAGCGCCTGGTGGATCCGAGCACAAGTGAAGGAAGAATATGAGTTCTGTATAAACATCACATGAGTATATACATGAGACAGATATATCTCGAAGTACACAATAGGGCATTGAGCGTAAATGGCAGATCCGGGTGTAAGTGGGCGAGATCAGATGGGGGTATGTGGAAGCATGGTCGATGTATAAGTCGCAGCATGTGAGGAAAGCAGGGCAAAGTACATATAGAACGGTGAACTCGGAAGAGGTATCGGCTGATGATTGCACATCATGTGTACATGCCCATCCAGTCAATGGACACATTGAGCCAAATCATTGGAGTGATTCAATCGGGCAATGTCGACGACATGTGGGCTCAATTGTAAGAAGCACCTACCGGCATCCCTCGTTTGTGAAGCCGTAGCCAAGGCCGCGCATGTGATTACCGATTGTCGTCCATTCGGCGCCGCTGATGACTCCAATGTTCTTGACGGACAGGATGGTGAAGAACAGATCTTTGTCGGCCCTGTCGTTCCAGTTCTTGTTCATCTTGGTATACAAGGTAAGGTAGTAATATTAAAGAAATCACGGAATAAAAGGCCCCGGGAATCAACAAACAATGGAGGCTTGCGCTGGCAGGGCAGTGGGTCGATGAGCGTCTAGGCCGGCTTGTCCTGGTGACCTGCGGTGAGATGGAAGCTGTTAAGAGCAGAGGGCAATCAATGGGGGAAATTGGTAGTGGGAGAATGGGGAGCGGAGGTAGCAGGAAAGGTTTGGGTCCGTGCTGAGAGGCGGCGAAGAGGGCCGAGCTGGGCGCCGGAGGGCGGGTTAGCTGTTAGTCCGGGCCGGCTGCGGCTTGCTGGGCACGTCCCACGAAGTACCGTGGCGCTGAAACACGAGGCAATGCGGCCGGAGACGCGGCTGCAAGTGCTTGTCAGTGAGCGCGAGATGGACGCTGCATGATTTTTCGAGGTCAAGCGATATACTGATGGTCTTTGATGGACGTGGTGTGCAATGAGAGGGACTCGCGGTATTGCTGCTGGAGGGAGGATGGCAGGATACTGAGGCTTAGCCGACGTTGACGCACGGTTTACCCGTCAAAGTTTCTTTCTTAGCGGGAAATCGACTACGGCGGGAGCGATGACGACAAGGACGGTCGGGGGAAGGTGATGCCTCGTCTGTGCTGCCATTGGCCATTGACGGGCTGGAAAGCTTGGTAATAAGGAACAGACGGGCGAATGAGTCAAGAGAGGCAGAGACAGCATTACTAATTGGACTCGAGGAGATCTGCGCTCGATTGGGGAACTGCTGCAGCAGGCTTGTTTGCCTTGAGAAGTGCGAGTTGGCTACTTTGTACTGCTTCTTTCAATTTACTCGATGGGCCAGACGGGGTACAGCATGCAGCCGCAATGTCCTCCTGCATAGTAGGCACAGAGTGCTTAGTATAGGTAGGTATTACAGACTAAGTAATGTGTAGACAAGTTTGAGGGATGGAGTTGAATCAAAGGGAACTGGCAACTGTGTGTATAGAAGCAGGTACTTAGCATTGCCCATTAACGAGGGCAGATTGCCTCCGACTCCAACGAAAGCACACGGAACGCTCTGCCTTTCTGGATCCAACCAAACCTGAACAAGCCAAAAGGCTAATAGATGATGAGCCAACATACCTCGCCAACTTGCCTTGCATCTCAAGGCAAATCAGAGCAATCCATCCATCCACTGCCCTGTTGCTCGCATGCCAGTGCCTACAGTAGTAGTAGTACTTGGTCCCTCGTACCTCCAGGCCCAATAAACCGAGTGCGTCATCCCTGGCCGGATCCCCCGCGCCCTGATTGGCCACCCTCCCGCCAAACGGGCCCCCGAGGGTCTCACGTGCTTTCGCGGAAACCTGGCGATTTCTGCGGGTGGCTCAACCATCGTCGCATCCCCAAAATTCGCGCCCCATCGCGTCTCCCCGACGCACCTCATCCGAATCCCCTCCACGACGCCCGCCGCCGCCGCGAGGCCACGATGCGACCATGGACGCTCCCGGAACCGTTCCCAATGCGCCTCGCCTCCCTGGATCTGTAGGGAAGCAAATTTTCTGCGTTGCTCTCCGATTTCTGGCTGTGAAATGAGATGCGGTTGGGAATTGGCACCAAAACAACTGAACTTGCGAACAACTTGTCCAGAGCCCAAAAGTCCGCCCCTCCCCTCTCTCTCTCTCTCCAAAAGCATGACACCCGCTAGCCCCGAGCAAGCAACAAGGGCGGCCAAGTACGAAACGGCAAAGTTCGGTGAGAGGATGGCAATGGATGCTGGCTCGTAATCCTTTTTTTCACTACGCTCACGGCTGCAGGATGGGCTATCGCATGGTGATCTAGATTGGGGCAAAGGGAGCGAGCGTTGGATGCAACTGTAGAGCATACGCGGTGCATTTGCACTTTGCTGCAGATATCCTACAATGACATTGATTGATAGCATGCGTTGCTCTATCTTTCACTTAGAGTATTTATAGGTTCTAGTCTAGGTATTCTTGCCAGGTGCGTTAGCGATTACGTCGTAACGCATGGGTTGGTCCGCGAAAGAGCTGCTTCGTCTCTGGTTCTATCGCAACGCCCCTCCTGGGCAATTTTGCCGGTTTCGCATTAGTGTTTGCCTTTTTTTTTTTCCTGTGATAACTGCTAGATGAGTCACACGGGTTTCAGTCTCATGCCGGAAGAGGGATCCCTGCTTGCCATTTTGACTTTTATTCTCTCCTTGTTGTCTTGTGAATTCACGTTGCTTCCATGGTCGCTTTGCTTTTTCCTGGTGTTTCTTGAAGCGATTGGAATTCGCCGGATAGAGCACCCAAGGCGGGACAGCCATGGAGCCGCTTGACCGACTTATGCAACAGCGATAATCAAGGTAGACATTCAATGAAATGAATTACAGATTTTCGGTATGCTTTTACATCATCAAACCGCATCTCCTTGGCCTGCCAACTCGAATCGTCTTAATCGAATCAATCAAAGGCCCTGGAGATGCAAGTCAACGAGCCGGTGGCTTACACGCACAGGGCACCACACCCACTGACAGCAGCCCTCCAGCGCACCCCCTCACTCCCCTGTTTTAGCGGGCGGCCGTCCCATTTTCCGCGCTGAACCCACTGCTGCCCCATCGCTATCCCTCGAGCCGGAGCAGCAACCAGCGCCAGATCCAGGCAACAACCAGGGCCTAAGCCAGATGATGCCTGGCCTGGTCTTAGACAACATCCATACATGGAGCGTTCGGGGGGGCGACTGGCTCGGCATGCGGACTGGTCAGCCCGGTTGCATCAGGCAAATAGAGGAAAAAGAAAGGAAAAGAAAACGGCAAACGAGAGGTGGCACAGACAGGATGGGGCCATCTGATGGTTCCTGGATCCTTGCAGGCCTGGAGTGAGTTTATCGTGCTCGGTGCCACTAGCAATCCATACCTACAGTACGAGTACATACCACATCAGGCCGAGGCCGTTCATATTAAGAGCGAGCCTTCGCCGCTTCCTTGTCCCGGGCCTCTTCCTCTTCTCCTTTCTCTCTTTTCAGGATTTCCTCATGTGTTAGGCCCTTGTCGCTATTCTTCTGTTCAGATCTCCTTGTTACCCGATCAAGGAACAATAGGAAGGCAGGGCTGATCGCAGGCCTCACCTTTCCCTCACTTAGACCTCAGTTCACATCCTTCACGGAGCGTCTCACTCCCACTGGCTGCCACTGGGCTCAACCACTGGCAGCGCCCAGCGTGTGCCCCCAGGCCGCCAGGGGACCCCCCCCCCCCCCCCCCCCCCCCCCCCCCCCCCCCCCCTTCCTCCATGACCTCGACCTCTCTCTACCGGTCAGCAATCTGATAAATTGCCCGTCCGACATTCTCGACCTGTCGACAACCTTGTTCCATCCTTCGAATTCTCGTTCCTTTGTGATTCACGCAATCTGTTCCTGCATCTACCGATCCGATAGCCCTATAGTCGTTAATCACATATTTATCTACCATCCCACCTCCTCCGTCTCTATATCTCGCACCGCAACAGCATCTCTCGACGACATCACTTTCACATCTCAGACTCCATTCCGAGATTTCCGATCGATACCCATCAGATCCGACACGAATCCGCCATCATGTCTCCTAACAGCGACAATGCCATGGCCCGCTTCCTGTTCGCCATCTTGAAGCAGAAGAACCTCAAAGACGTAGGGTTTTCTCTCCTCGGCCTACGTCTGACCAAGTTCTCTAACCCGCTCTTCTCCTCCCCTAGATTGACTGGAATCAAGTGGCTGCCGACCCCGTCCTCATAGAGCCCATCACCAACGGCCATGCCGCCAGAATGCGTTACTCGCGCTTCCGAGCCACAGTCACCGGTCACACACCGTCCAAGAGAGGTCGACCGTCCGACAAGTCAAAAGTGTCCAAGTCGAAGAAGGGCGCTCCGACAAAGAAGGAGAAGCCCATCAAGCAAGAGCCTGGCTCGTCAAGCCTCGCTGGATACCCTCAGGTACGGTGCCTCCAGTCGTCCGCTCCATCACGGCACTGGGACGCATGTACATAGCTAACACCTCATGGCTAGTTCTCGCCCGAATCACTTCCATCACTCACATCACCTTACATGCCCGACTGCGACGACTTCGCCGCTCGCTTCCTCACGCCTTGCAGCGACGACATGACGCAGGCATTGTCCATGCCCCCCTCTCTTGAAAGCATCCGCCACCCAAGCAGTCTGATGTTTCCTCCTCTGGATGGAAACTCGGACTTTTTGAACCACACCGGCCATGGTGGCCTCCCTTCGACCTCTCAATCTGCCTTTGACATGGCCTACGACCTGAGCGGCTATCCTGGAGATGTTGCCAGTCAGGGATTGTCTCACACTGGCGGATCCCAGCCCTTGGGAGACTGGGACGACCGGTTGAACGACCACCACTTTTAAATGTTTTGCTTTATTTTTTTGCGACGACATACTACGGATACGAAAAGAATACCTTTACGAAGAAGAAACAACCAAAATATCCGGGGAAAGGAAGACTGGGGAGCGACTAAATCTCTTTTATGACTTGATGATACTGGCCACGATTTGTGGTCATTTAGCTTGGGCAAATCGTTTTCACATTCACACTTTTTCTCTTCACACAGAACGACGGACGGGCTGGGGACTTGAGGAAATCTAAAAACTATTATAGGGGCTATAATTGCATGTGTATACTATCGAGGGCGAAAAGGATGAGCAGCACCCTCTTCTTTTGCGATCTTTTTTCCTTTTCTTTTTTCCCCTCTCCTTCTTCTTTTATATTCCACTTGTCCGTTGATGCTTTCTCTTCCTACCTAGGTCCTGCTTCTTGTTCCTTACCTTCTTCTTCATTTCAGCCATTTAGATACCAAAAGATAGGTGGCATCAACCCCCGGTTGACCACCATTGAGCGTCGCATGAGGACCATACAATAGCACACGCCGGTGACCATGATACGTCGTGATTGACTCCTCAAACTCAGCGACATAGCAGGAATACAGCTGCATGTATGCATCCTATCTTATTGGTCAGAACATGGTATGCACAGTTCTCTTACTCGTGCATAGTACATGTAATGCTTGACCGCCTGTTTCCAAACGCCTTGGCTTCAGCTGCATGCTTTCCATCCCGCTTACATGTGCCTTTGTATGCAAGCAACCACATTCACCTCACCAAAGACGGGGAAGCCTTGTATATAGCCCATGTCAACTCAGACCACCTTCTCTTATCATTTGACACTTCTCATATTCTTGGGGAGTTCACGTGCCGGCAAAAAGTGAGCCTGTTGGGAGCATAAATTCATCCAAGAGCCTGCTGCCAGCTGAAACGGCCCGTCACCAAGCTGCCGATTCACCTTGCACTCAAGGATCCCTCGAAAGCATTTCAAACAGATTCGGAGACTTGAAGCATTTTAATTCGGTTATTAAGCCCGGTTCTTTTCGCAACGTCCTTCACTTCTGCTTCTTCCTTTTTTCCTCCCGACACACACACATCCACGTCCAAGTTATCACATTACAACACAACACACCATCGCGCAAGCATCAGACTCTCGCTCTCACATACAGGGGTAAGCAAACAGTTCATTTCTCCCATAGAAGCACCACATAATCATATCCAAATCCTCAGCCTTTGGTCTCTCGTTTAAACTCATTTCGTATGGGATACTGATCCATAGATAAAGCCCATCTTCAGATCATAAAAGCAAAAAGCAAAAAAAAACGAACCAGCCATGGCGGACGAAACCCCCAAGCAGAGACGCGAGCCCACGGCCTCCGAGGCAATGTTCTTCTTCGCCATCGTCAAGCACACCAAGAACAAGGCGGACATTGACTGGAAAGCTGTTGCCGAAGAGCAGGGCTTCAAGAACGCCGAGGTCGCCAAGGTATGTCATTCCATCTCTCTCTCTTGCGACCCAAATCTCCTTGCCATTATTCTGTTTTTTTTTTGTTCTGGATCCAGGTAACTGATCAGCGTGTGATAAAAGGTTCGCTTCGGCCAAGTCAGGCGCAAGCTCGGCATCGAATCAAACGCCACCCCCAAGAAAGGAGGAGGAGGCAACACCTCGTCTGCCGCCTCGACGCCAAGCAAGGTCCGCAAGACGCCGACCGGCCGCGCTGGGACCAAGGGCAAGGGCCGCGGTGGTCAGGCCAAGAAGGAGGCCAAGACTGAGCCTGACGTGGATGATGACGATGACACCATTGCTGGCGGTTCGTCGCCCATCAAGGAGGAAGATGGCATGCGCTTCAAGACGGAGCACGAAGATCCTTTTAGTCTTTGAAGGGTCGTCAGGCTTTGGGAGATCCGGGGATGGGTCTCGCGGTATTTGGCTGAGGTGATTTATCCTTCTATTTGGGCTAGCATTTGCTTCTATTCCAAGGCTAAGCAACAAAACATCTGAGGGGAGGCTTATAGTAATTGAAACTGAGGAGACTCGAGACTTGCATGAAACTGATGAGAGAATGATATACGGCTTGGTAAGGTACCATCCAGCTAATATAGAGAGCACAAAGAAGCCGGCAATCAATCTCAAACCTTCCTATCTTACTACTTCTCTCATATGTCTGTCTAGTTGCTTATTCTGATATTTTGTAGTTCATTTCGAGAGACTCTGTATGCATGCATCTGGGGTGACATTGCTCCGGCAACGCACTCTTCAGTACATGTTGTCACCTGGCAAGCAAACAAGTGCCAGCAGTCGCAGAAACTCCCCTGGGCTGCACCTAAATCCCACTGGAAAGGCTGGAGATAAGGACGTGCGTTTGTTTACCGCTCCTGGTGCCTATGGTTTGTCGTCTACAAAAGAGCAATTCCATTTCTCCCCCAACCTAGCTCTCGCTTCCCCCTCGCCCACATCTGCATCCTCCACCACCATACACACTCTTCTCATTCTACTCTCTTTCGTCCATCAAGCATCCAAGCAAGGCTTCTTGGCCTAGTTCACGAATTTTTTATCAAGAGAACGTGCAACAATGTGAGTTCATCTTTGCAAAGCTTCTCATTCAAACATGACCCCAAGCTAACCCACCTGGCCCCAACCACAGACTATACTATAACCATGCCTCCCAAGAAGTCTGACAGTGCCGATGGCCCTGCCGTCAGCGGCCTCCGCGACAACGAACTCCGCTTCATCAAAGCCGTCTTCGACAACATGACCCAAAAGCCCGACGCAAACTGGACCCAAGTGGCCAGCGACCTGGGCCTCAAGGACGCCAAGTGCGCCAAGGAGCGCTTCCGCCAGATGTCTGTCCGCCACGGCTGGCGCACCACTACTCCTGGCAACAGCCCCAGCAAGGCGAAGAAGGGAGGAGACGTCACCGGTCCTTCTGGCGATGGCAAGGTGGCGAAGAAGCCGCGGATGAGGACTCCCAGAAAGGCTGTTGCTAAGAAGGATGTTAGCGAGGAAGATGATGGTGATGATGTTAAGTATGAGGATGACGTTAAGGAGGAGAAGATGGGCTCAGACGATGATGATGAGTCTTACTTCTGAGCATGGACTGGATGGGGTTATGGTCGCTGTTGTTGTTGCTTCCATCTAGGGTCTTTTCATCTGAGGGAGACGCGAAGTGAATATGGCTTTGATCTCTCGCAACTGGGTTACATAAGACCTATTATTGCATTCTGATAGGAGCCAGTCACATTGGACTGCTTTATTGCAAGAATGGTATTCCACTGGCAACCTTTTCTTTTATTGCCATGAAGTGGTCTGGTGATTTTAAGTGCCGGTTTTGTGATCACGACACTTCAGGCGGCCCCTATTCATGTGACTTGGTGTGTTGCCAGTGCTACAGTAATTGAGAGGTAACTTAACACGATTCTATAGTTTCTTAGAGTCTCGCACTCAGAATCGTACGTACTTTTGACTCTCTGTCTCTCATGAAGATGGGCACCAAATGCAGTGGATGAGCCGCCAGTCACCTGCGAGTCAACTCGACACTCCGCTGCCAGGTGCCAGGAGTGCGAGGCTGCTTGTCCCAACCCAAGACTGACCGACACTTTCGGTTGTCGTGTTGTTTTTCTTCGCTGCAACAGAAACCGGACGCGTCATCTCTGGACTTTTCGGAGACTTTTTATCTGTGAGCGGAGGACAAGTTGTGTCGCGTTTTCCGCCTTCTTCCTCACAACCTCCTCTTCAGTCCCCAGAAACACAACCGTTCGTTGCAACACTCTTACAACAGTATTCAGCACACTTCATCTCTATATTCTGGTATGTACCCGTTTTGTCTTCTAAATTCGTTTCTGGGAGATTTTGCTCGTGACGATCGTCTTTGTCACTTTGCATCTCTCCTCCTCACCTGCCCCCCCTGAGCCAGTCGCGAGGTCGCCGCGTGTCCGCCATTCACTGCTTCTGTTCCATTTACTGCGCGCGCCTCTCTAGAGATCTTCTGTCTATGCTCGGACACTTTCAGGCATAGAACTGGAGTGCCTGAGGCGTCATCCGCTTGGTTCCCGCTCTCTTGCGTCTAAACATTCTCTTCGCCTCTCTCTTTTGTCCCACCGCGCTCGCGACATTTTCTGCGATAATCACCTTCCCACGTTGTCGCTTCTGTTTGTTGATATTTCTGACCCCGAAGGTTTATTCTGTTTGTACGTTTCGTCCTTGTTGTCATGTCTCGTCTTGCTTAGCCCGAAGTTGTCGTCACTTGTCGCCCCTTCTTTGTCGTCCCATCGTCATTCCATTCTATCTCTTCCATCTGAGCATGTCTTGTATGCTAACAGGGTTGCAGCCTTAACAGTACACTCCAACTCCCGCCGTCATCATGTCCAAGCAAGATCCCGCTGAGCAGGTTCGCTTCCTGGTGTCCTGCATTGGCCACACCACCAATGGTCGAGTAAGTCCAAAGTTGTCCAGGTCCAGTTTCTCAAACATCTACTGATGGATATCCGTTGCAGCCCGACTTTACTCTCGTCGCTCAGGAGCTTGGAATTGTGACCAAGGCTGCCGCGTAAGTGTCCAATTTCTTTATCATGTTTTGATCAATCTATCTGACGATTCTCTACAGTCAGAAGCGTTATGAGCGAATGCTCAAGGCCAACGGAGTGAGCGCCTCTTCCAAGGCCTCGTCCAAGGCCAGTGCCGACGACGATGTCACCACTCCTGCTTCCACTCCCGTGAAGCGCAAGCCTGCTGCTGGCGATGCCGGCAGCGCCAAGAAGAAGGCCAAGGGTACCAAGAAGGAGGAGAGCGACGACGACATGAAGGACGTGAAGCCGGTCGTCAGGGCCCGCGCTCCGAGGACCCCCAAGAAGGAGGTCAAGAAGGAGCCAAAGGAAGAGCCTGCCTCTCCCGCTTCTGGTAGGTTGCCTCTGATACCTCATGGCTCTATATGCTCTGATCTAATCTCTGTGATCTCTAGATGTCGCCGATTCTGGCGCCGACTCTGATGCAGGTACCAGCTTCGACTCTGCCTAAGCTTCTTCAGCTATACTTTGCCGCTATACTGTTGACATATGGAGGCATCGTGACATGATGTTTGATATCCTTCAAGAGTGCATAGAAAACTCTTGGGATTTGGAAACATATATGGCTTAGTTGGAGAGAGGTTGAGTGCGATATTCGGACGTCATGAGGCAGCATAATTGCCTAAACATGTCATGAGGCAGCAAAATTGCCTAAACATTTGGTCCAATATGGATTTTCTAGTAACCTGGAACACTACGGTATATCGGCCGGGAACATGAAAAACAGTCGTCATAGTAACGCGGATATTCTGTGCATTCATCTACCTTGAACTTGTCGAGATGCGTGACCTTGGCGAGGCTCAACACCAGTAACCACACGCAGATACAAATGCCACACACAATTTGCGAGAATGTGATGTCATTCCTTTTTATTGTACTTCATAGAAAATTTCGAAAATTTTCATCGTCACAGAATGCGCAAAGTTCTAGACTTATTGTTGAGCGTCATAATCGTAGCATTCGCTCCTCCCAGCCACCAGCATCTCGCGATATCCACACCCGATTCACTCACCTTTCAGGAAATCTCAGATTTGGGCAAACAAACGCCCCCCCACGCCAAATCTTCAATACCCACTCCTGACAACCTTCATTGAGGTCCGTGCTATTGTGCTCACACCACCTTTTGACGAAAGGCGTGCAAATTCGAGTTGCTTGAGGTACGTACCCGTTTGTTCAGAAAAAGAGAAAAAGGGGTGAGTCCCCCCGATGGACATGTGGTACTTCCGAGTCTTGAATGAGTGTCTGTAGCTATTGTCGTGAGAGTCATGGCTCTGAGGACAATACGCCAGAGAGGTGTATTCATTCCATCATCACCACAATGAGATGGTCCTTCTATTCAGTCATTCGGATGAGCTTATGCTCCTTCTGATGCCATGATCTCTTTCTCCTCCTCGTCGCTTCTCTAGATATATCTTCTCTGCATCAAGCTCTTCCATCGCATGAGGTTATACTTCCTTGCCAGCTTCATATATCTCTGCAAGTGCAAGCGCCAGTGCAATCATCAAGTGATACTCCCCCTTCAAGAGCTACCTTCATCTCGAGAGCGCTTCCACGCATCACGTCTTCTCTATCCATCACGTCTGGAATGGCTTCTTTCTCTCAAACAAACAGCAACACGCAATATCTTGACAGATCGGCCATGCTGCACTCGTCCTTTACGCAAAAGACGAATCCCCTTTTCGCTGGTCTTGTTACGCCCCCTGAGTCCCCTATGCGGTCTGTCGACAGCAGTGCACTGCAGTCACCAACACTCTCGACTCTGGAGGCAAATCAAAACTTTGGCTCAACAAATGAAGTCCCAAAAGCGATGGAAGCTTTGTCTGCTGCTGTCAAGAATGCGAGTATGGAAAACTTGGGGCGAGATGCCAACTTCATCAACAGCGCTGCAAGCTCGGTGCCAGCTTCGCCTTCTGTGACACTTGTCGACTTTGGCGACATTCCGGAGACGATCTACTCTATCGTTGAGCATGCTGTAGAGGAACGTGTCGCAGATGCGATGAGCCCTTTGCGGATGAATATCAAGAGATTGGACAGCTTGGAGTCGCATCTACGTCGCGAACACACTGATATACGAGAGCAAAACGACACCATGAGTCGCCAGCTTGACCTTCACTACCGTACCATTGAGCAAAATATGGAAGAGTTCAAGAATCAATCCGAGACGATGAACAGCATGATTGACACTCAAGCCAAAACGATGAATACCATGATCGGGGCTCAAGCAGACCAATCCAAAATCATGAACGAAACCATGAACACCATGATCGGAGCTCAAGCTGAAAACCTCGCCGCTACCATCAACATGGTCAGCCACCTCTCCCAATTTGTCACCAATCTCCCCTTGGCCATCAATCAAGTCGTCCACAACGCAGTTCAACAACAGACTCAACTGGCTATACGCGACATTACGTTTGCTCAACAACAAGCCATGTTTTCAGTTTCAGACGTCTCTGGCACTCGAAGGTCTGTCTCCTCTAATGGCAGCTCAAGTCAGTGCACTTGCATCCACCATCGCTTAGAGATTGAATCCATGGCATCAACTCAGCACAAGAGTGTCTCTCTCACACGGCCTTCTCCCAGATCTTGCTCCAAGTCAAGGCGAGGCTTTACAAAGACATTCAGAAAGGTCTTTAAGTCTCGCAAGGCACGGCATCTACTGTGATGGACCTAATTGAGGCTACTACCTACGGACAGCAAGAGGCAAGGGCATTTGGTAGGAATGGGCAATGTATTTTACTCTATGGGATACGGCGCAAAGGGGTTTACTTTGGAAGTCTACTGATGTACCTTGTGTCTACAATTCAACACCATTCCCATGCTATCCCACCATCTCTCGCAAAGTAGTTCATGGAGTTCGTGGAGTCTCAATTCACCTGTGCCAGCCCACACAATGACATCAACCCACAGACGACAATACAATAGCTCGAATTGTGGGAATCGAAGCATCGTCAGTCTAGCCAATTGCCGCTGCCAATTGGCACAGAAAAGCGAACTGTCACGGGCAATCTGAGCGCATCCCACGTTTCCCCGACCACCCCTATTTTTGCTCTGGCCAGTGACAGCTGCCACACCTCGCTCAAGGGTCCAATCCACCAGAATTTCAAAAGTTTCTGGCAGAAAGAATGAAAAGAATGAAAACTTTTGATTTCCCAATTGGGGCGAGAGTATATAACCTGCTCTCCCACATTCTTCTCGTTCTTCTCGTTCTTCACTACTCCTCGTTCTTCACCCACTGCATCGCGACTTTACTTCCCACGACAGCTTCAACTGCTTTAACCAATTCCTCGTTCAAGGAACTTCTTACGACAGCTCAATTGAGTGTAAGTGACCATTTCTTGACTCTCAATGGCTCAATTGGCCAGTTTCTGCGTGGTCTACGCAGAAATTGAGCTCGGGCAGCACTTTTCCCCTCCCAAGTTCACATTCCACCTCCTCTCCCAGCTTGGTATATTCAGCATGTTCACAGCTTTCCAATTCAATACTAACTCTTACTGCAGTAGAACCACAACTGCTTCACTGATACTTCCATCTTTGTCACTGCAAACATGGGATCTTCCAAGAAAACTCCTGCTCCCAAGAAGGCCCAGCTTGCTGCCCACCACTCGCCTGCCGGCGCCATCAAGGCAGCTCAAGCTCTCAAGACCGCACAGGCGACCAAGGCCACGGCTTCTGGTGCCGCCCTCGGTCCCAATGAGACCGGCTATACCCATCATCTGCCTACCAAGGAGCAGGTCTCCGGCAACGGCCGCAAGGTTGGCCGCAACCTCATCATGTGGAACCGTAAGTTGACAGAATCCCGAGTTCCCTCTGCTCAATTGGCCTCTCTACATGTATTCCACTTACACTAACACTTATTGCAGGTCCGCGCATGGTAGAGAAGCTTCTCCATTGCATTCTCCATGAACTTGACCGCCAAAACGTCAGGGTCCCCTGGAACACCATCGCTCACAGACTTCACCCCGGCGCGTCTGGTTCCTCGTGCAAACAATGGGCCAACCGTAGCCGCAATAGTCTTGTTGCCGAGGGTCATGTTGTCGCTCCCCTTTACAAGAAGAACAAGCCCTACGACCCGACCATTCGCGGTTATATGCGCGATCTCACCCGCACTGATGACAAGATCGTTATTCGCGCAGTTGGCTACGGCGAGTACATCGAAGACCCCAGAATCAATGAGCCCGATGCCTTGGAAGTTTTGGCTCAGGTCAAGGCTCAGCTCGAAGCCGAGGAAGCATCCGAGGCCGAAGGTGACGAAGAGTTTGACTTTGAGGATGACATCTCTCCCGCGACCAACCTCACCATCCCTGATGACGAGGACATCGCCTTACCCCCCAGCCCTACTCCTGCCCGTCACGCAGCTCCCCGCCAGTCAGCTGCCACTGCGGAGTGCATTGCCAACTCTCTGGGCCTTCAGCTCCCGGCTGGACATGCCACGCTCTCTCAAGAGCCCATTGCCCCGGTTCCCGTCACCCAAGTCGCCGACCTCTCCGCCATCGATGTCTGGGCCGACAACATCCAGGTGAGTCTCCTCCCCATCACAGAGCCATCGTTGACTGTAAACACTAACAAAGAGCAGGAACTGCAGAACTTTGACGCCAGCAACCTTCAGCCTGGCAATGGCTTGGAGTTTGTGAACACTGTGGAAGGCAACTCGGCTACTCAGTCGCCAGCTCCTTTCACTTCGTCCCCTGCCCCTGTCACTCAGGCTCAGTCTCCTCTTACCCAATGTCTTGCCCCCTTCACTCAAGCCGCTCTTGAACCCAGCTCTGTGGCCCCCACTCCTCTGGACCTCAACCAGTTTTCCCAGAGTCCTGAGGACACCAGCCTTTTCCCCGAGCTTGGCAATGGCTTTCCATTTGTCCTTGGCAGCGACAGTCTCTATGATCCCTTCACTGCCCCTGCCACCATTCAGCCTTGCCATGCGCAACTCAACCTTGGTGGTCAGTACGTCCAGCAGCAGGCCCAGCAGCCTCTCCAAGACTCTTGGTTCATGAACAGCTGTTTCGACATCCAAGGTCAATTCATCACCCCGGCACAGAGCAATGCCTCTCTTTCCCAGTACGACTTCTCCATGCCGTCGACATTCCCATCCACCTTGGCGTCCACCGTTCCCTCCACTTTGTCATGCGCCATGCCGACCACTCTGGCATCCGCCGTGGCACCAACCATGACACCTGCTTTGGGACACATGATGACCCCTGGAATGACACCCGCCATGACGCCGTCCCCAGAGAAGACCACCGGAGCCACTGTGAGTAGCCCGCACTTCAGTCTCTCTCCGTCCATCCATCGAACGAGAGCTATGCTAACACGTTGAAGGCCGATTTCACTTTCAGCGACGATCAGCTGGCCATGCTGATGCAATACAACAGCACTCATTAGCGAGGACTCGACCCAACGGTCCTCCATGAGTTTGCGAGAGCCGCAACACACGCAGGCAGATGCCGCCGCCATGAACAGAAAAAAAAAGTGGAAAACAAATCACCAAAAAAAGAGTAGTGTTCGAATGTTTTCCTTTGTTCGTTTCCTTTTTGTTTTCCGTTTCACTGTCAGAGATACCCCTCCCGCCTCTCATTGAGAGTAGACACGGGATGCATGATTTTCCTCAGAAAATACAAATCACTAAAAAAAGCGAAAAATAACAAATCACAAAAAAGAGGCTGCTTTTCGTTTCTTACTACCAGGAAGGGGATTGGAGGCTGGGGGTTGTCTGCTTTCTGCTTTTCGTTATTTCTGCTTTGGCTGCTTTCTCTGGTTCTGCTCATCTACTTGACTCTAGTTTCTGCTTTTCTGCTTTCTCGGCTGGTGGATCTGCTTTCTCTGAGGTCAACAACGGACGGCGCTGGGAGGGATCGAGCATCGCGAGGCTCACACACAAGGGCATCACACGAGTCCACACGTCTTTCGAACGTGCTTTACGGGACGCTTCACGTCGCCAGATACCTACATAGCTAGCTACAAGTACTCTTCCAGTGCTTAGCTTCTATAGTTCAGAGGTCCAATCCAATTGATACCCGTTTACAAACCAGCTTGTAACTGCGCAAAGCATCGTGACTGTAGGTACATGTATTTGTATGGACTCGTTGAAGTGAAGTCGTCCTGGCTTACTCATCAAGATCAAGCAGAGAGTCTCGGCTCAATCAGAAACTCCCCCACAGATTCGGCTGGAAGAGGGTGGAAAACGCTCAGCCGTGCAGCTAGGCCCGTTTGGGCGCTGGCTCGGCTCAGGATCCATGTTTTGCCGACGCTCCGTGACAATTTTTTTGGGGCGCCTTTCTGCGAGCTTCTCACTGGGATTGTCGTTATATTAACGCCAGGACAGCAACTCTCTCCTCCTACCTCACTACTACCTCTCTTGAAAGGCTGGCTCGTCTTGGTTCAGGCTTTGTGATACCCCCATTTCTTTGTACCATTCCTTCTTTTTCTTTTTAATTACCTGCGAAAATCCACAAAAAAGATGCAGCGCGCATTGGCTTCCCGTGCCCGCGCCTCGGCCCTGTCCGGCGCTTACAAGTATCGATCTGGAGGCAGCCTCGGCCAGCAGCTTCGGTTTGCTCACAAGGTAGGACGAAGCGATTGAGAAGTGGGAAGCTCTGGGTGTTGATCACGACACTGACTCGGATGGAAAATAGGAACTCAAGTTCGGTGTTGAGGGCCGTGCCGCCCTTCTGGCTGGTGCCGATACTCTGGCCAAGGCTGTCGCTACGACTCTGGGTCCCAAGGGCCGAAATGTCCTGATTGAGTCCAGCTTCGGCTCTCCCAAGATTACCAAGGGTATGCCTGAGATACCCCATCCGTGATTGCTTGATCTGAAGTTACAGAGACCTCTTGATGCTAACACTCTGCGGCTTAGACGGTGTTACTGTCGCCAAGGCCATCTCCCTCAAGGACAAGTTTGAGAACCTGGGCGCCAAGCTGATCCAGGATGTCGCCTCCAAGACCAACGAGACTGCCGGTGACGGAACCACCAGTGCCACCGTCCTGGCCCGCGCCATCTTCTCCGAGACCGTCAAGAACGTTGCCGCCGGCTGCAACCCCATGGACCTGCGCCGAGGCATCCAGGCCGCCGTCGACGCCGTCGTCGACTACCTGCAGAAGAACACCCGCGACATCACCACCAGCGAGGAGGTTGCGCAGGTTGCCACGATCAGTGTCATCACCGTCAAGGAGGGCAAGACGCTGCAGGACGAGCTCGAGGTGACCGAGGGTATGCGATTCGACCGCGGATACGTCTCCCCCTACTTCATCACCGACGCCAAGTCCGCCAAGGTTGAGTTCGAGAACCCTCTGATCCTGCTCTCTGAGAAGAAGATCTCGGCTGTCCAGGACATCATCCCCGCTCTCGAGGCCTCTACCCAGCTCCGCCGCCCCCTTGTCATCATCGCCGAGGACATTGACGGCGAGGCTCTGGCTGTCTGCATTTTGAACAAGCTCCGTGGCCAGCTCCAGGTCGCCGCCGTCAAGGCCCCCGGCTTCGGTGACAACCGCAAGTCCATCCTCGGCGATCTCGCTGTCCTGACCAACGGAACTGTCTTCTCTGACGAGCTCGACATCAAGCTCGAGAAGGCTACCCCCGACATGCTGGGCTCCACTGGCTCCATCACCATCACCAAGGAGGACACCATCATCCTCAACGGCGAGGGCAGCAAGGACGCCATCTCTCAGCGATGCGAGCAGATCCGTGGTGTCATTGCCGACCCCACCACCTCCGAGTACGAGAAGGAGAAGCTTCAGGAGCGTCTGGCCAAGCTGTCTGGCGGCGTTGCTGTCATCAAGGTTGGCGGTGCCTCTGAGGTTGAGGTCGGCGAGAAGAAGGACCGATTCGTCGATGCTCTCAACGCTACCCGTGCTGCCGTTGAGGAGGGTATCCTGCCCGGCGGTGGCACTGCCCTGATCAAGGCCTCTTCCCAGGCCCTGAACGACGTCAAGGCCGCCAACTTTGACCAGCAGCTCGGCATCACCATTGTCAAGAACGCCATCACCCGCCCCGCCCGAACCATCATCGAGAACGCCGGCCTGGAGGGCTCTGTCGTTGTCGGCAAGCTCACCGACGAGTACGGCGCCGACTTCAACCGCGGTTTCGACAGCGCCAAGGGCGAGTACGTCGACATGATCCAGGCCGGTATCCTTGACCCCCTCAAGGTTGTCCGCACTGGTCTCATTGACGCCAGCGGTGTTGCTTCCCTGCTGGGTACGACCGAGGTCGCCATTGTCGAGGCCCCTGAGGAGCGACCTGCTGGTCCTCCCATGGGCGGCATGGGCGGCATGGGAGGAATGGGCATGATGTAAAATGCCACGACGAGAAGAAAAGCTAAAAAAGTTGTATAAAAGAGAAAAAAATCATCAGTGACAGGGCATGGTTCCGGTGTTATACTAGAAGGATGGTTCCTACTACAACCCATCTCCGCTCACTCCATCCCTGTCTTATCTACCTATCCATCGATCTACGGTTACGGTTTGAGCATGGCCTGTCTCGGTGAAGAGCGGGCGGTGCGGCTGTTTCCGTGTGTGTATTCTATTGTAGCGCTGCTGCCATGTACTACTATGACCAAAAAAAGGATAATGACGAATGAAATGTGTTTTACGAGACGAAATGTGTGTGTGCATCACTTACCTAGGCAACGAGATTTGATGTGATGGTTGATCGTAAATGTAGTTGTGCCATGTCATCTATCAAGACATGTGTATCTAGGCGTGTGTATCTAGGTAGGGTGTGAAGAAATTGAAATTTGGTTGCCTTGAGTAATCTTGGTGCCTGGGGATGCAAATGAGGGCGTGTTGCCTTTGAACAAGATATATCAACCAGACAGTTGCCCTTTTTCTTGTTCTTGAGATGAAAGAGACGAGTAGAGCTGTCGACGCTGCGTCTCCCACTGACAGGTGTCGTATCAAGCGTATCCAAGCCACCCCAGCAGCATCAGCAGCAGCACCACCACAGCCACCGCCCTCTGTCCAGTCCTTCTCGTCTCTTTATATCGATCCACTGCCTTCCTAGTCCCCGTCAGCTTTCCCTCCCCCCCTTAGGCACCAGGTAATCATGCAAATCCCGACTCCATGCAATACGTAATTCCCCATATAAAAACCCAGAAGTTATCAGCAGCATCCTCTTCCAGCTTCCTCTCCCCCCCTCAGTCACGTGCAGCTTCTTCCCAGACGGCCATCGTAACCCCACTTTCTGGCACAGCAGCAGCACTCCTGAGGCCAAAGGAGTGGGAGGGAGCTTTTTCGCCCTTTTCAGCACCCCGCCTTTGGCTCTGCTTTTCCCTCTTATTAAATCACCAGCTAATAACTGAACGGGCCCTGCGCAGTTCCCAGACCATCCCGCTGTCACACCAATTTGGCATCAGCATCACCAACCATCGCCTGACGCCCAGCTTCTCTCGCCTCTCTCCGTCTGCCGGTATTCTTCTTCTGTTTCCTTCCGGTTAGTTATACCAATTTTCCCCCTTGCGAGGTTCATTCAAGGGCTCTTTCTTGTTCTGCTACGGCTCTTCTCCTTCTCGAGAGCTTCCTGTAGAAGAAGGCGCCTTGGCGAATTTCCCGCACGTTCCCTATTTCAAGGCAGAACCCCCTCATCGCTAACAGGAGAACACCTTCGTCAGCTCATCACCCCTCCTTTTTTTCCCAACTTTCTTCTACACCGCAGACCCGCCGTCTTTTTCGTCGACCACCGAACCGCAAACATGGTGAGTTTCAGTCTGGAGAGTCCAAAAGCTGGGCGACGTGTTATTTGCTGGGTTCCCGAGTGCTGACCGCGTTTGTTGCTTGCAGTCTCAATCAGGGTGCGTGTTTCTTCCCCCCTAAAGTCGTCACCTTTCCCACTTGAATAGCTCCCCTCCTTTTTGGCGCGATCCGCCACCCGCCACCTTGTTCACCAACGGGCCCGACGGTGCGGATGCGGACAAAGCCGGGGAGTTGTTGCAAGAGATGGGAAGAAGACAATCAAAAAAAGATGATGATGACGACGACGACGACGTTGACATCGCGACGTGTGTGCATTGGCATTGGTAGAGCTGACATCAACCTCGTCACAGAGCCAAGGTTTCCCCCCAGGTCTCGGAGGAGTTCCAGAAGCTCAAGCGAAGCAACGACAAGAACCGACTCCTGAGATACATCATCTTCAAGCTGTCCGACGACTACTCCGAGATTGAGGTCGAGCACGCTGAGCCCGACAGTGACTGGGAAAACTTCCGCGAGAAGCTCCTCAACGCCACCTCCAAGAGCAAGACTGTGCGTCTCATCGCCGACTATCCATTCACTCGTTCGCCAGCTGTAGCAAGCTGAGCGTGCGCACACCCGGAGTGACAGAGCTGACCGTTTGATTCCACATGTAATAGGGCGCTGTCGGCAAGGGTCCCCGCTACGCTGTCTACGACTTTGGCTTCAAGTACGACGGCCGAGAAATGTATGTCGGCCCAATGCCGCCCCCACACAACCATTGAAGCTGCCGCAGCTACTGACAGCATTGTACAGCAACAAGATCATCCTCATTGCCTGGTCTCCCGATGATGCCGGTGTCCACGTGCGTTTTGATCCTGCCACTCCCGTACGCAACACTGACCATGTCCCGCTAACCTTCACCCAACAGCCCAAGATGATCTACGCCGCTTCCAAGGAGGCTCTCAAGCGATCCCTGGAAGGATTCGCCTACGAGATCCAGGCCAACGACTCTGACGACCTCGAGCACGCTTCTATCCTCAGCGCCGTCCTGGCCAAGATGAACGCATAAGCGACACCGCACTCATGATGATCTGATGCGGTGATGCTAGGGGACGGGAAGGACAGCTACGAACGAGAAACAAAAGAAGGGAGGCACTGCCGTGTCCTCGTTTAGAACTGGGCGTGCTGGAAAGGGGAGGCTGTGTTTATTCGATGGATAGGCATGGGTAATTTTTCGCAAAGTGCTAGCGCTGCAGACGATGTATACCGTATCAAGGGAAAAACAGACTCACATTTTTTGTACTGTCATGTGGGCATCGATGATCAGCTGCTGTATGAACCGGGAGAATTAAGTAAAAGCTATGCTCTATTACAGGGAAGAAAAGGAGACGCGACGTAGTCCCATACTTGTACTACTTCATTATCATCTACTGTCACCAACCAACCTAACTTGACCTGCTAGCCTGCCAGCTCGACCGAAACAAGCTCGCCAGCTCCTCGGCCTTTGCCTGAGCCTTGAGCCGCTGCTGCAGGAAGCCACTGAGATCCGCCCAAAAGGCATCCGACTCGAGCTCCGCCTCCACCGTCTTCTCATCCGCCTGCGCCGTCGAAACCGGCCCCTCATCCGTATCCATCACAGCACCCCCGTCCTCATTCTTCCCTCCCTCTTCAGCCGGCGGAGGAGGAATCGCCGCCGCGCCGCCAATGACCATGACGGAGAACTCGATGCTCTTCTCCTTGCCGTCGCCGCCGGCGGCGAGCAGCTCCTTGAGGACCTTTGAGTCGGCGACGGGCCGCTTGTTGAGCAGGAGCTTCATCTTGTCGACGGGGATGCGGGTCTGCGCCTGGAGGGCGGCCTTGAGGTCGATGACGGAGGTGCTCAGGGGCAAGGGGGCCAGGGCGATGTCGAGCGGGGGGTTGCGGAGGGACTTGATGTGCACGGGGATGCTGGGCTCGGCGCCGGGGGGCAGGCGGGTTTGGGAGGGCTTGGACATGGGGACGGGCATGCGGGGGAGGATGTACTAGTACTCGGGGATGTGTTTGTCAGTAGGGATGTTTACATGAGAGAGAGGGGGGGGGGGGGGGGGGGGGGGGGGGGGGGGGGGGGGTGGGGTTGGGTGTTGTGTGTTGTTGGGGGGGGGTGGTGAGGGGGGGGGGGGGGGGGGGGGGGGGGGGAGAGGGAGAGATATTGGAGGTTGTGGTGGGGAGTTAAGATGGACGTACGGGTGGTCGAGGGGGAAACGTCTTTGGGTCCTCGACGTGGTCTGGGGAGAGCTTGATGGGGCGGGAGTCGAGGGAGGTGAGGAACGTTTTTGCGAATGCGACTTCGGCCATTTTTGCTTATATTTGTATCTCGGCGTCCTCTTGATTAAGTGTCTTTGGTGTTGTAAGAATTTTCTTGACAATGTATGATATTAGGAGGGTTTGGCGTAGGTTCCGTTCGTTCGAGACTCGAGGATGCGATGCGGAAAATGAGGGGGATGGACGGGTTATGGCGGGGTGCAATAGATAGCTCTGACGAGATACGTTGGGATGGAGGGAGATGGGCGAGGGCGTGATACAGATAGGAAGTATGCGACAGATAAAGTGCCTCGAGAGGATAAAATCGTGCGATATTTCGGGGCGAGCTTGGCTTTCTCGGAATGAGGCTGGTGGTGTTCGTAGCTTACGGGAAACGAGTTGGACGTTCGTTGGTGACGAGCTTCGCAGTCGGAAGCTAGAATCACGTGGGGTTTATTAGAACTTGAGCTGTACCTTACCCCCCACTACCGACCACTTAGGCGGGAGAACTAACCTCAACACCAAAAAGGTCGAGGTAAAACATCGTCAACAGAATAATGGCAGAACGCCACGAGTCTCTGAGACACGTTTCTCTTAACCAAAGTCATACATAGCAAACACGTCATACTCTCAGATAATTCCCATCTTGGATTTTATCAAAACCAAATGAATCGCATATTCAATACCGCGAAAACAGGATTTACAAAAAACTACCAAAACTGCAAACAACTCCCTCCAGCCTCCCCCTCATTCATTACCCAATATTGATACATAAAAACATCAAAAAGTCCCCCTCCTTTCCTTCCCTAACCCTCCCGTTTTCGTAACAGAATATTCATTCCATGTTGTATTCGTCATATGTCATTTCGTCGTAAACAAACATCTACCGGCGATTTGCTGAGCCGTATCCGTTTTTTCTCTATCGCGATATTTCCCACGGTATGTGTGCCCAGTCATGAACAACGGCCTGTCTGCCCCGGCGATAGTAGTAGGCAGATATAGTCGCCAACCAGTTGTCCCAACGCCCCGGAGTAAAGCAAATCAAAAATAACAACAATACTGCGCGAAAGATGAAACAACAAGAACAGCAACAGGAAACAGGGAGCAAAAACACTAAGCCTCGCCTGAAACGCTCTCCACTCTCCCAGGCTGTTATAACCAGGGCGTATTAAAAGCATGTAATGCAATTGCCAACTAGTAGCAACAAGCAAATAACAGAACAAAAGTAGTAGAAGAAAAGAAACAAAACCAGAGGATAGTCCGAGGTGCGTTCAGTCAGCAGCTGGGAAAAGAGCCTCTTGCGGCATCTGCCTTGGCTTTACCTGGCTCCGCCCGGCATGGCAAAGTCGTCGAATTGTATGACAAGCTCGCGAATGGTCCATCGCCAGGCTTCTCGGTCTCGAGGAGCATGGCTAGTCCACTTCTCGCACTTCTTGCGCCACCTCTCCTCTTCTTCGCGCTGTCTTCGGATGAACTCAGGACCGACATCAAACTCCTCGCCCACCAGCCAGTCATCTTTAATGTCGCTGGCGTGGCCTTCGCGCTCATCAGTGACAGTGGTATCCTCGAGGTCCGGAATGTCCTTGAAGGGGTCCTCTTCCTCCTCGAAACCGTTGAAGTTGTCCAGGCTGTCAGTGGCCTCGGATGGTGCCATGCTCTGAGGGCCAAGTTTCAGCCAGCACATGTTCTGAGGGTCAAACACCATGCCGCCAACCACTTGCACACCTTTAGTGGCGCTGATGTTGGTAATGAGAGCTGGTCGGGACGCTGTCGGCTCCTTGTCTCTGGCCAAGCGCAGGGGCGCGGAATTAGACGACGGCGTTGTCGATCCATCAAACGCGTTGAGAACATTTTCGTTTCCTTCCCAGCGGTATGTGTCCGCATTGTAAAACATCCCTTTGACGACTGTAGGAAGGGAAACTGTCAGAAGCGGATTCATAAACACACACAAGATTAACCAGGAGATACATACCTTTGGATTCTTTGCCGCCGCTCAGATTCGAGATGAGATGTGGCTTCAGCTGCGGGGGCCGCTTCAGCTTCTTGGTTCGAGATGTGGGCTGCGACTGCTGAGCATTGCTGCGCGTTGGCGCTCGCTGAGCAGAAACCGAAGCCAACGGCCCGCCGCTGGGCGTCCGGTGGGCGAGAGCTGTCTCGCGCGCGATACGGCTGGCCGCGGTATCACGCGCAAAGCTAGGGGTATATGAGCTCCGTGCCGCCGTGGGCGCTGCGTTCCATGGTGAAGGCGTCTTGTTCCGGTCAACGGCCTGTGCAGCCGATGGTGCTGGCGCTTGTGGCAGTCGGCGGAGAGTTGCTTTGGGGGGTCCAGCGGCAGAAGGCTGCTTCAAGAACCGGCTCTCCGTCTCCTTCGACGTCGGGAGATCGTCAAAGGCGTCCAGCTCGTGGCCATCCCCGAAATTCTGCTTTCTCTTGGGCCGGTTCAGACGTCCCCACGTATCCTCCTTCAAGCGGTGTGGGCTGGGTGACCGCAGGCCGGGCCTTGCAAACGACCGGGATATAGGGCGGGCATCATTGGCATTGTCCGGGTCGTAGCGGCGGTATTGTCGCACGGCCTTTGAGGCAGCATGTTGTGATTGCGAATGGGAAGCTCCCGCGGGGATGAACGGTATCGAATTCTTTCTTGCTTGCCCGGGGCTCTCGCTAGAGGGCTTCGGACGTTCCTGCGGCGTCTTGGGTCGGGCCAGGCCAGTCTCGGTGCGTGACGACGGTCTCTCAGCCCGGCCGGCAATGGGCTTAGCAGCGGTAGTGGGAGGATTTCGGGATCGCACCGTTGCCAATGAACGTTTCTGCCGAAGGAGCTGAGAGTTTGTCGTGGGAGGATCACTCCTAGAGGAAGAAAATTGGGGTCGGGACAGCTCTGCCCGCCGAGGGGCAGGGGCAATCGAAAAGCTCGAGGAAGTAGGCGTAGGGAGGCTCGTGACGGACAGCTGGTTGGCGGCGTGACCAAGACGGGACTGAGGTCGACGAGGGGCCCGGTGAGGGATCGGCCCGCCGCTCTCAGAGACGGGCTCGAGGGCCGTGGAATGTGACCTCTCATGGTTGTTGAGGCGTGGGATCCGCGTCTGGGGCGGCATGGGCTTGTTGCTAAACGTCAACGTCACGGACGTCTTGGGGCGGGCAGGGTTGGTGACCCGGCTGTCCTTGACCTTGATATTCCGATGTATGGTGAGCTTGCCAGCGTCAAACACGTTGCCGTCGCCGATGTCAAGCCCCTCGAGAAAGTCCTGCTGCTCCACCTCTGCCGCAGCATGTAGCTTCTTCGGGGGTGGTGGTGGTGGTGCTGCTGCTTCGGCGGGTTGCTCTTCCGGTATGTCTTCCGGCGGTGGGTTCGTCTTCCGCAGCTGCAGCCTCTCCTGGAAGTTCAGATGGCCGGGAGGCAGCACGAGGCCGTCAAACGTCTCGTCCTCGCTCTCCACCGTGAATGTGCTCGACAGGCTGGGGCTCATAGCCGAGACCGACGAGCTCCGCGTCGACCTGGCATCTCGTCGCGTGCCTCCATATCTAGTGCCGAGGCTGCTGCCCTCGCCCCAGTCAATGTCGTCTGACAGCGCGAACGGCGCTCTGGGTATGTCCCTCCTGGCAGACAGCCTAAGCGTGCCGTCGGACGGGAGCTCCAGGTCTCGCTCAAAGTCCTCTTCATTCAGCAGCGGCTCCTTTGACATGACAGGCCCAACGGGTTTGGGGGGCGTCACAAAGGAAAGCAGCTGGGGCGGCCGGGTCTTGGGCACCTTGATGGTGTCAAAGCCGTCGCCGAAGAAGTCGTCGTCCTCATCCTCCGTGTCCCGGAACCTGTCCAAGCTGAGCGCGGCGGAGAGGACGCTCGAGTTGGACATGATGGAGCTCCGCCGGCTGTCTCTGGCCGACTTGGGCGTCTTCTTGGGGCTGTTGTGCATCGAGCCTCCGCTGACATGGCGCAGGGTCTCTGGGAAGTCGGCGTGCGTCCGCGGCTTCATCTGGAGCCCCTGGGGCCCGTCGGGCAGCTCCAGGTCGTGCTCCCAGTCCTCGTCAATGGTCTTGCGCATCTTCTTGCCGCCGAGCCTCTTGATGGTGCCTCCGGTCAGGGCGGACGACGGCACGTTCTTGGGCAAGGGTATTCCTGCCCTCTCGGCGGCGGCGATGGCGGCCATGGTCGATCGCTCATCGTCGGCTGGGAGGTGGACGTGCTGCTCCTCCCCATACGCCGAGTCCAGATCGGAGCGCAGCGAAATGTGGGACGAGGTGGAATCGCGTCGACGTGGTTGTGCATTGGTACCTGTGGTGACAGCGGCAGGCCGAAGGCTCAACTCGTCGCCGTCCACGATGAAATCGTCATCGTCCCAGTTCTCTATCTCGGCCTCCACTGGCTGTCTGGGCTTTAGCCGCAGCGGCTCCATATTTCTGTCTGCTGTGGTCGAGCTGCAGTTCTGATGCGTCTCCTAGGATAGGTACTGTGCAATACTGGTAAGTGTGCAGGGTACTTCAAGCTGTTGTTGTGTGTGTGGTCTTGGGTTGTAATCGCGTGTCGTAAACAAGAAGCAGCATGCAGGGCCGCTGGGGTAAGCGCGGGTAGATGGGCCTGGAGTCGCTCGGATAGGTTCGTCGTGGCCGGTCGCGACAGCAATTGGGCGGAGAGGCATAAAGATCCAAGGGAAGCCGTTCAATAGCAGCCGTCCATAATACGCGCCAGCATCGCTGGGGTTTCCGTCCCAAGGTTCCCAGAGCCGCAGGTCACAGGTCGCCCGCGGATTATGACGTGGCAGTCAGTTGGCAGCGCTGCGAGGGCGGCTTATTCGTCCAGTCCAGGAAGAAAAAAAAACAACAAGGTCGGGGTTGCTGGTCGCTATGTTTGGGTGCGCACAATAACAGAAGTCGTTTGTTTTCCTCAGCTCGTTGTTGATTGATGAGCTCCTCAACGCTCGATGCACGCAGAAGAAGGAAATAAAAAAGCTCGAGAATATGATGCAAAGGCCGCTCTGATGCCTCGATGATGCAGGCCGGTGACTTGGACAGTTGGGACCTTTGGACGATCCTTTTCTTAGGCGGGTGCGCGATAAGGTGGATGATGTTGTTGATGTTGTCAGCGGCAATTGATTGGGCGCAGCTGGTGTTGCGAAGGCGAAACAGAAGAAGGCTGGGGGGTCCGTTGTAGCCAGTGGCTGGTGCTTGGTGCTGCCTGAACCGCTGTAACGCTGTAACGTGCTGTGGGCGGGCGAGGATCAGGGTCCCCAGCCGTCTGTGGTGAGGGGCCGCCTGCTGGAGATTTCAGTGCTGTCGAGCAGCGCCTGGGCCACGCAAATCCACCAGGCAAGGAATTTGACTCTGCTGCTCAGCCCGCGCAAGGCACTCAACCGCTGCGTCAGGTCCTTAGATACTACCCTGGAACACCGAGATCTGAAGCTGGAAGCGAATTGAAACTCCCCGGTAAGACGTGGACGAGGGCAGTACGTATGTCGCCTGGGCAGATGAGCGATGGAGCCAAACGAAGCAAAAGGATCCCGGCGCACTGGCAGCGCAGGACGCTCTTGTTGTTTTATATCCGCCCCTTTTTCTGCGCTCTTCACTTCCGGTCGTCTCATTTCAGGTACGCGCTCTGGCCCGGCGCTCAACACATGCGATTTTTGCCTCTCGCCTCCCAAAAATTTCCCTCGTACCCTCATGGGTCATGGATGACCCCTACTCGGCGCCCGTAGCCTCTTCGCTAACCCATGATCTGTTGTTATTGGAGGTGGAGTCGCTTCCCGACTCACGATCCTCATCCTAATCTCGCCGCGGTGCTGTGCATGAAATTGGCTGGAGGGCTACTCCCCATCTGTCCATCCGCCCACCCTGTGCCTGGGCGTCCTCGTCTCCTGATGACGCCTCACCTGCAGCCGACCACTGTTGCGCTCTGCTACCACGACAACCAGCCAGAGAGAGAGCACCCCCAGCCCGCAATCCCGGCACGCCTTCTCCAGCCCACTCCGACAGGCCGCCAATCATGCGCGCGGACCCCCTCAGGAATTGTCAGATTCTGCTGGGTGGAGAGAGAGATCGGGACAGGGCCCTTCTCGTGCATGCAAAGCACGCCAATGCATATGCGTAGCGAGTCCGGAGCGCGGGAAGCACAGAGCACCGGGCATGGAGGACGAGGCGATCCTGAGCCGGGCTGCCTGATGAGGACCTGTCGCCTTGCCGAGGGCAGCAAACATGGGCGTGGAGCCACGGCGCCACCTGTCCAAGATGTTGGCGTTTGCTTATAATTTCAGGACGGCTTCGCCCGTTCCTTGATCCAGAGAAGATGCATGTAAGCTGGGCCTCTTCACGAGCGTGAATGGCACCAAGGAGTGGACATGCTGCCTCTTGTCGTCCCGCAAACGTGGCCTAGCTGCATTGGGCGGTAGTTGGGCGCTGCCGCGGTCTTCTACACCAAAAACACATCGACTTCCAGTGGCCAGTTCGTCCACCAAGACCCTCCGGCCGTCGGGTGGACATTGGGTTTAATTTCCCACGCGTGCAAAGAGCTCCGGACCCCCGTATTTCTGCGTGGACGACGCACTTGGCACGCCTTTCTGGACGGGTGATGCTGGACGCGATGCGAAACCAACAAGAAACGAGTTAGGCGTGGGCGATATTGCTGCTACCCAACGACTCAGTACAACTACAGGTACTTGGCTGCTTGGAGCAGGGGACGGTTTATCCGTATCGCGAATACGAAGACATGCCGCGAATATTCTCTTTCTTAACAATTATCTCTAGCACACAACATGTGCAGACTGTATATTTCACGGTGGTACTTTTGATGTTCCAGGTCTGCTGGCTTACACGGCGACCTGTCCACCTACCTTAGTACACGTACCAACTGAAGTACCTTACCTGGAAAGCCTGCGCCACAACAAGCCACGCCGAGCTTGTACCCGTACCTGCAGCTGAAGCTCCAGCAGCTCAGTTCAGCTCAGCTCCCTGGCCACAGCTGCCTGCAGTGGATTACAGCGGGCTGGATCCGATGGAATGCTCTAGTCTCTAGAGCTCTGCCTGCTCCCGGTGACGCTAAGCCGCAAGGCTGCCATGCAACTGAACCTCCACCGCGCTGAAGAATCACGATTCAATGTTTGCTTGTAAGACACGAACCACGTTGTTCTAGAATATGCAAGTACTTTAAGGGCAAAAATCACCAGAGTTGTCCCATCTCATTTGCCCTTGGTAATTCTCGCCCTCGTTTCTCCTTTAGCCGTACGCTGTGACGAACTTTCGCACACCGCCATCATCGCATCTCTGGTCCCTCCTTCAACGCTTCTCGAACCATCATTTGAACCAGATATACTCATCAGACTGCGTCTCCATATAAGCTATCGTCTCGCAATTCACATTGATAGACACCAGGCAAACACCTCCGGCCAGACATGACGGCGTCGCGGGTCATCAAGCTCCCTCGGGACGACGACGAATCCGCCTATGTCCTCATCCAGGTCGTCCAAAAAGGCTCCAAACCCTTGGACGTGAAGCTCGTTGGAACAGAAGGCGCAGCTCCATATGCGACGACTTGTATGGTTTTTCTCACCCGAGCCCGTCGCACCACACCGCTTATTGACTCCCCTCAGTGAAACATGATCGCGTGTCTTCGCTACGAGTAGCAAACTGCCCCGTCTCCGAGTCAGAATGGCAGACGATATTGCAATCCCTGTTGGAACTACAGCCAACTGGAGACATACAAGCAACAGCTAGCATCAAGAGCGAGGCTTCACTCTCAATCACAGTTCGGAAGCGAGTCCAAGGAATCACAGTATGTGACCTCGAGCACGTAATCGCCGAAAGTGAAAGGCCTAACTCGAGTTCTCAATCTAGCAACGACTCGGCTCTATAGATCTCAAGTATAACGAAAACGAAGGCATCGAGCTTTTCGAATGGTGTGCCGACTCAATCGATGCGTTGACACAGAGCAAACAAGCCTTGGCCGAAGCCAGCACGCACGCAAAGGAGCTGGAAAGCACCGTAAAGGAGCTCAAGGCAGAGCTGGATGAGCTGGTAATGGCGAAGCAAGAAGACGAAACATCCCTGCTCATGAAATTCAGAGAGCTGCTGAATGAGAAGAAAGTCAAGATACGAGAGCAGCAAAAGATCCTCGCTTCCGGCTCTTTCCAGAACAGCCAGCCAGCATCGCAACGGTTTTCTCAGCCGGCGGACCCTGAGCCGTCTCGCACGCCCGCCTCGTCTCGGCCTAGGAAACGGAAAGTCCAGATGGAATCCCCGCAGCGTGATGCAGAAGAGGAGGAGGATGTGGAGGAGATGGAGCTGGACGAGATCAAGGCTGAGCCCCAAGAGAGCGACCGGGAGGCCACTGCGGAAGACACGGCATCCACTGCTAGCGAAGATGACGATCAAGGCGACGAGGGTGATGAAGGTGATGATGATGGAGCGAGAGCTGGCAGAAGCTCTAAACCTGCACCCAAGGCACCGCCCCCTACAAAGAAACCGGTGGAAAAGCCGCCCGCTCCGAGACACCTCCCTTTTACAAGAAAGGCAAAGGCGGCGGCGACGGAGAAAGCACCAGAGGCAGACATTGAGACGGATTCTGACGATGAGCTATGATTGAATGGCTGCGAAGAGCCAGGGAAGCTTGAGCAGGATGGCTGTGGTTGTCATTGTTCGCGACGCATTACCGCTTTGCGAGAAGGATCTGGATTTTATGACTTGCATATCCGCTACGGGGAGTTTAGCTGCTTTTCATTACCAATTCACTATGCATTACCATCTCAAGGAGTTTGATATCTCTCTTCAGTCAGATTGACATGATTCCTGACAGTAAGCGTACTGTCAATACGTGCAGCCGTCAGATTTCACACAAGAAGTTGTGGCAACCAACTGGGGTCAGCTTATAAGCATTTAGCTAATGGCCACGCTCGCCATCTATAACTTTATTTCCATGTCTCTAAAACAGACGGCTGCTAAACGAAGTCGGTTCAGAACATCATACTCTACCGCTTGTCGTCCTTGGCAAACTTGTCGGTCCAAAAAGCCCGGTAGTGGTGCTTGTTTCCCTCCGCCGAGATCTCCTTCACCTCCTCCTCCTCCAACGTGAACTTGGGCAGTCTCTCGAGGTAGCCCTTCAACCGCTCCTCCTTGGAGCTGGTTGTGAGCGCGACAATTCCCTGGTCAAGGACCCATCGGAGGCCGACGTCAGAGTCGGTAACGCCGTACTTTTCCGCCAGCCTCTTGTAGACGGGCACCACCGGGCCACCCTGAACCCTGGTAATCGGGACCAAGGGACCGTACGAAGCAATAGCGATGTTGTGCTTCTTGTGGAAGGCGACGAGGTCGCCGTGCTGGAGGTACGGATGGTACTCGATCTGGTTGATCGCGGGAGGGATCTCTGCCGTCTTGAGGATGGCCTCGAGATGCTCCTGGAGGAAGTTGGAGACGCCAATGGACTTTGCGCGGCCGGAAGCCTTGATGGCCTCGAGGTCGGCCCACTTCTGCTGCAGCTCCTCGTCGCTGTCGGCGAAGAAGGGGCCGTGGATGAGGTACAGGTCGACGTAGTCCAGGCCGAGCTTCTTCAGCGAGAGGACGAATGCCTCTTCGGTGTTCTTCTTGTCCGTGGCGCTGATCTTGGTGGTGACGAAGAGCTTTTCGCGGGGAACGCCTGAAGCCTTGATGGCAGCGCCGAGCTCCTCTTCATTTCCGTATACTAATCAATTGTGAGAAACGATGGTTCCTTATTCAAGGTTGATCAGGTTTTGACACACCTTCGGCACCGTCTAGGTGGTAGTAGCCAATCTCAATGGCCCTTTTGGTCAGGTCAACGAGATCCTGCTCCAGAGGTCCTTGATTGCGCTTGAATCGGGCAGTTCCGAGACCATATCCGAGCTGCCAAACCGGGTCAGTACAAAAATCGGCTCAACTTGACTCCGAGTTGTATCTCCAATCAAAGGTTAAGAAGACGCCGTACCAGGGGGATCTCGTTGCCGTCGTTGAGCTTCAAGGTGGGCGGGAACGACATCTTGGCGGCTGGACAAGTGAAGGATCTGAGATGAAGACGAGCAGGAGGCTGTCGAGGAGCAGTTTTGGATCGCAAACAGAGGGAGGGGATTCGAGTCCATGAGCAGCAGCTGGACCTACTTATAAGTGGAGGTCCGAGATGCGTCAAGGCTGTTTGGTGCATGGCGTGCAACTACCCCGCCGATGATAAATGCTGCTCTAATGGGGTTGCGAGGGGAGTTGCGAGAGGTGGTTTATAAGGTGTTATCTTAGGATTGTAGCTGAGGCTTGAGGAGGGAATAGTCGGTTATTTTCTTCGCTCCTATCGTTTTCAATTGGACTATAAGGGTGGTTACATGTACGTTGTGTAGGTGGTTGGAATGCGTCAAGCACATATCATCACTCTCCATCTGTAGATGGTGTCGTTTCTTGTGTCTCTTGTACCTTACAAGTATCTCCCCGGAACCAAGACTCTCCAGGGTTTTATCCACCGAATGCTCTCTATTTCCTCTGTAATTCTCTATGACTTTGGCATGCAGTGGTAGATAAACATGATGTGGAAGTTGACGAGCGTCACGCCATATTATTAGCTTGATGCTCTCTAATATCTTAGCCGGGTAGGGAGTGATGGATCCAGGGGACATTGAATGAGGCCAGACTGGCGTGCTATTACCTCAGGACCTTGCGTCTTCGTTAATCCGGGTATTGACCACTATTGCTGTCAGAAATCATTGAAGAAATCCAAATGTTAGGCACATCCTTCATCCTTCTCATGACCTTCATCATTATGTAATTGATACCCGGCAGCTTCTCCTCGGAGGTCCGATTGCAGGACTGATTCCTCCGCCATCTTCTAGGGTACACTCTGAGGCAAAGGTGCTCTGTAAGCAGCTAGACGAACCACTGCAGACAATGGATGGTGGGGCAAGAACTGCATGTCGCAGCGATTCGCTCGGTGATGTCACGGAAGTGCAACCTCCAACCTCATCCGGCTCGCCACTTATCCGAATATAAGCGCCTGAGTCGCCGCAAGCCGCAGCCCTGGTATTGCATGCCAATTGTCCAAATCGTCGTCTCTCATGCTGCAAAGACAACTCCATGCGAGCCGTTTCATAAAGGGAGCTCTGCCGCTGAGGATCCTCGGCGCATCGTCATCAACAAGACAATTTCTTCGATATAGCGGAAGCACGCGAACCATGGCCTCGTCCGAAAAGCCGTTCCAGGGCGTTTCGCTGGCCGATCTGCCCAAATCATGGAACTTCACGGCGAAATTGCCCCCGGATCCAGCCTTTCCAACCCCGGCAGCTTCTCACAAGACGCCCCGAGACGAAATCACACCACGTCTCGTCCGCGGTGCCCTCTTCACCTGGGTGCGACCCGCTCCGCAGCAGGACCCTGAGCTGTTAGCCGTGAGCCTTGCGGCTCTGCGGGACATTGGAATCAAGGAGGATGAAGCAAAGACCGAAGACTTCCGGCAATTTGTAGCTGGTAACAAGCTATATGGCTGGGACGAAACAAAGCTGGAAGGCGGGTATCCATGGGCGCAATGCTACGGAGGCTTCCAGTTTGGCCAGTGGGCGGGACAGCTTGGAGATGGGAGAGCCATCTCGCTGTTTGAAGCAACCAATGCGGCGACCAATGTGCGATATGAGCTGCAACTCAAGGGAGCCGGCTTGACTCCATACTCGCGGTTTGCAGATGGAAAGGCCGTGCTGAGATCCAGTCTCCGCGAATTTGTCGTTTCCGAGGCGCTCAATGCATTGAGGATACCTACGACTAGGGCGCTGTCTTTGACCTTGCTTCCCCATTCGAAAGTTTTGAGAGAGACTGTTGAGCCTGGGGCGATAGTGCTGCGGTTCGCCCAATCGTGGCTGCGACTGGGCACCTTTGACCTGCTACGGGCAAGAGGAGACCGCGATCTTATCAGGAAGCTCGCGACCTACATTGCGGAAGACGTCTTTGGCGGCTGGGAGACGCTGCCTGGGCGACTAGAAACACCAGAAGAGCCTACCAAATCACCACCCCCTAAGCGCGGAATACCAGCCTCTGACGTCGAGGGGCCCAGCAATGCAGCCGAAAATAGGTTTCAGCGTCTGTACAGGGAAATTGTCAGGCGAAACGCCGTGACCGTGGCCCATTGGCAGGCATATGGATTCATGAACGGTGTATTGGTATGCAATCAACCTGCAACTGTCTTTTTGAGAAGGCGTCCACTAACACCTCTGGCAGAACACCGACAACACCTCGGTATACGGTCTGTCAATGGACTACGGGCCGTTTGCGTTCATGGACAACTTTGATCCATCATACACTCCGAATCACGATGATCACTTGCTGCGGTATAACTACAAGAATCAGCCTACTATTATATGGTGGAACCTCGTGAGACTTGGCGAGGCTCTTGGAGAGCTTATCGGAATCGGAGCTCAAGTCGACGACGAGACGTTCATCGAGAAGGGCATCAAAGAAGATCAAGAGAAAGACTTGGTTGAGCGAGCTGAGAATTTGATCTCGCAGGCGGGAGAAGAATTCAAAGCCGTGTTTCTGAACGAATACAAGCGACTCATGACGGCGAGACTTGGCCTACGCAACTTCAAAGAAGGGGACTTTGAGAACCTCTTTAGCGAAGTGCTCGATACGATGGAGGCGTTGGAGCTGGATTTCAACCACTTCTTCCGCCGCCTGAGCTCCATCAAATTAGCGGATATCGCAAATGCAGAAGGTAGAAAAGAAAAGGCTGCCATCTTCTTCCACAAAGAAGGGCCACCCACCGCCACTGGGGAGGATGCTGGAAAGGAGATGATTGCCACTTGGCTTGAGAAGTGGCGTGCGCGTGTTCTCGAAGACTGGGGCCAAGAATCATCCGAAGCTCTGTCTGACGAGAAAGACGCCGAGAGGATCCGGGCCATGAAGCAGGTCAACCCCAACTTTGTTCCCCGAGGCTGGATCTTGGACGAGGTGATACGCCGCGTCGAGAAAGAAGGCGAGAGGGAGGTTTTGAACCGCCTCATGCACATGGCTTTACATCCGTTTGAGGACTCGTGGGACGGAGCCACGATTGACGGTATCGAGTATAAGGGCGACCGAGAGGAGGAGCAGCGATGGGTTGGCGACGTGCCCAAGTTTGAGCGAGCCTTGCAGTGCAGTTGCAGTTCATAGACGGCAACGAGTTCAATAGTGATATCCTTCACGTCATGGATGGTAATTATAAAAGCAGCCATGTCTGCCTTCTACGTCATGTCATGTTTTTACTTGATGAGATGTTACGACCGGCGGTAAGAGGCAATGTTCATCGAGATGAAAAACTCTCTCCCCTGCTTCCATAATCGGCGTAGATGTTTCTTCTGGAGCACAAGATAGAGGAGGACTCGACGGAGGCAAAGGAGGTCCCGATGCTCAAGCTCGCCTACAATAAAATGTGCCCGTGTACAATTAATGAGAAGGAAAAAAAAGGGAAAAAAGAAGAGGAAAAAATCACCAGCCAAGGCGTCGCATATTATATGGCTCTGCCGGTATTGCGGGCACCAGAGTTTTGCCTCAGGCAGCGGCCCCAGGCAGCTTGCAGCCAATGAGCGTGCTCGCAAATGGATCCGTAAGGGAAACCCACTAGCGCCTCGCAAATGGGCTTTGCCAACCCATCCAGACAAGCAACGGATCGCTCTCATCACCTTTTGAGCCCTTTTCCCCCCGTAAACCCTCGCCGCCACGGTTCTCAGCACGTTCAATCCGTCAAGGCGACACGATGCTCCGACAGTCTCTGGCACGTTCGGCTTGGCGGACCGGCAGGCGGGCAGCCGCCGTCCCGCGGGCTTTCGCGACAACGCCCAGACGGTCTGCCGAGGTGGAGCTGACCATTGGTAAGCCTCTTGCCTGGCTTTTCTCGACGCAATTGGCGACGGAGGGCGTGTGTTTGCTGACGGTGCTGCAGATGGAAAGAAGGTCTCGATCGAAGGTATGGCTCTGGAGGGCGGGCGCCGGAGGGGCGCTGCGTTGTGGGAGGCTTGAGGAATTGCTGACATGGATTGCTAGCCGGCTCGGCTCTGATCCAGGCCTGCGAAAAGGCCGGAGTTACTGTGCCCAGGTCAGTATGGGGGAGCTTTGCTGCTCGATTGAATTGGAGACGGCATAAGAGTATATGCTAACATGACGTACAGATACTGCTACCATGAGTACGAAAATTGACCCCTCCTCGCCCCTCTTGCGATAATCCCGAATCCTAACCATATAACACATATAGAAAACTCATGATTGCCGGAAACTGCCGTATGTGCTTGGTCGAGGTCGAGCGGGCGCCCAAGCCCGTGGCCTCCTGCGCCTGGCCCGTCCAGCCCGGCATGGTCGTCAAGACCAACTCACCTCTTACACACAAGGCCCGCGAGGGTGTCATGGAGTTCCTGCTGGCCAACCACCCGCTCGACTGCCCCATCTGCGACCAGGGAGGCGAGTGTGATCTTCAGGACCAGTCTATGCGATACGGTGCCGACCGAGGACGATTCCACGAGATTGGAGGCAAGCGAGCTGTCGAGGACAAGAACATTGGACCCCTGATCAAGACGTCGATGAACCGATGCATCCACTGCACCCGATGTGTCCGATTCGCCAACGATATTGCCGGTGCCCCTGAGCTTGGCTCAACTGGCCGTGGCAACGACCTGCAGATCGGCACTTACTTGGAGAAGAACCTGGATTCGGAGCTGTCTGGAAACGTCATCGACCTCTGCCCCGTTGGTGCCCTGACCTCCAAGCCGTATGCTTTCCGAGCTCGTCCCTGGGAGCTGAAGCACACCGAGTCCATTGACGTTCTGGACGGCCTGGGTTCCAACATCCGTGTCGATTCTCGTGGCCTTCAGGTTATGCGCATTCTTCCCCGACTCAACGATGATGTCAACGAAGAGTGGATCAACGACAAGACTCGATTCGCTTGCGACGGTCTCAGCACTCAGCGACTGACTGTGCCCCTGATCCGAAGAGAAGGACGGTTCGAGAATGCCGACTGGGAGGAGGCCCTGACCGTTATTGCCAAGGCCTATCAGCAGACTAACCCTCAGGGCAACGAGTTCAAGATCATTGCTGGTGCGCTGACCGAAGTCGAGTCTCTCGTCGTCGCCAAGGACATGGCCAACAAGCTGGGATCTGAGAACCTTGCCCTGGACACCCCCACCGGTAGCCAGCCTCTTGCTCACGGTGTCGATGTGCGGTCAAACTACCTCTTCAACTCCAAGATCTGGGGTATCGAGGAGGCTGACTGCATCCTCATCGTCGGCAGCAACCCCCGACACGAGGCCGCCGTCCTGAACGCACGTATCCGCAAGCAGTGGCTGCGCTCCGACCTCGAGATTGGTGTCGTTGGCGAGACCTGGGACTCCACTTTCGAGTTTGAGCACCTGGGAGCCGACCACGCTGCCTTGAAGAAGGCCCTGGCCGGTCCCTTTGGCAAGAAGCTCAAGGCCGCCAAGAAGCCCATGATCATCGTCGGATCCGGTGTCACCGACCACGTTGACGCCAAGGCTTTCTACGAGACCGTCGGCACCTTTGTCGAGCAGAACGCCGCCAACTTCCGAACCCCCGAGTGGGACGGCTACAACGTGCTCCAGAGGGAAGCCTCAAGGGCTGGTGCCTTTGAGGTCGGCTTCGTCACCCCGTCCGCGGAGGTTGCCCAGACCAAGCCCAAGTTTGTCTGGCTCCTCGGCGCCGACGAGATCAACGAGGCCGACATCCCCAAGGACGCCTTTGTCGTATACCAGGGCCACCACGGTGACCGTGGCGCTCAGATCGCTGACGTTGTTCTGCCTGGCGCTGCTTACACCGAGAAGGCCGGCACTTATATCAACACCGAGGGACGTGTGCAGATGACCCGTGCCGCCACCTCGCTGCCCGGTGCTGCCCGAACTGATTGGAAGATTCTCCGAGCTGCCTCTGAGTTCCTCGGCGCTCCTCTTCCCTACGACGATGTCGCCGCTGTGCGGGATCGCATGGTGGAGATCAGCCCTGCGCTGGCTGCCTACGACGTGGTTGAGCCTGTTGCCCTGAGGGAGCTTAGCAAGGTTCAGCTGGTGGAACAGAACAAGGGCGCCAAGGCCAGCAACCAGCCCCTCAAGAAGGTCATTGACAACTTTTACTTTACAGACGCCATCTCCAGAAGGTATGTACTCCCTCCGTGCGATGCGTTGCTCCGTATATGCTACATGCTATGTGCTATATGCCTTGCAAACAATCAAGCAGTCCAACTGGCCACCTACAACAAGTATGCTAACTTCTTCGCAGCTCACCAACAATGGCCCGCTGCTCAGCCGCCAAGGCCACCGGCGACCCCAGGACGAATTTCATGGCTCCGGGTATGGAGGAGGACAGGCCCATGGGCCAGGTCGCGTACGGAGCTTGAGATGGGTGAATGTATTAAAACAAAAATAGAAGAAATTCCCTTGCAGTTCCGCAGCGGTATGTCGATTTGTACATATATATAGTAGGACGTTGGAGGGGACTAGATGCGCGGTGGTAAATATGTTGACCAAAAAGTTGGCTTCCTTCCTGTCTCGTTTGTTTGTCTCTTCCGCCATCTTTCTTATGTCCCTTCCTCTTTCCCCTTTTCGCCCTTTGTGTGGATGGCGTTGAACCGAGGGGATGAGATTTCATGCATATAGCGTCCACCAAGATGAAAGGACAAGTTCCTTCCCTCTCTTCAAGAAGGCAGGTAAGCAAGCGGACTTGTACGGCTCCGTTGTAGGCTCCGTATCTCGTGTCCTCTATTTCGGAACACCATCGTCCAAAGGAGCCTCTCTCGCCGGCTCATACTGCTCGATAGGGTCATCGAAACGGACACTCTTCTTGTTCTTGAGCCTGCCCGCAGTAGTAGGAAACAAAAGGCTGGATTTCCGCCCCGAGTTCTAGTCGGTGTCCATCCGGTCCTGCTTCTCTCTCATGCCCCTCGCGGCAGCGCCCTGCATCTCCCTCTTGATGCCGTCGCTGATGGTCTGGACGTGGCCGTCGAAGGCGCCCAGCTCGGCGGCAGCCGCCCCGAGGAACCTCAAGACGTCGTTGGCGGCGGCCTCTCGCGGCGAGTTGAGGGGCTCGTACGTGATGGGGACGAACATGTTGGGCAGGACCACGTCTCTGAGGCCGCCGGCGCCGGAGTCGGGCTTGCGCATGCTGTCAATCATGCCGTCCAGGTCCTTTCTGAGGCGGTCGTCGTGAGCAGACCGGACGGCTGCGGTGGCGCCAAAGTAGTCGTACGTGGAGTCGGCGTCGGCGTAGGCCGCTGCCGTCTCGGCGCGGACGCGCAGGTACTCGAGCCCGTAGAGCGTCTCGATGTTGCCGCGGACGGCGGCCTCTTGGGCGGAGAGGCGCTCGAGCTGCTCGAGGAAGTACGAGGGCGTGTCGGGGACGATGGCGGCGGGGGGCGGCGAGAGGAGGGCCTGGCCGTCTGGGAGGGGGACGAAGATGGCGACGGCGATGTTGTTGAGTGGTGGGATGGAGGCGGTGTTGTTGTTGTTGTTGTTGTTGCTGGGTTGTGAGCCGTCGCCTTTGCTGCTGTTGCTGGCTTCGTTGTTGATGGTGATGTTTTTGTTGTTGCTGTCCATGCTGCTGCTGCTGCTGCTCCTTCTCTGGTCCTGAGTGGTATTGATGATGCTGCTCTGGTGGTCGATGCTCCTTCTTTTGGCGCTGGTGATGCTGCTGTTACTGCTGTTACTGCTGCTGATGCTGCCTCTCCTCGAGTCCTCGTTACTGCCGCGGCGTCCTCCGTCGGGCCTTTTGGTGGCTGCTTCCGAATGTTTGCCTGCACCGTTTGTCACCTCGCGAATGAGGTCATCAAGGTCCAGCAAGTCTGGCGCCGAGTCCGTTGGCGAGGGCTCATTGCTGGATGTGTGTTCAGCCATTGGTGCGACACTTCGTCTGATATTGTGACTTTTTTTTTTTCGCTTTGTCTTGTTTTAGATTTCCCGCTTTTCCAGGACGCCTGGTTCTCAATTGAGACGAACTACAGGCAGAGGAAAAGAATTACGTTATGCACAGGGTCGAATCAAGTGACGGCGTTGGATATTGTTGTCTGTTGTAGTTTCAAGTTGTTTGTTGGAGTTTGCTATTTGTTGCTGGTGCTTGCTGAATCTAGGCCGGGGTGTGAGCTGCTAACAATAAACGTGCATACTTGGCGTCGTATCGGGGAATTTAAGATAGAGATGCACGGCAGCGCCAGAGGTCGACGTTTGGGATGGCGACTCAGGATGCTGACAGGCTGTTCCATGAGCTAAAGGTAGGTAGTAATGTTAGTCCATCACGAGTGAAAATCCTTCGTGCTAGGTAAAGGGTTGAATGGTTCGTGAGAAATGGCAAAGGTGGACGGGCAGGATATACTTGCTCCATCTCATGACTGCTGACAAAGTTAGAAGAAGAACAAACTGATATTGTGCAGTAATTGTCACATTAAGTGCGAAACCATGCCCACGATCTAGAACAAGAGGACTATCATTAGATCTAATTCATTTATACCTGCAAATTGGGGATCGGTGGCTGTGAAGAGAGGTGGTCGTCAGGATAACGCCGTAAAACGATGGGGTCTAACGGCTATGATAAGATAACTCTGTAGAAGGCTGGAAAATCACAGGCGGGTGGGCTCATTTGAACAAGCAAAAAGGACATACGAGAAGCCCGACAGGAGCGTGAGCTTCAGAGTTTTGATAACAATCACATAAAAGTAGAGAAAGGGGGGCGAATATGGCAGCTATTACTGCTCAGTCGGATGGTAACGGCTTCAGTCCGAATCGCTCAATAGTGCGCTTGGCATACCTTGTCCATATCGTTGAATGCGAGATTGATACCAGTAAGGTTGAGTTCATGTGAATAGTTGCTGAATACTTAGTATGAAGTGTCAATGGCTAGGTATGATCAGTGACTGCACAGAGCAAAGAAGCAGATGTGGTTGGTGTTAGCATTAGATCTTCGAGACAGAGTCAAGAGAGTGTCTCATGCAATCTTCGCTAGCGTTGTCCTACTCCCTCCTTTACGTGCCATAAGGACTCTCTATGGATTCAACACCTGAGACTGAAATGATCAGAAAGCCTGTCACGGTCATAGCATCAATTTTACTGAGGAATTCATTTTGGAAACCAAGCCATTCATCTTCTGCATTATTAGTATCTCGTAGCGGGGCTTTGGGGGGATTTGGTTATGCCTGACGTCGATTCCCGTAGCAGTTCAACCAATCGATAGTATAGAACTTACCTACAAATTTCGGCACCTACTTGATCAGACAAACATACCGTGTAAGTATCCTCTACGACATCCTCAACGCCTTCTGCACTTGGCGATGCTGTCAGAGACCACGTTATGTTACCTTTTTCATCATCTCGGGGGTTCAAAAATGGCGCCCTTTGTGGTCAATGGAAGGCCCCGCCTATTGCTCGAGGTCGTCAGGTACTGACACGCAGCGGACAGAGTGTTGAGGTACCCGTACGTTGAAAAAGCCAATGGCGCTAGCCCCAATCAGGGCTAGGTCCCAAAAGCTTCCAGGCGCATCGAGCTCAACGCAAAAATCTAGCCCCAAGGGATTTTGAACGACTTGTCCGTCACTTGAAGCCCTTTCCTGCCATCAACAACCCTCGGGCCCTCGCTTGTCCCTCTCTTCACGCTTGGATACGGCGTCAATTGCCATCGTTGCGCGAGCATCATCCTCTGCCTCACGCCGCCCGCCCGCTTTTCCGCCGCCTTCCTGCCCGCCCGCCACCTCACGGCAAATCTCTGTGAGAGACATTTTCCCGAGATGCTCAGCGCCGCTCTTCGGAGGCGTATCCTCGCGCCCACCCACCAGGCCCTGCGAAGTGGCTTCACGGCGCACGTCGTCCGCTACTATGCCTCCTTCCCGAGCCACCAGGTGATCAAGATGCCGGCCCTGTCGCCCACAATGCAGGCTGGCAACATCGGCGCCTGGCAGAAGAAGCCCGGCGACACCATCGCCCCCGGCGAGGTCCTGGTCGAGATCGAGACGGATAAGGCGCAGATGGACTTTGAGTTCCAGGAGGAGGGCGTCATTGCCAAGATCCTCAAGGAGGCCGGTGAGAAGGACGTCGCTGTTGGCACCGTAAGTGAATCGTCTTCTTCCTCTTGTTGTTGTTCTACTCTCTTTTTTTCTGCTCTGTTCCGTCTCTTTCCGATGCTAAGCATATTCGCTCCGGTATAGCCCATCGCTGTCCTTGTCGAGGAGGGAACCGACATCGCCGCCTTTGAGAAATTCTCTCTAGAGGATGCTGGCGGCGACGCCCCTGCTCCTCCCCCCAAGAAGGAGTCTGAACCCGCTCCTCAGTCCACCCCCGCGTCTGCCCCTCAGACAACCGCTCCTCCTGAGCAGTACGCTTCCAAGGGCAGGCTGCAGACTGCTCTCGACCGTCTGCCCAATGCTGCTCCCGCCGCCATCCGCCTGGCCCGGTCCAAGGGCATCAGCCTGGACGGCGTCAAGGGCACTGGCAAGGGCGGCAAGATCACCGAGGAGGACGTCAAGAAGTTGATCTCCAGCCCCGCTGTCTCCGCCCCCAGCGCCACCTTCGAGGACATCCCCATCAGCGGCATGCGAAAGACCATTGCCAACCGGCTGCAAGAGTCGACCCAGACCAACCCTCACTTCTACGTTACCAGCTCCGTCTCCGTCACCAAGCTGCTGAAGCTGCGACAGGCCCTCAACACCTCTGGTGAGGGCAAGTACAAGCTGTCTGTCAACGACTTCCTCATCAAGGCCATGGCCGTCGCCTCCAAGAAGGTCCCCGCCGCCAACGCCAGCTGGCGCGGTGATGTTATCCGCCAGTTCTCTACCGTCGACGTCTCCGTCGCCGTCGCCACCCCCACTGGCCTCATCACCCCCATCGTCACCGGCGTCTGAGGGCCGTGGCCTCGAGTCCATCTCCGCCAAGGTCAAGGAGCTCGCCAAGAGGGCGCGAGACGGCAAGCTCAAGCCCGAGGAGTACCAGGGCGGCACCATCTCCATCTCCAACATGGGCATGAACGACGCCGTCGAGCACTTCACCGCCGTCATCAACCCGCCCCAGGCCGCCATCCTGGCTGTTGGCACCACCCGAAAGGTTGCCGTGCCCGGCAAGGACGAGGACGGTGAGACGACTGTTGAGTGGGATGACCAGATTACCCTCACTGGCAGCTTCGACCACAAGGTCGTTGACGGTGCCACCGGTGCGGAGTGGATGCGCGAGCTCAAGAAGGTCCTCGAGAACCCCCTGGAGCTCCTCCTGTAAGCGGGAGGAGAGAGGCCGAGGGCTCCCCCATGAACACTTTCTACATATATGAGCAGGTGGCGGCGTCTGGGACGGGTTACAGATAGGGTAACCTATCGAGTCGGTGTCCCTTGTAGAGTAATTAGCATCTGGAAAAGAAAAAGGGCTGCTGTGGTTGTTGTAGTTTTTGCTAGAACCGAGTTAATTAATGGTGTTTGCTAGTACCCAATTAGGAAAATCTCAAAAAATACCATCAAAGTTAAAAACTATATTCCAATAAGCGTTCAACTCAATCCATTTCGTTTCAAATAAAGATTGATTTCGAAATGATGATGTAGTTCGTTGCTCAGCCTTCATGCCAGTCTGCAGCCGCTATGGAGCAGAACCCACCACCTTCCAAGCCTAGCGCCCAGTGGTCGGCCGGCACTTGGGCACTTGATCGCTGGAGGGGAACAGGAACAGAACCTTCATGTGAGGAACCCCAGGAATATAATTCCTTGAGCAGCCGCCTCTGTCCTCGTCCTTTGTTCCCTTTTCGTTTGCTTTCCTCTCGTCCAATTTCGTCTTGTCTGCCATAGGGCTCTCCGCTGATGACGAACGCACACTTGTATCCTCCAGTGCCAATTACCGATCCTGCTCTGCACGTGCGCCTCATCCACCCCGGCGCAGCGCACTTTGATACAACCTCGTCAGAGCTGGGGATATAGACTTCGAGCCCCTGCCGATCAGCCAACCGTCGGCTGCCACCAATCCGCACAGGTGCTCGTACGAGGACTCGCGAATGCCCTCGACAGAGCCCGCTAGTTACTCGATATCCAGCCCGTGACGTCTCCATAAATCGCTTCATCAAACCAAAGGGGGCCGAGCCTCCCTGGTGCCCCTGGTCCTCATCTTTGGCCATCCCTGTGCGCCGGCTACCTGCCTCTGCCTTGCGCCTGTTTGTGCTCGTATGCCTGGAGCACCACTTCCGTTGTGACTGGCTGCTTGATACGGAGTACGAAAGGTAGGTAGTAGATGACGGGCCCGTTCGTCCGGTCATCGCCACCTTCTGTCTCCTCCATGCGCAGATGCCGCTTCCGCTTCCTCCTTCGCTCGCCACAGCCACAAGCGAGAGCATCGTATTGTAGCCGCCTCGCAAACCGCAGAGATGGCTCCTTCGATTCCTGCTCCTGCTCCTGCTCCTGCTCCTGCTCCTGCTCCTACTGCCCGCCGCGGCTCTGAGCTTATGCCGCCAGACGAGACCGACCTCATCAGCCGCTTGCATTCGGATGCCCTCGAGACGCCTACTTCGCTGACCCGACGACTTGTTGGCTCCAAGACCAGCCACGCGCGTGTGAACCCCGATCCCAGCTCGTCCGACTCCGATGCCGAATCGTCCTCGCAGCAGAACCGCGGCCGCAAATCGAAACACTCCCGCTCTATGAGCAATCCCTTCCCGTCGCTCTTCAGCGGTCGCAAGAGGCAGGGCTCGATCTCGAAACCTCCCGCCGAGATGGATAGACCCAACGGTGGCCCTGCTTCGATCAACAGGCAGGTCCAGACGCACAGGCGAGGAAGCCCCTCGAGGAGCAAGGATTTTGCTACTGGCCACTGTATGACGTGTGCCTCGCTCGTAAGGTGGCCGAAGGAGTTGAAAATCTTCAAGTGCACCATCTGCATGACCATCAATGACTTGGTTCCAACAAGTGTTGATACCCAGGGGTCTAAACAGCGCCATGACACAAGCCCAGGCCCTTCATCGGCGAAGCAAACGCCGTTGCCATCGAGTGCAGGGCCGGGACAAGGTCCCAGGGCAGGCCCTTTTGGCAGTCTTAGCCTGCCCATCTCTCTTGATCAGACCAGACATCTAGCCCGGCAAAGTCTACGCTCATATGTTCTCAGAAGGCTTCGCAACCTGTCAGCAGAGGCCCGAACGGAGCGGGCCGGTGACGACTGGCCACCGCATCAAGGTCGACTACACCCTGATCTTGCTGTGCGGGCTCGTGGACCTCTGGACATTACCCCAGACAGAAAGGGCCACGGCACCAGATATACCTTTGAAGAGGAGCCAACGCTGCATCTCAATCCCTCAAACGCCAGTCCTCCCATCATTACGTCGAGGTCGTATCCTTCGTCTTCCACTGAGCAGCCCGGGTTAAGAGCCCCGCTGCCCAACAACCACAATCATACCAGCCCACGACCACCACGGAATCCGTCTGCCGGCCCGCCTGATGACCCTAGAAAGATATTCAAGCCATTAGAAGACTACATCACAAAATGTTTCAGTAACTTTGAATGCATCAATTCTTCCTTCTCTACACAACATCCCCGATATGCCTCGAGATCCGCTAGTGACACTCCTCGACGTCCTTCGGTCCCGATGAAGGACATGCGGCAGCCTCCGCAAACAAAGAGTGCGCCTCGCAGGCCATCTCAGTTGGAGGTTGACTCTCCCATGATGGATTTGGACCCCAGAATGTTGATGTTGGGCGACGTCGCGGAGAATGGGCTGTGGTGGACCGGGCAGGATCCGATGGCGCCCAAAAAGCCTCCCAGCAAGGACAAGGAGGAGTCGGTTCATGCTCACCGGCCGCCTCCGCTTACCAAGTCGCCGCAGCTGAATTGGGCCGACATTGATGACTGGTACTCCGTCGTGAACAATGCAGCGGAGGGTTGGTTCGAAATCTTTGAAGAAGTGTCAGGCGATCTCTCACTGGGCGACCTTGCTGAGCAAGAGCTTCGCGCAATTGAGCAGGATGTGCTCAAAGGGCAGGCTCACACCCAGCGGCTGCTGTTGAAAGCTACTGAAAACCTGCTCAAGAGACCTGGCCGTCCCCTCAACAATCCGATGGATCTTCGATTCCTCCTCATCATATTGGAGAATCCGTGTCTTCACTCAGATAATGAAAGCTTCAGCGGTCTGCTCCAGCCAGAAGGGAGCAGGCCGGTGGGCTCGAAAGCAACGGACGCGAAGGGCCCGTCTGGAAGTGCTGGACTCTTATCGGGGCAGCACTCTGGCATCATCAAACGAATCATGGGCCTGATTTCGAATGCATCGTCAGATTGTCAAAATCAGATGATAACCTGGATGGCTAGATACCATGCCCCACGCTTCATCAGAGTGAAGGAGCTGGCTTCCGGGTTCTTGACATACCGAATGATCCGACAAAGCGAGAAGAAGCAAACTGAGCCAACAGTAGACCCCACGGCTGGGTTGATTCCGCAGATGCATGCTGGTCGCTCGGGCGGTGCGTCTCTCCACGATGCCATAGGCGGTCCCAGGCCTGCCAAGAAGCCCAAGGAGCCGGCCAAGAAGATATCTTACGCAGACGACTGGCAGATCAAAGCAGCTTCCCGCGTTTTGTCTCTCTTATTTTCTGCCAACAACATGCTGCCGGCCCGTCGCAGCGACGATATCCATCACAACGGACCAAATACCTGGAATAGAACCACTCGTGCTAGCGGGTTTTTCCTACCGCCTACCGATTTCTACAACTCCATGATAGACTACACCGACCTCATTGACGATTTCGAGTCGTGGGAATCCAGGAGAAGCAAATTCTCCTTCTGCCAATATCCGTTTCTGTTGAGCATATGGGCGAAGACACACATACTAGAGCATGACGCTCGTCGGCAGATGCAAAGCAAAGCCCGAGATGCCTTTTTCGACAGCATCATGACGCGAAGAAATATCAACCAATATCTGGTTTTCGATGTACGCCGAGACTGCCTTGTCGACGACAGTCTAACGGCAGTGAGCAGCGTCATTGGCAGTGGTGGAGAGGATTTGAAGAAGGGCTTGCGCATCTCATTCCAGGGAGAGGAGGGTATCGACGCGGGCGGTCTCCGCAAAGAATGGTTCCTGCTCCTTATCCGGGAGGTGTTCAATCCCGACTACGGTATGATGGCCTTTTCCGTTATGAAAGCTGCGAGATTCATGAATCTAACCCGAGTGACAGGAATGTTTATATACGATGACGACTCGCAATACTGCTACTTCAACCCCAACTCGTTCGAACCCTCTGATCAGTTCTTTTTGGTTGGCGTTGTTATGGGCTTGGCTATCTACAATTCGACTATTTTGGATGTTGCGCTGCCCCCTTTTGCCTTCAGAAAACTGCTTGCTTCGGCTCCTTCTCCCCCAGGAACTATCGCAGCACAACATCGATCTCCGATGAGGTATACGCTGGATGATTTGGCGGAATACCGTCCACGGCTGGCAAATGGCCTGAAGCAGCTTTTAGCCTTTGATGGCGACGTTGAAGAGACCTTTTGCTTGGACTTTGTGATTGAGACGGACAGATATGGGTCCAAGACACAGGTGCCTCTCTGCCCCGGAGGTGAGAGCAAGCCCGTGACAAACGAGAATCGGCGAGATTATGTCGATCTGTATGTCAGATACGTCCTGGACACGGCGGTCAAGAGACAGTTTGAGCCCTTCAAGAGGGGCTTTTACACGGTCTGCGGCGGCAATGCCTTTTCCCTCTTTCGGCCCGAGGAGATTGAGCTCCTTATCCGGGGCTCTGATGAGTCGCTGGACATTGCGTCCCTGAGAGCCGTGGCAGAGTATGATAACTGGGAGAGCAAGCAGCCCGATGAAACAGAGCCCGTCATTGGTTGGTTCTGGGAGACGTTTCAACAGGCCACCCCCAGTGATCAGCGGAAACTCCTTACCTTTGTCACTGGAAGTGACCGCATACCAGCGATGGGGGCTGCTTCGCTGACGATCAAGCTGTCTTGCCTGGGCGATGACTGCGGGAGGTTTCCCATTGCCAGAACGTGCTTCAATATGCTCTCTCTGTGGCGCTACACGTCAAAGGAGAGACTTGAATCGATGCTGTGGAGGGCGGTTCATGAAAGTGAAGGATTTGGTCTCAAATGAGGCGACGGCTACTATGGGCTTGCCATGCCCAGGAGGTCGAAAAATGATTGTATCTCATCTCCTCCTATCAACAAGGCGATTCTCAGCATAAGTCAATACTTTTGCTGTTGGATTAGTATAATCGAGTAGTACAGAACACCCTTTGGGATGGGATGGATCCAATGAGCCGTCGTCCAGTCTCTTGGGATACCTTTGGAGAGTTTAGCATATAGCTTATATAGCATTCAGCCAATAGATTCTTCTTTTTTCCTCTCTCCTGGACAAGCCATTGCCATATACATATATAAACAACAACAACCGCTGTATCGTACAAACAACTAGTACTCCCGTCCTCTTCTACGCCTCTTCCTGCTCCGCCATGCCACCCGCAGCTCTCGCCCTCTTGAGCATATCCTCCTCCCTCTTCTTCTCCTCCCTCAGCTGCCTGACGCGCTCGCGATCGAGCTCGGCGTTCTTGCGCAGCGTCTCGAGGGCCTGCATCTCGGCAATCTCCTCGTTGGTGGGCTGCAGCGGGACGGCGCGGGTCTCGGCCATGAAGAACTCGAGGATGTGGGAGGAGTGCTTGTTGGTCATGTCGATGTGGACGACGCGCTCGTCGGCGGTGGGGGGCTGGGCCTTGGAGAGGCCTGTTCGGGAGGACGAGGGCTGGGCGATGGGCTCTGAGGAGGAGGAGGCGGAGGCGGCGTCTGGTGAGGGTGCTGTTGTGGATGAGCTCAAGGATTTGCGGAGGTAGATTGTCATTGTCGGGGGGTTTTGGTTCTGGTCGTGGCGGTTTACGATCATGGGGATGGCGGGGTTGTGGTATTTTAGGCGGGGGAGGTATTCTTTCCAGAATTTCCTGTTTGTTTGTTTGTTTGATTAGTTTCCCATAATAGTACTTATTCGAGAGAGAGAGAGAAAGAGAGGGAAGTGAGGGCATCGTGGTGGGTGGACGGACCTAGCTCCCATGTGGCCGCCTTTCAAGTGGATGGCAAAGTCCATGTGTATCCGGGTGACGTCCGCGGGGAGGACTGCTGCGCCGGGGCCGCATTTGATGTTGATGAGCTGTTTTTAGAGTGATGTTGTAAGTTCGAGTTCGAGGTTCATTATTGGGTTAGGATTGGGGCTTTGGTAAGGAGTCTCTGTGTCCATCATCTTACTTTCTGCAGTAGATTCTTTGGTTAGCGACTTCGCAGTTGCAACGGCGAGTTTGGGGTCTCAATTGGTTTACCTTTCGGAGCAGATTCAACCGCTCTCCTAATGACCTCATCTTGGGCTCTTGTCTCTTTGCGCCTCAACTGTTTGCGAGGGGCCTCAATTCCTGTCGGGAGTCGGTTGCGCAGCACTTATCGCAACTTCTTTTCTCTTCTTCTTTCAATCTTCATCGCCCAGTGCAGATTGGCAGAAAATCACCACTGCGAAACCCGTTCAGCCTGTAGCGGGCCGGCTAATCATCCGGACATTTTTTTCCTTCTGATGGTGGGGTGAAACCACGCGACAGTGGGGTGGAGGAAGGCGATTTGACTGTCAACTGCCAGAAAAAAAAGTGATTTTCTAGAAGCTCCAGTTGTTATAGTAGAAGGCAAGGGTCCTTTTTTCCTCTGACTTTTTCCTTTTCCCTCTCTTCTTTGAATGATGATCTTTTGTTCATAATCAACGAAATACTCATTTTAAAAGAGAATGCATAGAGCGGCGACAGCTCGACTGCTTCGGCAGGCTCTGAGAGTAGGCGAAGCTGCGCCCTCGACGGCAGTGCCGCTGTATCTGTGCCCTGCAGTTGCCGGACTATCAAGCAAGCTCTCGAGTATAAGTCTGGGCGCGGCAACGAGCATCTGCCAACGACGAAGAAACCACACCGAAGCGGTATCATCATCCAGCCATGCCGAATCGAACACGACGCCGTCGCCGCCAGTACCACCACCTCAGCCATCACAGAAGCCGGTGCGAAGACTGCCATTGACCTGTTCCGGGTGTGGCGCATTCACGCAGACCGAAGACCCGGACCAGCTTGGCTACGTCGACGTCAGCAAGAAGAGGGTGAGGGAATGGCTGCACCCAGTCGCACGGCGGACGAGTGTCGCGGACGGCGACGAGGAGGACAAGATTGTCAATGCTGCGCTGGAGTCTTTGGACCAGAGCAGGCTGAAGGAGCTTGGCCTGGATCCTGCGGCGCTTCTTGAAGGCAGCGAGCCCGAGAGTGTGCCCATCAACAGTACGATACAGCCCTCGTCCTCAAAGTTGGAAGTGGCCTCCTGCTAACCTACTCACGCAGTGATAACGCATCAAAAGCCACCCGTTTGCGAACGCTGCCATGACTTGCTACATCACAGCACAAAGGGCGGCACCGCTAAGCTCACCATGTTCCATCCGACCGTCGAGTCTCTGCGGGAAACGATCGAGGAGTCGCCTCACAAATACAACCACATCTACCACGTCATCGACGCTGCCGACTTCCCCATGTCCCTCATCCCGCGACTCAACGTGCTGCTGGGCGACATTCCGCTGCGCACGCGCAATCGCCGCTCTCGGGCGGGCAAGTTCCAGAACGATCGCAAGACCGAGATGAGCTTCATCATCACCAGGGGTGATCTCCTGGGCCCAACCAAGGAGATTGTGGACTCCATGATGCCCTACTTGAAGGATGTCCTGCGCGACGCTTTGGGAAGGCTTGGTCAGCGAGTTCGACTGGGCAATGTTAGATGTGTCAGTGCGAGACGAGATTGGTGGACCAAGGCGGTCAAGGAGGACGTCTGGAGCCGTGGAGGCGCTGGGTGGTTGCTTGGCAAAGTCAACGTGGGCAAGAGCCAGCTCTTTGAAGCCATCTATCCCAAGGGCAGAATGGTCGAAAAGCCAGAGCGCGCCAGTGTATCGACGTATCCAAGAGGCTCGCCCACGACATCAGAAGATGCCTTGGCGGAAGACGAGAGTCTGGCGACTGTCAATCTCGGATCTCTGCTTCCGCCTCCGCAGCCGGCCCAGAACTACCCAGATATGCCCATCGTTTCGTCACTTCCTGGAACGACTGCATCTCCCATCCGTATCCCCTTTGGCAACGGCAAGGGAGAGCTGATTGATCTGCCTGGGCTGGCACGCAGCGATCTTGAGCTGTATGTGAAGGAAGAGCATAGGCAATCACTCATCATGAAGAAGCGCATCGTTCCCGAGCAGGTCACTGTCAAGCCCGGGTCCTCGCTGCTCCTGGGTGGAGGATTAATTCGAATCACGCCTCGAACACCCGATATGATCTTCCTCATGTACAACTTTACGCCACTTGACGAGCATCTCACGTCGACAGAGAAGGCAATCGCATTCCAGAACCAAACTCACCAATCCACCGGTCTAGAAAACATCACTGTGCCAGGAGCTGGAGATAAGATGAAGCGCGCTGGTACATTCAAGCTGGATCACGATGTCACCAAGAAGAGGGCCGGACCACTGACCAGGAAGAACGCCATTGGCCTGAGCGTCGAACAATTACCATTCCGTGTGTTGTCCGTGGATATCCTTATCGAAGGCGTCGGATACGTGGAGATTGTAGCCCAGGTTCGCAAGAGGACGCTGGAGCGCATACTGGAATCCCAAAATGCGCCCAAAGAGGTCGAGCCAAGCACGAGCCCAGCAGAGGAGCCAAAAGACACCAGCGACCCGTTTTCCAGCATGTACAACATGAGGAGGGACACGGCGGCCAATGATGGCCGGGCCACGGAGCCCAAGGTGCAGCTGCAGCCTCAGGAGTCACCAGACTGGCCGGCCGTCGACGTTTACTCGCCGGAGGGCAAGTTTATTGGGTCGAGGAAGCCGATCAACGGATGGCTAAACAACAAGCCACGCGAGCTGGCGGAGCACAAGAGGAGCCGGCCCCGGAGAAGCATGAAGGGGGCGAAGAAGCTGGAGAAGCAGCGAATGCGCGCGCGCCAAGGGGCTTGATTCGGGGTCGGTGTCACATGCCAGGCGTGAGCATGAAGATGCTGGTGTTGTACGATAACGTGTCCATGATGAATGTGTGTTGTTGTGTGTACAGAATAGATTACGATAACACCCCAATTCCCATTCAGGCGGATAGACGGAGCGTCCACATCGTGATGCCTTAAGTAATGGATGCAAGGAGACTTGATATCGCTGAAGACAGCAAACATTTCGGAGCGTTTCAACTCTCTCGATCAAATGGAATCAATCCGAGATTGAAGCTCAGTGACGCCACCTGCTTAATAAGTAATTCTGACAGCAGAGCATCGTTTGCTATCCTTGTGCTGGGGAAATCGCGGGGCCGCTCAGACTTTCCGACTTGCCTGTTCCTGGTCCTTTCTAGGCCTATCGATGACATCGTCGGAAAAACAATTTAAACCTCGTTCTTAAAACATAATTCATTCATCTGTCTTCCTCTCCACGCTTCAAACGCACAAAAGTCCGCCTACAAATAGACGACTCATTCCCGCCGTATCCCTTTCCTTCCGGTTCCCCCTTCGCTCAACAGAGAACACCTGCTACTGCGCACACGACCAAAAAACATCAGACAAAGCCGAGAAATCACCCCACGAAACTCTCCCATTGCAAGACGCCGCCGCCGCCACCACCATGTCGCAGCAACAAGAGCGCAGAGCGCAGGCGCCCGCAGCGTCGCAAACGAAGACGACGGCAGATACGCCGCAGTCAGAGACAACGGAGAGCCAGCCCAGCGTGATCCTGCGCTTGCGGGGAGGACACACGGCGAACGGCAGATCGGTGCAGTGGGCCGACGACGTCGTGGACAATGAGGGACTGGGTCGGAAAAAGTCAAAAGGTATGTTTTTGTTTTCGCGAGATGCGCATAGGGCAGCGCCTTTGCTGAGGGGAGAGAGAGAGAGAGAGAGAGTTCGCGACTGACTGATGACTGCGAGCGTAGTGTGCTGCATATACCATCGACCCAAGGCGGTTGACGAGTCCAGCGACGAGTCGTCGTCCGATTCTTCTTCCTCGTCCGATTCGGATTCAGATTCGGAGGCCGAGTCCAAGAGCAAGAGGCCTGTCGGTGGCGAGCACGACTGCGGTCATTCCCACGATCATGGGCATAGGCATCATCGCGGACGCGGCAGCGGCGCAAACGGCAAGAAGAAGAGGGCGCCGAGCCCAAACGCCTACGAGAAGATGCCAAAGTACAAGCCGAAGGAGACGGACAAAGAGGTCCCCAAGTAGCTTTGTATGACTTCCATAAGATGTGCATGTCAAGGCTGGGCTTGGAGTTTATTGGGTCATTTGGGGTCTGCGGAATTGGTTTTGGGAGGACATGGCTTTTTTTTTTTTTACCCCGGTCTACATAGGCTGTTGGATGCTGGCATACAGAATGCGGAACACATGGCGAGGCCATCTTTGCAAATTTCATTTTTGGAGAACTCAGGGTTTTATTGCTTCTCAGGGTATCAAGGCAGGACATAACAGCAACAGGTGGACATGGCGCAAAGTGCAGCTGGGCATATACTGATATATACCTTTCGACAGTGTCCAGCAAGAGAATGGATCATAGTTCAAGGTTCCCCAGCCTCGGCCTTTTTCCCACTCTCGACGACAAAGTACTTGCCGGCTCTCCTTGACGCCGTCGCCAGAGCATCCCAGTTCTCGGCATCAGTCTGGATGCGCTCCTTGACCTTTCGCGGCCGCTGATAATGCCCTACAAGAGTCTCCTTCGCCAGCACGTCCTTGAGGTCTTCCAATCCGATAGTGATTTCCTTGATGGCAGCTTCTGTCTCATCCCTGATGGCTCGAAGAGGCTCCACGCCCTTTGTGTCGACTCTCTGCACCGCCCGTGCAAACTGCAGCTGGCTCTGCAGCGTCTCAATCATGGACTGCTCTTCGGCTGGAGACTTGGGTAAGGGTAGGGCGGATAGACGAAGGAGATGGTGTAGTTGGGCCGGGGTGATGGTTTCCCGCGCTTCTGCTGAACTTGACTGCGGTGATTCGGACGGGAGGAGAGAGCTGACGGACCAGGTCGGTTTGGAGAGGATGGCTTGAGCTGTTGAGGGTGATGATTTTGTTGATAGAGGGGCGGATGTCGGCTTTGTTGGTCTGAGGCGGAGAGTTTGCCGTAGCGATAGACGGCATCTTGTGCAGAGCGACATTTTGTAATGAGATTATGCTGATATGTTCTTTGAAAATAGACAGAATTGGGATCTCTGAAGCTTCAAACGAAGTGTCAAACGATTCAACGATATGGACGGATGAGAAGAATGGTGTGCATAATTTTGTCCATGAGTTGTCTCTCCAGTGCAGAAGCCGGAGACTAATCCCCATCCGGCACCTCAAGCACCAGCCTCTCGCCTGTAGCTGCGCCCCACCCCCCACTAGCCACTCCAGCGTCGTCATAGGTCTCAAGTCCCGCCTAAACATGTCTCGGGCGCTTCCTTGCTCTGACGGGCGCAGCGGCCACCAGCCATCAGTTACCGGGCTACATATGTACTTGTGCCGAAACAGAACAAGCAGCGCCCAGCATCGCTCCAAGCGCCATCTCCAGCTGCTGTCAGCGACTCTTCCGTCCTTTATACCCATTACCCAGTACTCTCACATACAACCAAGCGCCCACTCCTCACTATTCGTTGATTCACTTACACGCACAAGAAGACACAGTACATCTCTCATCGATACAACCATGGAGGACCCCCAGGCTCTGATCCAGCAGGTGCGCCGCCTCTCTTGTCGTTAAAGCCACAGCGAGTGTGAAGACGGAGCGAAAAGGGCTTGGGCTAACCAAAACAAACCACCGGGAACGCAGGCCGAGAAGCTCATCTCCAAGGGCAGCAGCGGCTGGAGCCTCTTTGGCGGCTCGGACGAGAAGTTCTGGGATGCCGCCCGATTATTCAAGGAGGCCGCTCAGGCGTACGAGCGACAGGGACAAAGTGCGCCTCTTCTCCCTCTCCCCCTCCCCCCCAGCCCATCTCTGCTCTGAGGAGCTTCACGGAACCCCGATGAGATCATAAGCAGGAGGGAGGAAAACACAACCGAGTTGAAGGGCACAGTGGCTGACTCGTGACACTCCTCTTCGTCTTTTTTTTGCGATATACAGACATCCAGGCCGGAAAGACACACGAGCGAGCCGCGGAAGTACGAGAGAAGAACCTCAAGGAATTAACCGATGCTGCCGACAGCTACGTCGAGGCCTCCGACGCCTACCGAAGAGACGACCCCGAAGCGGCGATCCGGTGCCGGGAGAGGGCCTTTGCCCTGATCCAGCAGTCGACCAGCGAGAGCAAGCAGACGAGGATGTCGCGCGTCAAGGAGATCCTGGGTCAGATCTATGAGCATGACCTCAAGGACCTGAAGCGGGCGCGCGAGGCCTACAAGGAAGCTGCCGAGCGGCTACCAAAGGCGAGAGAGCTGTGCGTGTTTCTATCTTTGTCCCCTTGTCGCTGTGTGAAGAAGTGGCGCCCTTTTAAAGGCATTCTGGTTTTGGCAGAAAACACCATTGTCAAGATCGATAGGCTGATACACACCTTCCCCCCACCCCTTACAGGAACGCCAACAAGCTGTGGACGCAATACGCCGACCTCGCCGCCCTCGACGGCGACTACTACGGCGCCATCGAGACCTACGACCGCATCATCAACTCCATGATCGGCAACGGCACCATGAAGTGGAGCCTCTCGACGTACTGCTTCAAGGCCGGCATCTGCCACCTCGCCACCGGCGACATGGTCGGCACCCGCCGCGCCGTCGAGTCCTACCGCCAAAAGGACCCCGAGTTCTCCTCCCAGTACAAGTACAAGCTGCTCGAGGACCTGTGCAACGCCGTCGACAACCACAGCCAGGACGAGTTCAGCGAGCTGCTCTTCCAGTTTGACCGCACCAGCAGGCTGGAGCCCTGGATGACGGCTATTCTGATCAAGGTCAAGGATTCGATTGAGGCGCCGGATGATGAGTTTGCGTAAAGGAAGCGGGAGGGGGAAAGGGGAGGAAAGTGAATGAATGAAAGAAAGAAAGATGTGAATAAATGAGGAATGGCGATAGGAGAAGGAGGGGGGGAAGAAAGGCGACGGGATACACAGAGGGTAGGAAGCAGCAATGACTCAAAGGGTTTTCGTTTCGTCTTTCGTCTTCTTGGGAACTTACTTTTGGGTTTTATTATTTTTTATCAGGATGTACACGTTGCTATGGTTCTTGTCTGCCGTCGGGCAAAATCAAAGTGTTACAACACGTTCAGGCTTCACGCCGCTGGTCATTGGCATATTCTTCATCATCATCGAGTCAGCTTCGAAATCGGAACGGACAATACTCATCATTATTCCATATCATATCTTTGTCTTCTTCGTTTCAGAACGGCTGAATTAAATATACACGTCATTACGGTATAAGTCGTAGAGGGCAGACCTTCTCCAATTGTGTGCTGCAAATCAGCAGCAGCTTGCAAAACGCTAATATCCCAAATGTTCCCTTGTGATCAATTATCCCTGTGATTCATCATTCTACCCGGCCAACAAAACTCCAATCTGCAATCTGGGACTCTCTACCCCCCTTTGGCAAAATCTATTACGACTGCCAGGTGTCCTCCTTGACAACCTGCGTCACACAAGCCACCGCAGGAACCGTGTAAGTGTGGTTGGGGTCGCTCTCCCAGGTCACGGAGCCATCCTGACCCACATTGATGTACTTGTACTCGACGACGTCTCCAGCCTCCAGCTCGACCGTCCCAATCCACAGGGGGTGGTTATCGGCATAGTTGACGGCGTCCAGAGCAACAGCCGCGCTCGTGCTCCAGTTGCCCAGGGCCGGCGCGCTGCCCGCGACCTTGACCGTCTGGCCAAACTGTGTCGACACGAGCTCGTGGAAGGTGACGGCCACGGACGTTGGGGTAGCGCAGGGCAGGGGCGTGTAGGGCGTACCGGAAGGAACGCCGGGCTTGGGCGTCAGCGACGGAGGGAATGACGTGGCTGTGGGACTCGAGTAGGATCCGACCACGGAGGCGCCGGAGCACGTCGAAGGAATCGTGCTGGCACTGCTGTTTGCCCACGAGGGGGGCACGATGCCAGCTCGACGGGCCGAGGCAGTCAAGAACGAGGCGTACGACCACGTCAGGTGAAGGGCGGACAGTGGAGTGCCGTTGTTGCGGTCAAACTGCTCGGCCAGCGAGCCGTCGGCGGGGACGTACTTGGCAGCCTCGGTGAGGAAGCCATCGGCGTATGTCGAGACGGCGTTGATGATGTTCGTAAAGGTCGATTGGCTGCTGGAGTAGGTCCCAGCTGTCACGCCGGGAACGAGCTCCTGGAAGAAGGCCAGAGAGGTGGCAGTCACCGTGATGGAGCCCGTCTGCTTCCAGACGTAGATGGCATCGTACAGCTGCTCAGCAGCAGCAAATGTGGCAAGGTACCAAGGGTTTCCGTTGAAGTACACATCCTCTGGATATCTGCCAATCGCGACGGCAGCACCAGCAGGAATGCCCTTGTTCACGCCGTAGATGGAGCGGAAGGAGTCGACAACAACCTTGAAGTTGGAGAGGGCTTTGTCACTGCATGGCTGGAAGGTGCCTGCATCACAGCCAAGGTTGGGATCAAAGGTGTGGATGGAAGTGAGAATGGAGTTGACATCCTTTCCAGTTCTGCCCTCGTTCGTGTTGACTAGAGGCGAGCTATTAGTCACAATCATTCTCGAGATTCATGAGCAGCGAAGGACATACTGTTGGAGTCAACGTATCCACCGGACGACACCCAGAAGCGTTGGAGGAAGCACAAGATTTGGGGAGCAACAGATGAATAAGTGCTTTCCGACTGGCCAAGGGTGGCAGCGAGCGTGGCACCCTCAACGAGAGCTGGGGAACTGGTTAGCACAGCAACAGGGAGCGTGGGCGTTTTGCTTCATACCTCGGTGCTGGTTGGCCACAGTAAAGAATGAGCTTCCACTGACTTCTTCCCACAGGTCAAAGCCTGTCTGGTTCCTGTGGTGAAGACGTTAGACACAAGCTGTGATTCAAAGGGCAAGCTGTCACGAACCAGTACTGAGCAACGTAGTTGAGGTCGTTGCGCACAATGGGCCAGATGACATTGGACACAGTTGACTGATAGTTGTTGTTGATAAGCCACTTGGAGTAGCCAATCAAGGCAATGGCTCGCAGAGCTGGGCCATCCCGCTGCGGTCGACCCCAGTTGCCGGTGAATGGCTTCAGGGTCAACTCGAACTTGGGCTCGCCAAGACCAGACCCGTCCGCGAGGGAACCCGATGGATTGGTGAGGCCCTGGAGAGTGACCTGGGCAGTGATGTACTGCTCGATGCGGCGCTGCAGACCAGCATCGTACGTCTCGGTGAAGCGGTCGACAAGGTTCTTGAAGACAAGAGCGCTGTCTCGCGTCCACATGTAATAGTCTGTCTCGATTTCAGTATGCGATACACATCTCGGGGATATACATATGCCGGTAAGGTTTCAACTTACAGTCAGGGTCAGTTGTGCTGGGGGATGCAATGACCGCACCCGCAGATGTGCCAAATGCACGACATCCATCGGGACCAACATTACAGAGAAGGTTGTTCAGCGCAATGGGCGTCTGGGTGCTGATGAAGTCGTCGACGGATCTCTTCGTGACGTCAGATAGACCGCTTAATCCTGGTCTTCCCAGGACCTTTTGAACGGCAACGGAGCCGAGCAGCACCGCAGTCGACAGGACATGCATGATGGGCGGAATGAAGGAGGCAGTGTGAGAGGAAACGTTGAGAGAAAGAGCCGATGCCGAGTGGCTCGCGGCCAGGTCCATGGCGAAGGCGGGCATCTTTTATTATGATATGGAGGCCCCCAGTTAGAGCGCCTGTCGCAATACTAACAGCAACACCAGGTGAACGACGCGGCTTCGTCTTGCCGACTTCGTCCAGTGAATCGATCGTAGATGCTACCTCAAGCGCGCAACACTGAGCTTCTCGCGACTCGGACCGACGACAAAAGGTCTGCAATGCCAAGAGTGGAAGTGTGGACCGTCCCCATGGGGAACTGAGGCCCAGAATGCTGCGAAAGGGCCGAATTCTCCGGGGCCCAAGTGCCGCGACGGGCGGTGCAATGGTCGACAAAGAGAAAGGCACAACCGAAGCTGGCGGAGTAGGTCCTAGTAGTGGCAGTAGTAGCACTCGGGATGAGGCACAAGGGAATAACGCGAGGGAACAAGTGGCAACGGAACGCAACGGCAGGGGAAGGCAATATCCACGAGGTGGTGGTAGGACGGCAAGGATCTTCAGCTGTGGTGTTGACTGCTCGCTTCACCGTCTTCGTCGTCGTCTTCGCCTTCTCTTCGGACGCGGCTGGCTGAAATGTAAGACACGAAGTCGACCTTTCTTCCTCTCTCTCTCTCTCTTTCTCTCTCTCGCTCACTCTCGCTGCTGTCCAGCCCGGGCCCGGCGGCCCTTTTCAATCGTCTCGCCGTCCAGGATCAGCTCCTTACTACTCGGAGAGATCCGACAAGTCGGCGATGCGGTCTCGGGTGGCAGCGGATGGCCAGCTGATGCCAGCCAGGGCACGGCCCAATCATGCCCGCGGTCTCGCTGCTCTGCCTGGGCCAAGATTGCCAGCGTGACGAGCTAGACTCAGATGCCGGGATGCGTCAGGCGAATGGGCTGGCAACGCGTCATTAGTCACGCTGTCAGGAGAACATGCGCAGCTAATAGGGAGAGGGAGGGGAGGCGACGAGGCAGGGAGACGAGTGGACTGGGAGTGATGACGGGGGGAGTCGAGCCTCGGCTTAGCGGGATTCTCGCACGTATTCGTTCCGTCAACGCACCGGTGAAGCGCAACCGCCCCCGAACTGCTCTGCTCTCGTGCAAACCAGGCCCAACAAGGGCAAACAAGGGGATGCTCCGCATTCTGTCTCTGCCAACTCCCGCCCCGTGGGGCAGAAGCGCAAAAAGAGGTGCGGGATCCTGGTTGCGATGAGTGTGCATTTGCCAGGTTCCCGTCCACTAAACCGCCTAGCCTCCGGTGCTAAAAGATACCTGTAGTTAGAGGTAGTAGTAGTAGTAGTAGTCGCCCTACCCTAGAATCAGCCTGTTGAAACCTGCGTTTCCGTCCACATTGCTCCTTAAGGAGATTCTGATATCTGTCATGGACGTTAATACAAAACAAACGTCCCTGCATCGACAATCCTAGAACTTTTGTGCTTGCTTTTTGCATTGACGAGCTCAGATACAGTGTTTAATGCGTACAGGAGTACCATGGACGAAGCTTCCTGCATCCTTCAGGTCCAATTTGGGTGTGGCGAAAAGACGCCGAGTCGGCGTTACTGCATGCGCTCTGGAGCTGGGCTGGTTGGGTTTCACAAGCAACCGAGGACTCGTGATGACAGCTGTACAAGAAGGTAGGATTGTGGGCTCAGATCTTCACATGTAAGACGTGCTCGTGCGTCTCGATCTTGGTACAAAGTACAGACGTCCGTCGAGCTTTCGCTGGCTCTGCATCGACTTCGTACTTGTAGCTCTATCGGACCAAGCAAAAGGAGAGACACGCAATTAATATCAAGTGCATGAAGACGGGTAGAAAAGGCCCGTAGCCACAGGCAGCAATGCATCATCGTACTTTATCAGAGACAACTTGAAGCTCCTTTCCCTCTCAAGACAAGTCTCCACATGCACTGCAAGACGATGGATGGGAGAATCAAGCACAGCACAGCAAACATCAACTTGTTGAAGCCACGAGGTCGGAGTTCGGGGTAGCACCAAGGCTTGGTTTCTCTCGACATGGCAGTCAGCAAACTGACATCATGCAGGCTTCCCTCGTGTCATTTCATCCTGAACTGAATCCCAGGAGGCTGGATGCGGCCGTCACAGTCACGAGGCATGTAAGCGGTCTCCAACCAACCCCGCCAGCCAGGGGATCTGATATCTGACATGTCGGTCCGTCGGGGTTACTCTGTTGACTACTATTCACGGCTCGAGTCGCACGATTAATCATTCTTTCCTTCCGTGCAGCTCAAGTCAGATGGCATCGCCAGGGTCAGAAGCCCAAGACGAGGCTCAACCGCCGCTGCAGAAAATGCTACCAACAAGCACCAGCATCGATATGTAGGCAACCCATGGTTTTCCTCAACCTCACCGGCCGACGGCCTTGGAAAAAAGGGTTGGAATATGGGGCCCCCGAATCCTCCAGCCACAACACTCAAGCCGTCTTGCGACAGCGAATGAGGCAGCCGGAGGCCGAATTGTTCTTGGACCTGTCGATAGGATGATTGACACCATAGCAAGTTGATGGCTCCATGGAGTTATCGAGCTGCAGAGCAGTCGACCCTGACGCGTGAACGCAGAGGACCGCAAAGCACAGATCCGTTGTTTGTTGAGAAGGAAGGGAAAGAAGAAGAAAATTTCACATTCCGGCGTTATATGGAGTTGCGATGGAAAAAAAAATCAGTGGTGGATACAGTCACGTGCTTACGGAAGTTTATCGGTAAAACTGATTTCGCCGGCGATAAGCTGCGACAAGCTAGCGGATAGTCAGTACTAGCAGTATCATCATCATATCAGGCTCCATTCATCAACAACCTGCAAGTCATTGCTTCTACGCCGACGTCCCTTCAGCTGTTCGACCCTCCGACCAGATTTCGAGCAATCATGGACGCGGCAACGATCGAAGAGACGAACCGGATCCGGATATCGCTGGGCATGAAGCCCTTGCCGGTACCCGGAGCCGATCCATCGCCCCAAGCCGCGACGGCAGACGACGAAGAACCCGGAAGCACCGTCGAGAGTCGCCAGGCGCAGGCCTACGACAATTACAAAAAGGTCCAGGAGGAAGAGGCCGCCAAGAAGCGACGCGAAGAAAGGGCTGCTGCGGTGCGAAAAGCCCGTGAAAAGGCCCAGCGGGCTGCTCTTCTCGAAGGGAAGGGGCTCGGCGAAGAGGAGGTTGGCGACCTGGATGCCAAGTCGTGGTTGTTGGGCCAAAAGAAGAGACAGAAGCAGATTGAAAAGGCACGGAAGCTGGAGGAGGAGCTTGCTGCGGCAGAAGCCGCGGCGGCTGCTGCCATCCAGTATACCTCTAAAGACCTCGCAGGCATCAAAGTTGCGCACGACTCGACAGCCTTTCTGGACGGAGACGAACAGATTCTTACTCTGAAAGACACCACAATTGACGAGAACGAAGAAGAGGGCGATGAGCTTGAGAACCTAAACCTCAGAGAACAAGAGAAGCTCACAGAGAGGCTGGACCTCAAAAAGAAGCTGAAGGGCTACAACCCCAATGACTATAATGATGGCGAGGGCACCATATTGGCACAGTACGACGAGGAGATCAACGGCAAAAAGGCGAAAAAGTTCACTCTTGATGATGATGGAACCATCGCTGAGTTGTCAGATATTCTGGGCCAGCCGGAGCGGAAGGCCAAGAAGATTCAGTCAATCAGCCTTGATGATATTATTGGTATGTTTCCCCACTCCTTCTGCTAATCTCTCGAAGGCAACACTGACAGCTCTTTTCCAGATGGTACACCTTCGTCCGACTACCTTGCCCCATCAGAGATCAAGGTCAAGAAGCCCAAGAAGAAGAAGGGCAGCAAGGGCACCAGACAAAAGCAGCTTGATGAGGACGACATCTTTCCCATCGAACCTGCTACAGTGGATGCCGGTGCCATGGATGTAGATACGAAAGATTCCTCCATATCCACTAAACGGAAAGCTACAGCGGATGACTTTGCAGATGACGATGATCTCCAAGCATCACTGGCAATCCAACGAAAGAATGCGCTAAAGAAGCGCAAAAAGACACGCCCTGAGGATATTGCAAAGCAGCTCAAAGAGGAACAAGACGAGCCTGAGGAAGCCCCTAGTGGCGGCCTAGTAATCGGCGAGATTTCTGAATTTGTTGCCGGGCTGAGCAAGCCAGACGAGGAAGATCGCCGGGCAAGGAGGCAGAGAACGGCCACAAAAACTCCCGAACCGGAGGATCGCCATATGGGCGGTCAAGACGAGGATGCAGAGATGGACGAATACGCAAGAGAACACCAAGAAGCCCTTGCTGCTGCCCAGCAAGAAGAAGAGGAGAGAAGTCAAAAACAGGAAGAGAAAGAAGGAACAATCATTGGAGAAGAGAAAACCGTCGGCGAAGGCATGGGTGCAGCTCTCGCTTTGCTTCGGGAGCGAGGACTCATCGACTCTACTTCAAAGAGCGGAAGCTACGAAGACTTCAAGGCGCGCGAAGAGTTCCTTGTCAAGAAGCGAATCCTGGAGACCGAGCTGGAAGAACAAACGCGGCACCAGAGAGAGCGCGACAGGATGAGCGGGCGACTGGACCGCATGTCCGTCAGGGAGAGGGAGGAATGGGCTCGTCAGCAAAACACTCACCGCGACCACCTGCAGTCGAAGCGGATGGCCGAGCTGTTCAACGCGACCTACAAGCCAAACGTCGAGCTAAAGTACGTCGACGACCACGGCCGGAGGCTGGACCAGAAGGAAGCCTTCAAGCACCTGAGCCACCAGTTCCACGGAAAGGGCAGCGGCAAGGGCAAGACGGAGAAGCTGCTCAAGAAGATTGATGACGAGAAGCGGCGCGAGGCCCAGAGCATGTTCGACGCGAGCCAGAATGCGGGTATGAATCTGGCGACGGCGCAGCAGCTGAAGAAGCGCAGGGAGGCGGGCGTACGGCTCGGCTAAAGTGCCAACACGGAACGGCAGGCCGCTATGATGCTTTTTTGTTTTCTTTTTTTTCTTCTTTAACGATTCCTTTGCCGGGGAGGCATACATACGTCCATCTGCCTCTACGCTAACTTTTACTGGTAATCACGCTGGGTTGGGGCACTTTGTTAGGGATATCTTATAAAACCAAAGGTGCATATTCCTTTTCTTGTTATGCTTTCTCTCTCTCGCTCTCTCTTCATGTGCTTGCTGACACTTCCAGAGTCGGTGTCGATGTGGTCTCCTGCTCCAGGTTTGTCACCTTTGATAACACCCCCATGTTTTCGTCGTGAAGCGTCCTGGTGCCAGCCGAATCCATCGTAGCGATGTGCATGTTTTAACTGCAGCCCTCACAATTTTCCAAGGACTACGCTTTTCCATTCACTTGTTATACTCGTATACTCGTAGGGTGGTAGACAAAGTGACAGATATGCGTATATCATTGAGTCTTGGATATATTGATAGCTTTGTAATCTCGTCTTGCATGCCAAATGGACAATCATAGCAACCAATACATTCTCAGAACTAAAAGACGAGAGAAAAAAAGAAAGAAAAATCACAAATACCAGACGCTCCAAAATCAAATGCCGTAAATGAATGTCATGAAAAGAAAAAATTGCACCGTCTATATCCTGACCCTAGCTCCAATACCTCGTCCTTCGTAATGAATAGTCTCTATCCAATTTCCTATCCTGAGTGTTGCCTCTGCCTTGGCATCCAGCTTCAACGAGCCGTCCATTGCGTCAATCAGCTTGTCGTAGCCGATGCTATCGGTCGACCAAGTGACGGGCAGACGCGGAGTCTCCGTCACCCCTGGAAGCGCGTCGAACGGCTCATCGTAGAGGATGTGGCCGACAGGTTCTGTATGGTTGTAGAACGCCGTAGCGTTAATCTTTTCGATATGTATAATGTTGTGCTTGAGCGGGGATGCGAGGCTGAAGGTGGCAGTGGAGGAGAAAACGTGGAAGATTGCGTCCCTCACAAAGTTCTTGCCCTGGTCCCTGCCGCTCTCGTCGCCCGGTAGCTTGAGCCGGGGCGTTGGCAGTGAAACGTTGAACTTGGAGAGAGCATCGCCAATGATGGGCACTTGAGGGAAGCTGCCTTCATGGGTCCTAAATGTGAGTGTTGTGTTCTTGCCAGAAACGTAGTCGGAGAGTAGTTGCACGGCAGCTTTGTGGCTCTCTTCTCCACCCAAAGATGTTGGGTCCAAGGTGGCGAAGATGACCAGATCCGTGTTGTTCCCCAGCTGCACGTCCAGATCCTCGACTGTAACCTCCCCGATCAGCAGCTCCCCGTGGTAAACGTGGACATTTGCCAGAGGGATAGAGGCCGTATAAGGCGTAGGGTTCGTTATGTTGACAGACGCTTGCATGTGAACAGCATGCTTCGTTGTGTTGAGAATGACCAAGTTGGAGACACGGGGATTTAGTTTCGTAAGCGTTTTACCAGGAAGCTCTGTTCCAGTTTGTTAGCAGAGCTGTCCTTGGGCGCCTTGCGAGGTGAACCACAATCGTACCTTCAACAATTAAGAAGAGATACGTCATGCCACCTTCGCAAGGGAGCCGCGCGGAAACTACCAAGGCGAAGACAGACGTTTTACTGGAATCTTGCCCTTTGCAGGAACATCTCTGAGAACCAGGTCTCCGAGCACAGTCGAGACTTTGGTGTCGACAAGAGCCTCAACGTCGAGGAGAATGTCCTCGTCACCGAGCAGAAGCTCTCCCATCACGTCGCTGAAGACGTCACTATCGGTGATGTCGAGAGGAACATTGGCGATCCGAGACGTAATTTGGAGCAGCGCTTTTTCGTCTTCTGGATCCGTTGTTTTGCTCGACTTGGCCTTTTGCCAGCGCTCCACGTTGAGCTCTCCAAATTTCTTGCCCTCATAGAAAATGTCACCGGTGGCTCGGAGATTGTTGACGCCAATATCCACGTTCAGTTCAGAAGGAAGCTCAGCAATAATCTCAATCGTTCCAGACACTCGGGGCTTTGAGCTCGGGTCGTTAGGGTCCGCAAAGGGGCTCGGAAGCTTGAAGTCGACATCTGTAAGAGACAGATTTCGAATAGCATCGTCGAACGACCGCCCTGGGAAGCTGATCGGCACAGTGACACTGCTGAAGAAGGATCGGAGCCACTCTGGGACATCCGACTTGTCTGAGTTCTGACCCCGAACGAAAACCTGGGCATCTTCACCATGCATGTAACGCTTGAAGAAGTTGTCCAGAGGTGACATCTTGGTCAGGGGACAGGCACGAGTAAGCTTCTCGGGGATATCGTTGATGAGACCGACGGCATCAACGGTGACATTAGCATGCGGCTCCACATCAATTGGCTGAGTGACGGCAGTGGCCACCATGATATAGGACTCGGACGGGTCACAGTTGGGCACGAGGATATCAAAGGCAAGTTGCGGAACGGTGAGGCCAATTGGATGGTCGTTGTATGCGATGATGGAAGCATTCGCACCAACGGCCATCCGTCCACCATCACCAGCGGGCACATCGTGGATGTTGAGGCGGTCAATCTTGTACTCGGGCAGAGAAGGAATTTGTTTGGCTGTAATTGAGTTAGCAAAGAGTCCATTGAATAAGTTATGTCAACAGCAATCTCTTCTTTCATTGTATAGTTTTTTCTCCGAAATATAACAAAGCAAAGGAGCGGTAGAGAGATTGACCTTCAAAGACCATCGACTCGACAATCTCGTGGGTCCCAAGAGGCAGGATGCCAGTCTTGAGACGAAGCGAGGCAAAGCCGGTCACCTTGACTTGCTGAAGCTTGCCATCTAGCCAGTCGTTGGCAATCTGACGTAAGCTCTCAGCATCTCCAGGGCTGAGATCAGCGACAAAATCCAGCACAGTAGTCTTCCCGTCGACCAGAGTGATGCTCAATGGGGGCACAACCGCAGACCCCAGGAGAGCGTTGTCGTAGTTTGGCAGATGCACGCGAACGCTCGTCTCTTCCGTATCAATCTTCCTCACAATGCTGGTAGCTAGCCTGCCGAGGCGTCTTGCAGTACCGTCCTTGACTCGCGAGCCATCAAGCTTGAAACTGGCTTGGATTCGCGCGCGGATGCCATCCGGAGTGAGAGATTCGAGAGCCAATCCGGTTGGCTCAAGGACGGCGGCGTTCTCGGCGTACGACTTGACAGCAGGTGGTACAAGGAAGCCAAGGACCATGACCACAATGGTGAGGGCGGCCAGGATGGCAATGGCAATTATCGAGGGCCATCGTAAACGGCTTTCTGACTTGGACGGCGATCTGTTCGGGCTGTCTCTCTCCTCTTCTTCGTGCTCTTGATGGTGGTTGTCATCGGACAATAACGGCGAGGATTCAGTCACGGGCCCCTGCTCGGTGCCGGACGAGAGCAGGGGAGACGTCTCGGACGCCTCTGGCGTCTCGTTGTCTAGTGTAGAGCCATTTGCAGTGCCGCGAGACGGTTTGGCGAAGCTTACGGCGACCCGAAAATCCGGCATGGTGAGCCCGAGAGCTGGATCGGATCGAGTAGGCGGCTGGAAGAAGCGTCCCCTGGCGAGGCGTCGTCGCCTTTCGCTGAGGTTTGGCTGGAGGTCTCTGCTCTGTCGAGCTCCAGGCGTAGGAAGTCGGTAATTGGATGTTGTCTGTAAGAATGCAGGGAGAGACACTGATGCACGACGAGCTGCCCAGATGCGTTTAGATGCGTTTAGATGCACAGACTGAGGGCGGGTTTATTGTGGCTCGCGGATGTCGTCGTCACCATTGAGCGATAGGAGTGGAGCAGTGTCGACACTGCTGGGCAGGTACGGAGACGGATCAAGTACGGAGACGGCGCACGTGCTTGGCGCGATCTCATTGGGTGGCGAATCTCTCGTCTGCTTAGTCATGCATCTTCAACCTCCATCTCCTGGCATCTGGACTCGGTACCTGCGTAGTGTGCCGCTTTGCCTGTTTTGCCCGCGTCTCCTTGGCACCCAAGCGAGCCGCTGTTAATGCGGTACCTGTTTTAGTCCAGGGGCTAGCGTCTCTTGCATCTTGTGAGGCACGCACTTGGAGTACCTCTCACTGAGTCGGATCTCCGCTTTGGGTGCTAAGCCTAGAAGGGACTAGTAGCTGAGGAGCACTTGAAGCAACCGCAACTTCGACCTTGAGCTTCCTTGAGCTCAACAACCAACAAAGACGTGAGCACGGAATGTTACTCTAGGACGAATTACCAGGAAATTCCCGAATCGAATGCTCTGTTACTACTCTGTAGTAGTCTACTAGCATGACCAAAGCGTTCTGAAGAGTATCTTCACCAATGCATTGGCGTTGCACGTAAAGCTTGGGGCTCACGGAAGTCTGGTGTGATTCAGAGCTAGTAGTTCTCTTCGTCAACTCGTCATCCTCATGGTCTCATCGCCAGATGAGGTTTGTCGCCATGATTTGACTCTTGTTGCTACTACTAATATACTTACACTGTTTCTCAATCGATCCATTTCCACAGCACTTATTGTTGTCCTCATTGGCCAAGGACAGCCAACTGGTAGCGACAACCCCCCAACTGGCTATGCCTTGATGTGATTGGAGGAATCATTCAGATGCGCAGGAAATGCAGGACCTGGACGACGAGACTCCACGAGTCTTGGCATCGACAAGCTCGCTCACCTTCTTCATCTTTCTCGCAGTCTCGTGCTCTGATTGACTTGACAAATGGAAATCTTTCCGACACCGACGCCGTGCCAAGATTCTCGCGAGCTTCCTAATTAGGCAATTCTGCACTAGCGCCAGCCCCTGGAAACTGAGTCGAGAACGACATCGTTTGTTCGTGAGCTGCTGCGCCATGAAGTCTGCCCTCGTGTTCCGGCCTTTCGTCAATCAGACAGAAGTCAGTCAGCATAAGAGTTGCTTGAGGATGATGTGTTTTCAACCTGAACTGCCCGTGTTGAGACTGCACATGAGTTGGAGTCGTCGCCGTTTCTTCTGTTACCAGGAGATAATAGATACATGTAAGTAATGTTGTGCGGTTCCGGCAAACTTGCTCGTACTTGCGAGCATCGCGAGACTCCTGCTTCCTGCGCCAATATCACCTCACCACAACTATAGCACACTGGCCACGCGGTAGACTAAACTTAAAAATTACTCTACTTTCATGGTTACTCTAGCGCGTTCATGGGTTTACAGTTAAAGGCAGGTGCTTGCATTTCGGGTCGCAGAAGAATAAGCAGGCTTCTTCGCCGGCGCGATTTGAAGAGGATCGGATGAGAAGACGTTAGCCTATTTCCGACAACCCCCTTGATGTGATGATCATCAGGCAGTAGAGCGGCATTTGCAGGGCCCCCTTGTGAGTACAGCTTCCATATGACCTTCCAGACATCTAGTTTTTACAAGGACAAAGGCTGAATGGATGGAGCCAAAGCTTGCCGAATCAACCAACATCACTGATATGAAGTTGGAATTGAAGCACTACATTGCAAGGTGAGGCTGACGAGATAGTTCCTATTCGCAATCAAATTGCTCGTCATAGGCAGCTATTACCGCCATGTATTGCTTCCACATTAGACTAAATCATCATCACATTGCCGAGTTTGATGGGCTTGCTTCGTTGGGTGGATTCTGAGCAGGTCGCAGCCGGTGTCTCCGCATCCCGAGTCGACGCACGCAAGGCGGCCAGTTTACGTAGTGAGTCCGTCTCCTTTATGCCTTGATGATGACCGCCTCAGCCTTGCGATTCATCGAGCATAGCGGTGTTGCATTTAGATCTGATTTCCCAAGAGTTGCCTTGGAATTAATTCCACCAGTCACAGCTTGGCCTGGCCGCGATCCAACCCACCGGTTCCTACATCTCCTCCCTGATTCGGCACTCGCGAGCCATCAGCTGGCTTGGCTTTGGGATCCGCCGAGATCCAACCGACTGGGATGATGGCTGTTCGCTTGTTGGATCGTACCTCTTGAAAGACTGCCATGAGTCGAGTCGACAAGACTGAATGGGACCTCCTTCCAGTGCATCGGCGCATTCTTCCAGTTGAGGAGATGAGCAGATGGGAGTGCTCCCCAAATCACAGACTATGCGCTTGATACAACTCTGTGGGTGGTGATACCGCTCTGGAGGTAGCATGATCTGGTATGGAACCTTTCGATTGATGTGGAAGCTGGTAGACCAAGTCATCTCGCAGTTCGGATGGAGATCATGCGCCCACTCCTCGGCGTCTACGGTCCTACGTTTAACCCTTGAAGGCTAGTTACCGGCATGGCAGCAACCATCTGAATGATGCCTCCCCCCTGTCTCCCTTGTTGGGAAGCATATCGTAACAAGTGAACAGGCCAAGCACAAGTATAAGTACCCCGGCCCCGTCGATCACTTGCCTGAGAATCATCCACTTCCAGGCACACAGTCGATCAAACAACCAGTTCTCAACGCCAAAGAACCGCCACAATGGTTGCCATCAAGTCCCTCTTCGCCGCCGCCCTGGCCCTCCTGCCAGCGGCCAGCGCCACCCGAAGCTTCTACAACGACGGCCACCTCAACGGCTGGGACTTCGTCCGCAAGGAGAACCAGGGAACCGTCTCCGAGGTCTCCAACGTCGTCTTCAAGGGCACCTCGGCCCTCAAGATGACGCAGACCTACACGCCCGGCTACACCGGCCGGTACCACTCCGAGGTCGACCACAACCGCGGCTACCAGCGCGGCGAGGAGCAGTTCTACGGCTTCGCCTTCCGCCTCTCCGAGGACTGGCAGTTCCAGCCGCAGTCGTACAACATTGCCCAGTTCATCGCCAACCGCCCCGGCGCGGGCTGCGGCGGCGACGACTGGATGCCCTCGACCATGATCTGGGTCCAGGGCGACCAGCTGTACAGCCGCTACGTCAACGGCCACTACCGCCAGCCCAACTGCGGCCGCAACATCGTCACCCGCCCCAACCTTGCCACCGTCTCTGCTGGAGTGTGGCACCGGGTCGTCCTCCAGATCAAGTGGGCGTCGGACAACACGGGTTACTTCAAGGTCTGGTTCGACGGCGCAAAGGTCCACGAGGAGTACAACGTCGCGACCACCGTCGACGACGATAGCGTCTTCCAGTTCCGCATCGGCCTGTACGCCAACAGCTGGCACGACGACGGCCACATGACCGGCAGCCAGAGCTTCCGCCAGATCTGGTACGATGAGGTTGCTGTCGGCACCACCTTTGCCGATGTCAACCCTGATGCTTAAGTCAGTGGCTGGAATGGTATGAGTGTTCGTGGTGGGAGTCTCGATGAAACGCAGAGGGTTTGCCTGAGGACATGACTACCATATGCGGCCATGCAGTTACATGTATATAATTTTCAAGAGCAATTGCCTATCAATTGCTGATATATAGCTTTTCTTTACCCTGAATATTCATCATCGTACATAGGTACATACATACCTTCAATCACCCCCAACTACATGCAGCCTTAACATGTGCTCTGTTTCAGGCAATGAGTGTCAATCGCTGTTATGACACAATGGTCCATGACATCCTATGCATGGTGCCCAGTAGACATTGCGCTCTTATCAAAGATATACCACAATGTGCTCTGGTGTTTGCCAGAAGAAGGGATTCAAAGGGCCAGGGTAGCACCAATTGAAGTTGATTGACTGCCTGTGCACAAGTACACGCACCGCAGTCGGCGCCCCACAATTTCCTTTCTCTCACCAGCTTCATCGGCTCTCAATGACTCTTCAGCAGCTGTGCTAACCTCTTGATGACTCTACCCTTGATTCATATCGGCCTTTGATCGCAAATATAACTGCACCAGCGGATTGAATCTGGATCAAGTATACGTAAGTTGCCTTTTATTCCTCAATTGGTATTCTCTCTATCCCGCAATTGCAACCACAGACGCAAGAGCTAAGCAATATCCGGTCTCCGGCTCAAGACTCTACAAAGCGCAAAACAACGATAAGAAGAGAAAGACACCATGAAGACAGCAGCAACACGAGCCTTCCGAGGCGCCCTCAATGGCCTCCAAACTCGCGCCTACTCACAGGCTGCTGCCAAGCCCAGGCACCTCATGTCCATCAGCGATCTCACGCCCTCCGAGTTCTCAGCCCTGGTGCGCAACGCAGCCGCCCGGAAGCACGACGCCAAGTCCGGTCGCGTGCCTCGCCTGAGCAACGGCCTGGCCGGCGAGACGGTGGCCATGATGTTCAGCAAGCGCAGCACGAGGACGCGTGTGTCGACCGAGGCGGCGGTGACGATGCTCGGCGGCCACCCCATGTTTCTGGGCAAGGACGACATTCAGCTCGGCGTTGGTACTTCCTGGTCAAAATCTTTTGGTGTGTAGAACGTCTCATCGCTGAACTTTGCGCTACAGGTCAACGAGTCGCTGTATGATACCTCTGTCGTCATCTCATCAATGACGTCCTGCATGGTAGCTCGAGTTGGCCCCCATTCAGACGTCACCGGGCTGGCAGAGCACTCGACTGTTCCCGTCATCAATGCCCTCTCAGACGACTTCCACCCTCTGCAGACCATTGCCGACTTTCTAACCATCCACGAGGCTTTTCCGTCCACTCAGTCCAGCAGCAAGAGCCTCAACCTCAGTGGCTTGAAGGTAGCCTGGGTCGGTGACTCCAACAACGTGCTCTTCGATCTTGCCATCGGTTGCGTCAAGACGGGTGTCGACATCGCCGTCGCCTCGCCCCAGGGCTACGGCATCCCTGATCACATGAGGCAGCTCATCACCTCGGCTGCCAGCGGCGTGGCTTCCCCCGGCAAGCTGTCGGAGACGACCGTTCCGGAAGAGGCCATCAAGAATGCCGACATCCTGGTGACGGACACGTGGATCTCCATGGGCCAAGAGGCCGAGAAGCAGAAGAGGCTCAAGGCTTTCGCCGGGTACCAGATCACCAACGAGCTGGCGAAGCGAGGTGGTGCCAAGGAGGGCTGGAAGTTCATGCACTGCCTGCCCCGGCACCCGGAAGAGGTGGCGGACGAGGTGTTTTACAGCCCTAGGTCTTTGGTCTTCCCCGAAGCAGAGAACAGGCTCTGGGCAGCCGTTGGTAAGTCTTTTTCCACATTCCCTACTGAGCACCTATACATACGAAGATGGACATCAAGCTGACTTGCTTCCTTAACCTTTTCACAGCGGCGTTGGAAGGATTTGTCGTCAATAAGGGCAAGCTTGAGTAAAAGGTTCGGCTTGGATGATTTACGAGGAGTTTTGAAAAGTCAGATGAATTGAATGTACTTAGGCGTCAAGACACAAGCAGTAATTGAACATTGAATTCACATTGCTAAACCAACGACCATTTTCCCCACTAGACGCCCAGTGTCCAAAGACCCTAGCTACATATAATTCTCGTGAGAAATTTGCAACTTTTAACCAGGAGGAAGCTGGCTAGCATCAACAACCTCATCGGCTTCTTTAATGATGGACTCCTCGTTGTGCTTATGCAGAGGCGATCGGGGCAGGGCCATCAGGCCAGTGCGGGCAGACTCCAGGATTCCAAAGGGAGCAACCAGTTTCATGAAGGAATCGATTCTCGACGGCTTGGCGGAACTGTTCCATTGGGTTAGTCAGAAAGCGGGCGGAAGGGGGCACGCGAAACAACGTACACTTCGACAATGCAGCTCGTAGTGCTAATATCCAACACCTTGCCCCCGAACTGATGCGTGAAGTAGGTGATGGTCTTCAAGTGCTCGTGCTTGTGTCGAAGAGCCTCACTGGCAGCCAGCTTGCTAGGGTGGAAGTCATTGGCCGACTCCTCGAGCGTCCGCTCATACTCGTTGCCTGACTCGCTGGCCGACTCGCCGTTGCTCATCTCGCGGTGGTGGGCAAGCAGCTCCTCAAAATACTCAGGTCCGAGGATATTGACCTTGGCAAGGAGCAGCTCACGCTGGACCAAGGCGGCATTGCTGTAATCCAAGACAGCCCAGACGGGCACCAAGTCTTCCAGCTGGCGCCGGGCTTGCTCGACGACGCCGTCCTGGCCGGTCAGGACAATGGTCATGCGAGAGAGATCCTCCACTTCGGTGTTGCACACGACCAGCGAATCGATATTGAAGCCTCGAGCTGCGAGGATACCGGACAGCCGGGACAGCACACCGGGCTCGTTCTGGACCAGGCAGTTGAGGATGTGGCGCTTCGGAGGCGCCATGGACGGCGTGGGCGTCTCATAGAGGATGTTGGAGACGGCAGCCTGCGCGGACCAGGCAGGCGGCGTGTCAGTGATGGGGAGGGGAGCCGAGCGGCGTCGCAGGGCCTTGTAGGCGATGGCCGAGGTTGAGCTGCTGGACGAGCTGTGTCGCACCGTCGTCCTCGCGACAGCGGCGAGGCGCAACGATGCGCTCCACGGCCGAAGCGAAGCCATGCTGCAGCGAAAGTTGGTGTCAATTCAATTCACTGCACGACGATACGGGGGGTTTGTGTGACTGACTTGGTGTTTGTGGGGTGACGACTAGAGTCGATGGAGGAGGATGGAAGAGGGAAGGGAAAGTCAAAAAGTTACTAAGTGAGATGGAGGTGGGCTCCGATAAACCGGAGGTTGACTGACGCACAGCGGCTTAGCCCGGATCAACGTCCGGCCAACATTAGTTGGACATCCGATGCCTACATAATGTAATACAGCGAGTATACGCACGTGGAATCCCAAGCTGTATCAATTGATTAGGCCATGGGTAAGGGACGTTAGATTGAGCTACGGTAAATTCCTTGGATGACTAGAGACATGTTGAACTTGTATGTGCGGCTGAGATGCCTGACGTTGGAATTGCTGTCATGGACAAGTACACTCTGCCCCGCGATCTGTTGCAGATACTATCAAGATTCAGCCCAAACACTCGTCAAGGCGAAAACTGCCTTTCCCAGGAGTAAGAGTTCATCTGGCTCATGTAATATGACATCAATTGTCCCGTTGGACATTCAACAGTGCCTTTAACTTCTTTGTGATTCCTCTTTATCTGCGTTGGGCTGGTGATAGTCCCGATCAAGGTTTGGCCTCCCTGCAGCCTCACGTAAGAGTGCAAATCCGGGTTGGCAGTGGTCACTCGACACATGTGTATAAGCATATCAAGGCGTATTGCTATTGTTGAGTTACAATGGCATGAATCTACTAGAATGCAATTCCCCATGTCCACTGCCGCCAATACTAGTCCACTGCCTTCTCAAAGACCCTTGAACAGCAAAGCTCCGAAACCGCATTTCCCCACGGTTTTCAATCAAGATAAGGTAACAGATTGCATTATGTAAGACGCATCCACGTCGCGCGAGTACGTTTTTCCGAGGCGGTGACATGGTTGCTTGGCAACTTCACGGCAGGTGCGCAGCAGGAAAGCACCTTCCTGCAAGTACCGAAGTACTTCGTACCTCTTCGAAGTTCCCAAATTCCAAAATTTCCATCCAACTGGCGCTGATCCACGCACGTCGCGAGCATTCGCGCCTCTCAGCCTTGCATCCTACTGCCTTTTTTATTTCCTGCGATACGACGACAACCCTGGCCTTGCTGCAGCTTCCCGCAGTTTCGTAATCTAGCGCCTCGTTATCGTCGCCAAAACCTGCAAACGGCTTGTGTCTCCTTTCTTCCTCCTTCGCGACATCATGGAGGATACCGAGCGACGACCCAAGCGGTCTCGTTTCGACCAGACCGAGCCTGAGCCCAAGCGAGCCTCGAGATTCGACAGACGCTCTCGATCCCCGCCCACGCGCCGCTCCGAGGGAAGAGAGCGCAGTCCCCTTCCCAGAGAGGACTCTTCTGAGACAAAGAAGTCCCCGGTGGACGCTGCTGCCGCCGCTGGTACGTTCTGAGACCCTTGGAAGATCCCGAGACCCATCTGGGGAGACGCAAATGCGCGTGCGAAGTGCGATGTCGATGAGCTAACCAATCATGCACACGATAGCCGCTGCCGCTGCCAAGATCAACGCCCAGCTGCAAGCCCGAAAGGCTCCTCAGCATGTCGACGTCCCCCCGATCAAATCCGCAGGCGGAAGCTCTGCCGATGGCGGTGACCAGGAGATGAAGAAAGAGATGTATGTTGCCGATGGCGACTTCATCCAGGACATCGAGGTCAACGATCTGCGCAATCGCTACCTGTTGACCAAGGGCTCGACCCAGGAAATGGTAAAGACATCCTCAAAATACCTTGCTCCGCTACTTTCGTCGGCTTGATAATGCACGGCGCGATGGTCGAGGGCACCGAGTCGCAAGGCTACCGACTTGCACATGCCCGCCTATCCCCTTTTTCGCTTTCGCTAACGTAATGTCGCTCTAGATCCGAAATGAAACTGGTGCCGGTATGCAATCATCCTTGGCCTGTTGAACCCGTAGAGGAGTGATGTTGACTCAGAATCCGCAGACGTTACGACCCGTGGCAGCTATTACCCTAACAAGAGCATGGCCACCGCGGCGGTAAGATGACATACCCGTGCTGATACCTTGGTCGTTGTTCGGTTTCTAACTCAGATTACCTTGATGTCGGGAAAAGAACCCTCCCCTGTACCTCCATATTACGAGTACAACCAAGGCTGGTCTTGAAGCCGCCGTGGAAAAGATCAATGAGCTCATCAAGCAAGAACTTCCTCAACTGGTCGACGAGCGTCGATTCCGACGTCGAGATCAGGAGCCTCAGCCGCCAGTTGAGCGAGACGAATATGGACGAGTATGAGGCATCCCCCCCAATTCTGTCACTCTCCTTCACAACTAACAATCTTCTGCAGCGGAAATGGCCCGAAGAGAAGATCCCCATCGATCTTGAGCCAGTCCATGGGTTCAACCTGCGAGCTCAGGTAGTCGGCCACGGCGGCGCCTATGTGAAGCACATCCAGCAAGAAACTGGATGTCGTGTCCAGATCAAAGGCCGCGGCTCGGGCTACCTCGAAGCAGCCACTAACCACGAGAGCGATGAGCCCATGTTCCTTCATGTCACGTACGTATCGGATCATAGCCCTGTTCAGGCTCTGACTTGCCTTACTGACCAGATGATCGTAGCGGACCTGACCCAAACATGGTTGCCAAGGCCAAGGAGCTTTGCGAAGACCTGATTGCCAATGTCAAGGAACAGTATGAAGAGTTCAAGGCCCGTCCTCCTCGCTACAATAATGATCGTGGCGGATATGGCGATCACCACCACCGCGGATCCCACGACAGGCATGGCGGATCTCACCACAACTCCTATTCTTCGTACAATAACAGATACGGTTCCGAACCTCGCGCATCCAACAGCCCTGCTCCGGTAGCCACTCCCGTGGCAAATGCTGCCGACTATGCCGCTCAATATGCTCAATATTACAACGGCGCCGATCCCTATGCTGCCTGGGGAGGATATGCTAAGTAAGTCAGCGTTCTCGTAAAGGGGGATTACGACAAATGGCTAACGCGTTACAGCTATGTCGCTCTGTATCAACAATACTACGGAGCTCAGACTCAAGCTCCAGGTCAGAGCTCACATGTTGCAGCAGCCCCCGGTCAAGCCGCTCCGCCGCCGCCGCCTCCTCCTGCCGAAGCGGCTCCTCCTCCGCCCCCTCCCCCAAGCTCTGCCCCCCCTCCTCCGCCGCCATCCGGACCGCCCCCTCCCGGCGGGAGCTTCAGCGCTGTAAGTAGACTCATCCCATGTGGCCTCTTCGCCCATTGCTACAAGTGACTGACCATATCGTTAGGTTCCGCCCCCTCCAGGACTCTAAGGAGATACCTCTCCGTGACTGACAGATGAGCTCACTACTCGTTTTGTTATGCTGACTCTGCATTATGCATGGTTGACAAACAGAGGGCTACAGACTTTACGTACGCATGGCTTGGAGGAAACGAAGAACTGCCAGTTCAACCGCACCGAACAATTTCCTAGGTTTGGTAATTAGGATTGAACTGACAAGTCCAGCACATGACTTTACTTTAGACGCGATCCATTGGTAGGGAGTTGGTCTAAACGAGACCAGTGTTTTTGTTTTGTTGATAACTATTGTACAAACAGGAAATATGTTGAGTTTTGTGTGAGTAGTCTTTACTGCTGACAGGCACAGGCCGTAAACACCACAACCAGAGCCAGAGTGGATGGCAGTGGTCCTTATGAGTGGTGCAATTCGTGATCTTCTATCAGTAAATCTTGTGGTATAGCGTCTGAGCTCAATGCCGCGATTCATGGTCGGTAATATGCACCTGAGTCTGTAGATGATGTATTCTCAGAGACGACTATGCTGTGAGAAGCGATATTTGTCTCGCGACTCCTCCAGTTGAACTCTATCGGCACTGTACGGAATGCCACATGTAGTGAAAGGGGCTTAGATGTGTAATAGTGAAAAGATTATTCTATATCGTATCCTATTTCGTCCCTGTGAGCCATGTGGCGAGGCCTCGTATCGACCGGACCTTGACGACGGCATGTCGTTTGAAGAGGTCATGGAGAGGCTGTGGCGGACTGTCCTCCAGACTGGCTACCTCAGTCTCGTTCCCCTCAGCATCGAGCAGGACAGGGTTCCAGCCTGCATCCGAAGCTCCAACGACGTCCTTGGCGTACTCATCGCCGACATAGACCTTCTGCCAATTCCCCAAGTCGACTTCAGCGGGCGACTCGACATGTCGACCGGTGATGATCCGGGACAACATCAACTCAGCAGCATTGAAGATGCGACGGTCCGGCTTCTCGAACCCAACATCGTACGACATGCAATGAAAGTCAATGTCGTATTGCTCCCCCGCCAGCGCGGTTGTTTCTTCCGACGAGCCGTACCGTGCTGGGCTGACGTTGAGGCCAAAGGAAGACAAAATGCTGGGGACTCTGTCGTCGGAGTTTGTGACCACGCCGATGACGATCCTGTCGACGCCTTGGAGCGCGTTTGGTCGTTTCAGGGACTTGATTGCCGGGACGAGATCGCTTTGAGCTTCGTAGCCTTCGCTTGAAGAGAAGCGGTGGATCAATTTGGGGACGAGAGTCGGGGGGAGAGGTTGATTGCTGGGGAGCAGAGGCGTGAATGTTTTATGAATGACCTATCCATGCAGATCAGATATTGATGATCGTTGTCAGAACAAAGTGTTACTTTTCAAGAAGGGGGTAAGAAGAGGAGGGGTGACGAAGTCTATACATTTGTCCACCACTTTGTGGCGCCGAGGCCAGTTGCTTTGCCGTAGTTGGGATTGAGCTCGCGCTCCTCCTTGATGGCTGTGAGGAGCCGAGATGAGAGCTCTTTGTCGCTGAAGCCGGCGAGGCCGCATTGCCGCGCGACTTGGGCGTATTGCTGGGCTACTGCGCCTTTGGGGCGGAAGAGGGTGCCGAAGGCGTCGAAACAGAGGAGGAGGTTCGACTTGGCCATGTTTAAGGGGGGAGTGGATGAGAAGTATAGAAATGACAGAGTGGACTAATGGATTTCCTGTCGAATAAGATGTGGTCTCGTTGATATCTTGTTGATATCAGTTATTACTTTATAGAAGATTCTGTGTCTTGCTGGGTTTGCAGTTGTGATTGATATGCATGTGACGATTGAGGATGTGATGTTGACAGGAGAAAGTAGCCTGGGATCGGATGTCGAGACGATCAATCGAGAAAACTCCCCTACGTAATGATTCCGCCTATATCGGTCTCCTAGGATCTAGAGCCTACATATCCCTGATCAAGCAGATGCAGTATCATAAGCTCCCATGATAGATATCTATGCAAAATCTAAAGAAAATCTATAAAGCACAATGGCAATCTCCACATGAGCTGGACTCCTGAAGTGTCAGATTGTCAGAAGATCAGAATTTACTCCGTAATGATACCCCGCGGTGTGAAGAGGGTACCCCCAGGGCTAAGAATAGAGCTCCGGCATCTTATCGATAGGGAGCTGCGAACAGCGACATGTGCTGGCTGATCGACCAAACATCGCCTGGAATCTGACGCCCAGATCAGAAACAGTCCATGAACCTCCGAGATACAGCGCAGCCAAAGGAGAAATGTCCCACCAGGCGTACCCTCACCACGATCCTATCAAGGAGCCGCATTCGGTTTCCGTCAAAGTGCTTAGGTACGCATTAGAACACTTGCCAATTGGTGTCCGCATCTTTTGCTGACCCAGGCCAAATGGCCCCAGGCTCTCCCAACCATCGCTGGTGACGCAGTACCCGATCGATCCTCCGTTCTCTCCTCCCAACGCCAAATCGCAGCCAGCGCCCGCCTCGCTCGCTTACGCCCCCTCCAGCACGAACCCGGATCCTTTCCTGCTCAGCCCGATCCTCAACCTGCCGGTATCCTTTGGCTCGGCCTACGTGGGGGAGACCTTCAGCTGCACCCTCTGCGCGAACAACGACCTGCCCCCCGATGCGGCGAAGCGCATACGCGATGTCCGCATCGAAGCCGAGATGAAGACCCCTGGCCTGGGAGGCACGCAGAAGCTCGAGCTCGGGCCCGCGAACATGCACGACGGCGCAGGCGGAGGGGGCGTAGATCTCGAGCCGGGAGGCACGCTGCAGAAGATTGTTGGATTCGACCTCAAGGAGGAGGGGAACCATGTGCTGGCCGTGACGGTGAGCTACTACGAGGCTACGGAGACGAGTGGGCGGACGCGGACGTTTAGAAAGCTCTATCAGTTCATATGCAAGGCGTCCTTGATCGTGCGGACCAAGGTCAGCGGCCTGGACGCGGACACGAGCAGCAGCAGCAGCAGCGCCAGAAGATGGATCCTCGAGGCGCAGCTGGAGAACTGTAGCGAGGATGTGATGCAGCTGGAGAAGGTGGTGCTGGACGTGGAGGCCGGGCTGGGCTATCACGATTGCAACTGGGCTTCGGACGGGGACCAGAAGCCGGTGTTGCACCCGGGCGAGATCGAGCAGGTGTGCTTCCTGGTGCACGAGAAGGGCGCAGACAGCGGCATCAGGATGACGGCAGATGGCCGGATCATCTTTGGCGTGTTGGGAATTGGATGGCGAGGCGAGATGGGCTGTCGTGGATTTCTATCGACGGGCAAGCTTGGTGCTCGGATTCCCGTTCGCTGAGAGAGGAAATGGGAGTTGGGAGAGCTGCTCACTGATTGATAGAGAAGGCAAACCACCATTCGGACAAGGGGAGCCAAGGACTACGAAACATAACCCCAACACGTCCCACTTTGCAACCAAAGGCGGCTCAGCCTATCGAACCCTGGGTTGATAGCGCGGCTGGACGAATGCATGGCGTTTGATAGACATGCGCTGAAGCAAGGGGGGCGGCAGAGGTGGTAGTAGTATCACGATTCACGATTTACGATTCACGAGAATGGGGGCCAAGCCACCACGGCCAGGCACAGGGGGTGTGGGATGGAAAGCCCAGCGGCCCGGCTTGACGGCCATCTGCCGCGCTGGGATGCAACGGGGCCGGCTCACAAGAAGTCAGGAGCCGACTGTTACGGAGCACAGCAGATGTGTGTGTGTGTGTGTACGCGTCTGAGCTTGTTATCGCACGAGTACGACTGTGAGTACTATGGCATGAATTGTCACACAGGAGGGATTTCGTCCTACCTTTGCTGGCAGGAGGGAACTAAGGGCGCCTGCGCTGGGTACTCTACCAAGGGAGGGAAGGGAGAATGTCAGATATCAAGTGGGAGGATGTACGAGTAGACAGGGAAGTTTACGGGCAAACCAAGAGAATTCTGCTTGATGAGTCTTGATGAAACGACACGCGTCGTCAAGCACCTCTAGTGCTAGGAAGTCCAGCTCTCAGCCATTCCCTCGCAGCTGTCTAACCTAAAACAACAATGAAATCCCTTCCCGCTGGCTGTTTCAGGGATGCCGGCCGGTCCAGGAGAAAACTCCCTTACGAACATCCTATTAATAGACAAAACAGCGTCGTGTCTGCAAGACTATCCTTAGTCTGATGCTGACGGCAGAAGATCATACGAGCAAAGGAATTGGTTCGAATTCGATAGAGAAAAGTCGTTGCTTAAGAGAACGGTGTACCGTTGGAGTCGAGCAGGAGTTCTTACAAAGGGGGGTTTGTGTTGACTTCTTACTGGGGAAGAACAGCTTGTCGATCTCCAAGTTCTTGCATGCAAATCCGTCTCAGTTGCGCGCAAGGGGAACCCGGGGGATTCGCTCTCACAGATCGGAGTGAATCGGATGGGCAGAAAATGCGCCGAGCTGAAAAGGATGGGCGATCGACGGGTCAAGATAACGATGGTAGGATCATGGATGTTATTAGTACATGTACGGAGGTGGTGTCTACAGAATATGATCGGCGGGAGGTAATGTTATCAAAGTTGCTTCTATGACGAATCCGGGCGGTTGAAGAACTTTTTCCTTTTTTTTTTTTTTTTTTTTTTTGACGCAGAAATTCCCGGATGATGGGCTCGAGAGGTTGCGTGGCGGGACGTGATTTGCTTGGGTGAAGTTTTGGGCTGAGGATCGATTGGTTTCTGGTGCATGTATGTAGGAAACCTTGCATGCATGTTCTGTCGGTCTTCAATGATATGTGATTGAGCTCCTGATCAGCACAGAGAGAGAGAGAGAGAGAGAGAGAGAGAGAGAGAGAGAGAGAGAGAGAGAGAAACGCTGATGACGGGCATGTTTGACAGAATGAGGCCGATATCAATTGCTGTACTACCTACTACTACAACTACGGTACGACTGATGAGCAAGGAGTTCGTCTGGGCCACCAGTGACTGCTGGAATGGCTTCGATAGCGTCTCTCATGTCTGTCTAGATTGAAATGGGATGAGAAGCAAGGGTTCACTCGAATTGAGTACCAGCCCAAGTGGGCGGCCGGCTAAGATCGTGACACATCATGTGTGGGGTGTCCTGAAACGGGCTGCATCTGTATGATTGTCCTTTTTTTCGTCTTCCAGAGCTGCTGAACCTACTGAGTAGATTGGCCAAGTTTCGCAGACTTCGGTGCCGAGGATAGTATCCAAGGGGGAGGAGGCAAGATCCGGTGCAAGTGCAAGTGGCGCTACAGGGCGAGCAAGACATGAAGGCCAGTCCAAGCAAGAAAGGGGTCCCCTCCTCCGTCCGTATCTTTCACCTCCGTTCAGTTCGGGCTACGGAGCACCAAATAAAGTACGAAATGGAGACACGAGCTTCCACTTTGCACCGGATACGAAAGAAGCGAAAGCCTTTCATCTTGTCCGCCCATTTTAGTCCCGGGTCTCTCCCTTATTTAGTGCGAACCCTCCAAGTGAAGGCGCCAGGGGCCCGTGCTTCTGCTTCCTTGTCCAGGGGCTCATCAACCGGGGGAAGGACTTGCTAGAGAATTCGGGGCTTTCTGGGCTGTAATACCTATTCTACCTGCGTTCTTGTAAGTATGTGGCCGTGGAACTGTGAAGCTCGCTGTCGACATACAACACGGGACCGGTGCTGGTGATTCGGTATGTCAGTACGTAGCGTCTGGCGGGCTCTCGGCTGGAGGAACGGTATTGGGATTTGCGTCCGCTTTGACAGCGTTTGACGGAGCGGGCAGATATGGATTTTTGGTGTAGTAGTATACGAGTATTGCTAGCTCACAGCCACAATGACGCCGGATGTGGGAATAATATTGGATTGCAGTGAACGGAAGTAGAGCGAGTGCGGTGAGAAGTCCGTCTCATTATCGAGCAGTCGTATGTAGCTCGTAACAGCATCATCGTCGACCCGAGCAAGGCCATTACCAGCCGCCACTAGAAGGAATTGAGTTTTTGATGGCTGACCCCAGAGCAGCAGTGCTTGCGAGGCACCCCTGAATACACCCTGGTTGCCTGGTTTGAAGTTGAAGAAAGATATCGACTGACTTTTGGGGCTCTTGTTGTTCCGAGTTGTTTCTGTCGAATATCGAGTACCTTATGTAGTAGTTCGTACATGTAGTAGTAAGGTAGGTACATGTAGTCAAGGTGTCCACATCAGCTTACCGCTAGGGGGAGGACTCCGTACCTGTACATGCAAGTCATGGAGTCGTCGTCGATGGGGCTCGGGATGGGCTCTCGGATCAGCTTGATCAGTTGTTGCCACTCTGGGGGGGAGACTGTGTATTGAATGCAGGATGTGCAGCTTCAACGTCTGGATACAGGCGCAGCCCCGCGGCTTTCTTGGCTGGTGCTTGTTCCCATGAGCTGGTTCTGCGGCTCATTGATCCCTTGAAGAATGCGCTTTGACTCTCTCGTTGTCAAGCTCATGCCGACCGAGAGTTGATAGGCCGTATGCTGTTGCAGAAAGAGAATCCACCAACTGGCAGCGAAGCCTCCTGGTTGTGATATGTCGGATTGTTTGCCCAACTGTCCATCCCGCTCGTGCATTAGGTGTGGGAGAGTGGCAGACATTGGCGCTTTCAAGGTTCCTTGGGCTTCGCACGTACATGTAGTATATTGTTGGGTAGTACAAAGACCACTCTTCTCAGGAGGGGAGAATCGCATAGGCGGAGATACTGCTCCTGATGCTGGTGATGTTATTTTGGAGCTTCGTCAACACACAGATTGAAACCGTGATCTTGACGCCAGGCAAAGTGAAGTACCTTACATAGAGTACCAGTATGTATGATACGGCAAGGAACATGAACAGACCAAGTGCCCACCTACCGATTAAAGTCTAGCAGCCGGCGACCCTTGAACGGCCATCAGCCACTCGACCTCAACCAACAACTTGGATGGTCTGGCATGGCACCTACTTGGACAGCTTGATACTACCCAAGGCCCGTTACAGAGTTCTGATACAATTATTATACTGCTTACTGGTGTGCGGCTGATCCCTGTGAGCGACATCCCATATAATTCTACCGCTGGCTGCTTGTGAGATGGGAGTCGGCCCCGTGAAAGCCCAACGACCAGCAACATGAGAGGCACCACTGCAGCCAAGTATCTCGCGGGAACCATCCCAATCATCGATAAGTGCTGGGAACAAGTACAAACCGAGTTTAGTGTATCGTCAACGGGGAATTACCTACATACTACTACTGAGGCTTGCGCTTCTTGACGGCACTCGTCTCCCTTCAGATGCGCTGGGTTCATGTTGGTCGTTATACAGCAAAACTCCTCATGGCCCGGCTCGAACGGGGTGGCTTCAAGCTGCCGCAACTCGCACGCCTACCGCTAGTGCCTGTACCTGGTACCTTGCAGGTTTTGCCATTTTAGTACATGTACCCCATTGTGCTCCGGCGGCGCCCCCGTTCAAGCACGAAGCATTCGCAAGCCCGTGGGCTTTTGCGAGGTAATACTTTGTTTACCTACTGTTATATTTGCTGCCTGTCATCACCATACAGTAATAAGGCGGTAGACAGACAAGTCAGTGGAATGTCGCTGCTCCTCGTGAGGTGAAAGGGATGCCCGCCATCGCTGCAGCCAAGGCCCAGTATGTCAAGTCGCGGGCGTGTCATTGGCTCGGCCTGGAACCCAGAGGTAGGTTGAATGATATTACCAGCGAACCGCAAGCTCACCACATCAAATGAAACTTGGATTCTGGTGAGAAATTCAACGAGGCATCAAGCACATGCATGTACAAGTACCTGCGACTCCATGCCCAACCATCCTGCAACCCTTTCTCGCCTGTTTGATGGCTGCAACAAGCGCCGGCGCAGATCGGTGCCAAACGGGGCCTGGCTCTTCTAGTCTAGCACCCGACGCCCCCCCCAAGCTGCCCCAGGCCCAATCCCCCAGGTCCCTACCAGCACTAAAGTGTGCCCCTCCAGGGCTACCAAGGTCCCCTACCACGGTCCCCTAGGTCCCCTAGAAGCCCGCTGGAGCGCCGCCGCTGTACTCCGTACCTGAGCCCGCCCGCGTGGCCGTACCTGTACTCCAGCTCGTACCTGGCTCCGCGCCTGTACCCGCGCCTGTACCTGATGGGAGCCAGGGACTGCCATGCCTGCGCAACCCTTTCCCTCCCCTTTTGAAGCGAGCCGCCTTAATCCCCTCGACCATCTTTTCGCAGCTCGCAGTCCTGCATCCCGCCCTCTGCTCTGCACTGCATTGCACTGCACTGCTACTCCTACCGCGCAACCGCTTTACCTGCGCTGCGAATGCATCCGTCCGCAGCCTCGACCACAGCTGGCGAACCAGTGCTGAGCCGTGGCGTTTGACTTGCCTGCGGGACCAGGAGCATCCCCGGAAAGAGAACCAGTGTGTCCTCCAACGACCCTCGAGCTCTGCGCCGCAGCAGAGACCATACCAGAGACCAAAGGGGGCTCCCAGACTCGACCCCCCCTCCCGCGTCGCCTTTTCCCCCAGTCCAATTTCCACGACATCTCCTCCTCCGGGCCCGACATCGCCCTTCTGCCCACTCTCTCTCTCCTCCTCCTGGGACACGCCGAACAGCAGATAATACGAGTCCTTGCCTGCCTGTGTCTTGGTGCGTAGCTGTTCCACAGCACCTCTGGTGGCGGCGGCAGCGATGCCACCTACCGTCAAACATGCTCCGTGCCCCTGTCCTGCGTGCCCCTACTGACTTTGCTGCAGCATCCAACGTACCACGCGCCGTTCACCGACTGCACGTTCCTGGACCGAGACGAAGAAAAACCCCACGGCCGGCGTTGGCACAGGAGACGCACGACGAAACCAAAAAATATTGACGTGCTGGGCTGCTGAGGGGCTCCATCAGCACTTTTGCTCAAGCAGACATCGCCGTCTCTACGGTAAGGGGGTTGGGATTTCTGGCATGACATGGAGGGCTCATCGACTCCCCTGGCGGAATACTTCTGGATCGCCGGCATCGAGGCGGTTGTTTACGATGAGTCCCTGCCGCCAGTAACCCATTCCACCGAGACGACCACCATCGTCGAGGACGGCGAGGCGGAAGAGGAGGAGGACGCCGCGAGCAACCACACCAAACCAAGCGCCGCGCGCCATTCTCGCCAGAATTCTGCCAACCGCTTCTCCAAGCTGTCCCTCAACGACCGAAACTCGGTCCACACCATCGAAGAGGACGATGGCAATACGAGGAGTAACAGGAGCAGCGCCACTATCAAGGCCAAGCCGGCCACTGGCAATGGCAATGGCGTCCCCAACGGAGATGCCGCCAGCAATGGCGGTTCCATGGGCGAGTTCCTAAGCCTTATGGGGGACTTTGATTTCGACAAGGCCCTCCTGAAGTTTGCTGCAGAGAGGGAAAACTTCCTCGAGGATCTCTCCTTCAGTGCCGGAGCGAAAACTCAGGCACGGCAGCCCATGGTCAGCCCTCGAGCCGAGCGCATCCGCGCCGACGAGGCTGATCCCAGCGGGAGGGCCAGTCCCCTGAGGAGCCTCAAGGGTAGCATCCGCCGCAAGATCAGCTTTAGGGACATGAATAGTCTGCGGAAGCAGCCCAGTGTTGCGAGGCCCATGTCGCAGAGAGCTCGTGAGTGCCCTTTCCTGCATCTCTTTGACATTCAGACCATGTCTGGCTAACTGTGTCTTGTAACAGCCTCCATACGGACCACGAGAAGGCTTAGTAACTACAACTCTGTGATCCCTCCCCCCGAGCCTTTGAACACCGATCCCGATATGCACCCCCTCAAGAGACGCTTCGAGCCCATGCTTCTCGACCGGTACCCGCCCAAGACGGCTACCGAAGAGGTTGCTCGCCGAGGCAAGTTTCCCGACTATGTGCCCATGTTCGCCTTCCCGAACGATGTTCAGATCGTCTCATCCGATGATCGACCGCGATCGACCTGGCATGGATTTACCATGACGTCCGACGACAACTCCAAGCTGTACGGCATTACGCTCATCGTATGGACAGCGCTCCCTGCCGATGTGGCAGAAGTTGTGGAGAACAAGTGCGAGGACTGGCGACAGAGCCACATGTCCAATGAAGAGCGAGAACTGGCCGCGAGCTTGGGAGTGCGTCTCGCCGGCGAGCGATCGCACTTGTCGCAGCTCTTGGCCAAGCTTGGGACTCTTCCCTCAGGATCTCCGGCCCGGGACAGACTTGAGGACGAGATCGGAGCTGTCGAGGAAAAGATTACCCTCATGACAGATATGCTGAGGCCGCTGAGGCACGGTGCAGCTTCTCGAATCGAGGGTCTCACCACCGGCGAAAGCGGACTCTGGGCTCCGCGTGCGTACGGTATCCTGGGCAAAGATCCTGCGAACATGGCCTTCTGGAAAGAATGGCTCAAGGCGATTGTTGTCCCGATGACCGACGGCGCCGTTCTCAGGATTCCCCCAAGTTCTCCAAAGGTAGGGCGCTGGCAGCCCCTGGAGCAGTACGTCGTCAACCTGTGCACAGAGGCCTTCAGCCCTCTGGGCTCCAAGACTCAGGTTGAGATTGGTGTGCGGGAACTGCGCCTCTTCTCTCGCAAGGAGGCAGCGAACGAGATCCCCGGCTCCAGAACCATTGACATCTACGCACTCTTCAGATGCCTCTCCCTCGAGAACATCGTCGCTCTGTTCGAATACGCCATGTCCGAATCCCGCATTATCTTCCTATCCTCCCACACCAGCATGCTGCACTTGGCCTGCCATGCCCTCGCAAGTCTCCTGTACCCTCTCAAATGGGCAAGCATCTTCATCCCCATACTGCCTGCCAGATTGATCTCCGCCCTCGATGCGCCTTGCCCTTACATCGTGGGCGTTGAGCGCCGGTATGAGCGCATCGACCTCCCTGAAGATGACTATGTCCTGGTCGACCTCGACAAGGACACCATCGATGCTACGTCGCAGCCCATCCGCTTGCCGCGGCAGCACCGCCGGAAGCTAATGTCTCTACTGCAGGTGGCAGCTCCGCACAAGCTTCGGTATGGTGTCACCACAGGGCCTCCCCCTTACGCAATGGAGGCCTTTCCGTATGATTCCTTTTCGTCGGAGAACGCATCTCTGTTCACCAGCGTTGCTCCACCGTCCACGCTGGGCAAGTGGGTTTCTCAGAACTCGTCGAGTTTCGCGGATCCTGACCCCCCCAACGAAATACTACCCCCTGTCTTCAATGGGTTTTCCGTCTCCTCAGTAGACAATGGGAAATCGGACCGGCCAGGGACTAGTAAGTCGAACCAGACCAGTCCCCAATCTTCTGTATCCCCAGTGTCCATGAAGTTCCCTCCTATGCCGTCGACTCCGGTCTCGCGCAGTGATTCAGGGTTCGCCTTGACCTCGACACTCAGAGAGAAGCGATCTGGGCATTTTGGAGAAGACAAAGGCCGACGAAGCTCCTCTTTCGGAGTCGACAAATACCAGCCCGTGCACCGGCCGAGCCTCCCGTTCCTCAATGGCCATCAGACGAATCTGTCCATCTCGACCTTGGATTCTCAGTCATCCTTCGGAGGAGGCTATGCTCCGTCCACATATGCGGCCTCTACTCTGGCGGCCTCGACCATCATGCCCAACATGCAGATTCAACCCGTTAGCAACACGGATACGACGGTCTGGGTGGAGGGTCACTGCTTCAACTGGAATCCCAAGGACACGGCGTCGGTATGCACCATTTGCGAGGAGAGGTCCGAAGGCGACGGATTCTACAAGTGCGGAGCCTGTAAGACGGTTGCCCACGGTAGATGCTTGGGCTTCGTATCCCTGGTGTGTCCTGAGGCTTTTCACGCTGATCGTGTGCGAGCGGCGTTTGTGCGGTGCCTCGCAAGTCTGCTGTACACATACCGCAAATACTTGGGCAAGCCTTCGAAGCAGCACAAGAACAGCGGCCAGCTCTATACCTTTGACATGGATGGATTCATCAAGAGTCTCCCTTACGATCAGCAAGAGTATGTTACGATGATGCGGGAGACGCAAGGTATGTCGAATCATTCCAATCCCCTGGACTTTTCTTTGCCTCAGTCGCTAACCATGTATCTCACTTTCCAGCATTCAATGAGTTTATCCATGACAGAGAGATGAAGCTTGCATCTGATCCCGAAATCCGACTCTTTGACGAGATCATCATGGCCAAGAAGGCCCGTGGGCGCACCGCTATACCTTCCAGCCTGTCCCGCCTTTCGACCCTTCGCGGCTCTGGCTCGACCAACTCATGGGGATCCAGCCGAGGCAGCGGCGGCGTCAGTGGTGCCAACGGCAAGGTGCCCCCTTATCTGAGTGACACCTCAGAGCACATCTGGCGCACTGCCTCTGTGCCTCTACCCAAGGGCAACTTCCCTGGCGAATATCACAGCATCGTGACGCGGATGCCGGCTCGCCTCGACACCTCGCTGATGCGTGAGCCACGCACCATTCAGGGTGTCCCTCGCGTCGAGCCGCGTGGCCCAAGGGGAGTTGCTCGGAAGCAAGTTCCCAACATGGGCAGCACACCTCCATGAGCATAAGAGCCCCTTTCCTGAGAAGAAGAGACCTCTTGCTGTGGACGAAACCCTGTGCATGGAAGAAGAAGAAACGGAAAGAAAAAGACCAGTGGCGTGGGTGAAGAGGAAAGACGAAGTTGAAATGTATAATAAATTCATACGCATCGATGTAATCTATTGTCGGAAAATCGCAACATACTCGCGGGATGGGACGCGAGGCCGGATTACCTTCTTCTGCCCCCCTTCTCCCCCTCCTTTCCTCTCTCCTCTTTGACTCTGTGGAACGCAGATAAAGGCGAGAGGGGTGGGAAAGAAGAGAAGCAAGGGGCATGGCATGGATGGAAGCAAATTGGGGAGGGGAGAGAGAGAGAGGCACACAGACAAAGAAAGGGCTGGATGGAAACGGATGGGGCATATATAAAAACCAAAATTTTTTGTCCTTTATTGTTGTTTGTTTGGTTTGGTTTGACACTGGACGGGACGGAAAGCTCGTTTTTTTTTGCTTTTATATAGATCAAACACTTGTGTTTATTCTTTTCTCGCCTTTAATTGCTTCTTCTGATTCTTCTTTTGTCCTTTTTTTCAGCAAGGGAGCTGCGTGCCAATTGGACTTTTGTTTCGAATCTACATATTCTACATTGATTCGTGGACTTGATTTTACTCCCTTTACTCTGCGTCGCTCTGCCATACATCTCTCTCTACCGACTAGACTATGTAGCATGCCATGAAGGCGAAGGCAAAAGAGGAGCATCGCCCATGGACAGAAGGGGGAAGTCAAGTTTATACTGCTGAGACGGACACGAATTGTATAAACAGTAGCACAACTAACCGAACCATAATAGCTAGATAGATACAAGAATAATTGATAGACGGCTAGTGCCGCATCAGACAAGATGGAGACAGCTCAGTGCTCAATATGAATAACGTAGACTCATCCCCCCTACCCGACGCAACACTGGCGCGAGCCCTCGGACAATTTGGTGAAGATACGGCGTCGAACAAACAACAAGCTACACGTTGGGTGCCCTGATGCACTTCACTTTCCCACCTTGACAAAATCCGTATTGACATCCTCCCAGCCGACATTCTTCAACACCAGGCCTACTTGGCTTTGATAGCTCAGATGGCCTCGCGGAAGACTCCGCACTCTGTAGTTCTCTACTCCATCTGCCCCCTGGATCTCCTGCAGACCAGCGACACCAAAGTGAGTATTCGAGGTTCGATAAAGAAAGCCCAGGATATAGTCTTGCTCCGAATAGACGTTGATCAAGCGGCCGCACACAACGCTTTTGAGCGTCAGCCACACTCGACTCTCCGATGGAGCTGGAGTGCCCATCATGATGACCGAGTCGATGATTCCAAACTGTCGTCGCTCTGCCAACACCATGAGGCAGGTGTATATGGCTCGGGCTCCAAGGCTGTAACCAATCAAGGAAACTGGCCTGTCGCCCTGAAACTTTTGTCGCATGATGGCGTCAGCAAGGACCGCACCGGCCTTCTCCGCTCTGACCATTCCGACACTCCAAGTATTATCTATAATCTTGCTTATTTTGAGAAGGGCAACCGGCCAGGTAGACTCGATGAGGCATGAAAAGACTAGGAATGGAGTCAGCGTCAAAGGTACAGAGTTGTGTTCAGGTAGGCTAGTGACACTTACTTGTTCGAGCTTCAATCTCTGCCTTGCCGTCTTTCCAAGCACTGCTCTTGATGGCAGTCTCGAGAGAGTTACCAAGATTCGTAAGGGCTGCAACTTCCCACCGCGTGACATAAGATTCGCTATGGTGGCCCAGACAGCGCCAACTCTTGGTGACGTCTTCGTCCTCAAGAAGAAAACCACTGAGAGCGATTGTCAGACTGAGTCTGCGATGCTCTGCCGGGAACTCTCTGGCGTCACGATATTCAGATCCGTCTAAGCCGTGAATAGGGATGAAACCAAAGTCTTGAATCTCTCGGGAAAACGTCTCCATCATCTTGGCCGTCGGCTTCGAAGCATTGATGCCAAAAAGTGCGCCCATCTGCACTGCATTTTCTGCCATTGTGCCCAAGAGGCCTGCAGCCGCATACGGAGTGAGGCCCAGGCCCTCATGCGCAGTACCAATGCCCACGCCGGTAAGGGGAGCGGCAAGTTTGCCCGTGCCGCATCCCAAACCGACCTTCCAGCGCCGTGAGCTCTTTGACTCTTCTGATTTCTGGCTGACCGCGTCCTCCGGAGAATAATCAAGGGCCGCCTTGGCCAAACCTTGAGCAAGACGCAGTTCTTCGTCCCGATATACTCTCGGTGGGAGGTTCAGCGATGTTGTGAGGCTCATCAGGAGCTGTCGTGAATTTGCCGTATACTCTTGCATGGACAGCAAGACCAAGAAGACAATGTGCAGATACAGCTTGCGCTTGTCAAGATCAAGAGACCAGAGAGTATTCGGAATAGGGGGATAACGAGCGGCCAAATCACGATCCACGTAGTTCGATGGTGCTCGCGGCGGGCCTACATAAATGTTAGCTGCTGAAGCCATATTGTGTCGTCAAGGGCTATCCATGATGCATTCATGGAACACAATCAGAAAGTTGATGAAGTTCATCTTACCTGTCGCCAAAGTCAGAGGGCTGCGCGTCATTGCACCTCCGCGGCCTCCTCCGCCACGTCCCCGAGGAGCTCCTCTCATTCCACGTCCGCGGCCTCGAGTGCTCCCCTGGGGAGCTTGCTGTTCGTTGACAGCTATATCTCGAATTCGTTGCAGAACGGTACCCTGCCATTTGCGGAAGAAGACCATGGCCTCCTTTTTCAATTCCCGCAGCTGTGGCGTCATTGATTCCTTTTCTTCTTTGTCGATTATCTCTCGTGGCTTGTCAAAGGACTTTGATAGATTAGGGTGCTTCAGTCCCATGAGAGAATGAGAATGGGATGTAGACCTGTTCTGTTTGTGATGCAGCAGTGGAATCATAAGCCAGTGATGGTGGCCATGGTCGCTTTGGATAGGGACAACGGGAGGGGAGTCAAAGACATTGCTAATGTCGTTGGCCATTCTCTCCGTGATGGCGTTGATGAGAGTCAACAGGTCATTCTTCTCTGCTATCGAGATGATTCCGGTCAGGTCAACTGGGCGACGTTGGCCGTGAGAGCCGCCTCCGCGTCCGCGAGCCATGGCTGACGCTTAGGCGTAATCGGTCACGGCTTTGCTTCAGGGGGGATGAATGTGTGTGTCGTGCTGAGAAGCAGCTGTCAGTCTCTCAAAGTCAGATTCTGATAGAAGGGTCGTTGATTCGACAGGCTGCTGAGGTCGAGCAAGGATCCTTCAAGAATGCTTTGCAGACTGCCAGATCCTAAGAGATGGGATATCGATCGCGAACAGGCTAGTTTCCGCACAAGCAAGCAGTCGATCAAGGAGTGTCAAATTGGACGTCAACTGCCGACGCAAATGCAAACAAAGAAAGTCTTGCTTCGCAGCGACAAGATACAAAAGATGAAACTGGCCGAAGCTCGCGAGATGCCGTGCAGCTGTCAAGTGTCTGACGCGGTCGGTATATCGAGGTGGTGATGAATGGCTGGTAATGCGAGATGCAGGAGTTGAATCTGCAAAGCCGCAGGATGACGAGAAGAGACCGAAGAGAAATAAAAACAGAGAGAAGAAGAGAGAAGAATGAAGCGGAAAAAGAGGTGAAGAGGAGGTGAGCTGAAACGTGCAGCTGGGAAGGAGCGCTGGTGAATTGAGGACTGACCGGCCGCCAGGTGGCTGCCAGTCGTCGTTTCCAAAACGGAGGGCAGGAGCAGGTTCGTGCATGCACCACATGGAGGGAAGGAGCAGACAAGGAAGGAGAGAGGGGGGAACTGGAGGAAAGAGGAACCGGGGACAGTGGGAAGGCAGATGGCAGATACAAACTGCCTCGATGTGAGAAGGCAAGGTAAGGTAAGGTAAGATAAAGGGATATGTGTGGATGGATGGCTTCAGACGGAGGACTTGGAAGGTTTGCTTCACCGCGCGCTGTGATACAGAAAGCTTAAAGGTGGAATGTCTACGGTATTTAACAGGTATCGACAAGTAAGGAGACAACAAAGAGACACAGGAAACAGGACAGGTTGTGAGTGTGGCATGCAAACAAGAACAGATGGTCACTGCATCACGTACGGGAACGGGACTCGACAAGCATCAAATCAGCAGGCCGGCTTAACTTCTTCTCTCTTTCGCTCCCCATCAGCACTTCAACCCTCGCAGACTGCAATTTGCGCAATACTCGGCTATAGGAATGCCAGTGGCTAGGTAGGCTGCAGCAATAATTGTGATAACGGCAACAAAGGAAGAGACAAAGACGCACCAATAAAGCGGTAAGTCCAGCTACCAACGGAGGACAAAAGCAGAAGATCAAGAGATCACAAGGCCACAATGGCAGTAAGGCGAAGCTGCCAAAGCCGTGCTTCCCCAGACATCGGCATCGCATCTGTAACGGCCCCGCGTGTCGTTGCCGGCCATTGCATGTTGGAAGCCGTGACCTTTTCGGTCTGCCTCTGCCTCTGCCTGGTTGAGTGAGTGGTGAATGCCGGAATGCTTATGATGTGCCGAGCCGACAGGCGGGAATGGAAGCAAAATGGAAGGAAAGAAGGGAAAGAAGGTCATCAAAAGAAGACGGACAGCCGTCGATGTGGAGTGAGAACTGGAAGGCGGCATCTCAAACAGGGAGCTGAAGCAGAGGCAACGATAAATCTGCTGCATTCCCATCGGCAGTAAGAGGACGGGATGCAAGTTGGATGCCGTAAAAGACAAACAAAACCCTAAGCCTGAGGGCATCTACTGGCTTGGTACCTGTGTGCTGCATTTGAGCATCACCGCCATTCCACCAGCCAGACCATATCAAAGGAAGGCCTTTCACATGCCTACTCCTTTAACCACGTAGAGGTCCACTCTGGGAATGCATATCTTTGGAATGACAGTGTCGATAAGTTGACGTTCGCTTCACTTCTCCAGTAGACATCTCCGTGACGGCTGGGGCGAACCGACAAGGCGCTCAACTATGGTACAACAACGGAGAACCTTGACGGTTACACCGACACGAGATTATCCGCCCACAAACAAGGCGGAGACGAATTGTCCCATCATCACTCTGTTTGCCAGACCGAACTCTTCGGTATTGACGACATGTGAACTTGATCCAAAAGCCCGTTCCAGACGCACAGCACCTGGTCCAAAATAAGCCATTATTCCCCGGTACGTTGTCGGGCCGCTACCCCTTCTAGATTCTGCCATCTGCCAACAGCCGTATCCAGATTCTCGTGACTATCCTTATTGTTCTATTCTCGTGTCATTTCTCCCGAGCAGTTTCCCTCAAGTCTCCTGACATGTACTTGTTCGAAAGGGATTCGTTCAAACAGAAAATCAACCCCGCTGATTGTTCTTCATAAGAAAAAACTCATTCGCCTAGCTCATGGTATCGCAAGTGGGCAGAGAGGGCAAAGGACGGTATGGAATGGCCGCAGGTTGTGCAAGTGGAATTGTCCGTAGCCTCCCAGGAAATGTCAGAGTCCAGATCTTCAGGCACGGAGCCCTCCTGCTCAATTTCTGCCTCTTGATTACTCTCGTCCACAGCGTCAGATGCGAGTCTCCATGGCGCAAGTACTTCATCCTGCCTCTTGAACATGACTGCAATGTCCCGTCCCGCTCCCGTCTTATCGTCGGTAGCTCCGGTGACGATGTTTGCGGCGCAGATGTTAATCAGCTGCAGATTCCACGTTTGGCCCTTTTCGTTTTGCAGACGGCGAAGTAATGGCAACAACGCTTCTGCCACTAGCTGCTGGGCAACCTCATCAATATCAGCCTTGAGATCAAACGCAAAGTTTGGCAACGGCCCTGACCGAGATACACGACTGAAGCTTTGAGACTGGGAAGCGCCCGACTTAGGCCACGATCGAATCGATAGACGAAGCGTCCTTGGCCTAGCAATCCACTTGCGACTGCCTGGAATATCCGAACCGTAGTCCGACACAACAAGGTCTACTCTCATTCTCCGGATAAGGGAACACGACAGCTTGTGCAGCTCTTCCGTTATTCTGGGAATTGTGTCAAGGCCCTTGTACGTGTCTTCAATGCTGATTTGCGATGGTACAGTGTTGGTTTCTTTGACTTCGGTAGGATCCACGCCGTGAAGGAAACCCCAGACTCTAGCTCCAATGCCTCTTTCGGCACCCGGACCGCCCAAGAGGGACTCCAGAAAAGAAGGCGAGATGGTTGGGTGGAGACGGGCTTCTCGTGCAGTCACCAGAGAGTCAAAAGGGCCAGAGTCCTTGTCTAGTTCCTTGGCCATGATATGAGACTCCAGCAGATGCGTGATCTTGGAGCCCATTCCCGGGACGGTGCGAAGCTTGTGTCCGTCGACGAAGCTGATGATATCATCGTCGGTAAATGCAAGCAGCGTTGTCTGGTTTCGCGGCTTGTTCTTGCTGCCAACTAGTTTGCTCAGGAGCTTATTCGTCGAGATGCCACAGGTTGATGTGTAGCCAAAGTCCTGCTCCAGCCTAAGTCGCAAGTATTGGGCAAGGTGGGAGCCCAACAGATGCCTCAGGTAGATGGGACTCTCCAGATCCACGTCATCAAGGGTGACACCGACGACGCAGCCTGCAATGGAGGATAAGTCGCATGGAAACCCCAATTCGGGATCCTTTTTGGACAGGTAAAAGAACGAGTTGGCCATTGAGCTCCGGTTGATACAGGTCATGTTATAGTCAATGATATCCGTCACATCTGGTCGGCTTGTCAGTGCATGTATCTGCATGTCATTGCACCGGCAACCCAGCCGTGCGCGAATGCACGCACCTAGGAAGACCTCATCGAACCCTAGCCGTTCAGCTTTGCCGTTCCAAGAGTGAGACCTGAGGAAATTGAAGAGGACCTTGCTCATGTCCCGAAACGGCGTCAAGTCCTCGCCGTCGACGAGCACGAGGTCCGGGCATATCCTCTTAGCCTCTGAGACCAGCATGAGCTTCTTGACATTGCGGCGACGCGCATTGTAGTTGCACGTGGCCAGGATGTTCTTCTGCTTGATGCCCACCGGCTTGGCCTTGAGGGCTGGATTCTTGTGCTCGGCGACCTGGGCGTAGAAGCAGTCGTAGTCCTGCATGTGCGACCTGGCTCATTAGTAAAGACGGCAACACGAAGACGATGACTCGTGTCAAGCTGGAGGAGCCTCGTAAGACGGACAAACTGCAGAATGATGCGGCCCTCTTGGCGCCTCGGCGGCTTCTTGGCTACGGAGCTGTCCATGCCATCATCTCGGGAGTAGTCCAAACCGGCGGGTCTTTGGACTGAAGCTAGAGCAGCGTAAATGCAGCGTCTCAATAGGAGGCGGTTGGCGATGCCGCCATTTGAGACATTGTATGTACAAGTGCGAGAGGCGTCGGCCAACAGCTTGCAGGGCCCGTGCACGTTGACGGCCCTGATCCGATCACGCTTCGGGGCTTTGCAGCCAATCAGAGCTGTCCACCACAGGCCTCGGTCGGTTTCAGCGCCCTCCCGTCGCTGGAATGCCGCTGCCAGCCCAGGCCCTGCACCAACGCCACCAGCGCTGTGCCCCAGTGCTCACTTGCCTGCTGCGTCCAAGGAACAGCGCCCAACACGCCGGTGCCGGCCCTGGAGCTGCCCCGCCACCGCTCACTGTTTGATTTTCGATCTCGGGCGTGGGGCAAATTCGAGTCACCACCAGCCAGATTGAACCTTTCCGATCTGACGTCTGGCGGCGTCTTGCTTGCTTACCTACATCCTCCAAACAACGGCCCTGGCGATAGTATAAGTTGTTGGAGCTTCTCGAAAGGACACACGGCGCGTTGCCCGGAGAAGCTCACCTGTGCTTATCCACGTCTTCTCTGCTGCCCTCTTGTCTTCCCCTCTCCCTGTTTTTGCCCTTCAATTCCTCGTCCACGCCGAATTTGATACCCTCGAAAATGGCACATGTGGTAAGTTAGTCACAACTTTTTTTTTTCTGCGCTGCTGATCGACACCCCCCTCGAGAGTTGCCCAGATCTGGCACTCTGCCTTTGTACGATGGCCTCAATGCGCTAATATCTCTCTTCTAATCGTTTGCGCGACTCTAGAGAAGCTTCGTTCCGTCTCTCGACGACGTCAGAGAGATCCTCAACAAGCCCGTCAAGGACGGCGCAAAGAAGCCCACGCTCGTCCCGGTCTATCGCCAAATCTCCTCCGACCTCATCACCCCCTCAGCCGCTTACCTGAAAATCTCCGCGCATGCCAAGTCCACATCCTCGGCCTCCTCCACATATTCATTCCTGTTCGAGTCGGCGGCCACCGAGCAGGTTGGCCGGTACAGCTTCGTCGGCGCCAACCCGCGCAAGATCCTCACCACCGGCCCCGGATATGGCGAAGAGAAGGATCCGCTCCCAGCGCTTGAGGAGGAGCTGGCGGCCCATGTCGTTGCCCATGTCCCGTGCCTGAAGCTGCCTCCCATGGCGGGAGGAGCGGTTGGATACGTGGGCTACGACTGCGTGCGATACTTTGAGCCCAAGACGGCGCGGCCGATGAAGGATGTGTTAAAGATCCCTGAGTCCCTGTTTATGCTATACGATACGATTGTGGCCTTCGACAGGTTCTACGGCATCATCAAGGTCATCAGCTACGTCAAGGTGCCGGAGGATAAGGAGACGGGCCTGGAAGCAGCATACGACGAGGCGAAGCGAACCATCGACGAGCTGATAAACGTCCTCAACAGCCCCGAGATCCCGCTGCCGGAACAGGGTCCCATCACGCTGGGCCAGGAGTACAAGTCGAACATTGGGCGCGAAGGCTACGAGGCCCACGTCACCAAGTTAAAAGAGCACATTGTCAGCGGCGACATCATCCAGGCGGTGCCCTCGCAGCGCTTCGCCCGGCCGACCAACCTGCACCCCTTCAACATCTACCGGCACCTGCGGACCGTCAACCCGTCGCCGTACCTGTTCTACATTGACTGTCAGGACTTTCAGATCGTCGGCGCATCCCCCGAGCTGCTGGTCAAGTCGGAATGCGGCAGGATCATCACCCACCCCATTGCCGGAACCGTCAAGCGAGGCCAAACACCAGAGGAGGACGAGCGCCTGGCCAACGAGCTGCGGTCCTCGCTCAAGGACCGGGCGGAGCACGTCATGCTCGTCGACCTCGCCCGCAACGACGTCAACCGCGTGGGCGACCCCTTCACCGTCCGCGTGGACCGCCTAATGGTGGTGGAAAAGTTCAGCCACGTCCAGCACCTCGTCTCGCAGGTCTCGGGCGTCCTGCGGCCGGACCAGACGCGCTTCGACGCGTTCCGGTCCATCTTCCCGGCGGGCACCGTCTCCGGCGCGCCTAAGGTGCGGGCGATGGAGCTCATCGCCGAGCTGGAGAAGGAGAAGCGCGGCGTGTACGCCGGCGCGGTGGGCTACTTTGGGTACGGCGGAGTGGACGAGAACGGCCAGAACGTGGAGGGTGCCATGGACACTTGCATCGCTCTGCGGACGATGATGGTCAAGGATGGTGTGGCGTATCTGCAAGCAGGTCAGCTGATTTCCCCCCTTCTTTCTGCCCCTTTTCACTTTACCACGTACGAAGAGTTCAAAAGTGAAGTGTCAAAAGTAAAGCAAAAACTAACGATGTATCATATGAATAGGCGGCGGCATTGTGTTCGATTCTGACGAATACGAAGAGTGGCAAGAAACCATCAACAAGCTGGGCGCCAACATGCAGTGCATCACTTCAGCTGAGGAAATATACTATGACCAGCAGCAGCAGAGCGCAACGACGGCCTGAAGAAGACGAAAGAAAAAGAGAAAATACATAATAAAAATGAAATAAAACAAGTGTATACAGGAGTTCTTGCATGAGGGTCATTACTTTGGTTCAGGTAGTTGGGTATGTCGTAAGGGCGACTCGCCAGTGAATGGATTATTCCACTTGACCGTTCTTCACATGAAGCTCCGAGGTTGATCAAGGTGAAAAGCTGTTGATCAAACAGGCGAGTTATGTATTAAAAGATTAGAAAGGTATTGTTCATGTTCGTGTGTTTGAATAATCAAAGCGCGGGCTAATGTATTGGAATGATATGAGAAAATGGTATAGTAAACAAAAGCCACAGAGATCCGCCCCAAGTCGCAAGAAACAGAAACGCCTTTGTCCATATGCAGGCACTTTCCAGTTGCCATTCATGATATAGTAATTCGTGTCTCATCATAGTCAAGAAACGTACAAGTCTTGTTCGCCATGGTTGAAAAAAACACATCTGCCCCGGCCGTCCAGCCCCCTTATTCCTACCACTTCACTATGTGTACAAGGCTTCTTCTTTGATTTCTCAATCTCTTTTCCCTTTTTTTTTCATTCTTTTTTTCTTTGTCTTCTTCTTTTTTGCCCCCCTATTTGAAAAGCAGGGGGGAGCCACTCAGCTGTCCACGCTTACATGCGTATCCTGCGCCTCAGCTAGCTCAGGGATAGGCGTATCCCGCTTCCGCTTATTGTAGCCATTGCAGGCATAATACGCCCTGCTTCTGGGCGGCGCCGTCGGCGTCTTCACGTCCAGCTCGGACGCAAGAAAGCTCGCAGCGGGCCCGACGGGGAGGAAGACGCCCTGGAAATCTTCCGAGACGACGCTGCTGGCGTCCGACATGTCAACGTCAATGGCCGAGTCGGCGGCACTGCTGCTGCTGCTCTCGATGCTCGTCGTCGGCGTGTCGGGCACCATCTGGATGTCCGGGACGACAGCGTTCGCACGCACCGCCCCGGCTTCATCTCCGTCGTCGTCGTCGTCGTTGTGAGAAGGCGCCTTGGCCGTGGCCGTGCCCCTACCCCTGGCGGAGGCGGAGGCGGAGGCGGCTTCAGCCCTGGAGGCGGCGATTGCGCCACCGACGCGCTCGTCATCCTCCTCCTCCTCGTCCGCCACGCCGATTGTCCAGACCCACTGGCGTTTCTTCTCCTTGCGTTTGCGCTTTCGGATGCCGCCCGTTTCGGATGGCGACAGGGACGACGACGGCGGTGGCGTCCCTGCACCGCCACCACTCAGGGCCGCGAGCTTGCGTCGCATGTCCTCGAACGGGCCTGGCGTTTGGCCCCCATTCTCGATTTCGTTGGGCGAGAATGCCTGCTTGAGGTTGATTGCCCTGTCGCCCCCAATGGGCGAGAACGAAGGTGACGCGGGTGAGGCTTCCTCCACGAGGAGGTCGATGTGCGATTTGGTGTACTTGTTGGTGATGATGGTCTGGGTGAGAGGGTTGTTGTAGCCGACACGCTTGGCGGCCTTTTCCTGCAGCCTCAGGGACTGCCGCCTGGGAGAGGCGGGAATGGCTGTCCTGGGGGGTAGAGGCGAGTTGCGCAAGATGCTGTGGAGAGAGTGAGGGTGCGTATAGGGAGCAGGAGCAGCTCCAGTGGTGTACGCAGCGGTATACCGCCTTGAGAGGAGCGGCTCGACTGGCGAGCAGGGTGAGGTAACGCCATATGTCCTCGCCCTTGAGGAGAGATCCCTAGGGGAGAAGGGAAAGGCGCTGGATGTGGAAGAGTCGACGGCGCCAGCTGACATGGGAGGCGTCGGCGTCATGGTGCTTGGGAAGGCAATGTCCATCTTCTGCGGCGGTGATGCGGAGGTCTCGGTGGTCGGTGTCTGCGGGAAGGCGGCGACATATGGCGTCTTGATCTTGAGCTTGGGGCCCCGGGGCTCGGCTGGCGTCTTGAGGGAGAAGCTCTGCAGAGTGTTGATGGCTGTAAGGGGCTCGGCCTGTACTGGCGTAGACCTCTCGATGGCGGTTGCGTAGACGTTGGACAGGGTGTTGCAGGCTGTACGATCGGTAGGGTCGACATGGAAGCCCTTTACTGGCCTGCTGGGGACTGACGAGCCGCAGGTGTTGATCTTGAGGGATAGCCGCGGCCTCTTGGGGGCGGAGTTGTGCTGAAAGGGTTGAGAAGCCATCATGACGACGGCTGTGAGGTGTCGAATAGTTCGTATGGAGATGAGTATTGGACAGAGACGAGAGTAGTGATGGTAATGATCGTAATGACGAGTTCGAGGAGAGACGACGGGATGTGTGTGGAGAAGACAAAACCTTGATACGAGAGAGAGAGAGAGGACGAAGAGACAGAGAGAGGTATGGAGAGTGGGGTGCGTCAACGAGATGTCGAGTCGGATCGTATCGACCCCAGGCTGTGTTATATCAAGGTGTGATCAAGGTACGATGAATGGGGACGCATAACAGATGCAGGCCCAACGATGTGTATAAGTAGCAATGCCTGCAGCGAAAAGCAATGCCGTGATACAGTGGTTGTGCTCTGCAGAGACGAGACGAGAATAGAAATGACGCAGGCAGAGGAGACACAAGTATCAAGTCAGGTTGGGTGCTGGACAGCAGATGGCTGGTGATGGCAAATGGGCGGGATCGTCGGCGGCTATATACGACGAAACAACCGCGCATCAAATGCTTTGCATCCGTCATCACCTCGTCGGTCTCGTCCGCCGTGTTTCGTCTCCGTGGCTTCTGCTTCGAGCCCGTCCGTCAGCTTGTTTCGTTTCGTCTCCTCTGCGTCTCTCTCTCTCTCTCTCTTCACTAGCCTCCCCCCCCCTTCCCCCTCTTCTCCTCGTCCCTTTCTTCCTTTCTTCCCTGTTCCCCCCCCCCTCTGTCTCTCTCTCTCCGTCCCTCCCAGTGGAACCGCCCATCATGCCGTTCCTTGCCCATTCAGCCGGCTGCACGCTGCACGATGCTGGCTAGTCCCAGCACAAAGCACAAGAAGCAAGCACCAGGGCACAGAAATCACATCCGCCTAGACGCGACCCGCACCGCAGCAGGAGGGCAGGAAAAGAGGAGGTGGAGGGTCGCCACCGGCCCTGAGTGGCCGTGCTGCTATTTCGAGCTTGCGGGTAAGCGCTGAGCCCTCGACCCCCTGCTGCAGCGCGCTGGCCAATCCCCGGCGCTCCCCTGTGGCCTCGTGGCCAATCAGCGCTGTGCCCGACGGCTGGCGTCTATATCCGCCGAATCTCCTCGGGCACGAAGAGAGGCAAGTTTGTGTGTGCTTGTGCTGGTGGGCAAGGAAAATTTGGAACAAAAAAGAAAAATTGTGTCAAGATAATAAGAAAGAAAGAAGGATGGACGCTGCACCGGAGATGCACGGCCAACGCCGCTGTCACACGGCCTGTGCCAATCGCGCGTCGTGCTGGAGAAGCTGCTTGTCTCAGTGCCCATCCGAGAGCCAACCAGATCAACGACGCCCGGCTATCAGATGGAGGCACATGTCACAAAACGTGGCCGTAGGATGAAGCACAAGCAGGTTCGGACTTCTACATACATACATAATGATGCATCTTTTGCAGCTGCGTCTGCATCTGTTGAGAAAGTCACTCACCCACACACAGCCCACAGATTCAAGACACTGACTAGCACGGTGAAGCCGACCTTCTTCTTTTTCTCTTCTCGAGCATCTGCTGCCAAACACAGCGCGCAGCAACGCCGTTTCCTGTCCGTAAAGCCCGGGTTTGAGTGTGTTGTATTTTCGCAGGGAACTCTCAAAAGCAAATCAACCTGAAGTGCCTATAATTAGAATCGGGAATTCAACGTTTGAGCAGCTCCACGGTTCATCTTCTGGGGTCCTGATGGGGCAACTGCGGAGAAAGATGCGGGCCGATGTGCCAATGGCAGCTGTCTGTCAATGGCACAAGACAAGGGTGAGGTTGGCCGATCTGCCTTAGTCATCTATGTCGTCGGTCAAGGAAGCACATCCTCCACCACTTTGACTCTGCTTCACCTTGGCATTTACTCGATGTATCAACATGGTTTCAAGAGCCTCCTGAGGCATCTCTTCTGTTTCTTCTAATAATAATCTTTTATCTATGCTTCATCGATTGAGACGATGATCAAACACGCAAAGCAAACCTTTCTTCTCCTATTGTACCGCTTTGCGACCAGCTGCTGATCGCTCCTACAAATGCCAGACTCACAAAGAGCCAACCCATGTTTCTCCAAGGGTGGCCTGGCTCACGTCAAACCCACTCTCAGATTGACTGGGGCGATTACGAAAGATTCCATAGGAAATTCCATCAACCAGATCTTACATTGTGCATAATCTTATTGCGGAGGCAGTACATACATACTTGGTCGTCATCGTGTAAACAGCCCCAGGGATGATGAGAGATGCCCATTTGGGGATGTGCGATTTCGTAATTAGACCAGATCTGTTTCGGGGCATATGGTGATGACAAGCAAGATACGTTTGACCCGAAATAGTGACTTGTTGACGATGACAATTACAAGATCCTCGACTTGAAGAACCAACAGAGTGGAGATGATGGGGATCCTATATCCGAATTCGACCGTCTGACCAGGTCTAACACAGGCATCGTTATACAAGACAAAGCCATGTACTGTGCCCCCTACTTCCGCCATGTACTATGTGATTAATGTTTGTTCAAAGCCGTACATGCGAGGAGTTATCTATATGTCTCTTGGATACTACACCTCCAAAGGGATACTGCGTATACTCAACTCCCACATCATGCCTTACCTCTGAATCCCTTCACATCAGGTATTGATCAATGTCAACCATTCGCAATTTACTAACCAATTTTCCACGGATATCCGAGGATCAAGAACGTAGATTATCATCCCAGGCGCGGCCAACAGTTCCAAAAGGTCAGACACATCTCGCATGAAACGAAGCACCACTCCTCCAAAACTTCCTACACCTCCCAAACTTGGGAATTCCTGCTCTTTCTAGACACTTTGCTCCATGTGTTGCTCACCATCCGTCACTGACTCTAGAGTTCTGAATCAGCAATCTTGCCCCCTTCCAGGACAAATTTCTCAATCTATAATTAGCAGCATAGCTGGATATTATTAGAATACCCTCGTTCAAACCCCCCATTCCAAGCACCTTTGCTTTCCCAAACGAGAAGGCAGTCACGTTTGTTCGAAGTGACGGCACATCTTAATCTCATCTCGATTGTTTGATACACGATGGAATCAATGAAAGGCAAAGAAATTGAAAAGTAAAAGGGAAAGAAACCAACAGACAGGATCGCCAGATCGCATACCTACCTACCCAACAGGTCCTCAACCTCGCCAATCACGCCCTCTTCCCATCCGATCTTTTACTTCCCAGATCATTTCTGAATCAAACAACATGTCACAAGAAAGCACTGCCAGATTGGCATACAGCGAATAGGCTATGCAAACAGACTCCGATCAAGACCTATTTACAGCCCACGTCCGGCTTCCGATGGAAGTGGGACATACAAGCCAACAGCTCCCCCCCGGAACCCCGATCCAACGTCGCATCCAGATCTCACATAAAAAGAAACGGTACGAGGACAGACGAGTACTAAGCCTCGAAGAACATTCTATGAGGCAGGTACATAACTAAGAATTGTATTGTGCCTTGACAAGAGGTGAGGCTGGGGGGAGATAAGCATTACGCACGCAACCACACGCCCGGCAGATCATTTATAGTAGCTTTCCCCCCCTTTTCACGCTATTTTCTTACTGTCCATAAAACCGAACTATTATGGAGTTACTATTTCGCAAACAAAACCCCCTTTTTGTTGCTTCCCTACCTAACGATCGTGATTGACAAACAAGTGTCCAACTGATAGAAGCGTCAATTCTGTATGTGACTCCTTTGTGAGCATAGATAGATTCGCTATGGCTACATTTCGTTCTTCATGTAATCCTCCCAAAAGCTAGGCCCATGACCAGATCCCACAGATGGTATTTTTGCCAAAGCCTTCACCGTCCATTGTAATGATTGTTATTTTTGCTCCCGAGCCAGGTAGGCGGTTTTGTCCGGCTCAATCCCATGAACCCCCGTTCCACATGGCGCCGTGGAGTCTCCGTGGTCCCGTTCCCTTATTCATCTTCATGCTCTGTCTCGTGCTTGATGGCTGACGGCAGAAATGAACCCCTGGGCTTGTAGCAGCGGAGGCTGGTAAGTTGGTACTTTGGCTTCGACCAGGGACGGGCGTTGGAAACCCAAAATATCACACTCAGTGCACCATATCTGCCGACCTTCGCTGCACACAATTTCCAGCATATCCTCCAGAACACCTCTCAGGTAGGAGGTGATACCTTTCCATAGCAAATGCCTCTGTACCGACGCTCTCCTTCTAAGCATCAGCTAGTCAATCCATATACATCTCCAGAAAACGTATGATGAGTTCAGCAGTATAGATAAAGGCTCTGCTCCTCAGCCACCGTTGAGAATCCCATGAGACTCGAGCAGGCCGCCCAGCGCTCCCAACTTGACTGGCTTGGTGAGGAACACATCCATTCCACTGCCGAAGGCCTCCTGCTGCGCATCTTCGGTGGCCAGCCCCGAGAGCGCAATGATGGGCACAGGCGTCAAGCCCATCTGTGTTTCGTGGGCCCGAATCTGTCTCGTAGCCTCAAACCCGTCCATGACAGGCATGGAAATGTCCATGAGAATGCAAGCGAACGCGCCAGGATGCGCGAGAAAGCAATTCACAGCTTCTTGGCCATTCTTTGCTTCTTTAAAGCCAACGCCGCGCTTCTTCATGTACGTCGAGAGCACTTTCAAGTTGATATAATTGTCGTCAACGAGCAAGAAGTCGAGCTGTGTTGCCTCGGCCTTGTCCCGCAGGGCCAACGACTCTTCGAGAACGTTTGAGGCCGGTTCGCTTTTCGCGCCAGGCGACGTCGGCGAGTTGCTTTCGCCCTCCCAAAATGGAGTGCTGCTTCCAGATATCGCCGTTGCCGGCCTGCTCAAGGATGGTCTGAGCATATGGGCAGCGGCCGAGAAAGTACTTGGCGTTCTCTTGGGTCCTTTTGGTCGTTTGGCCACCATTGGAACCGAGGTGGATGATGTCGGCGAGTTGGAACTACTCATCCATCGCGTATATGCCGAATGCAGAGTTCTCGCAAGTTTACGCGGGCCGGTCCTAGAGATTGTAATTAGTCAACAATCAGGCAAACAAAAGAAGCAGTCTGGGTAATTGAACTCACGGTTGAGATATAAACTCAAAGATAACGGGCGACCCGGCTTTCTTGAATATATGTGATTGGCGATAGGCCACCAACGCGTTCGAGCACACGACGACATTGGGCGTCTTGTCAAACGTTTCAAAGTCTTCGCTCAACCGCGCCAAGTCCATATGAGACCACAGTACAAGATCGGGCGTAACGGCTGTGTCTGGCGTGTCGGGAATGACCTCCATGTGTAGCCATTCGCAGCAGATGTTGACCACGGCCTTACGCCAATCAGGATTTGCCATGGGGATTCGCACACGCAGACCCTTGAGATCTTCCACCTGCTCCTTGAACAGCTTTTCCTCTTCTTCCAAAATTGTAGGGGCCTCACCCGACGACGGCGGCAGTTGCTCCAACGGCAGTGTGACAGAGGCGATAGTCCCGACGCCCAGCTCGCTCTGTATGGAAACGTCACCCTGCAAATGAGACGTTATCTGCTGCACGAGGCTGAGCCCCAAGCCTGCGCCAGGTGACAACGGATCTTCTTGGCAGAAGGGACGGAAAAGGCCGTGTTTGAGAAAATCCGCGCCGATGCCTTTGCCGGTGTCTTGCACCGTAAACCTGACGACGCGCTCCTTCTTCCGGCCCCTGAGACGGGCCATTTCTTGCGTGAGCGATACCGTGATGGTGCCACGTTTGGTGTGCTTCAAGGCATTGCCAAAGATGTTCATGACGATTCGACGAATGGCTCCGACATCAACACAATACGCCCAGTTACACCGTGCGTCCACGGAGAGGACGATCAACACATCGTCAAAGCTCCACCTGAGCTCCCCGTTCTTCGTCATCCAAGGCTCAAGCTGGTCCATGGCCTGCAATGAATCGGAGTGGTGGTTGGCATTCACATCGCTGTTGATGTTGATCGAGCCACGTTGATGATCTGAGAGCTGCTTGACAGACAGGTGCAAGAAGTTGAAGCCAGCAAAGACGCTCTCGATGACTTCCTCGACGATGTAGTCGAGCTGTGAGTCGCGCAGTAAGGACTTCTTGCCGAATTGGCCCAGATCAAGGCCGTTGGATGCCAAGCTGAGAGCCCTGTCGTCTCGTCCAGACAGGTGATTGATCCTAGAGTACTCAAGAAGGTGGTCCACCGTGTCGAGAAGCGTGCGGGAGCAGGTCTCAATTGTATGGGCAACATTGCCCTGAAAAATGTCAAGCTTGGTATCAATCAGCAACTCAGCGTTGAGTAGAATCCCGTGCAGGGGAGAACGGAGCTCGTGCGAGAGGGACCCAAGCGCGTCCGTCTTGGCCTTGTCGGCTCGGAGGTCTTTGTATCGCAAAATCTCGGACATGGCAAGCATTCCCAGAGCTCTCAGATAGCTTAATTCCTGCTCGAGAGAGAAATTTCGAGCTACATCCTTGGTACTGATGAATCCGCCGGCATACCATCGATCTTTCCTCGGGTCCCAGATCGGTACGAAGCATACACTCCGAGAACCCGGAAAGGCCTTGGACAGAGCCTTTCCCTCGAGCCGCCTTGTCGACGCTCTCGTTCGCGGCTTGTCACGCGGCGATAATAGGTTGACTTCCGATCCTCTCGTGGGCAACGAAGAACCGTTTGACAGAGTGTCGAGCGTCTGGCATGGCTGCTCGTCTTCGGCCGTGTCCGGTTGCAACTCTCCATCGGCTCCAAAGTTGAATATCTGGCCCCTGGGATACCGTCGAAGAAGCTTGGACAGAAATTTATCCGTGAGGTTCACCCAGGACAGACTGGGAGCAGTCCCGTTGATGCTAGAAGACTTGGACGTAGAATAACCGAGGATCCTGCATTGCGGCGCAGGTTTAATCGGACGCCTAATATCATCTTCGTCGCTACTGCTCGAGCTGGAGGAGTCGCTTCCCTCATCAGTCGCGGAGCTGCTCTGCGCCGGAGACAAATATGGCTGGATCGGAGCCTCGAAGAACAGGCAGGCCTCCACCTCGATCGACTCTCTAACAATGTTGGCAGCCTTTGAGAGGATGACTATCGAGCTTTCGTCTTCCGTCAAAGCAGCCATGGGCTTGAACGCAGGTGGCGTGGTTTCCGAGCTGGCGGCGGAGAGCGTACGCCGGTCACGGCCAAGAAATGCGTCGTTATTTGGAATCGGGATCGGCTTCGGGATGGCGTCGTTGCCTAGCAGTGTCGTGCTCATTGGATTGGCTACCTGAGTCGTTGGTGATAGATTAGCCACGAGGTCGTCCTCGAGCGCCTCTTCTCGCTGCCGTTGGAGAAACTGCTGCCGGTGACTGAGCTCGTCGTCTTGCTGTGCGTCGTTATCGCCACATTCGGGATCCTGTGAAGTCTTCTGCCAGCCGAATATTGTGGGCTTTCCCTCGATAAACGATCCCAGGCCCCTGTTCATCCGTACGTCCCGCTTGTGCACGCCCTTGAGCCTCTGTGCCTCGAGATGGTCCATGATGGCCCAGGATATGTCCCGTAGTCGCTGGGAGTGGACATCGGTCCAGGTCTTGTTGGGCGTCTCGTCGATGACGCAGTAAACGCCAATGTTGATTCCGCGTCGAGTTCGAATCGGGACGGCGGCATAGAAGCGAGCCGAAGGGCCCAGCTGGCAGAAGGGCTTGGCCGAGAAGCGAGGGTCGTGGACGAGGTCGTGGGCAATGGTCAGGGGAAGTTGATTGGGCGTCTCGCCGTCGGAGGCATCGAGGGCCTTGTCGCCGAGGAGGGTCATCTCGCAGAAGCCGTGGCTACGGGGGATGGCGGTGCCGCAGAGCCAGAGCGGCCGATCACAGTCGTCGCTCCTGAGGGACGGATACAGGCGCTGGGTGGGCGTGGCCTCGGCCACGATACACTGGCGGGTGGCGTCGAACAGCGAGATGAGGGCCCGGTCGGTGCCCGTCTGCAGCGCCCCCAGCTGGGCGAGGCCCGTGAGGATGACATCGTCGGCGGCCGCGAGCTCGGTCGAAGGCGTGGGCTTGCCGGTCTCGTTGAGCCTGACGGTGCGGAGGAGCGACGAGGAGTACCTGCGGTCGAGACACGGAGGAGCGGGTTAACGTCAGGCCTCAGCGGTGACGGCGATGAGGAGGAGAGGAGCAAAGGCAGGAGAGATAAGCAAGAAGGGGTTCCCTACTCAAACGTCTCGCGCTCTCTGGCCGACTCGGACACCAGCCTGGCAGCCTTCACCGGATTTGCTGCCATCGCCGTTCCACAACCGCCGCAAAGTGCACGGATCGCAGTCGCTCAGCCGGTTTGCAAAATCCCATGAGGCGCGCCGATCACCAACGAAACTTGAATTTTTTTTTTTCCTCCTCAGGCCGCTATGGAGTACGAAGACATGCAGGGTCTATATTGGATGGCCCGGTCGGTTGGTGGTGGCATTCTGATTGAGGCCCCGGGAGAGCCTGCTATGGCTTATCGAAGCACTAGATAGCGCAAATCTGTGCATATGCATGTACCAAGATCGAGGTGTCCAGATAGCAGCAAGCGGTTGCAGCTTGCAGCGTCCACTCCCCCCAAAATCGAATAACTGAGTCGTCAATTCCATTATTAGCACTGAAATTCGGGAGGTAACCCGAACAGCCGCAGACACGAGAGCATGGTCTGGGGCACCGAGCCTTCTATAAGAAGCCAGACCTGCCAGGACAGACTCTGTGAGAACCCCACGCAGAGCTACTTCACGGAGCATCCGCCGAAGAACCAAGAGATCCTCCTCGCAGGCCGCCCATCAGACAAACAAGCTTCGACAGCTTCGCCTAGCTTTATAGACTACCACGACGCCCTACTCCAGAAAATAAGGTGGTTGCTAGCACCCGCTGGATCGCTGGATCGAGGCATGTGCCCACTTGCTACGGAGACTTTGCTCCCGCTGCATCGCCATCTGGCTGATCGAGGACGACTAGCCGTGACACCAAATTAGTTACCGTGTTAATTACCACCTTGTTGCTGCGTAGCAGTATCACTAGGTCGTTCTATCTCATCTCACCTTACCCCAGAAGTCCCCATGTCCACTAATCGAAGCGCCCGTAGCTCCATTTTGTGCCCTTCTCGATTCCAAGAAAGTCGCAGTCTCCCCCCTTTGACATGTCCTTGCGGTGATACCGCCCTAAATCTCCATTCCTACAACCAGCAAACCTTGAACTCCAGGCAGTCAACCCATAAACGCCAATATAACGTTGGAATGGGACAGGAAACAGGAGCAAACAAGACGCCCAGGCCTTCACAAACATAGAGGGAGGGCAGCGCTATCATCGCTAATGACGTCCAGCTGCCTCCTAGCATCCTCACGCAGCCGAACTCCCAGCTTGCCCAAGTCACTCATAATTTGATCCAACCTATCGCCCTCTACAATCTCGGACTGCCGAGACTCTCTTCGCTCTACCGGGTGCGTGAAGCTGTGCTCGGGGGGTCTTGCTTGTTCTTGATCCCGAATCTGCGTTGCACGGCGGGACTGCAGCTCTTGAATCTGGTTCTGCCAGAGAAGCCTCAGCGCCAATGCTTCGAGATCGCATGAGGGATCGAAACCGGTATCGGGGGAAGTAGGAGAGGCTGGGTCGCCCGTCTGCTCATCCGGCGATGACGCGGACGTGGTCATGGCGATATATAGGGCATCATGGTAGGCACCATCGTCGTACATTGAAGAATTGCGGTCTGCTCGAGGTGCAACCTCGGAGTCGTGATCCGAGTCACATCCAGTCGAGGACTCCGCAGCTGTCAAGCCATTATCTTCATCCCCTGAAGCTATGGTCTGGCTTCCTTGTCGTCCCATGTGATGTGGTGAGAGAAACCACGGTGTCCGGGGTCGCTGTCCCAAGTCCCAAGCCATTTGCGGAAACTCGTGTGCGAACTGACGACTGACTTCTTCATACCGAGACCGATTATCTGTAGCATCTACGCCCATGTGTGATACCGGCCGGACATCAAGTTGTCGGCGATCAGAGCGGACTCTCTTTGTCATTTGGGCGGTCAGGTCTTGCTTGATCGAAGGACCTCAAGGTCTGTTTTAGTTGGAAGAGATCGTTCAAGCCAGGGGTTCAGCGAAATTATGATATGAGAACAACTTTTGGAAGAGACCTTGCAGTTGTCCCAGTACCGTGTCTGGTTAAGTGCCAAAACACGAGCGAGGAATATGATGCAGCTTCTGGATGCAACACCACCAACTGGAGGCGCGGGGGGCCAGCCTCAAATATCGAGTTTCTCTCCAGAGCCGCATCCCAACATCTGTTCTCGATTCAGCAAACCAGCCAACGTCATGTATTCGCTTCCTTGCCGCCTCCCGGAGCTGCACTGCGCACGTGTAGCCCAGGCTCTGCAATTGTCTGCCACTCTCACGGCGCTTGGAGCTAATCGTCCGCCTCGGCGCCTCCCAATGGCCAACTTCGAACTTGTGGCTTTTCGTCCCAATAGAAGCCGCGGCGGTCCGAGGAGCAAAGCGTCCGCACTAAGCACGAGATCGACGCGATCGAGCTGTGGAATAATCGCCTTCCGAACCGCCCGCTTTCTGATAGGCTTGATGCCTTTGGGGTAACACATCGGGCTGATATCGCTGGGGCGGCGAGCGAAACGACAGGCCCTCCAGCCCTGCCACGCCTGTAAGCCTTCGCATTACTCACCGCCAGAGGATGTTGGACGAGGTCGCCTGCGTTGGGAGCTGGAGTGACCATGATTGATTCACCTGAGCATTTGCTCCTGTAAGCGGGGTAGAGGGCAGCATTTCAGCCACTCTAAGCGGAACAATGCCACATGCCACCCCTGAGCGCCATTCAGATGCTGAATGCAATGGGTAACAAAAAAGGGATTCAATAGAGTAATTCTCAAAAAAAAAAAAAAAATTAGGAGGACAGTTCACTCAACTGTGGGCTGTTGATTGCAGACGCCTGGTTGAGCCAATCACTGTGTATCTGACACTGGGAGCATGACACACAAGGGAACATGAGCCTTCGCGAGTAGAGATTGAGTTGGAACGAGTGAGGCCGTAAGTTAGGCGCCATCCTTCCAACCAGTAAATATGGTTTTCCTTTGCTCTTTGTATGATGTTCCAACTGAGTTGCATTTGATGTTTTTATCTCAACACTGATATTGCCCAGAGCGGCTTATCTGCGTCGTGTTGACCCAAATCCCGTGCTTTCGTATCGCGACGAGTTGGAAGCAGAGCTTGAGCCTGAACCAGACGAGAAGGATCGTGAAGAGGGTCCAGCTCCCCATCCTTGTGAGGGATACCGTTCTTCCCGCCGGTTGTTTCGATTGCCCGCCAGGTATGCAGCGGCTGCTCCTCCGGCCAGCCCGGTCCAGAATCCAGGCCTCCAACCTTGCTGCCCTTGGTCAGGTTTCGTTCCGGGATAAGGCGGGGGCGGATCGTTTCCCGGGCCCCAACCCGGACCCCAACCGCCGCCGCCGCCGCCGCCCCATCCTCCTCCGTTACCTCCTCTGCCAGGGACTCTGTTCCCTCCGCTGGTTCCGTTGCGCCACGCTGAATAAAGGATCCATCCGAGAACAGTGAGGAATATGGCTGCAAACAGCCAGCCGCCCCAATCTGTGTCTCCTTGTCCATTGCTGAACCAGCGGCCACTATTCGCAATGTCGGGATACCGCTGCTCGCCCTTTTCGGTAAGTAAAAGCCTGTATTCGACGCCGCAGCTACCCTTGAGGACATAAGGATCATCAGGCGAAGAGTATCCCTCGCAGATGACCTCTGTGCTGCCAAGCTTGAACTCTTCCGGTAGAGAAGCTGTGCAGCTCCATTCCATGTCTTCGGAGCCGTAGGAGGAGCCCTGGTTTGTGCAGCGCATGACGTCGATGGGGAAGAGGTCGCAGACGGCCTTTGATGAGACGCATTTGAGCTGGGGGATCGGGGCGACGCGGCGGGAGGTGGTTTTTGCGCCATTGCCCTTGAGGGTGAGAGAGCGAACTCCGGAGAGGAGAATTGCGTTCTTGGGGCGAGCGGAGAGGGCGAGGAGGGGAAGGGCGAGGATGAGGGAGATGGTTTGAGGAAGCATCGTGGCCTGAGTTGAAGAATGTCTGGGGTGGTGTTTCTCGATGGCTTTTTAAAGCTATTAGGTGTGTAGGTTAAGAGATTGTAAATTTACAGCGTCATGACGCAATGCGTGATGCTGCTGCGTTGGGGCTTGCTGCGATGAGAAGTCAAGATAAAGAAGATTAGAATCGGTGAGAAGTTGAAGATTATACCAGGCTCACACGTGAGAAAAAAAGGACACGATGTCCTGATTGCTGTGAGTGGTTTGCTCTGGTGGTGGCAAAGGCAGCCTAAGGTAGAAGTCGTTAGAAGGAGCGTATGGCTGAATGACTCGGCGAGCTATAGGCGTGATGCTGAGCTTCTGATTGGCCATTGACCGACCTGTGCTTCTAGTGGCTCCTCGGTGAGAAAACGGTGCGGTGGGGACTTACCCTTAAATCAGTTGCATGATGTAGACTTTGCTCTGTCTTTGGCAGATGTCAGTTCATTTCCATGGACTAGTTACACAATTGTAGAGATGCTTTACTCTTCATCTATCGTGAGAAGTAAGGTAATGTTGACAGAAGTTCAATGATTTTTGGAGAAGACCAGGTCAATACACAGCATTCAGACACTATTTGCGCTATATCCCATATTCTATGTTGTAGCGTCAATTTAGAAAAATGCATGCCGAACATCACGTCTTCTGATGTCTGATCCAACCTGCAGAAGCATGCTTGAGTGCTGTGTAGGAAGCCTTGTGCTACGATTCTCATAAGCTATTTATATTATCTTGAACGATATGAGCACACCTGCTCACGGGCTCTTGAGATGCATCTGCTAAAGTACAGCTCCACGCCAGACTGATCTCAGAAGCATCTCTATTCCGGGCTGGTGGTGCTGCGCCATGCAGTGTAGAGTCGATACGATACAGCAGGCAAGAAAAGAACATTGCCGCTCACGAGCTGGACGATGACAATGGCGAGGAGTGCGGCTGAGGTCAACCCGGCCGTACAGTACGCGCCGCACGGTGCCCTGCGTAATATGGAAGTTGTGTGTATGAGTCAGCCAAGGAAGATATTAGTCGATGCGGTACGCGCTAAGACATGCTTAATCCAAGATCTGCCGAGGGAGAAACTCGAGCCAAAAGCAACGGAAGAGACAACAGCATGGCTATGGAATATAGTGATTATTGAAGGCGCTCTACTGAGCAAGAAGAGAAGAAGGTGATGCCAGGACAAAGCAAATCGTGACTTTTCAAGGCTTGTCGCTGGCTTCAAGGCCATCTGAGGTCTGCAGGTGGTTGGGGTTGGCAACCCCGGCAATAGAATCGCGCCAAGGCATCGGGCTGTCAGTTGGCTGACTGTCCTTCAGCTTCAATTTTCTCAAAGCGGCAATACCAGGCGCTCATGCAACCTGATACTTGTAGTATTACGAGTGATTGCTGGCGTCGAAGCCGCGGACCAATGCGAAAGTCCCCTGCAGCGGCATTGGTGAAGAGGAGAGCAAGGGTGAGATGGGCGCAGCGGAAGAGCTTCAAGCAAGTCCGACTCATGCCGTACTACGGATACTACTACTACTACTACGAAGAATGTCTTGGTTAGTCGAGATGACGGAGGCAAGGAGGGAATCTCATCTATCCCGCATGTCTCAAGGCTAATGCTGTGAGTGGCAGGTCATAGTGGGCTTCAGCTCCCCAGTGTCTTAGACATGGCCCGATTTGTTGTCTCCTGCGCCGTGGAAATGGAAGTGCGTTGTACCGATACAGTCAAGAAGCAATCATCTGCCCGAAGTTGATTTGTTTTCTGCAAATCCAAGGACGGCGAACAAAGGAATCAGAACTAAATGCTCGACAAAGCAAAAGAAACTGTGGACAGGGTAACGTACCCGCGGCCAACCGCCCGAACAAAGCACAGTGCGATTTCTCCCAGGCCATCGGGCGAGGCGGTACCCTGCATGGTTTCCTACAGCCTGGCTGAATGTACTTCGTACTTTGTATGACAGCTGGACTGGAATTTGCCCTTATCCCTGCTTGAGAGATCTCAAAGCCTCGAGTCCCCGCCCCCCCAAACAGAACAAACGCGGCAATGGGAGCATGTCCATCTCCGCTGGGGAGCCGCAAGTACTATTCCTGTACGAAGGACGCGTGCTGTCTGCCGAGGGGCGTGTCTGTGCGGCTCGTCCTCATGATGGGCGTTTCTTTTCTTACAGCCGGTATTACTACTGTTTCTGCCTCCTACCTCGACCAAAGCACACATACAGGTGTTCTGACATGCTGATGGTTTCTATTGGAAGGCCACAGGAATACTGAGTAGTAGCATGCACACAGAGGACAGGGCCGGATCTGCATCTCGCCTCTTGTTGCTTCTTCCCTCCTTACATCTGCATCTACTTTGCGCTTCTACTTCTGCTCCCGCTTATCTCATGGCCTGATCGCTGTTCGTTTCTTGCATTGCGCTGCAGACATACGTGAACATATGACATGCTTCTCAATTTGCTCACCAGCAACACCGACTAGACGCCCGATTGTTACATCGAACACGGCAGTCCATCGCCTTTCGGCGACCTCACCTCAGCCGCCATCATGGCCGCTGAAAAAGAGGAGAAGCCGGCCGAGGGAGTGACCCCCGAGCACTCGAGCCCTGGCGACACCAGCATTGCCAATGGCTTGGGAATCGCAAAGGATACTCCGCCAGAGTCTGAGGCAGCTGAACCTAAGAAATCAGAGTCGGAGGGCACAGTTCAAGGCTCACCAGACCCCGAAAGAAGCAACACCGAGGATGTGGACAATGGCAAAACAGATCTCGCAAAGCCAGGCGGTCAGAAAGAAGATGCCGAGGAAGCAGACGTCGACAAGCCAAAGTCGGAGAAGGCAGATGCTGAGAACATAGTGACCCAGACGTCAGATCCCGAGAAGGCATACCTGGAAAAAGCGGATATCGAAGAAGCGGGTTCCCAAAAGCAAGACCTCGAAAAGCCAGAAGTCGACAAAGCAGACCCCGAAAAAGCAGTGCTTAATGGTCAAGATGCTGAAAGGTCGGATCCTCAAGCCAGCACTGAGCCAGACCCCGATACCAAGGGAAAGAAGAAGAAGGCCAAAAAAGAAAAAAAGAAGAAGCTTCCCAAGGTGCCAGAGGTCAAGGAGGACCCTGAAGAGCCATTTCGACACCTGCCCGACAACGAAGCCGAAATTCTAAAGCGCCAGGCCTTGACGCCCAACCTGAACCAGGGTATTGCTGCGCTCTACCGATACACCACTGGTCTTGACATTTTCATCATGATCATTGCGACCATCTGCTCCATCGGCAACGGCGCCGCCCTGCCCCTCATGACGCTGCTTTTCGGTGGCCTTCAACAGACCTTTTCCCAGTTCACAGTAGGCCTGATCGACAAGGGCGAACTCAGCTCCCAGCTTGCCAAATACGTCCTCTACTTTGTGTACCTCGCCATCGGTCAGTTCGTCGTCACTTATATTGCCACGGTGGGATTCATCCATGTGGGCGAGAATATCTCTACTAGGATCCGAGAGCGTTACCTCGAAAGCTGCCTAAATCAGAACATTGGCTTCTTTGACAAGATTGGTACCGGAGAGATCGTCACTCACATCACTTCCGACACCAACACCATACAGGACGGCATCTCCGAGAAAGTGTCGGTAACCATAGGGGCTATTTCGACCTTTGTGACTGCATTTGTTATCGCTTTTGCCACATATTGGAAGCTGACGCTGATTCTTGCGAGTGTCATCTTCGCCATTCTCATCAACGGCTCCGTATTCTCCGGTTACATGGTCAAGAGCAGCACACAGTCCATCATATCCTTTGCGCTTGGTGGAAGCCTGGCCGACGAGGTCCTCAGTTCCGTGCGGACTGCCGTTGCGTTTGGGTCTCAGGAGAGGCTGTCCAACCAGTACGACCAGCACCTGAAAAAGGCCGAATACTATGGCTTCAGACTCAAGGCCGCCGTTGGAATTATGCTCGGTGGCATCATGTTTCTGCTCTACATGAGCTATGCACTGGCGTTCTGGCAAGGCAGTGCCTTCCTCCTGCGCGGCGAGATTTCTCTCAACCACGTCCTCATTGTCATGATGACTGTCATTATGGGAGCTTTCAACATGGGCAGTATCGCGCCCAACTTCCAGGCCTTTACCGCGGCTGTGAGCGCTGCATCCAAGCTCTTCGATACAATTGACCGCGTTTCTCCGATCAACCCAACAAGTGAAGAAGGCGGCACCATCGAAAACGTTGAGGGGAACATTCGGTTAGAAAATGTCAAACACATCTACCCGTCACGCCCCGGCGCCGTTGTCATGCACGATGTTACTCTTGACATACCCGCCGGAAAGACAACCGCATTGGTTGGAGCGTCTGGATCCGGCAAGAGCACTATCGTCGGTCTTATTGAGCGGTTCTACAACCCCGTTGCTGGTACGGTGTATCTTGACGGACACGACATCTCCAAGCTGAATCTTCGCTGGCTTCGCCGTCAGATCTCTCTGGTGAGCCAAGAGCCTGCGCTGTTTGGCACATCGATTTTCGAAAACATTCGTTACGGCCTCGTCGGAACCGAATTTGACAAGGAAAGCGAAGCGAAGCAGCGTGAACTGGTCATTGCAGCCGCGAAGAAGTCCAACGCCCATGATTTCATCTCTGCTCTGTCGGAGGGCTATGAAACCAACGTTGGCGACCGAGGTTTCCTTCTCTCCGGCGGACAGAAGCAACGCATTGCTATTGCTCGCGCCATTGTTAGCGACCCGAAAAGTCAGTCACACATTTCATATTTCGCATTTCACTCGATCCTTTGATTTCCTCTCATAATCGTATGGATGGTAATTGCTAACCCCAGTGTAGTTCTCCTGCTCGATGAGGCAACATCGGCCTTGGATACAAAATCCGAGGCCATCGTGCAGTCCGCGCTAGAGGCTGCTTCTGCTGGCCGGACTACCATCGCCATTGCTCACAGGCTGTCAACCATCAAGGACGCTCATAACATTGTTGTCATGGCGGAAGGCCGAATTGTAGAGCAAGGAACTCACGACGAGCTGGTAGAGAAAGGGGGCGCTTATTATAAGCTGGTATCAGCACAGGACATCGCTGCCACCCGGGATCTCTCGCGTGAGGAGCAGGAGGCCATCGACGAGCATCAGGAGGCTCTGGTCAAGAGGCAGTCGAAAATTGAGGATAGTGAGATCTTCAGTGCTGAAGATGGTAGTGAGAATAACCTCAACCGATCGCCGACGCAGAAGTCGGCCTCTAGCATTGCGCTGCGGGCTCGCACAGCGGAAAAGGAGGCCAAGTACAGCATGTGGGCTCTGATTGTCTTTATTGCCAAGTTCAACCGCAACGAGTGGAAGCGCATGTTATCCGGTCTCGTCTTTTCTATCCTCTGCGGTGGTGCCAATCCCATCTCTGCTGGTAAGTGTATCCCCCTCTCTCCCCTTTTCTGATCCATGACCGCCAATTTACGAAAACTGCCCGCTAAACATCAACAACACTCCTCAGTTTTCTTTGCCAAGGAGATCATCACTCTGACCGGTGCCCTCCTCCCCAATGCCGATATCGAACATATCCGACACAACGCCTACTTCTGGGCTCTCATGTTCATCGTTCTGGCTGGTGGCACGCTCATCACCTACTCTGGTCAAGGTATCGCACTTGCGTCATGCTCTGAGCACTTGATCCATCGCATCAGGGACCAAACTTTCAGGACGCTTCTCCGCCAGGACATCTCCTTTTACGACAGGAAAGAGAACTCGGCAGGCATGTTGACGGCATTCTTGTCAACCGAAGCCAATAACATCGGAGGCCTCAGTGGCTCCGCTCTCGGGACCATTCTGTTGACATTGTCGACCCTCTTCACTTCGATGATCATGGGCTTGGCTATTGGATGGAAACTGTCACTTGTTTGTACGGCAACAATCCCCGTATTGTTGGCCTGTGGCTTCTTCCGGTTCTACCTGCTCCTTCGGTTCCAGAACAGGGCAAAGGAGGCGTATGCGGCTTCTGCTGCGTATGCCTCGGAGGCCATCTCAGCCATCCGCACCGTTGCATCACTTACGCGAGAGCAAGACATTATGCGCATCTATCGCGAAGACATTGCAACGCAACGGCGCAAGGGCTTGAAGTCTGTTCTTTCATCGAGCGCGGTCTACGGCGCAGCCCAGGGTGCCACATTCCTCTGTTTTGGCCTCGGGTTCTGGTACGGCGGCACCTTGCTCGCCACCAGGGAGTACGATTTATTCACTTTCTTCGTCTGCTTCATGGGCATCATCTACAGTGCGCAATCAGCAGGAGGCATATTTTCGCTTGCGCCTGACATGGGCAAGGCTCACGCGTCGGCCCTGGCACTGAAGAAGCTCTTTGACCGGACGCCAAAGATTGACGCGTGGTCCCAAGACGGCCAGTTCCTCGACAGCAGTGATATCCAAGGCACCGTCGAGTTCCGAGACGTCCATTTCCGCTATCCTACGCGGCCGGATCAGCCTGTCCTCAGGGGCCTCTCTCTGACGGTTAAGCCCGGCCAGTATGTCGCCCTTGTTGGCGCCTCTGGATGTGGCAAGAGCACGACTGTCTCGCTGCTGGAGCGCTTCTATGACCCCTTGTCCGGCGGCGTCTTTGTCGATGGGCAGGACATCAGCACCCTGAACGTCAGCAACTACCGGTCTTTTGTCTCGTTGGTGAGCCAAGAGCCGACGTTGTACTCGGGCACGATTCGGGAGAACATCCTCCTCGGCACAACCAAGGAGGACGTCTCGGACGAACAACTGGAGTACGCCTGCCGCGAGGCCAACATTTACGACTTCATCGTCTCCCTCCCTGACGGGTTCAACACCTTTGTCGGCAGCAAGGGCGGCCTGCTCTCCGGCGGCCAGAAGCAACGCGTAGCCATTGCCCGCGCCCTCATCCGCAACCCCAAGATCCTGCTCCTGGACGAAGCCACGTCCGCCCTCGACTCCGAATCCGAATCCGTCGTCCAGGAGGCTCTGGACAAGGCTGCCGCGGGACGCACGACGATTGCGGTCGCGCATCGTCTCAGCACGATCCAGAGGGCGGATGTCATTTACGTGATTGATCAGGGCCGTGTCGCCGAGTCCGGGAGCCACCAGGAGCTGATGAGGAAGAATGGGCGCTATGCCGAGCTGGTCAACCTGCAAAGCTTGGCGACGAGCTCGTGAAAGCGGTAGGATTTTCGGCGGATGGAGCTATTGCTGTAAGATTGATGATGACGCTCGTTTCACTGATTCTATTGTATGCGTGTTGCTTCCATCATGGCTCAAGATTGTCATGGATGTTCTGCAGATGTACACAGGATCTGGAAAATGGGCAACATCTACACATATATACAACAAGAAAAGATTCGACATTGGCTTTTACTTTTTGGATTTATTTCTTCTTTCGCTTCTTTTTTTGTTTTTCGTGTTTGGTCCTGGATGGAGGATGAAGGATGTAAGACGCAGAGCAATGTTTATCTTCCCCCCATAGATTCTGCATGGCATTTCCCAGCTTTTTGTTTTGTATAAGAAAACACCACACCACTCCTACTATTTACCTTCGTTTTGAATAATGCTCTGTTCCATGTCGAATACTTGCGAATGCTGAAATCGTTGAAAAATGTCATGTGTTTTGATCTCATCTGCATGAAAGTGGCGTTGTGAACTCATTGATGTTGTAAATGACCATGTCTAGCTGACTGGGGACGGCGACACGAAAGCCAATACTACGGAGTTTGCGCCTTATGATAATTCAGTCATGGCAAAGACTTGACGCGCGGACAATATTCCCAGTGCAAAAGTCACACGAGATCTCAAGGTTCACAGATGGATACCCGTAATTGCTCCAGGCCTCCGACTATGTTTTCCTGTTTTCAGGTGACGGTGGCCTCGATTGTTTCAAAGCTCAGTAGTGCAATTCCGAGGCAGTGCTCGCTGAAACAAAAGCCTTGGAGTCCGGTGTCTCTTCTCTTGCTCCTTGTGCTCACGATCTGCTGACGTTTGTGTTGCCCCAATAATCCGGAGCCGCGACTTGAGAAGTTTCCTTTTGTTCCGGATCTTCGATCTTGCCTTTGGCGGGCGAGACATGACACGAAGATGGTAAGGGGTTAGCACGCAAAGATTGCAGGGGTGGATTCTTCGATGGGAAGGACTTTGGGTGTTGACAGTGGCTGTCCTTGGTCTCTCTGCAGCATGAAGCATGAAGCATAAACATGTATGAATTAATCATGCTTCTGTCGAAGGCGTTGGACGGTTTCCTGGTTCTCGGTGGTGCCTCGTGGGATATTCCAAGACAGTGCAGAGTAACCCAAGTGGAGACAAAGGGAGACTGCTTCCGAACAAGGCAAGGAAAAAAAGGGGGGCCGGTTCAATGAAGAATTGAGGCGGCGCGGGAACTAAATTGGTGGCGCTTGTGTCTTGATTTTTTTTTCTTTGGTCCATTGTTCTGGACTCCCTCCCTTGTCGAACGAACTACATCTGCTTCGTTACAAGAATCAAAGAAGCAAAAATCGCTGGGAAACAGCAGGGTTAGATGACCCAAATGCTGCACTGTGATCTTTTGTTTGAATTCAGGAAGACTGGTTGACAGGATTCTGGGGACTTTCTCGTTTGGGGGCGTTTGTGGTGCTTCGGCAGGGGAGCCGCGTGTGCGTTTTGTCTGCGTTACAGCTCGGAGTCGAGTGCGGTATACGGTACCCGTGCGAAGCGTAGGATGATGCGAGCCTGCAGAGGTAAGTGGTACAAGGGAAAGACACGTCTGTGTGCGGTGTATGAGAAATTGTCGATGCTATTTCGGTGCAGACCTGTTGGTGACGGTAATCCGGAGCAGCAGAAGTCCATGGCGTGTTACGTGTCGTATCTCATCCTGCGCTTCTTCTGCCTGAATCAGTACAGCACAGGAATGTCAAGCGCAATGGAGCCGCAGCTTGCAATTGGTCGTCTTGAGTTCCTTCGGTCATTAGAAAGAGAAAATGAGGCCATACGGCGATATGACGGTGGTCCTATCAGCGTCAACACCATGTTAGCAGAAAAACGGTGGGAGGGGAACAATCAAGAGCGAACAAACTGAGGCTGAGCGGGAAAGCAGCCGGTTTGTCACTAACCGGAGCTGGTGATGGTGGCACGGCAGCCAACCGCTTCCAGACTCTGCATATGGCGCTATTGATTGCATCCATCTCTGTTGACGTGTGCGACCTGATTCTAGAGCTTCGAGCTCCAAGAATGGCCGTTTAGGTGGTACCCTACCTCGCCTTATAGGTGCGACGTGAATCAAGGTGATGATGGTTGCTTTTGATGGCAATGGTGTAAAGTTTCGGTAGCTTGAGCACATACTCAAGCGCCTCCCAACGGCTGGCATAAAAACCACACCTACAAAGTGATACAGTCAGTATAGCAGTACCTAGATGGACGAGGAAATAGACAGCCAATACATCGTCAGCTTCATACCAGCTCAAGAAAACGTGGCTTGCCTCGCCTCGCCGCATTGTGGGATGCAATTAAACTCACCTGGCGCTATCAACGGCGTCGCTCTCCCACTAGGCCAGGGGAGGCATCTTCGCCTGTGTTGGCGCCGCCTGTTTTCCGGTTCGAGATCTGCCGTTTGCTGGCAATATTACCACGTCGTCTTACCTGAGCCAGTGGGAAGAGCTGCTGAAGGGGAAAAGTGATAGTTGAGATGCAACCCAAAAGAGGTTTGAGAGGCAGGGGTCGTTGCTTGTGACTGTTCCCCCCCGGTATCTGTACTTGAGTTCTCTGATACCTTCTCTTCAAGTTACTGCCAGTGATTGCAATATCAACTGCAGACATCATTGGAAGCTGCGAGTTCTGCTGGAATCAAAGTACATCAAGGTATTATCGACTGCTCTTCCAATGGCCATCTCGCAGTGGGCCAAGGCTTCATGCGGTCTTTTCTTCACCCAATTCTCGTCTCCTCGACGTTCCAACTTGTACCAATCACAGCCTCCTACCCCGTCTTTCGTCACAATGCCCGTGCCCTTGCCGCTAGCTGCATGTACTTGTACCGATTATGACTCCCCACACCGGCCACACGGCGGGGCTCCTTCCAAGTTCTTCAATGGACGCTCCTCGATTCGCGCTTGCCTCGACGCTTGGGTCCTTGCTGCAGACCCGCGTCGTTCCTTCCTTGCCCGCTATCTGCTACCGTACAGTACACGCACGACTCCCGAGTCCATACCACTAACCCGGTGGCAGCACTTGTACAGTACTTCTTGGCTTCCCGGACCCTTTCTGCACATCTTTTCTCTTTTCATCCTTCGTTTGGCCCTTCTCTCTCTTCCAGTATCATCATCGCCAACTGCTTCAACTGCTTCAACTTGCTTCAACTGCCTCAACTGCATCGACTCGACCAACTACGGTTCCAGATACCGAAACTACGAGTTTCACGTCTACTCCTGATACCACTAATACTAATTGCCTTTTCTTTTCGATCTTGCCTTACCGCCGCCTACCTTCGATACCGGTTCGGCTGTCACTCGCTCTGCCAACGCTCGCTTGAATCCGCCTTTCAGCTCCTCCCCCTGTCTCTCTTCCCGAGAGAAGACTGTCCGGCTTCCGAATCGCGAGGCAGACCAATTGGGGGGCGGTGGAGGGAGAACGCAACGAAATTTCTTGGTGGAAGTAGAAGGCGGTGTCTGTTCAGGGGATCAAAAAGGGAAGAAACCGATACTCTTGTTCTATCCATTGGAAAAGCCAAACCAGCCATACTCGCCATCATCAACCGCCTTTCCAAACTCTTCTTGCCCGCGATATCCGACTGCAAGAAGATCTCGATCTATACACTCCTTCGTTCTAGCCGAGTCATGGTTGACGTATCCCGATAACCAATTTCGCTTCCTGAGCACTCGCTACAAGTCACTCCCTTGCTCTCAACTCCAGCTTCGATAATAAGCTTGCTTGCGACTCCAACTCCACCTCGTATAAAGCGGCACCGGGATTCAGGACGTGGCCATAAAGGACGAAGAAGAGTACTACTGTTGCTTCAGTGGTGGTCCAAGAAAAGTCATCAAAATTACATCATGAGTGGAACACCAATGACCATCTTCATGGGGAGATCCAAGGTCGAGATGCCACGACGGCCACTCTCCCGGATGCGATTCGCGCTTTTGATTGTCGCCTTCTTGGCGACGACGCTCGGCTCTGCTGCCACCGTACCGGACCGTGCGTCAACTCGCATTCCCGCATTGTCCATAGCGGTTGACCAGTTGCCGTCCGCGCCGTCCCCGGAGGGGTTGATAAGTGGATTTTCCGAAGATGTTAGCGAACACGAACTGCTTTACGACGGCGACGAGTCTACCCTCAGCTCCAACATCGATGCCTCGGCGATTAACAAGAGCGGAAAGAGGAGAAGGAGCGCAAATGCGGCTACCACGACAACAAAGGCCTCGTCAGAGAAGACCAGCAGCCCATCATCGGCGACGTCATCGCCAGCATCATCCTCTGCCCTGCCGGAACCATTTGACAACACACCAGCCTCCGCCTTCGAGGGGGAGGGCTCAACTGACTCATGCTCCAGCTTCATATCGAATCTTCTCCAGGATCCCACATTCAAGAGCTGTTACCCTCTCTCCATGATGCTGCAGGTGAGTCCGATCTTGGTGGGGAACAGCTAGACATGGTGCAACAACTAACTCGGATATGCTAGACTTCGACGGGCCTCTTCCAAGCCGAAAAGTCTCTCCTCAGCATCGTGCGGGTGCTTGACGCATCCTGTAAAGCCGATTCCGTGTCCTGTGCTACGTTCCTCGATCAAGCCGCGGCAAACCTCACCACGAGTGACAATTGCAAGGCCGAGATTGCCCAGAACCAGACGCTGGTTCTGCAGGCGTACCGCGGACTGCAAGCCTACAAGGAGGTGTATGCGGCAACTTGTCTTCAGGATCCGACCACAAGCCAGTATTGCTTTGCCAACGCCGTTACCAACCTCAACACGCCTTCAGACGCCTACCTATACTTCTTGCCCTACGGTCTGGCCCTACCGGGCAGCTCCAACCCCTCTTGCAGCTGGTGTACGCAGCAGACGATGGATATCTACTATTCTGCGTCGGCGGATCGAGACGCATCTGTTGCCGATGTATATGCGGACGCAGCCCGACAAGTGAACACCTTGTGCGGTCCGAACTATGTCAACGGCACTCTACCACCGGCTTCGTCAGAGGGCCTCTCTTTACGACCAGCCATCTATACCGTTACACTTGCCACCTTGTACACCGCGCTTGCGGCCCTCGTTTCAAATCTATAGGCGACTCCTTCAAACCCGTGATGCCAATCCGGCCAACCCCAGCCGCGTTACCGTTACCCCCCTATCAGCACCCTCCTTGATGGGAATCGGGCCGTGCCGGCTTATTCTTACTTTACTAAACCTTGATGCTCTCCACGATTTTCTTATCTACGACGAACAACGCACAATCATACATATACCTGCGTATACGCACCCACATATACGCGACTTCGATAGTATCTAATTACTCACATCCTTTACACACAAACGCAACACGACATGGCGTTTCATCCTTCCCTCTTATTCAGGGTATCTACTTTCCAGGACCTTGAGTCTGGATCTTATACATAATCGGCTTATGAGAAGCCACTAATTTTGCATATGCGCACACTACAGTACATATATATTCTATGGGAAATGTCGGGCATTGGCGGGAAACATGGGCATTCCGTTCCCGATGGTTGAGAGAGGACCCGGAACAAAGGGCTGAGGGAGTTTACTGGACCATTAGCCCATGTGGGAGGATATGTTGGGATGGACTTCTTACATAGTTGAGATTCTCTGTAAATTCTGTATACACGAGTCATAATAGAAATACATATTCTCTACCCTCTACAAATTGCAGATGTGTTTGCGTTACCAAACGACGGATAGGTAGTCGTAGTGTTCCCTGCATAGAGAAATGGATTTGTTCTGGTAGAACTGAGAACCATCTTTTCGAATTTTATCTCCAAATACAGAGATTTACATGGCCGATAAACCAGATGAACACTATACCGACAGCACCGATAAAAACTCCATTATAGCCTCCCCGTGCCATACTTTCCATACCTTCCACCTCTATCTAGACCAGCCCTCGCCTACCTACCAGGCGGGCTTTTTTTCCGTCGGAGATATTGTGATAGGTAGACGCTGGCAAGAGCTCTGGTGACTGTCTTATCAAACGACAAGACTGAGCTTGAAAGTGTTAGAGATCCTCTTACCTGTATCCCCATCTCGTCAAATTTCTGACCAAAGCCACCCGTAAGGCCCTAGGTAGTCTTTGCAGCTTGACAGTCCATAGACAAGCAGGGCTGCGCCAATACTTGTATGCGGCATACAGGCGGCTTGCCTAATGAACGTCCTCAACAAGAAGAAGTATTAGGGAAAGAAGTTGATACCGTAAGAAAGCCGAATGCCAGGCCCTGTCTTCTCCTATCAGCGGCCCTCTCTTTCTCCTATCGGCCATGCCGCCGCACCGTTACGTCAGGGCGGGTAGCACGACACCCTCATCTGTAGATAAAAATCTTGACAGCCAGCCGCACCAGCCGCTCCAATTTCGCCCTCGGCTAATATACTTTTGATCCAGCGCAGCAAAGGGTTGGCGTTTGAATTGACAGGTCATCATCTGGCGCGTACTCCGTACAGCTGGCCCAAAAGAAGGAACGAGTCCTCAAGCCGTCCGTATGCAGGGAAACCCAGCCCGAGCCCATCCGGGCCGGTTTAGTGAGGCGCCTCGCGCGTTGGTGTGAGATAATAGCCTGCAACTTGAGATGCCCTTGAGACCCGATGAGCACAAATCGTATGAGTCCCATATCTGACGCCCGGCCCTCTCCTGGCCACGTTCGTATGCAGCCTTTGGGCCGGAGGGCCCCATGAGCAAGCGAACTGTTCCAGTGCGGGTTGCGGCATCTCGTTCACCAAGCCTTGATTGGTGTCTCTGTTCCACTGTACATCTCCTCTTGGGTCATGCAAAGTTGCCTGAGAGTGGGTGCTCCTTCGGGCGTCTGTTGTGTGCGTGTGTGCGATTCTGCGTGTGTGCTTTGCCAGAGTATATTGCTGTAGTACTCGAAAGCCCTGCCGCGAGATCTCCCCTTCAGCGGAAACAAAAGACTTGACAGTGCAATGCTCCAGAACACGCTTTGAAACTTGTGACGAGACGCGGCATGTGGCTCATCAAACCGGCTTTTTCGTCGTGCCACGTACCCCTTACTTGCATGTGAGGCAAGAAGGCTGGCAATTGAACCCTAAGAAGGCAAGGGTCAAAGAAGGAGACTATCGGGGGCTGCACATAGAATTAGTCTTGCTGTACACCCTGAAGCAATCATTAGTGGCACTGACTTTTTAGCCAGCTGTCAACATCGTAATCTAACCCCTTAGGATATCGGGATTATCGAGGCCGTGCTTCGGGCCCTACATCGCCATCCAGTCCTCAAGCACCGGAGAGATGTCCCCGCCACATCGCACTAAGCAGCAGGTGTACGGAGTAGAGGCCCTGACATGAGCTCGAGAGCCTAGCTGAGACATGGGCCCATTTGCTGGGTAGTATCACTATAGCAACTCCTTCGGGTTGTGTAAACTTGGGGAAAGGGGCAGACAGGGGCTGTCGAAATGATCTGAACGTGAAAGGAAAAGCTTCAGGCTTGGCCAATGGCTTAATTGGGCGTCAGCAAAGTACGGACAGACTGGTGATGGTGTTCTTGGCGCAGGGAATCTGTCTTTGACGTGCCTACCAGATCCTCCGGATCACGACAAATTGACAGCATCGCCATTGGAATCCAGACCCTTTCAGAACCTCAGCTGATGCACCAGGGACATGGAGTAGCTGATGAGCCAATGGGGGCGACCAAAAGCCTGATGCGGTAGGACTCTTTTACTGAGCAGCATGTCGTTATGTATAGCTCATGTCTGTCTAGCGTCAGTGTCAGTGCCTCGGGTGTCGGTGAATGAGGCTGGGAGGCATCATGGGAGGTTTCCATGAGATGTACAAAGGAAAGACGAAGAAAGGCAGAGAGACGCCACAATGGCTCACACTGCGAGGCAGGTTTAAGACATGATAGTAGTACATAATACTAATTCTTCATGTCGTCTTGCTCGAAGACACACCTGTTCGGGTCGAAGAGGATCGGCTGTCGTGGCACGCTGCTCCGCCTAAGAACTCCACATCAGGGCGGTCCCTAGCTCATGGCCTACAGGCCTTGTCCTTGCCGGGGAGGACGGAAAGCGGGAAGCGGAAGACGGGAAGATGCAACGAAGTCTTTCGGAACGACAATCTCGGACGGCCAGGGGAGGTCATATCATGCGCCCTCGTACGGAGCATGTACGTTCCCATTGCAGGCCAAGGATGAATGGAGCATCACTGCATAGGACTTGCACTGATTGCATGTGTGACAACGGGGATGGCGAGCCAACCTGGACAAGGAATTCCACGGGCCCGGTTCTTGGCGACTGGAGCGAAGCGCGAGCGCGAGCGCCTCCCTATGGGAAGAAGACGGAGGCGGGCAGCTTCGCATGTGGACTGTAATACTTGGCAGCTTCGCATGTGCTGCAATGGAGCTCTTGGTGGTGATGCCGCTACCACCCCTTCTACTGTTCCGCTGCCGCAACGCCTGACAAACGCAAATAAGGCGATGTCTCAGGCAGATCACGAGCGTGTCTGAGCCGGGCGGTACTGTAGGGATAAGGGGCGAGCCAGTAGGAAAGGGTGTGTACTCGCTTGACCCGGCGCTCGCGGTCCTTGTACTCACGCGAAGTAGTGGCTGTATGAAGTAGTATTTGCATCGTGCTTGTACTTCGTACTGGACCTGGGGCAAAGCGTGATGAGGTGACTGCTCACCTGCACCACGACGTTGGTCTGGAGCGTTTGACTTGACAAAACCTCTCAATGGCTCCCGTACCAGTACGGAGTACTCCATTCGCAGCGAGACAGACGAGCGTCCGGGGGAGCGGAGGCCTTGGTCAAGGCGTTTGACAAGCGCCAGCAGGAGTTCTGTTGGACTGTTGCTGGCGATAGGCACCTCACGGGCAGCCAGGTAGCACCGATACATGCGCTTCGGCCACGGGTACTCAAGGCCGTTACCGGCGCCGAGCACGCGGCCGGAGGCGAAGTGGCCCAGTCTCAAAGACCCTGGTATCGCGATCCCATCTGGACGAGGGACTGGTGTTGAGATGCAGGTGGTTCTGTATTATCAACAACCCCCGCCTGGGTACTTCGCATATCGTGCTCGGAAGCAACCAGTTCGTTTCAGAGGCAGAGACCTTAGTAAGCAGGCCAGATTGGCTCGGGAAGGTCTGGGACGAGTGGAATGGAAGGAACAAAGGTACGAAGTACAGGCACAGGTACAACTCGTCTCGGGCTGTCTCCGCCTTACCTCATTCTGCTTGTCTGCCCTTGGCCAAAAGAGATGGCGGTGAAGGGCGAGGCACGGAGTCAGGTCCGATGATGAGACGCAAGTGCCGATGGACGGCAGCCTGGCTGAAAGGTACGAGATACCTGGTGGGTACTCTGCGGGCACTACCTGGTGCTAAGGCGGGCTTCCCCTCCATGCAGGCGGCGATGGAGGGCGGACCAGCAAGCGGATCTGCTGGTTACATGTGCTTGTACTGACTGCAGGGAGAAACGAACTCTGTGCGAGCACTCCGTAGTACTACCTCGCCTTAGGTAAGGACCTAATCTACCTATGTCCACATGCTGTTGCTTCGGGAGAGGTGAAAGGCCTCGGCGGCTCGAGCAATCGATGATTCCCCAAGGTAAGGTAGGAAACAGATAGGGATTGTAAGATGCAGTGGTCTATTGAATGTTGAGAAACGGTCCTGGTCAAGCATTACTCAAGTATTTTCTCCGTACGAACTACAAACGCCGTGCCTTCCTGCAGGTATTCGTGGTCGACAAGGTCCTGCCTGCCCTACTAAGGTGCCCAACAAGTTGCCTAGTCGTGGTACCAACTTGGCAGTTGGTACCCAGCTTCTGGCAGGCAGTCACGGCAAGGAATCTTCCAGCGCCAGCCAGACTCTACGGACGATATCCGGCCTGGAGGGTGGGATCAATGCCAGTGCATTGCGTATTACCTTACCTAGGACGGAGTACAAGAGCTACTCCGCCGCCAAGGACATGCTCTTCTGTGTGCATTTGCTGGGAACATGCTCCCAGATATCACAAAGCGCATGTAAGCTACTTGGGTAAACAATTCGTACAATAAGAGACTCTTTATGGCAGCTGTGCTTTGGATATGAGGGAAGAGAGGTTCGAGACGTAATAAGAGCACCTTGCACCTTCCCTGAGATCTACAAGGCTTCAACCACGGCAGCAATACGGAGTAGCGGTAGCCCGAAATGGAGCTTGCTCTTGCCCTTCGCATAATGTACTCGGACGCAGCGACAGGTACAACGTAAGTTGGTAAGGTGGTGCCTTCCAGTTCCGTTCCTCCTGGAGCATTGCCGCCGCTCAACAAGTGTGACTCGGTTGGCCCAGCACTTGCAGGTGACGGACGATCCTCCCGCGCGAGAGATCAAGGGACAATGACAATGAAATATGAAAAAAGAGGCAGAAAAGGCCAACGGTTGCAGGGATCCTCCTTCAAACCTCCAGGATCTGGCCAGTCCCCCTCGCTTTCGCTTCCTCAACGAGAGTGACTTGCACCACGGCGAATTACCATGTGCGTGCGCCAACAGAAAATCCCCGCCATGATGCTGATATGCGAGTAGTGTCCTTCATGACAGCACAGCCAGACGCGCCTTCGGCATGCTAAGGCATCGCGGATGCTACCTTGACTCTGTGGCATCTCTCGTACTTCGTAGGGGTACTCAGCACCTGGTACAGTACGGAGTACAGCCGTGGATCACCTACGAGGCCAGGGTCGCGGCCGTGCTACGGAAACGACCAGCAGTCTCGAGCGGCCGTCGTCTATTCCCTCGTTTCGCCGATCATACGGGCCGGCTGACCAGCTCCCATACTACTCCGTACTTGAGCTTGGCCGACCCCAATGGCCAGAGCTGGCAAGGCAGCACAGGCCACTTGGGCTGGAGGAGCACCAGCCAGACACCGTCTCGCTCCATGATACCCAGCTGTACGGAGTACATCCATCGACTGGACTCAGATTCAAGGGGGAAAAAAAAAGAAAGGTTGCGCTCCAGCCGTGCCGCCCGCCCCATGACTAGAAGTCCTACTCGCGCGCGCACGCACACACACATGTTGGACCAGGACGCATCTCGCACGCCTCCGCCCCCCAACTCGAGCCTCTGTTCAACCGCCGAGACCAGATCTCGATGGATCGAGGCGCATCATCCTTCCATGCACCCGGTTTGCAGCAGCCAGGTCTATTCATGCCCCAATCTCAGAGGCTTCATTCTTCTCAGAGCAACCAAGGGATAGCGCATCGACATGGATCCCGTCATTGCCAATGCCGACGAAGAGCAAACATCTTCATCCTCTGGGTGCATGAGGCGGGCGAGCTGATCTGATCTGATCCTACAACGGTGCAGATGGTTAGCCACCTACATCAGGGCATTGCCAACATCCCGGTCTCCTTTGAAATTGGCCTGGCTGTTAGGTAATATCAGCCGACACTTGGATTCAAAGCCACCAACAACCACCCTTGCTTCGCGCCTTGAGCTGCGACTTGAATGTGCCAATGTCGGCCCAGCGTTGCAGCCATGGCTGGGCTGGATACTGGGCAGAGCGCAGTGGTTGCCCCGTTCTGGATGCCACGTCTTCAGAAGCAGAAGCCTTTGCACGACCAACGATTGCTTGATGCCACATCTCTATTGCTCGAAAGCACCATTTGCGACAAGAGGCAGAGGCAAATGCGGTGCTTGCTCTTGCCTGTACTTTCACTTCGTACGTCACGCACGAGACAAAACACAAAGGTATCATCTGAGCTCGCCTAGTAGCGAAATCAATGCGCAATACTGTAAGCCGCAGCGGCCCCAGCGATTCGGATTCATCCACCGCCACATCAACCATGCTGTGACATGGGTGATGCGTCTCCGCCCTGTGGGAAATAAGATCTGTCAGTTGTAACTTGCGCGCACCCCTGGCCAGCGCCAATTGACAAGCCCCGGCTGGGCCGCTCGCGCAGTGGCCTCATTATTGTTTCTGCGGCGTGCCTGTGGGGTGCTCATGCGTTGGTTCCCTGCCGGGACAACTTCATACTTGTACAAACGTGCAGCACACGCAAAAGAACGGCCAGAGAGGTCTATCCTAGGTACATACCTACCTTACACGGCACTGGCACAAACGTTCCGAGTACGGACATTGGCCGTTCAAACGTCTCTCATCTTGCAACCTGACCCTCTTTGGCTTTGCCAGCCCTTTCACAAACTACTACTACTACTACCAATCCTCCCCGTGGCTCTTGGCACGCCAACATTTTCACTCGCGTTCCCGTGTCTCTCTTCTTCCACTCCTCTTCCCCCACTCGGTCTTCGTGTCTTGGTTCGCCTTTGTTCTTCCTCTGCAGCTGGCAAAAGCCACCAACAAAACTGGATTACCGAGCAAGCAAAGGACCCCTTCTTGAGTCCCACTCCCACTTCTCACCCTCTCAAGTCATCAAGCCCGGTCCAGAGCTTGTTTGCTCTCTTACTACTTTGGTATCAACGTTACCAAACAGCCTTACCAAGCTCAGCGAAGAAACAAGCTACTGTCTATTCTCGCCGCTCGACATTGCTTGTTTGCCCAGAGGCCCCGGATACCACCTTGTTTGGTACTCATCCATTACCCATTGACCACTCCCTGGCTAGAGCGCTCCATACATACGATCGGCCGCCTCTGTTCTGGTCTTTGGGGGTGGTGCGCCTTGTGTCTCACAAGGGGACGGCAGGCAGACGCCTCGACAGCTTGTATCGTAAGTATGCACACATGGATTATTTCTTTACTCCCTTGCTCCCCTTTTTGTACTTTCTGCTCCCGCCGCTCTCAAGCGGGGAGTCTTTGAATAAACGGTACCCGTCTACCGCGCGTTCCGCCGCACAACTCTAGTTCTGCGTTCAAGCTCCTTGAGACGACCTCCAAGTAAGCAACACTGTATTGCACTTGTCCTGGTTCCCTGATATGCAGTACCCTCTGTATACACACACTCCTCTTGCCGCCCCGCAGCAGCGCACACATCATCCCCCCTCCACCCACGCCAGCAACGATCTTGGTTGCAGGCATGCAGCTTCCGGTTCCCTCTACCTGGTTCAAGAACTCCTCCCGATTGAGCCCTGGAATGGGGGGCGTCTAGGAGATCTCTGACCGGAGCGGCATTGGCTGATTTACCTGTCCGCTCCGAAGCTAGGGTGCGCTGATTGACCTTAATATACATACTACCTACACCACCACCTCTTGTTACCGACATTTGCACTACTACCATCTACTTAGACCTACCTATATACTGCCATTGCACCCTTCCCAAACCCATTTGCTTGTCTTAGAGCGGATCTGACTATGTCTTCGGCTCCAGGGCATCACGATTACTCTACAGGACCTCCTGGCTTCGCAACTGAAATGGATCCTAGAAACTCTGCCAGACTGGATCATATGCCTCGCACAACAGACAACTTCGGCATGGACCGCTATTCCACGAATCCCGGCTACAGAATGCAGCGACTGCCTCCTCCCCAAGGCCTGTTGGCGGGAGCTCCCTGCGGACCGGACACGTTTCGACCACCGTCCCAAGATCCCGTTCAATACTTTCACCCTCAGCCGTATCCCCCTCACAACAGCACTGGCCATGGCATTTCGTCCCCTCTAATGTCTCCTTCTCACATTCCATATGCCAGTGCCGCCCCTCCTCAGAGCTATCCGCCCCGTCATATCGCGGACCCGGGCCAACCTCCTCAGATGTTCCCACCGGTGACAGCTGGGAGACCGGATGCCACAAGCGATCCGCGATTGTCACAGTATCCTCCAAGCATGAACCACATGAACCACATGAACCGCCAGACGCCACCACCACGACCATACCAACATCCCGAAAATGGAATATCTCCCCCTTATATTGCAAGACACGAACAGGACACGCCCATGGCAGAGCCAACCTTTGAGCCTGAGCCACCAAGGCCCGTAGCTCGACCGCAATCTCATACTCCGGATGCCGCAGGACCTCCGCCAGTTCGGGTTCCCAACTTACTGGGCTCTAGCAAGACACAGTACTTGAATGACACCATCTTTGAGCTCAAGATGCGTCAACAGCCAAATGCAGCACGGGCTTGCGGGTTTGGTGATAGAGATCGAAGAGTTATCGATCCGCCTCCGATAGTGGAGCTCGTGGTTAGGAACCCAAACTTCACACAAGAGGAAATCAGAGTTTACTTGAGATACGAAAGCTATGTCATGAGCTGCGCCATCTTTGATGAGTCGGGAGAACATGACTCTTCCTACATGCCGGAGGAGTACCAACACCAACGGCGGTTGATGGGCTCTTTGGTCGCGACGCCCTTTGTGGGACAGGATGAGAACGGGCAAGAGGGCTGTTTCTTTTGCTTCTCCGACCTTTCTTGCCGTACTCCGGGCTCATTCCGCCTCAAGTTTACCTTGATGATGATAGACCCGAGCCGCGCGGGATTCGTCAAGCACTTTCCCATTCTGGCGGAGTCAAAAAGCGAGCCTTTTAAGGTTTACAGCGCCAAAGAGTTTCCGGGCATGGTAGCCAGCAGCAGTCTGGCCAAACGTCTGAAAGAACAAGGGTGTATAATCTCAATCAAGAAAGGAAACGATAGAGGGCGAGGCTCCAGGAACAACGACGATGGGTCAGATAACGACGATGACGACGATGGCGAAGCATCACAAGGCCAGAGAAGGAGACGACAGATGCGAAGCTAGTCCGGGCACGACAAGATGTATGCAGAGCAGGATGGAAGCCTCGCCGCGAAGAGTTTGACAAGCTTTGAGTATACGCAAGACTTGATGCGCCAGATATAAGAGCGGCGAGAGGAGGCGGCGATGAAACGAGATGGACCGCCTCTAGCAAGCATTGGATCATTGGGCATGGATGTGGATTGATTGATCTTGGTAATTGGCTTTGGCCACGGCACTTTTCTTTCTTTTGATTTGCCTTGTAGCTGGAGTTTCCTGGTTCGCAATGGGCGGTGCTGTCACTGGCGAAGCAGATTTGTCTTCGACCACGAACTGGGCTGGGATGAGGCCAGGCAAGATTTGCTTTCTGCGATGTTCCTGATGAAGTTGATAGACAGCATTATATTTCCGTTGAGGCTACCTATTTCCGTTGGAGCTGCTACGACTCCATAAAAGTCGCATACAGGTATCTCGGTCTCCTCTACCACTCCGCGCCGCGCCGTGCCGCCCTTCTCCCGCAGCTCGTGGAGTCGCTGCAACGCAACGCATAAAGAAGCATCACACAGCGTCACGGGACACAACAGGGAGCTAGATTTTCGGTGTGGCTTCAAGCCGCAATCTGGTCGTCGAATCAACAAGCGAGGGGCCGTCTCGGCTGTATACATTGCGTCAATGGCGACGGAAAGGCCCAATGACAAGGAGCAGCATCGTCTGATTTCGAAAGACTACGGTTGCCAGACCCCAGCTCCTTGTGCGAACACACCCAAGACCTGCCACTGGGCACTGGGTACTCCGTTCTCCGTATCAACCCGCACCGGTGAGGAGGATGGACGGAGGATGAACTCCCTGTGCTCGCCAGCAATGCGTACCCCGGGCCCTGGGAGCTGCCTTTTGGCTCCGTCCTTGTACGGATATTGCAGCACGGGTCATACCGCAGTACCTCCTGGCACCGTCACACAGTAGGACCGCTTGCTTCCTGCCCAATGGACGTCCATCTTGGACCATGAAGCTACTTGTCTTTGTACCCGTATATCTATATCTATGCCCGACGATGCTGCAAGGTTTCTCATGCCGTAAGGCGTGGACTGCAAGCTCTGACTCTTCTACCTACCTAGTAAAGTGCCTGAACAAGGCTCGGTTCGGCTCGCAGCAACTCGATCAAGGTACTTTGTACTTTCTGGCTCGCCGTTGGACGGAGGGCCGCCAAGCGTCGGCACGGGCCGGTCAGTGGCACAGTAGTACCAGCTTCGTACCTTCTACCTCATACCTTTCGTCTTTCGGGGGGAAACATGAGAGCGGTTCGCGGCTCGCAAGGCGCAGGTTGCAGTTCGCAGGATGATGGGTCGCCTGCATCCTGTACATGCGTAGTACGAGGCCCTTGCACGTGTTACGACACGTCGGATTTCTGCATCCAAGGCCGTACTTATTACAGCATGTACTTGCTCGGCTGCGGCACATGCGCAGGACGGACGGACAGGGCGAGCAAAAGCGACAACAGGAACAGCTGGGCTCGCTTCATGTTCCCTCCTCCACCCCCCGCAAAACGCCACTGGAAGCGGAAATGCCAGCGGCTCAGAAGACTGGAACCTGGTCCAGCATGCGGTAAGGCGCCCGACGGCTATCCCCAACCTGGGCGCCCGACCAAAAGTCCTGTGGTAATGCGCTGTTGTTGGCTTTGGGCCGGCTCCTGGTTCAATGGCCCGCAGGTGCTGGCGTCATACGACGCGAGAGCTTACGCATCCTGGGTACTGTACAAGAGTGCGAGGAGAGACAGTCAAGTACCGGTTGAGAGAACGCGACAACTTCAAGAAAGGGGGGGCGCTGCTCTATCTCGACTCAACAGCCACACCATTTTCTGTCTCACTCTGACACTGTCGCAATTGAGCGTGGCCGTCCCTCTTGCGTGTCTCGTTGGCCGGCCAAAGGGCAAAATCGCCTGTTCGACCACAGCGGGCGCTTCGGATTGATTGCGCATCACACCTTTGCAGGGCGTAATACAGCCAGGCAGACGCGACTTGTGCCTCGGATCCTAGCAACTGCGGCGGTACTTGCAGCTGTCGCGGAAGAAGCAACGCCGCCATAGTATTATCATATATCACATCGCATGGACGAGGCAGCAGAGGCGAAGCGGCTCCAGGCGCGCTCGCCAGAGCCTCCGCCGTACGAGGTCCCAGCTTATCCCAGGCGACCGCGCCATCGCCGGCCCTTTGCGCGGAGCATTGTGTCGATCAGGACGGGCCTGAGCTTCGTGGTTGCCGCATCCGTGCTCTGGCTGTGTTATGCGGTCGATCGCCAGTACCGGACTCGGCCTCACGACGATGGCGAGGCGTCGTCGCAGCTACTGCAGCGCTATGAGGAAGCACTGGCGCAGTGTCGCGAACTGGGGAGGATCCCTGGCCGGCCTCAGCCTGGGTCTCGACGGAGCAACCCCCGATGGATGCCGACCAATGGGCAGGCTGCAACGATTGTGTTGAAGAATGCAACCCTGTTCGACGGCGAGGCCATTCTTCCCTACGCCGCGGACATTGTCTTTTCCAAGGGTCTGGTTGAAGCCGTACACAAGACAGCGGACAATGTGGCCATTGTGGGCGATGGCGTCGTAGAATTGGACGTCCAGGGCCGATATGTCACGCCCGGCCTTGTGGACATGCATTCTCATCACTTCCTCACGTCTTGGCCGGGTACGCAAGTGGGCGACGACACCAATGAAATCAACCCGGACACTAAAGCTTTCACCCCCATGGTGCGTGTGCTCGATGCTCTGAAGCCCTACGACGAAGCCGCCACGTTGATTCTCTCGGGAGGCGTCACGTCTTCGCTCATCATTCCCGGCTCAGCAAACCTCATTGCCGGCGAGGGCGTCCCCGTCAAGAACGCGCTCTATTCCGGAGAGCATTCTGAGCCTGTCGTCGAGGATCTGCTTCTCGAGCGGGGAGTGCCTTCAAGCGAACGCCGCCGGTACATGAAGTTTGCGTTTGGCGAGAATCCAAAGGACGTCTGGGGTTATACGCGTCTAGGCAACGGCTGGCACCTGCGAGAACATCTGCAGAAAGCCAAAGAGCTGAAAGAAAAGCAGGACGATTACTGTGCGGCCATCCGGGAGAGCCGCCACTGGCACGATGGCCGCAAGGCCGACTTCATCCGCCATGCTGGCAAGTTTCCATTCCAGCTGGAACTGGAGTCGACTGTTGCCATCCTTCGGGGGCAAGTCATCGTGCAGAACCACAATTATGAGCCCGAGGACTTGGAGACCATGCTTCGGATAAGCCACGAGTTTGGCTACCGGGTTGCAGGATTTCATCATGCCACTGAGGCCTGGCAAGTGCCAAATCTGCTCAAGGAGGAGGGGGACAACGTTACGGTTGCGATCTTTGCAGAGTTCAGCCTGTACAAGCAGGAGGCGTACTCCCCCAACTTGTACGCGGGTCACATTCTCGATAAGAACGGGATCCCCGTGGCCTACAAGTCTGACCATGTCATTGGCATGACGAGTGCCAAGTATCTGGCTTCTCAGGCAGCAATAGCGTATGCCTTCAAGCTTCCGGAAGAGAAGGCCCTTCAGTCAATCACTTCTGTTCCTGCAAAGGCAATTGATCTGGATTTCCGGATAGGATACTGCAGACCCGGGTACGACGCAGACATTGTGGTATGGGACTCCCACCCTCTATCAAGTGGCGCAACGCCTCTGCAGGTCTTCATCGACGGCGAAGCCCAGCTCGACGAGTCACAAGTCAAGCAAAGCATGGGGACGACATTTACGGCAGCTCGTACTGGAGAGGAAGCTCCCGTTATCAAGCCACAGACGCGGTACGAGGTCGAGGATGAGCAGAGAGAATCAATATGCTCTCGAGCTTATGAAGCGGGCCAGAGCTTTGTCATAGATGGCATCCAGAAAGCTTTCGTTGACAACTATCCCGAGCTAGCAGCCTCTTTGGCGCAAGTTGACGATGAGCCTCTCAAGCTCATCGTCGAGGACGGAGAGATCTCATGCTTGGGCTCAGCTGCCATGTGCGCAGGGGTTGAAAGCGAGGTCGAGGCCAAGGGGAAGAAGGCTCTTCGCCTGTCCCTGCAAAACGGCCATGTCCTACCAGGTTTGACAGGCCTTACCAGAGCCATGGGTTTGACCGAGATCGCCACGTTAGACGGCACCGGCGACGGCCCCGTATCGGACCAGAAGATCGGCGACCCTGATAGCCTGACCTACGCAAAGTACGGACTGTGGCTCGACGGCAAGGAGTTTGCGAGAGCCCGTCTGGGGGGCGTCACCAGAGCAATTTCTCCCCCGCTAGGAGACCCGTCGGGCTTCGTCCACGGCGTCAGCGTAGAGTTTGTCACCAGCGGCAAGAAGAGCCTTACAAACGGGGGCATTGTTCAAGGCGATGTGGCTCTGCATCTGAACCTTGGCGACGACACCAAGTCCTCCGAAGGCTCGGTCAGCAATGGCATTCGCAATCTGCGCAAGATGCTGGAGGATGGCAAGGGCAAGCATAACGAGACGGTGTATGGGCGAGTGGCGGCGGGCGACTTGCCTCTCGTCGTGCACTGCAACAACAAGTACGACATGGCTCAACTGTTACTTGTCAAGAAAGACTTTCCCGAGACCAACATTGTGATTCTCGGAGGCAAGGAAGCCCCATATGTAAGTGACAAGACCCAAAGCGCTCTGCAATCGCAGAATGACGGAAAAGGATACTGACAGTGTCCTTCAGGTAGCCAAAGAGCTGGCTGCTGCCAACATCTCCGTGATCCTATCGGAGAATCGGCCTGCCCCCGATACTTTCCGTGATAAGGATGCAGTAGTCGGGCCTCCTCTTACGAGAAGCATAGCCAGCTACCTAAAGGAGGCTGGTGTCACGTTTGCCTTGGCCATCGTTGAATCCGGTAAGCATTCTCCCCGGCGATAACCTAAGCTGCGCCCTTGTATAAAAAGGCTCCCGGACTCACCCATGTTACAGCAATGCCGGTTGATTATCGCATTCATGACCTAGGTCCCGAGGCCGGATGGGCGGCCAAGTATGCGCATCTCAGCCAGGAAGAGGCCGTCCGTCTCGTGACGTCCAATGTCGAGTCGATTTTGGGTCTCGAGAAAAGCAAGGACCTGGTTGTGTTTGAGGGCAACCCGCTCAACTTTGGAGCTTCTGTGGTGGTGTCGTTCCATGCTGATGGGGAGAGTGGCAAGCTGGAGGTTTCTACTTGCTTCCCTAGGGAGGATGAACATGGAAGCAGGTTGTCAAATTAGGTTGGCGATGGCCTACCCTGTATAGATAGGGACGGTTGATAGAAGACTCCGTGGGCTATGATATGGGCAGGTAATATGTCTATGATGAAACGACCATGTCCCTTGGATACACCAGTGCCGCGATGCAGCAGGCAGTGCGTTTTATGCGGTCCCGGTATGATCCAACAATAATGTCCAGTGAGTGAGTCCACAGTCATAGTTAGATAACTTCGCTCTTTCCAAAAGTTCAGAAGCTGGAAAGGAAAGACGCTTAAGGAAAGCAGACAGCACTTGTGGGATACTAATTCGGTGGGCATACTAATGGTGAGGAACAACCAAGACGGAGTATTCCCCCTTTCTAGTATTGGAGAGTTGAGTCGGATACGCCTCTAGATACTATGAACATTGTCACGATGCCTCACCGCGTTCCGGCATCATGCGGACAAAGTCTGAGAATGGCGATGATGATGACTAAAGGGCATGGTGGGTGCCTCTATTCTTAGATATCTTACCTTACCTTACCACCCCTACGTGGCGGTACTTCGGGGTGCAGGAACTCGCCGTTGCTATGAACTTGACCCCGTCTATCTTCTGCCATCTGCTATATGGTAAGGGTAAGGTATGTCGAACTTGGCAGGTCGATGAGTCGATGACACCGTAACGGCCTTGGCTATCGAAAGGCGTGAGCAACCTCGTTGGCTCCAAACGCTTCCACAAGTTGCGGGAGGCAAAATGTCAAAACAAGTCTCCTTTGTCCTCGAGGACGGGGTATGGGCGATCGAGCCCCTCTCAGTTGAAATGACATCTACCTAATATGGAACCGGAGCTGTTGGTTGTGCTCGTTCATTTCACTTTGTTAGCCTCCATGATCCGCAATGCCCGCTGTTGTTAGATAACTACGGATAAAGGAGAATACTACTTTTACTCTCTTGTTCTATGTATCTCTTCTTCGCCCTTCGTCCACTCTGTTTGTGATGATGCTGGTAGTATGAAAGGGAGGCAGCACAAGAAAGAAGAGCCCTCCAATGGCCGCCTCGCCCATGACCTTCAATACAAACGCCAGAGAGAGCACACGTGCAGGTTGTTGGCGCCATTCTCCCCGGGTGGCCCCGTATCCAGTCATTATCCGCCACCGAGAAGTGACATTCTCACCTGATTCCAAGACCAGGGGAAGAGAGAGGGGGGAAGATATAATGAGAAGTCGCTGGGGCCAAGGACTCACGGACCACAATCACGAACCAGTTCCCCCCCCTCCCCCATCAGTCAATCTGTGTAGGCATTCTATATTAGTTGATCACTTACTCCGTACAGGCACAGGTATCATGGTATGTAGCTCCCTGTGTTGTGTAAGGTTTGACAGCCGTGTTTCCGAATTGACTATTGTCGGCTCGAGAATTTGAGTTGGGAGGATTGTAGTACGGGTTGTAGCATTGCTTCATACACCGCTCCTGATGGCTTACCCCTCTCTTTGCGGACTGAACTCTGTTTGCAAGATGGGGGGATGCTGTTTGGAATATGAGAGAGAGGCGGCAGTCATCCCGATATCGTTTGTGCGATGCTGCTGTGAACTTGAGGGGCAAGTCAAATGACTGGTTGTGATTCCACCAGAGGGTAAATGAAGGCTGGTATCTGAGACCAAGCTGGATAAGCTAGAGGAAAGTTTATTCAGAGCTCTGTCTTCTTCATGTCGCTACTATAAGCAATATACTGCGAAACAATATCGAGTCTTGCAGTGAGAACCAATGATATAGGTAGCCAACCACCCGTCAACTATCACGCTTACCCTACATACAACTTCTCCCCATTCGCGTCGGCGCTTTTTTTTACAGTTGCCGCTATAATATGCCCGTGCCATATGCTTAATCGCCCTCCAACTCCTAAGCTTTAATTTCTTTCTACACGTGCATACCGTACTTCCGCCAAGGCCGCCCTATCATCAGATCATTGAACATTCGCTAGCCCCAAAGCCAAGCCCAGGCCCAGGACTACAACTACTACTCTCTCAACCACTCCCCAGCCTCCCTGGCTTCACAGTCCAACAAACCTTGATATATTGGACCAGAAATGACAACCCGGATTGGCATTTGATTTTTCTCTCTCTCTCTCCCAATTCCTGGCTTGCTCGGCCGAAAGCAGTAGGAGGGCGGCCAGGGCAGCCAATCGGCAAGGGCGCAGCGGTCACCCAGCGCCTGGTGCCGTTTCAGAGGCCCCCCTTGTCCGTCCCACTGCGGGCTGCTGGGAAACTTGCTTGGTTGATGGATGCAGCAAATAGGAGGTAATTGGAGAGAGGAGAGGAGAGGAGAGGAGAGGGGGGAGAAGGGGAGACAAGTCATTGATGCTTATGTGAACACGTTGATTAGAAAGGCAACAGCAGAGGAATACTGCAGTAATTGCCCATTGGAGTCTGGGTAGTACTGGTACACTGCTTCGCGCTCTCCCTCCCTCTCTCTCTCTCACACACACATCTGTGCTACTGTATACTAGCAAAGACCTCGAAAAGCCTCACGCCTCGACGTTTCCGATATAGAGTCTCTTGGCCACGAGTGCACGTAGTATTAACGGTCACAACGGGGGCATCCCTGATACGAAGCCGGGCTCGGGGTATCTCGCCCTTTTGCATATACATATGGTTCCACAGAGTCAGTAGCAGTAGTATTTGAGAGTTTTGCAATGATTGCCCCCCGGTATTTCCTACCATGTTCTACGGGCCCTCGCGCCATGCCACGACACCGGATGCACGGCCGAGGGCTCTTTGCTCCTGGTGCCTTGCCTTAGCCGCGCCCCCTACAAGGTTGGACGAAATGTCAGGCTCGGGACGAACAGACGGGGTAAACAAAAGCCAAGACAAAAGCAAGACTGTATGTATGTGACGGGTGATGCAGGCCCACCAAGGCTTCGGTCTAGGCCACGAGTGGTCGCTGCTTTGGAGATGGAGGGGGGTCCAGGGGGGATGGATTCGGTTATCACCACCGATGATGGGCCGCCGTGGTTCTTGTCTCTCGATGTTCCAGCGATCCGTAATTTCAGCAGGTTCAGTTGACCTGGCCGGCGACGGATGGATTATTTCTGGAAAGATGTCGACCGGGAGAGTGACATGACAGGCATACTATTTCGAGATACTAGTACTATGGAGATGATGTGGAGGAGAAGATCCATTCTGGAGAGGGTGAATATGGCTTACCAAGCTTGCATTATACAGGAAAAGGCGCTCCGAAAAGAAGGAAGAAAAAAAGGGGGGGAAGAGGAAGCGGCAACTGTTTTCCGGGGCAAAGCTGAGAAAGCACAGACAAAGAGCTGGAGTGAGACTGACTCTACAGTAGAGTTTGTTTCGTTTCTGATGGATGCAAGGGGGCCAACATGGCTGGCTGATGCTCAAAGTTTTTGCTTTTCGTCTGCAAGCCACGCAAATAGTCTGGGCTGCATCAACACACACACAACAACAACAAGCAACAGCAGCACCAACGAATGAAACTCATCAGACGATGGCATCACGGACATGTAGCAAATCAGCTGCATCTGCATGCGACAGCAATAGCGCGCGCCATTCAAGTGCATGCATATTACTGTAGGCATCTTCTCAAGTCAAATGTTTCCTCGGCGCATTCGGATCCCGGTCCAGCATCGAAACAAACGAGAAAAACACGCAGGAGGTTTTGGCGTTTCAGATCTGCACATTAGCGCCCAGCCACACACGGCAGGAAACGTGGCTAAACAGAATCCCGGGCTCTGGGCGAATCATGGCTTGGCTTTTCGATTCGCGTTCCGAGCCCGTGGGCGGCGTCTAATTAACAGAACAAGTGTTGATGAGATAAGCAAAAGAATAGATGAAGGGGCGACACTTAAGGTACCTAGAAGAGGGGAAGAGAGAAAGAATGAAAGAAAAAAGAAAAGGGAAATAAAGGGCGAAGCGCCGGGCCAACGTGCCACCTGAGAAGCCAATCTTACGCGTGCCCACGGCTGGTCTGGAGTAGATTGACAGTTGAGATTGGGCTGTTTTGGCGGCGGATGACAGGTACCAGGTACTACCTTAGCCGAGCACTCACCTGGCACTTTCAGGCCTCGTCTCGTCTCCATCTGTCAACATGGGATCACGTTTACATACAAGCAAGGCATGGATGGATTTGATGTCTTTCTACTGTCCACTACACGACATGAACATTGGCAGTGGCAGCATTGCCATTCCTCCACCACTCACGGCCTCGGGATTTCGTTTGCATGCGGCCTGCAGGCGTGAAACACTTCCCTCTTCCGCCCCCCCACCGCCGCCTTGCGTCCTCCAATCACTCCAATCACGCAGTCGAGACGAGAGAAACAGGTTCCCATCTGAGGGCCCTTATGCAGGTACAGAGTAAGAGCCGCGTCCTAGCCAAGCTTAGCCCACGAGACGGGGGCCATCCAGGATGGAACCCTTTCCCGGTGTGTCCACTCTGGGTTCTTGTATTTGCCACTTTCGTCTCTGGGCTGTGCTTACTGGGCTATGCAGGTATTTTGTACTCGGGCCTGCTCTGTTTCTTGCAATGGGACGAGGATCAAGTTGGAAGCTGGCTGACGAACAATGGGGAGACAGTGCTTACCTACCGTACGAACTAATACTTTGGGAGTTATTCGTCTCTGCTCGTACGACGCTGTAATCGCAGCTCACTTACACGATAGTAAGTACAGGTGATATGGCTGTTCTCCGTGTGACGCCGTAGGACTTTTTGCTTGTGCCCTCAACTCCGTCTCAGTCCGCCGAGACTCGGCGATTTGAGTATCTTCTTGTGCCACCCCGTCAATTCTTGTCATGCCCGTTCTGTATGTACATGCAGGAGCGAGGCCATACAGTATAGACATGCCTTCGTCGATGCGCGGGGGATCCAGACCACACACACAACACGATTCATTCGGCTCTAGCCACCGACCCGTTTACAGACTGGACTGGGAAGACGGACAACCGCGGAGTGCCACCTAATAGATGCTATACATCAAATGCCTCCTGCATGCCTTGATGTCGGCAGTCCCATAGTACCTCCACCTGCTGCCGTCTGCTTATTCGCCGTCGTCGTACCGGCCAGCCCCCATGCGAAATATGGCCGTGAAGTCTTGCAATCTGTTTCTCATTGCCCAGGCCTTGCTCGCCTCATCAACCGGCCCCCCTCGCCAGGCCAGGCCAGTCCAATTCCATCAACGTTTGCAACCGCGCAATCAGTGGCATGCCCGGCTGCTGGCGCCAGGGGCCGGACATGGCAGGACAGGACAGGTCAGAAAAGACCAGACATGACAGGGACAGGGGCTGCTGGAGGCGCAAATGCCCGGTGCATGTTAGGCGCAGTGCAATGCAATGCAGTTGGAGCACCCGCTGCAGTGCCGTGCATCCACTACATGTACAGCAGCCTCTTTCTTCCAGCAGGCCTCGTGCCCTGAACCCTGTTCCTTCCCTTTTGGCCAGGCCCCGGACAGGCAACTCCTTCGGCCCCACTCCGTATCATCGTCCCCACGCTGCTCAGGATGGCCTCACCTTGCCTGTTCTTTGTCCCTCCCCTTCACTATCAGTCCCTTTTCTTCTTTCTTTTTTGCTATATAGTATCCTCATCGCCGCCGGGTCCGTTTGTCTTGGCTTCCTCTCCTTCTTCTCTCTCTCCAAGCCGCTTCTTTCCTACATCTCCAAAGTTGCTGGGCACTTCCTCTCCTTTATCGCGTTTCTCGATACATTCAGCATTCGCTTCTTTCGCTCTTGTATCTTCCATTCCTTCGCCGCGGCAGACATTCGACATTCTCCCGTGGTTTGCTTGAACATATACACTCCTTCTTTCTCAACGGTGCTCCGGTATCACCACTTGCAACTTTTACAACCCGTCCTAGCGACATTGCACAGCTCGTCGAAAGCATATACTACTTGATTTGGATACCAATCTCGGTTTTTTCCTTCAATACTCTTCAAGATGAAGTTCACCAACTCTGCGGCCGCCGTTGCCGCCATGGCTGGCGTTGCCGCCGCTGCCAAGGACAGCCGAACCTTTGCTGTGCTGCGATTCACCAACAAGGGCCTGGTCACCACCCGTGCTGACCCCATCGTCAGCCCCGGCGTCGCCTCTTCCCACGTCCACAACGTCCTGGGTGGCAGCGCCTTCAGCCTCACCTCCACCGGCGAGGACCTGATCAAGTCCAACTGCAGTACCGCCCTGGTCAAGGGTGACTACAGCAACTACTGGTACCCTACCCTCTACTTCCACGACCCCGCGACGGGCAACTTCGAGTACGTCGACGTCTACTACACCAACGTCTACTACTTCTTCGAGGCCACCAACGACGACATCAAGGCCTTCCCCACGGGTCTGCAGATGCTGGCCGGTGACGCCATGCAGCGCACTCCTCCCGCCACCGGCGGTGACCAGCTCGACCCGTCCAAGGGCCCCATCAACCAGGTCCAGTTCACCTGCCCCCGATCCAGCTACAACCCGCCTTCATACCCCGTCGGCTCCGACGGCACCAAGGCCGGCATGGTCGACCCCAACAACCAGGGCGCCGGTGTTGGCTTCCCCGATGTCACCTGCGACGGCCTGTACTCTCCTCTCCGTCTCGACATCCACTTCCCCTCTTGCTACAACCCCGCCGCCGGCCTCACCAACTACAAGGAGAACATGGCCTTCCCCACCGACGCCGGCAACGGCAAGCAGGACTGCCCCAAGGGCTGGATTCACACTCCTCACATCTTCTTCGAGGTCTACTACGACACCCAGCCCTACAAGGGCCGCTGGACCGAGAACCAGGGAACCCAGCCCTTTGTCCTCTCCACCGGTGATGTGACTGGCTACAGTGGCCACGCTGACTTCATGGCTGGCTGGGACGAGGACCTCCTCCAGCACATCATCGACACCTGCAACGCTGGTGACTCCGGCATGGACCAGTGCCCCGGTCTCTTCTACGGCCTCAACAGCGGCGACTGCACCATTGAGCCCCTGGTTGACGAGCAGGTCACCGGCACCCTCACCAAGCTGCCCGGCAACAACCCCCTGAGCGGCTTCAGCTTCGGCGCTGCCCCTGGCATGACCACCGGCTCTGGCTCTTCCGGAACCAACAACAACGCCGCCGTCTCTCCCAGTAAGCCTGCCGCCTCCCCTTCCGCCAGCAAGGCCGCCTCTTCTTCCTCCCCCGCCAAGACCCCCGCCAGCTCCCCCAGCAAGCCCGCTGCTGCCCAGCCCACCACCAAGGTTGCTGACTCCGGCTCCAAGACCATCGAGTCTAAGCCCCCTGCGGCTTCCCAGCCCGCTGCCGGTGCCCCTGGCAATGATGATGCTCAGTGCAGCTCTGCCAACGTCCGCACCGTCACACAGACCGTCACCGTCACTGCTGGCTCTCCTGCCGCCACTGGTGCTGCTGCTTCCTCTGGCACCAAGGACAACTCGGCTGCCTCCACTGTCGGTGGCTACACCTACGCCGGCTGCTACCAGGACAACATTGGCCGTGTTCTCAGCGGTGATGTCCTGCCCGACCTTGGTCCCATGACCAACGAGAAGTGCGTTGCCAACTGCGTTAGCAAGGGCTTCTCTCTCGCTGCTACCGAGTACGGTGGCCAGTGCTACTGCGGTAACGAGCTCGTTGGCTCTGCCAAGCTCGCCGACTCCCAGTGCAGCACCGCCTGCGAGGGCGCCAAGGACGAGGTCTGCGGTGGAAGCTGGGCCATCAGCGTCTACAGCAAGACCGGCGCTGTCAGCATGAAGGCTGCCAAGGCCCGCCGCTCTGAGCACGCCCACCGCCACCGCAGCCAGCGCAACTAAGCTTTGTCTTTGGCTATTCCGGCGTACATGGTGATGGTTGGATGAATTGAGCGTTTACGGAGTGATTTGACCTGAAGCGTTGCATGAGATTCACTGTTGGATTATGGTAGCGGATCGGGCAGCTGGTACGGAATCTGCCGACTTTGGGAGTGATTTGTTGGATAAACTTCGATTCTTCCGTGTATTTTTGGATCACATACTTTTACGATTCTTGGGTTCCGCTATCTGGCAAGACAGTTAGGGAGCCTCCCGCGAGGGATTTTGAAAGCATTTATCAATCGAGGTCTATGAATGACTGGGTCTTATAGAGTCTGAAATAAAAGTTAACGAGCGATTCAAAGACGTGGTGCTTTCTTAAAGCGATTGAGTGTATTTGCCTGGGCATATAGTAGATATGTGTTGGCGGTATTTCTCCCAATGATAATCTGGACTGCCTTGATCGTCGTTGAGATGAAGTCAAAGTAAGGCCAGAGCTAGGAAACTCAGCGGGAGAGGCGCTCATCAACGAGGTGGACCAAGGAACCGCCGGATGACGGCTGAACCGCGGCTAATCCCATATTTTCAGTGACAATTTCACCTGTCCAAAGAGACTCTTCTCAAGTCTTTTATGCATCATTTTCTTACCAATCCTCCACCCAATTCCTTTTTCCTTTTCTTTTTTACTTCTTGATCACCTCTCTTGTACCAAGAGAGTGCATCTACAAAGATGTCACTGTATCATGAGGCGGCAGAGATCCTGACGTCATCATCGGACACCGGGGGGAGCTTGAAATCGCGGGTGTTTGGCAAGAAGAAGGGCAAGGCGCCGCCGGGACAGCTGTATGCTTTGGTGCTGGAGACGGCGAAATGGAGTTCTGTGCTGAAGGAGGTGATTGAGAAGGCGGACATTTTACGACTGGAACGAAAGGTAAGAATTGCTTCTTTGTCTCCGTTTTTGAATCACCGTTTTGCCTTTTGAGCGAAACGATGTTTCAGATGAATATCATGTTTGGGTTGTGTGATGTGGATTGTGAGATTTGCTAACTTTTTTGTTTCTGTCTCTCTTTTATGTTCATCGTATAGCTCACGCCTACGCTAGCTTTGCTACTGGTACATGATCTATTACTTGCCAAAGGAGGAATCGCGCTGCCTCAGAGCCATGGACTGAGAGCATCGGTTGAGCGCCACAAAGGCCGCCTCAGCTCAGAATTCACCCTGGCGCGGCTGCGGAGAAAGGCGCCGACGATAGAAGCCCTGAGAGAACAGGTCGAGAGGGCGTCTGCGGGAGAAGAGGCCAACTACCCGCGATGGGTGCGCGTCAACGCCCTCAAGAGCAGCGTCGAAGAACAGCTGGAGACGACCTTTTCGAAGCACGTCCGCGCCGAAAGCATCCAGGACATTGTAACCAAGGCGGGCAGGCATATTTACATCGACCCCCATGTGCCGAACCTGCTAGCCGTATCCCCTGGGATGGATTTTGCCAAGGTGGAAGCGTACACGTCTGGGAAGATCATCCTGCAGGACAAGGCGTCGTGTTTCCCGGCGTACTTGCTGGACCCGCGGTCGGAGGATGGGGACGTCATTGATGCTTGTTCTGCGCCGGGGAACAAGACGACGCATCTTGCGGCCATTCTGTACCAGCATCGTCCGGAATTCGAAGATGCGCCTCAGACGATATACGCCTTCGAGAAGGACGCAAGAAGGGCGAAGACGCTGGAAAAGATGGTCAATATCGCCGGCTCCAAGCCCGTCACGCGCATTGGCTTTGGGCAGGACTTTTTGCAGGTCGATCCCTTGGCCGAAAAGTACAAGGACGTGGGAGCTCTGCTGCTGGATCCGAGTTGTTCAGGAAGCGGCATCGTTGGCCGCGATTCGATGCCAGAGCTGCACCTCCCCGATCCGCCGGCGGCGGCGGGCAAGGGGAAGCCAAGCACATCATCATCCAACAAGAACGCGAACAAGAAGAAGAGGCGGCACGGCGAGGTGGAGGAGCCCGCGCAAAACGTGCTGGTGGACGACGACGGGAACGAGACGGTGGTCAAGTCGGAAAAGGATCTGGAAGCGCGACTCGAGGCCCTCTCGGCGTTCCAGCTAACGCTCCTGCTGCATGCGTTCCGGTTCCCCCGCGCAAGGAAGATTACATACTCGACGTGCTCGGTCCACTCGCAGGAGAACGAACGCGTAGTCATCCGCGCGCTAGCGTCCGACATTGCAAAGGCAAAAGGGTGGCGCATCCTGCGACGGGAGGACCAGGTGAGCGGACTCAGGGACTGGCCCGTCCGGGGCCTGGTCGAGGCGGCAGAGGGCGACGCGACCGTCGCGGAGGGGTGCATACGATCGTACAAGGGGGACGGCAGAGGCGTCATGGGCTTCTTCGTCGCTGGCTTCGTACGGGATTCGGTCGACTCAGGGGCTGCTGCTGCTACGAGTGCTACGTCTGAGGGGGGAGGAGGAGAAGGAGGAGGAGGAGGAGGGGCGTCTCTTGATGGCAGCGGGGATAGTGGCGGGGGGCCATATCTCCGTGACGACGACGGTCGGATTGTGCGGGATGTTGTCGGGATGCCGGTGCTCAAGTCCACGGGGAGGGCGGTGTCGCTCCGTGGAGTGGATGAACGAGGTGAACGAGATGCTGAAGATGGGGAGGAGAACGGGGGGTTGGAAGAAGAAGAGGAAGAAGAAGAAGACGAGGATGATAGTGACGAGGATGATGATAGCGACGATGGAGGCGAAGACGAGTGGGATGGCATTAGCGATGCGTAAGGCTTTGGGCGGCGCAAAAGCGTGTGTTAGTGATACAATACCCAACTAATGTTCCATTGGTCACCGCCGCTGTCTCCCTGGTGATACAACTGCTGGAGCCCCAATTCTTGACCTGTTGTTGAAGGAGAAGGAAAGGGGGAATGGGGAAAGGACTTCGGTGTTTAGCAAGGTTGCGAGTTTGGCACCGGCTAGACTATGTGCTGGGCAAACATTGCGTGCTGGCTCCCGCTTTGTCTGGGGGTTACGGAGTACGAGATTTGTTGATGTTTCGTGTGTTTTGGTTTCCATTTGAGTTGTAGGGATAGGTGTTTGATTAGAAGGAGAAGCTGTTTGGCATTGTGGTGGTGAGGTACAGATGAATTCCCCGTGGAACTGAAGACGGACGTCAATGGGGACATGAGGCTGTCGCCGGAAGTTGTCTGCTGGTGCAAACCTCCGTTTGCTTTGCTGCACTTGACGAGGCAGGATGTTAAAATACTGAACCCCGTCTGTTACCCAAGGTACACGAAGAGATGGCACCCAGTATTAGCCTTTGTGCCCATATCGGCTAATGGCGAACAACCTTTTGGTTACAGCACCTCAATAGGTATAATATCTTTTGTCTTCGTTGATACTGAAAGTGGTCCGTTTACACATATAGATATGGGCACCCAGCATTAGCCTCTGTGCCTGAATCGGCGTTTACACCCAGGTACACATCGGGGTTTAAGTCAGAATTGACAAGCAAACAGACAAACTTCAATCCCCATGCCACGGCTGATATCCCTTCACAGCTTGTGTCTGCACCCCATCTGGAGCTGATGGGTATAATCCCCGTTGCTATTTTAAGGTCTGTTGTCTGAAAAGTCAATGTATTCTTTCTCTTCTCTAGATTTGAAGATGATTTTGATGTTGACGTTTTTCACATGACATGCCATGACCTCGGCATACATGTACTTTACTTGAACTTCATTTCTCTCAGGGAGAAAAAAA